GACAAGGACAGTTGTACAGTTAAACTGCCTGATTGAGCTCTAACTGTAGCTACTGTCCCCCATCTGTGAGAGATGTACCAACCTCACCAAAATCTTTCTTTTTAGAACAACAAAGGCAGCTGTGGACAGACTTGAGGAATTTTTGAACCCACTATGACAGCCAGAAGAAGTAATTTTCAGGAAAACAAGTCCAAAAGAACTGCACATTCAGCGTTCACCTTTCCTCTGTCCGTCTACATTTCTGGTAACTATGTGTTGCTATGCGCTATGCCACATGCTGCATCAATCCGAATGGTTGCAGGTCTGTACAATCATTTCCAGAGGTAACTTTTATATGCAATTGTTGCCCAATTCCCCTGACAGATCCACAGAGGTGAAATTGTTTGGCAACATGGAACTGGCTAACAACTATTTTCCAAGCTATTGAGTTTGGTAGGACTTAATGATGTGTCACATTTCACCCTTTAGCCATTTTGGATCAATCATTGTGTCAGATATAAATTTATCTTCTGACCTCAGAAGGGAATGACTGCCGAGTGAGGAGAGTCAATGACTCTTTTTCTTATTAATATAATCAAAATTACAGACCGGAGGAAAAACTAAACAGCATAAAGTCAAAGTTGAGAAACAGTGTGATGAACCCTGTAATACTGGTGTCCTGGTGGGTAAGTTCACACAGGCACGTCTTGTAAACACAAAGCTGGAAAGCCACGTACACCCACTCAGACATGCACACAACACAATGCTGTTTACCCTCTATTAGGGCTGCCAAAAATGATTACTTTGATAACTGACTAGTCACTGATTGTTTTTGCAATTTGTTGGCTAATCGGATTATACCTAAACTGCAGCTTATTGCACCGGCTCGCAGCTGCTCCAACAAAACCATCATTAGCTTCCAGCTTTTAGTGTTTAAGGTTTTTGCTAAGGTTAAAGAAATAGTCATTGTTAATGTGAACATGAGAAGCTCACTGTTGACGTTAATGTTAGCAGCCAACTAGCCAACTATCTTAGCGAGAGGACCTCTTCCTTTTCAGATGCTTGTTCATCGCCATCGTGTTGCCAAGTTCTGTCTTGCGGAATTTGCATTATACATGCTTCTCTTTTAGTTTGGAAAAATGCTCACAAACTTCTGAGCTCTGTTGCCGGCTAGCCATAATTGTGTTTGCGAATAACTTTTACAGTGACATCATGGCTGGCCTGGATTATCACTACTGCACATGTGCGTCAAGGACAGACAGAGGCAAGTTAGCGGAAAGTACAAACAAAGATTTTAAAAAGTTCACAAAACAAAGCGACAACTTTGATCATTAAATTAGTCACCGGTGATTTTGATAGTTGACGTCATTGTGATTAGTCAATTAATCTTGGAAGCCCTCTACTACTTCCACTAAGGGAGATCTGAAGGAGATCTCTGTCCCACCATTACAACCCCATAAGTTACACTTTGCAGATCTCCTGTCCTTTTGTATTAAAATTAAGGTAGTTAGTTTCAGTCAAAAAAATATGTACATTTTTGCCCTTAATATTTGAGATTGCTATGTTCACTGATAATACCAGGGACACTGACAAAGTTCAGCTGCAGGACTGTGATATGATCTTGGATACAATGTGAAGACTTCACTCTCATCCACCCAGTCTGGCATCGACCCAGATACAAAATTGAACCAAGATGTTGGTAGATTCAACATTTTACCAGAATCTCTGGGAACGGGTTTCAGTAGCAACGGGGCATGTCACAGAAACAATGGTGAGAAAGGCTAAAGGTTAATACACTTAAATATGCAGCGCACAGAACCACAGTAACAGACACACATAAACACACACAGGGACTTTGGGTTTAATGAAGTGCTCCAGTTCCACTGAGGGGAGATTAGGGCTGGGGGGCAAGCTGTGGGAACAACTGGAGAACTTTCAGCTTGTGAAAAATGTCCTGATTTTATGTAAGTCATGTACAGTATGTTTTCTATAGGTTCAGGTAAGTTTTGCTGTCGCGCTGAATCAGTCTTCCCTCGCTGTGCACGCTGGATTTGAGTGTACGCCTGGCTGTTTGCTAGCCTGTATGTTTGACGTGGTGGGACAATAGCAGGATTCTGCCGGGCCAGGCCGTGGGAGGAAGGGGACAGAGGAGTCAATGAGTGAAGAGGCTTCTGGGATGCGTCAGTGCAAGGCCATGATGAGAGTGTAGGAGGACAGGCAAAGACTCAACAATGTGCAGAGGAACATCCATTCAGTCCCCTCGTAGGACCGCACGCTTACAACCATAGGCAGACACTACAGCCCACAAAAGATGATGGGGAGATTAAGCCATTCATCCACCCTTCTAATGTGATGTATGGATAAGTGGGCCAGACTCAGTTGATTCTTTGGTGTAGGGTTTCTCTGACTATTAAGGAAAAGAGAAAAGGGACACTAAGGGAAATGTTAGAAAAGATGTGTCATCAGCTCCTGAGTAGAGGAGGAAAAGGTGTGTAATGTGAGGGGCTTCATGAATGATATTTAATTCACAATAAGGATGGAGAAAGCAGTGATGAAGAGAATGAAATAAAAGTTTGAAATGGGTTTAATGGAACAGTCACTGTCATGTGTTTTAAAAATCACACTGGAGCACGCGGCACATAATGGTCACGAGCTTTGGGTTGGGCTGTAAGAATGAGATGGTGAAAATCAGTTTCCTCCTAAGGGCAGCAGGGCTCAGCTTTAGAGAAAAGGTCAGCAGAAGCTCGGTCATCTGGAAGGAGCTCAGAGTAGAGCTGCTGCCCCTTTGCATCAAAAGGAGTCAGTTGAGGTGGTTCAGTCCAACTGCAAGGAGGCCTCAAGGTACTGGAGGGATGGGATACTTATCCCACCTTGCCAGGGAATGTCTTGGGATCCAAGAGTAGGGGATGGAAAGTGTTGCTGGAGAGAGGGAAATCTGGGTCGACTTGCTTAGACCGCTGCCCCCATGACCCGACCACGTATTAGCGTAAGAAAATGGATGGATGATCGTTGTACTTATTTCTGTTAGTTGAAACACTCACAGATTTTCACCAGGAGTGGAGAAAGTACTTTTATTTGTTTTGGGGGCACCAACCATTCAAGCCGTCTCTCAATCAACTAGATCGCTGATGATCATCATAAACGAAGACACGTGATTCCCATGATGAGATGAAAATTACGTCATAGTTGAAACAACTGAGATGAATGGGAATGTGTGCTTCAACAAGAGTGTGTGTGTTTGAGCAGGCCTGTGTGTCACTGAGCAGTGTCATGTCCCAGCGAGAAACCTGTCTGACGGCTTCTCTCTGATGTTATTGAGACACATATTGAGTGTGGCTCAGGATTAGCCTGTTGTTGGGTGCTTGGAAGGAAACATTGAGGGTATTTGAATGTGGATTTTATGCTTGTGCACAGCCCCAGTGCCCTACGGCTGCAGGGAAGAAAAGAATTAACCCACATATTCTTTGAGAGATTATGTGGTATTGTGCAGAACGCATCTTAATAATTATGTGCTGTGGTAATGTCAGAACAAGACTTCGAGTCTTTGCAGGCATTTACTGGAATTTATAGAGCTGTAAATCGAAGACCACACATTAAAGCTGGATTTATGAGCCATTCCAGTTATTGTAACGCACACAGACAAACACACGTGCACAGCAGTGATTAACAGCACCAAACCCTCACAAAACCTCAAACGACATTGTACTCGTGTCAATGGGAAGGGTGTGTTAAATTTATCAGCATTTTTAAATAAACACAAACAGACAAATTCATATTTGGTCCTCAACATTTGTTTTGTGTTTCATGAAAGTTCAGGAATTTTACGCCAAACATAAATTGAAGAAAACTGCCAAAAGGTGAAGAAACCTGATCAACAACGCGGTTTTCGAAATCACCTGTGTTTAGGTGAAGCTCTGGAAGGTCAAACATCCTAAGAAGCAAAAATGCCTGAAATATGAGGATATTAGTGCACTCCTGACCTCCTCTCCACCCTCCCGGCCCCAAGTGCTCACTCTTCCTTAGCGTTTCTCACCTTTAACCGACCCCCATGTGGGGTGCTAGGTTATAGTTCACAGACTAGGGTTTCCCCTTTCAGACTCAGCTTGGATAACAAGGATTGATGCAGTTTTGACAGGCAAACAAGCTCATTCACACATTAGAAAATGTCACACCCAACAAAAAGGGGAATGCCCACTCAAGTTTGAACTTTCAGGGTCAAAATTCTTGTGCAGCTCTTGAGTTTTTACCTGTGTTTTTTCCTCGCCAGGGCCCATTAACACCCGTTTAGAGTTTGCTCATTAACACCAAAACACAGTTTGAGTTGAAACTCAGAGTGAAGGAAAGGAATTTCATTTTTTTTTCCCAGGAAGAGAGATGACACTGACACACAATCCCTCCTTTCTCTTTTTCCTCTCGCTTTCTTGCCCCCATCGCTCTGTCTGTCGAAGACGAGGGGTGGGTTGTCTGTCTGCTCAGTGCCAGAGGCCCTGACAATGATACGGTTCAGGTCAGAAAGAAGCTGTGAAAAAAAAAAAGCGAAAAAGAAGGTGGAAAGGAAAGACAGGAAAATAAAGATGCATAAACAAATGAGAGAGAAAAATGTCAAGAGAGTGTTGTGATACTGGAGCCTGGAGGCCTTACTGAATCAAGGGTGTGGCTGATCTCCAGCAGGGTGAGGGGTAGCATGGCTCTTTGGTTCCACTTTTTCTCTCTGACAAGTAGCAGAGATAAATTCCTGGTTGCAACAGACCATCAACAATCTATTCTTGCCAGTCTAGGATTTTCATTGAACTGGCGGCACTTCAGATGTTGAGCTTGCAAAAGAATGTGTGATGTGTCTGATATCAGCTTCCAAATAATGAGACCGTTTAACTGATTGTACCTTCACAGTCATCTGTTAAACGAGGGCATTGGTGAATTGACTTTATTCAATGAAATCTGTGAAACAATCAGCTCTTATCTTTCAGATGTCACCACAGTACTATTTTGAGTTGAACGGCCTTCCAGTGTAGAAAGATGAGATGCAAATGGTTGTGCAGCATGTTCCTGGAATGGAGGGTGAGCTGTTACACTCGTTTTACCAATACGGTCATATCGTACATGAAAGATGCTTGGAGTTTGAGGTCATGCAAGGCAATCGGATAGGGTTGGGCGATATGACCTCAAATCAATATCATGATATACTGAGCAATTCACTTCGATAAATGGAAGATAACTACTCCATAAGTTGCTCGCCCCCTCCCACAGTAACTTTGTCTACTTTAGCCGTCGCTTCAGCTTCTTTCTCTCTTTGTTACGGACTGGATGGGGTGGAGTCACGTCTCCGACGTAGGACAGCATCTTAAAAGGGACATGAGACCATAGCCTACCTACACACATCCAAAACCAACTTTTATTTATTTATTTTTTTGACACTAAATATATTGACATGGGCAAAATGACATTGGTTATTGTCGTAAATCTCAGTATCTACAAATTTTCGGTTTATAGCCCAGCCCTACAATCCAACACTTAACGGCAAGAGTCAGGCCTCCTGTTTCCCTGAACTCTTCTCTATCAATACATTCTGCATACGAATACAGATTTTTAGTGCAGGAAGAACTATATTATGAGCTCATTTAATCCAAAAGTAGGGCCAGATTTTCCCAAATTTTTGTATTGCAATTGTAATTTTTTGAATTTGGTGTTTTACAGTGTGACAACATTTTGTCACATCATGTAGATACATAAAACTTCAACAATTTTAATTTAGGTTGAAAAAAATCTAAAAAATCTTTTTTCCAAGACTCCATATTCAAAGATATCTGTGCCAGTTTAGCAGTGACTCAGGTGTGGTAGCTTGACCTCATAATTTGGTGGTATCAGGTCTGACGTCAAAAAACACTGAATCATCCCGGGTGAAAGTGTATTTCCACAGACGTGCATAAAAGAGACAAATGTGGAAGAAATGTCCACTGGAAAGACAGAATGAATAACAGCAGCTAGGTGTAAATTATGAGCAGCTGTGCTATTTTTTTTTCCTTTACGCAGCACGTGGAAAGAGTAGGCACTAGGACCTGCAGTGAGCCACACAGGGAGGGAGGGAGCAGCGCTCTACTAAACTTTTTGAACAATCCCTTTCCCAAAGAGTGTGGGAGGGAGACAGACAGAAGTGGATGGCCCAAGACCTGGATTCACAGCTTTAAAAGCAGGAGCAGGACTGTTGGAGTTTGGGATAACTGTGCCCTTGGTGTGGAGAGAGAGTGAGGTGGAATATAACAAGATTTTATTTGGAAGGTGTCACTCAGTGGGAGGGGAAGAGGAGCATTAACAGGGCGGTGAGTCTTACCTTGTTCTTTTTTCAAAACCATGTGTGTAAACGTGTGGGGTGAGTGTGGGACAAATTAACAAACAGCCTCTCAGAGAACATTCCCACTCAAAGTTTCTTCATACCTGTCATTGAAACTGAAAGTGGGGCCACTGAATTGAGCAGCCTGTATTTTCTCCCTGCAACTACCTAACTTTACTACCACTCACAAAGAGTACATGAAAAAAAAAAAACAATAGGGTGATGAATGTAAAGTTTGGTCTTTCCAAGCTGTCTTTCAGTTCAAGCACTTTTTCCTAGGTGTAAATGGATAGAGAGAGAGATTAAAGGCTGGGGAGAAAAAGGGGGACTAGAGGTGAGGTTTACATAAAAGGGGTTCTCCAAACTTCAATGTGAACCAGTTCACTGTTCAAAAATCTCCTGGGACATCAGGTTACCTTCTTCTCCTCCTCTCTCTACCTCCCTCCTTTCTATCTGTCTCTCTCCCCCTCTTTTCTATCTGTCCTTCTGTGCGCTCATGTTACACAACCCTTAAAGGACCTGTAGATTCTGATGATCTCCAATGTCCAACGTGAAGTTTGCTGCTGAGGTTATCCCCGTGTTTGACTGGGTGGGGCCTGCCGGCGGTGTGGGTGTGCAGCTTATCAATTCTGTAAAGTATAAAATGTATATACGGGTGTAATTATGTGTGTGCATGTGTGCGTATGCAACATGTGTACTAAACACAGACCTCATGCCTGCCACTCCTACCAGGGAATTCCTTTCGGGGCTTTGACAGGGGAGGAATGTCACCGCGGACCAACATTTACACTCACAAACAAACATCACACTTAAAATGCCTCAACAGTGGCCCCCAGTTGGTCTGCCAAGTTAGACTTCTTTAATGTTAAAACACACTCACACACGTGTACACAGCCTCTTTCTGCAGTGAGTGTGTGTGTACATCTGTGCTGGATAGGAAGACGTATTGAAACTTCCAGGATAGGCCGGTGAGTAGAGCTCTCTCAAGAGAAATGTTCTCTGCTTCGTACAAAACTAGATTGTCTAAATTGTTTACGAGCTTCACTTTTTCTGCTAGTGTGTGTGCCGTAGGGGAGCCGAGTGTGTTTTCATCACCTCTCTGTTGGTCCACAGAGGAAGTGGGAAGAGAAAGCTGCAGCAGTCTGGCTGTATATCTTACGTGACATCTCGACAGATACTGTACTTTGTCCACATGGTTAACACAGAGCAAATCCTCTGAAGGACGTTTATACGCAAATGTTTCTGTGGCCTTCTACAGTAAATATACAAGCTTTGTAAATTTGACTTTCTTTGTCAGTGAAGAGCTCTCGCATAAAACTGTGATTGAGCGCTGCTTAAAGCCTGAGAAGAATTTTCATTACCACCTTTACAGGCAACAAGCATCCTGCTACAATGACGACAACAAGGCCGGCATGCTCAACCACAGTGGTGTCAACAACAACCTAAAGAAAATGTTCCTGCTTACATAATCTAACAGAACAAAATAGAAGTCCTCTTAATCTAGATTATTTTCCATACAGAGCATGGTGACTACATTAACATATCTGAACTAAGCACCTGTTCTTAAGCTTTGCGTGTCATCTGTAATTTAAAATGTCCGCTTAAAATGCTTTTTAATCACCTTCTGGCTGAATTTTAAAGCACTTGAATAATTTAAATGATCAACTATCTGGAAAATACTCTTCATGGTACTCTCTAAATTCGAACGCTGACATAACATCATTGCTAAAAACAGTAGAGACCTTATGAACTGGTGTGTATATGTATGTGTATGGAGGGCAGATGGACAGTGCTGTTTTCCCCCCACTGACAAAGATGTCTGTGATTATTCATGACCCTCTCAGGTTTCCCTTTGAAGCTGAATTACAGCTTTCCCTATGTTAGCACCTGTGTGTGCATGAATGTATGTATGTGTGCAAGAGAGTGAACGAGAGAGAGAGAGACATAAAAAGAGAGAGGAGGAAGATAAGGACTATATTTTTTTAAAAAAGGTAAAGAAATTATAGCCACTTTAAAAACCTACCAAACACACATCTCAGAAACAGTGTGGTCTTGATTGTGAGGTTAAGTAACTGAAAATGCACCATTAAAAAAGAAAAAGGGAAGCATACATTTGTAGATAAGTGGGCTGCTTCAACTCATACATCAGTGTTTCTTCTTGCCGATGAGTCTCATAGATTTCCCTAAATTCCCTAAAAGATGCAGAGTTCATGACATTCATTGAGGTGCGAACATTTCCTTTCATGTTTAGATGCACTGAGACTGTAATTCAGTGTCTTACAAACCACTTTGTTCATGCAGTTTCAAACACCCAATGAAGAGGCTTGCTTGTTAGAAAAACTGCAGTCAACACAACTTAACCACTATTGTGTTCACTGTTTCTCTGGAGGTCGGTAGACTTGACATTATGTCATCTCCTCAGTAGGTATGCATGTCCCTGACATGTTTTTAGCTCCTTATGACAGGAAGAAGATCCTCTCTCTTAAAACACATAAATGGACGTAGAAGTATGAACTGTCTAGACTACATAGTGTTGCATAGAACACCTGTGGAGCACACCTGGCCTGACAGATTTAAACCTGAGGGCCTGAAACTGACCACACCAACCCTGAAGGATGGTTTAAAAAGATAAAAACAGGATTTATACCTCAAAAGTTAGCTGAACGGCCCTGCAGAGTTTGTTCTTGTCTGTGATCACTACTCTAAAACATGTGTCACACTCACCGCTTTTGCCGCACATCTATATTTAAACCTTCAGGCACTGTGTAGATCCTGTGTGTGTAAACTAAGCCGCAATCTCCAGTGTTGAAGAATGAACGTGCACAAAACTGCAGTCTATTTGAGACTGGCTTTGCCAAAATACCATTTTTATTGCAAAGTTAAAAGATATTTACAGTCGGGTCAAAAAATAAAATCAGGATATGTGGCTCATTTATTTATCTGTGAACACAATGTATAGTTGCTGATATGCTCTGTGTGTTTTATTATGTTTGTTTTGGCTTTATGTATTGACAGCAACCTGCTACTGGGACTAGGGATGGAAATTAGCAGTTTGGCTGTAATCCCATGCATTTACAAGTAAATGTTCATGAATGCAAATTGTCCCATTTAAAAGAAAACAAAAAATCCTAAATAAAGACTGGCGCATAAAACTGCTCAGTAAGGGGTTAACCAAGTTGAAGGATAGGTGGGTGCATTGGGATTGTTTGAAAAGAGCTTTAGATCTCACCTCAGCCTCACCTCTTTGTCGAGTAAGTGAAAATTGAAGATTTCCAGAATGACAGATACCCTAAAGGTGGGCAGCTATACATTAAATAAAAATGTACATCGAGAAAGAATCATTTTCCGCTTATGTGAGCCTACTTTTGTTGATGTTAAATACTTAAAAACAGCATTATTCACCAATCATTTGCAGCCTTTGAGGATACAGTGATTTGTAATGACTAGCAGTGTGAGTCAATATGATAAATTGCATGACTGATGACAGTCCTGGAGAAAGTGATACAGTCTGAATGGTAGATGACAAACCGCAAGTTGTAGTTAAACATGAGTATAACTAGTGTGACTTGAAAATCTGGAAAAATGCCAACTGGCAGCAAAAAGTAACCGGGGGGTTTGTTCATACGGAAACAGGATGTCTGATTGCTTGATCTGGATTTTAAATAGGAGGCGTTCAAGCATTCAGAACAATGACTTCCTGATTGATATAACCGAGTGAAAAAGCAAGCCTGGGCCTTGTGGGTATCCAGAGCAGCAGTCTGGCACAGGTCAAAGCACAGAATGAGGTATGAACATCTGGTGTAAAGTAAACCAGCAGAAGTGTTCAGTCTGGAGGTAAGAGGTCAGAGTTGATGCCTGAGGTGACGTCTGTGTTTGTGGAGGAAAACTGGAGGTCAGCGCAGGTCAAGACCCTGAATCGTTTGACACAGGGAGGAGAGGAGAAAATGGAAACTCAACGTCACCTCGCGACTTTCGTTCTGCAGTAATTCTTGTTGACGTTTCCTCTGCAAACAACATCTCACAATGTTTAGGAGAAAATGTATTCAATAGAAAATCAAGTTAACTTTGTTTGACAGTTGAAACTTTTTTGATCTTGACAGAGCCGTTGTCAGAGTTGGGCGGGATTGTTTTATCTCTGCACCTTTATCCCATATGGACCTGGTTTTTGGCCCCTCTTTAGGGCACTAAATCTAGAATAATACACTCCTGTGTTTGGACTTTTCTATACATTGAAAAGTGAACCCAGCTTTGTCAATGCAAAGTTGGCTTTTGTGTTTGGCTGTTGAAGATCTGATTTCGACAGGTGCTCGATCAAAGGGTGTAATGTTTGCCTGTGTCTGCCTGTTTCTTTTTCTATGTCTGTGCACGAGTGCGAGCTCTATATGCTCTGAGAATGACATCTGAATGTGCAGACATGCCTGCTCATTCCACATTAAATGCCTCTATGACTTTCAGCTATGGCTCCCTCTCATGCATGTGCACGCCACTCAAAACACACAGTAGCTGATAAATCGCCGAATTGCCAAGGCTTTTCTTGCTGCAAGAATAACAATGTCGTGGTCTTAATCTGTTGACTAAGTGCACGTCTAATGTTTTGAATTGTTTCACCGCAACCCCTTTTTATCTCCCAATGTGTGTGTACATTTGGATTAATGCGCTGACACATCTCACTCTTGCTTTTCTTTCACTTTATTCTGATTGGGAGACTTGCCTGGACATGAAACTCTCCCTCGTAACCATCAACAGACCAGGAGAACTTAATCTTTCCAAAGTCTCAAAAGGATTGAAAATTTGATCAAAACTTGAAACAGAAACCACATCCTGGAAAAAAAAAAAAAAAGGTCTGATGGGTTCTCACAAAGTTTGACAAGTTTCTTCAATCAAAAGTTACATGAGTAAGATGAATACAAGCCACGCCAGAGTCGGATGGATGTGGTTTGAACATGTGTATCTGAGTAATGCGCATGTGTGTATGTATATGTGTTTATGTCTGTTTGTGTTGGATACTCATCAAACGCTCAAACACGCCTTAGCCCCAAGGATACAAGCGAGGCCACTTATTATGCACTTATTCGGATTATGCTGAATTGGGAATGCGCAGTATGCAGGAGGATGAGCCACTGGCTGCTTGTTACAGTTTGGTCGCCCACACAACAAGCACAAATGCCTGAGTTGTAATTCTTTTTTAACTACTCTCCACCTCTGCCTTTAAAGAAACTACTCATCTTTCACCAAGGTTTGTTTTAGTTCATACTACAGGATGTCTGACGGTTTCTCATGAGAACTTCTAATGCCTTGGGAGGCAATTTCTCTTTCTGGATTCTTGGTTAAGCCGGCGCATTAAACTCCACAGTAAATATTAATTCAGCTAAATCCTCGCTGCAGGTCATATAAACGCACACACAAACACACAAACATGCAGACGTGCCAGAAAGTAGCCGCTCTTATCTCTTTCACCACAGCTCTGCTCACACGCTGAACATGGCGTGCTGCTAACAGACAGAGGATGGGCCTGGGAGGTCCCACGCAGACAGGTGGTTGACATCAGCCAGAGGGGGTGAAGCGAGGGAGGGGAGGGATATATGGACTGAGGGAGTGACGGAGGGAAGAGAGAAAGAGAGAGGGAGAGAGTGGGGGGATGACAGAGAGATGTGGAGACCACACAGAGCAGAAAATGGCCGGGTCAAGTCTTTACAGAGAGGGGTGAGGCTGTAATCGAAAAATGGTGGGAGTGACGACAGCATCAGATTTTTAAAGTCTTTGGAGGATTTAGAACAGATCTGAAACGGCCTTTCATGACAGCAACAGACTTTTTTTTTTTTGACTAAACATATGACAGTTCAGAAGAGCCAAAAGATGTTAAAAATAACGCTTAACTAAATTTTATTGCAACAAACAAAGCATAAAAATAGTAAATATAGAAACAAGGATTATAGATGGTGGTGGCTGGTGCGCAGTACCAGGTGGTTGACCTTTCACCCCAAAACAGCAGAAGACATCTGAATGAAATTTAACAGTGTGATCAATCTTACAGCTAAAGCCTTCAACTGCACTGTGACAGCCTCTTAGATTTACAGATCTACATTTAATATATTTTATTGTGTACAAAAATGCCATGAGGGCCTCGCCGAAACACTTTTATAACAGTGTACATGTAAGAACAATGAGCGAAAAACCGTGCATGCATATTCTAATGTCTGACACATCATATACCCAATTGGCGGCTATGGGCCCACACCCATGCTTATGGCATCATGTGAGACCGCATCACCAATGGGGCGTCATGGAAATTTTGGGTTTCTGAGTGAGCCGGTCTGTCTCTGTACGCCCACGTGTCGCTGTGTTCCGCAGCAAATTTACCTGGGTGACTCACTCGCGATCGCTCCTTGGCTGTTTTGTTTACTTCAGCGTGTAGTCAAAGTGTCACATGCAAATCTATACGCTCAATTTCTGTCGAGGTATACATGCTGTAAAGCTTGCAGTCAGATCACAAGATTTCAGACTGGCAGATGAGTCAAAAGGAAGCTTGAATGACTCATTCAAACATTCGTCAGTGATTTTTATCTCCCAATGATTTTCAGCCAACATAGTTTTACAAGCCGGAGGGATGTGTTGACGTGGAAACAATATTTTTCTTTGACAGCATAGATACTCTTGAGGGCCTAGAGTGGAGTCTCTCACAGTAAATAAGTGGCCTAAACTGCAACCTTACAGCAGTTGGTTTTCCATCATCTGAAGCAGAGTAATGTTTTGTTTTTTTTCTGGTCGAGCCATTGAAACACAAGACCTAGCGATAAAAAACATTTGTGTGTCACTTTAATCTCAAATTCCCTACAAGTCCCTGTAACTCACATCCTCCCTCCATCATTGTTCTTCTTTGTCTACATGTCTTCTGCTTTTTATTTCCCAGATTCCCTCGACATCCCATTACCCACCCACACCCCACCCTCCATTACTTGTTGCCCCTCTATGTCCCTCGATGTCTGCTTGCTTCCTCTCCATCCCTCTGTCTGCATCTCCCTCCCAGGCCAGACAGACAGACATTCCTGCCTCTGGTCCTCCTCCTCCTCTCGGTGCTCCGCTCTGGGATCAGAGATTCTCACAAAGTTGGGGGGGAGTTATTACTGCAGCCATGCCAAAAGATTAACCACTTGACATGAGAAGATTGTTGAATGTCAAGGTCATAAAAACTTGGGGTCTGGAAAACATGTTCATCATTGTGTTCATCCTGGCTTCAAGGCCTGGAGGACCAGCCTCCCACATGTGCTGGTCTGCTGCAGGCAGAGGTTGGGTTGACTGGGGATGGGCCATGTTGCAGAGAGGCAAAGGGACAAGAACTTTCAATAGCACAGGCATGGGAGTCTGGTTGTGGTTTTGCCTCAGAGTCAAAAAAAAAACTCATGCTATGAGCTCCGCAGGTGGGAGTTTGTTAAAAGAGACATTAAACAATATCATAGCAATGACTTTCACTCACCTTGAGAGCCATTTGAAGGAGTTATAAGACAGACTCCCAGGAGTCGTTTCACAAAAGTGTTGAGTTGAAACATGAAGTTCAAATCTGTTAAGCTTTGACCTGAGCTGCCCAGACATTTGCAGGCCCAAACTGGAACAGAAGCCTTTTTTTTTCCTAATTCCCAGGCTACGGTTCTCAGCCGATACAAGGTTTGTTTCAAAAATATCCGCTGTGTCCTTCCAACAAAGCCAACAATCTTTCAACATCAGGATTGTAGCCAGTGTAAGAATTGAAGAATTGTGAGTACTTCATCAGAAGGGATGGACTTGTGTTTAACTAAGAATGTGCATGCTCAATCAACTAAACAATTTAACAATATAACCCGTCGTCAGGTGGTACAAGAATCACATGTTAGTTAAATGTATTATCAATAGTTTTATTACTGTAGGCCTGCAAACAGTGTGTCATAGCTGTTGCACAGCCACCTGCTTCTCACTGAGACTGTGGCTCTCGCAAATGACTGCTGCTGTGTCGCTAAAATGTTCTCCTACATAGATGTAAACATGCACAGATAACAGATTCTGTGTCGTAACACTGCATGGTTTGAAAGTATTTTGATCCAAAAAATGGAGATAAAGTTCCAAGTAGTTTGTATCTGGTTACACTAGCTCATAACACATCAACAAGAGCAATGCATATCCAGCAGGCATGTAGACATTAGCCTGAAAGAAGGACTAGAGGCTGCAGATCAACTTTCTGTCTAGTGTCTCTCTTATACTCCTCACTTGGCTAGCATGCCCTTTGTTCCCTGAGTTATTTTGCTGCTTTGCTTTTGTTGACAGGTCATTTCTATCAATCACAAATGTACTATAACTTGGCTCTCAGTGCTGCACTGGACTCCTCCGTCCCTGACCTCATACATCTTTTCCTGTGCAACCTGACGTACATGTGTCAAAGTAACCCGATTCACTCGGGCAATCCCTCTTTGAATGAACCACTGGCTGTGCAACTAAGTAGGCCCACTCCATTAGGACAGCCTATAGGGTGGCAGTGACACCTGTACAGTACATCACCAAAAACCTTTTTGTTGTAGCATATTTTAATAATCACAGAATTGCAAATGTCAGAGACCGTTCAGTCTAGTGATAGTCCATGTTGTACAAAGAGTTGCTTTGATTCTGTTGCTCCTCACTCTCTCCTCCTCCACATAATCACAGCTGAAAGTTTGCTCTCAAATCAAAAAGTTGTTTATTTTGGACCAGGACACCACCAGAATTCAATCTTCCCATTAAGATGAATCACTGTAAGATTCACTGAAGGACATTATGACAACAAGGGAAAGTCTGAGGTTACTCTGTAGTCACATCTCTGCTTTGTATCAGGGTTGCCCCCTTGCCCACAAGAGACAACTCTGGAACAAATTCTGTGCGAAGTGTCCACTGATAGTTTTCACAGTATTTTCATGGTTGGGGATACGTGCAATGTCAGCTGAAACAGATACTGGATATTCTTTGGGCCAGAAAGGCACAGTTAGCTTCCAAACTACGGCCTGTGGTTTCTGTTTTATAATCTTGAAGAGGAATGTGCGACTTGTCAATGTCAGAGCCGTTATGAGTCTTCGCACTTGAAAGCGAGAGGATTACACTGTTACATTACACCTACAGCCTGGTATGTGGGATTGAATGAACTAGTAGGTACTCCCATATTGCAAAATTTCACCGACACATTTTCTTCTCTTGACTCGACAGCACTCAAACAACCAATTTTCTTGTAGAAGTGAAAGTGGAGCCATATGCAGACACGAGTCAAATTGTTTTAATTATCCCAGTTCCAAGAAAAAATTCCTTCCACTATGAGTGAGTAAGAGAAATCCTATTGTCTGTGGTTTTGGCATTTCATTATTGAAATCCCATTACAGCTTCTGAGGCAGTAGCCAATTATCTGTATCCCACATAACAAAATAATAAACAAAACAAAAATACAGACTGGATTGGAGATGGCCAAGTTGGAAAAGAGACAGTAGGATTAGTCCCCCAGCGAGAGAGTTTATGGATATGACCAGGAATATGAGTGCGTAATTTTCCTCCAACAGAAGGAAATGATAAAGAGCCACAGGAGCAGCTCTCTGCACCTGCACATATTTGTGTACAATGTTAAAATCTGTTATCTCCGTTTGATGCAGAAGTGTCCAGGAAGTTACCCACATCTTTTAACCATGAGACTGAAACAAGGTCAGAGGCAGGGAGCAGAAAGGGAGAATGGATAAAAATCAGACTGACAGATAAAAAGAAAGAAAAAAAAAAGGAGTTGAAGCTCTAGGGTGTTTCCTGTTTTAGTACCATCACCTTTGCTCCCTGCTTCCCTGATTTTCTCTAGCTATCCTGAGCAGATGAACAGACACTGTGGTGTAAAATATAAGTGAAGTATTTTACATTTAGGCTGCCCTTGACCACAGATTTTTTCCCAGGTTGACTAAATGTCATAAATCTGAACGAATAGCCAACTTGTCTCACCAGTCAATGCACAATGAAACCAATCTGTGACACATAACAAATATATGTTGTCACTCATGCTAGTTCAGGATAAACAGTCTGCAAAACAAGGCCAGAAATGTCCGTCATTTGTCATGTCACAACTGTTGCACAGCCATCTGCCAGTAACTGAGTCTGTAACTCTCTGTTGCTACAATACTCTAGAAGATGGATGTAAACAAGCACAAGATAACAGATGGCATCTTGTTACACTGCATGGTTTGAAAGTATTTTGATCCAAAAATGGTGATAAACTTCCATGTAGGTTATGTCTGGTTAAACTGGTTCATAACCGATCAACCAGAGCAATGCATATCCAGCGGGCATGTAGATGTTTACCTGCATGGAGGACCGGAGGCTGAGGGTGATAGCACGGCTAACACCAACCACACAAAGGGAATCAGTTTGTTATGATCCCGTGTTTAGCTGTGTGCCTTATGTTGTCTGTTTCTAATAATTGCCTTTCCTTTCGACCGATCAGGTAATTAATCAGGAAAGATGTATCTGTTTAAATGTATGAGAAGTCCAGAGGAATCCAAAACCTGATATTTGGCATTTAGAATATAGTTTTTTAAGTACTTGGATTTGTAACAAAGCTAGGAATGAAGTTGCAATGATTCAAAAGTTACTTGGTCAGGTTTATCTCAAGGCTGTGGAGCCATTGGCGCTCATGCCTTTACTATTTTTTTAATCTTCTTGTGTTTATTTTGCTGTATATGTGTATTATTTATTTATTTAGTTATTTAATTTTTTCTTTTCTTTTTTTTGTGATATGGACCATCCTGTGTGTGGGTCTGAAATAAGGTAGAATAATTTACTCAGGACGACATGCAAATACACTGGACATACAGTATCTTAAACCACTGAGAAACAGCCATTGCCCTGCTTTGGACCTCCAACACAGTTGGTTCATTTCGATGATTTAGTTCGCCTTAGCTTGGATCAAAGCTTACCTTATACCCAGTCAAGAGTATATAATACCATAAATGGTGAAACTGCGTAAAACAGGGCACACAATCAGTGCATGGAACACAATTCAAAGTACTTCTGTCAATCGCCGGACCTAAACCAGAGCTTATATTTACCTTTTATGTCACTTATATATTTATTTAAGAACCCATGGAAAAGAAGCACGCAACTGTGTGTGTTTTTTGTATCCTCAAAAGCGCACTAATAGGGTGGACTCACTTTCGGTAAAACTTTAAGATCACATCTAATGGATGTTACCAAGCAGCAGCTTCTAAAAGAGTTCTGAGGCCTTTTTTCCGACCACTAAACAAATGAATACTCAGTCAGCCAAGGTTCTTGTATCAGCTAATAATGGGTCAGCTTTCAGGGGGCCTCTCACTGTATAAACTGAATCTTCGAGGCGCCAAACGTGTCAATAACTTCTAGAAATCCACGCTCTCACTTCTTGGCGTGTTCTTTAGGAGTTTTATTAGAAGTAAATTTGTTGAAAATGCTTGCCCATAAAACCTGAGACCACAGATATATTCTGAGGTCTTGTTGGCAGAGTGTTTCTCAGCTCGGTGGATGATTAAAGTTCTTGCCAGTATCAGCTAACTATTTAACAAAAGGTTTGGTCTTTGAGCGCTACTTGTAATCAAAGAAATACAAAAGAAAGAAATACATTAACATGCATGTTGTACACATTGGGTTGCTCCCTGTGAACCTGTCCAGATAATTCAAGCTGTCTTCATACTGTAGCAGTCAGTCAGTTAGAGCTATTTTGTCCTCTCCATGTCCTTTTGTTCTGCATCTCTTGCTTCATTTGTCAGCGCCTGGAGGACTCAAGTGCTTTAACAGGTTGTGTGTGTCTGCAAGTTTGATGCTGCCTGTCTTGCTCTTCCTGTGTCCTGAGGCCGGAGCGGCACAGTTTACTTTTTGAAGTATCCATGATGTACAACAGGTGCTTTTGTCCCCACAGCAAATGTCTTTAAAACATGAAATAGAGGAGAGAAGGGGAGGGGAAGGGGCAGAAGCGGATCCCTCTCATCTCTGCTTCTCACATTACAAGGTTCTAATATTCAGGGTAGGGCTGGGCGATATGGCCTCAAATCAATATCATGATATATTAAGCAGTTTACCTCGATAACAACAAATGGACGATAACCACTCCACAAGCTGCTCACCCCCTCCCACATTAACTTCGTCTACTTCAGCCGCCACAACGTTCAACCGTCCTGTTACAGACTGGATGAGGTGGAGTCATGTCTCTGACGTAGGAGAGCGTCTTAAAAGGACATGAGACCATAGCCTACCTACACACATCCAAAACCAACTTTTATTCATTTATTTTTTTGACACCGAATATACTGACATGGACAAAATGACTTTGATTATTGTCGTAAATTTTGGTATAGGTAAATTGTCTGTCTATCCTCCAGCCCTAATTCAGGGTTAGTTTTTCCGTCAGACCTAGATCTGAGCTCTCAGAATGATTTCCCAAACAGATCTAACTAGTGCTTGAAAAACAATAGCACAGGAAAGCACTTATCCTATTATCATGTTTAACCACAGAGGTATCAGCCGTTTTCATGCATGTTTTTTTAACTGATTTTCTCACCCATAAAAATCCTACATAGTTTCCATAGTTTATTAAGTTAATTTGCTCTATGTACATCCATCCACTCTAGCTCATATACAAGGCCGCCAAAGTGTTTCCAAGATGAGCCAGATCACTGACAGCCTCTCCGGAGCATATGGAGAGCGCAGCTTCATTGTGCTTTTAGCAGTTACTGCATGACATCATTTTGCGTGACAAATACTTGATTCATGGCAGGATCTTGGCTGTTGGAATCGTCTGACATGGCAGCTCGTCTAAACTGTGACGAGCAGATTCTCTAGCTGCAGATGACAAGCTTTGATTATGATCGTACGGAGCAGTGTGGAGGCCTCTTATTGGGAGTTCAAAAGCATCCAGTGCACAGTTGCGTGATTGTGCGAGGCTTTATTTTAATTCAATCATTTCATATGAGACCATTTTCAGTATTAAGGATTATTTTTTTCCTAAAAGAGGAACTAAAAGTCGGACAATTCAACAGGCACTGAGCACTATTTATCTTAGAGAAATAAGTATGGGCTTAATGACTTCAACATTTGGGCGCATGCAAAAGTGAAAAGCAAGCATGTTGACCTGGCAGTCCTCCCTCTTGATAATTATTTCCAGTAGATGACAGCAGGAGGAACTGCACTGAACTGACATGATGAGAGACACAGAAAAACTGTTTACCTTCCTCTGTTTTTCTTCGCATCGCCCTCTCTCCCTTTCTCTCCATCTGTGCGAGCTGTCAGTCTCTCTCTCTCTCTCACCCGCTCATAATCTGAAGCTGCTGTCATCGCCACAAGAAAGAGGTGTGTGTTTGTTGGAGAGAGCTGTTGACACCCCACTCATGCGTGTCTTTAACAATGACATGTAGCTAATGACTAATGTATCGCACAGATAGGAAGACACCCCTCTCTGAATGTAAGCTAACCTTGGACCAATGGCAGGAAACGCTTCCTCCAACTGCACACGTTTTCTCCCACCTGCCTTGTTTTCATTGAATCACACTCAACACACAGCATTGGAACCACATGCAGAGATTTGGCCGCTCTTAGGCACCAGAATCTGATCAACTGAGCATCTTGTATGCTGGCAGACTAAATGAGAATGTGTTACAAGCTAACACTTCCAGTAAATGAGTTACTGTTCCTCCACTGCCTTGGGCTGAGCAATTAGTCTCTGTCTGAAGTGTTTAACTCTCATGCTGCCTTATGATTCGTTTCCCAGGTCACAGACTCAGCAGCTGCGGTGACTTATGTCTTCTTTCCATATCCTTTCATCATCATCTTTGACAGTCTAATTCAACCAGGTAGAGCCATGTTAGCACAGCGAATGCCTGTGCCAAGTCTAAGCGATGGATGACTCAAGAGAAATAGTCTTGATTTACAGTTTGGCAAAGCTGCTGCAGAATCTGCCTTTAGTAAGAGGCAACCTCCTCGGAGCATCCACATGAAGCTAATTTACAAAGTCTGTTGCCGTAAACATCCTCTTTGGTGCAAAATGTACAAAGAATGAATCATAAAAACATATCAAATAGCTGCATTGTTTATACCGGCGTGTATTAATGCAGTATGTTGAGTGTCTGCAAATTTAAACCATACTGTCATTTCGGTGGTGTTTACTGTCGCTGTTTTGGAATACCTTTGTCATTATTGTGCTGGCACATGTGAGCAGGACTTGCTCTTGAATTCTTAAGGGCAGGCATCTCCCATGTGTGTTTGTGTACTTCGATTTTTCTGCCTGGATACTTGAGAGGAAAGCAGCTTGCTGTCACATGCAAGTCAGAGCATAGTGAGCCTCACACCAAATTGTCTTCATCCGTGCCGTGTGAATTTCAACTGTTTGATTAAGGACATACCAACTTCACTTAACAGCTTTAGCTTCAAGGTGCTGTAAGCAACGCTGGATTGTGGCTGTTATATAGAGCTTTCAAGTAGGGCTGGGCCATAAAACGATCATGACATATCAAAAATTAAGTTCCCTCGATACCGATATGTAACATGGTCAATGTGCTTTTTGATAGCCGGCATTCTGCTATGTTTTGGTAGTCTATATGAATAGCTAATGAAAAGAGGAGTTGCTCCAGGTCGCGCCGCACGGAACCAATCATGTGCTGAATTAGAACTAAGTAGCAAACAACTGCGCAGTAGCAGGCTGCAGCGACACGCAACCATAGCCGACATCACAGTCGGTGAGAAAAAAAGAAAATGAGTGCTACCCCCGGCAGAACTGCAGATGAAGCCTCAACAGAGGACGACATCGTCGACAACACAGGCACAAAAACGTCAGTGGTGTGGAGATATTTTGTTTTTTTTGAGGTCGGACATGAAGCAGGGTAATGTGCACTGCAAATGATGTCGCGTACAGGTTAACTTTCATTTAAGAAAACAGAAAACATTTAAGATTGACAAGTGATCTGTTTATGTCATGATATTGCTATCGACTGATATGAAAAAAATATATTGTGATAGACTTTTTCTAATTTTGCACCGCCCTACTTTCAGGGAAAATAGTTAACACGCTTTTGGAGCCCTGGACAAGCTTATATCCACATAACTGTCACACAAACAAGCATAGTGAGAGCAGCCAAAGTCTATTCACTGAGTAACAGGAAAACCACTGCAGCAGCATCTCAGAAGCTTCCATGGAGATGCATGTGTGAGTATTTGTGAGGGGGGTTGGAAGTATCACTAGACAGATTCTGATCCAGTGCTGAAGTAATCCGGTAAATCAGAGGTGGTCTGTAAACTGCCCTGACCCCTGCGCTCCTGCGCTGCTGTGTTTACGCTGGATCCACCGGCATTAAACACAAGTCACATATTTCTAAGGTTAGGATCCTCCCAGCTCACCCAGGAACATGAAATTGTGCGCTACCCATCAGCCGGGATCAATCAACTCGCTGCCTGTTTGGACCAGCTCCATATGTGCGTCTGAATGATATCACAGGGAGATTAGTTTCTCAAAAGTCTCAAACAATAGTCCACCTCCAAGAAAACCTGATTGTTTTAAAGATAAACTGCCAAACTGACTCTGCAGCAGATGATGAATTAAGCACATCTTTCATTGGAGTAAAAACAACCATGGGACAATTTGATTTGATCATGTCAGAGTTCTCTGTTGAAAGATTTTCTGAAGTAAAAACTACTGGAGATTTATTTGCAACAAAAGTTCTCAATTTATACAGCATCCACTTTGTGGGTTCTGAAAAATCCTGAATACTAAGTTAAAAATCCCAGAAATCACTCCTTTTTGTTTTGGGCCCCATTGTTTAGGAACTAAACATGGAACTTAAAGTCTTTCAATGCGTGTTTAAGTATGAAATTAATTATCATGACTTAAGTAACATGCAAATTGTCGATTTTTGTCACAGGAGTTTTTTGAAAAGCCAAGTCTTGATAAAGAAATCTTGAACAGCAACTGTTATACGGTCATTCTGGAGGTTGTCAGAAAGTGTTAAATAGAAGTAAATCAAGCTTCGTCAAATATTTACTAAAACAGCTCTAGTTTACAAGTACTACTACAGTGATCCACTTTAACTGCCCTAGAGATAAACAATTATTGAAAACATAGTCCAAAAAGCAGAGAGCTTGTAGAAAACTGCTTTTAAAAAATTTTCTCATGCATCTGTGCTCTTCTTGTTAGGACAAGGTCAGTCAGATTTGGATATTTCACAGCTGCTTGGTATCATCTTCAGAGTCTGGTTGCAGGCAATGCAGGCAACACTGACCCCCTCTGGCTATTCCATGTAGCACATTGAGTATTTCAACAGGTCATTCAGAGGAGACCAAATAAAACCTTTACTAAATCTTTTGGCCATGAATCTCCTCCTGACGTTTATCTTATTTTCAACTTCTAATATTTTAAACATAAAGTAAACTTTTCCAACTCTATTAAACTTTTCAACACCACACCAGTCAACTAAGCAGAGTTGTACAAACAGAGAAGATAAGTCTAAAATACTGACCCACCAGTTTCCACACAACCTCAGTAACCTTCCGAGTGTTTGTGTTGGAGGAGGTGTGCGCACATATCTAGGCATCCGTAAAAACACCCTAGCATGCATTCTTCCATGTTCATGTGTGTCCGAGACAGACACTTTTTTTGTATGTTTGAAAAGACTCATGTGGTCACATCCCTCACTAATGATTGCATGTTGAAGCATTGTATATCCAATATATAACGTCCAATGAGGTGTGAAATGCCGCACATTCCAGTGTTTGGCAAGTCTTAGCTCTGAGAGTTAAACATGGTGAGTGAGTGTGTGTGATCTTTGTATGAGATAAGATCAGATAATGGTAAATTGTGTATGTGTTAGAGAGCAGAGGTGGTCTGAGAAGAGAGATAAGAGTTGTGGTGTCGCTATATTTAACATAATTCTTAACATTTTATTTTGACTTGTATCATTTTATTACTTGTTGAAAACTGGGATGTGCGCAATTAAAAGGAGGAATGCTAGATGTGTTCAATGTGTTCTCAATGATGGAAAATAATCTTATGTTGTATGATTTTTTTTTTTTTTGGTTAAAAAATGTTCAGGGTAGGATATTCTTGATTTACCTTGACTTTTAAATGAGCTGTTTTACTTTTATTTTGACATCAGTAGATATTTTCTCACACTTTTACAGCCTAGATAGTCCTATGTATCTCATACCTTCATGTTTAATTGTATGTCCTGTGGTTGTTTGACTATTGCACAGAAATGTCCTTTTCTTGAACTGTATACATTGAATCAAATTGGACAAAACATCACATAAAACACAAAGTAAAATAGCTGAATTGTAAAATTATGCATCTAGTTAAGTATGATGTCTGTATGTGTGTTACAGAGCTGTGGTTCAGGGGGTCCAGATGGCAGGCATGAGGGGCCCGGCCTGCACTGGAGTCTGGCTCTAGAGTCCACAGGGGCTCCCACTTCAACTGGACACATTCCACAGGTACACATAAACACTCGGCACAGCTACACACAAAGCAAGACACATCCAAGCTGAAGGACCAAAGATGGTCCTGTGACGGTGAAAATGGAAAAAACATGTTTCCCAACCAGAGCACTTCCCTGTTTGAACAGATCAGCAGAAAAGTAGCAATTCTGATAGACTGCGAAAGTTTCCCATAATGACTTTTACTTAAGCCGTGAACATGAAGCACTTATTCATTTAATAACCACTCATGGGCCTATTGGCCATTTACAACAATAAAGTTAGATTTCTTAGAAAGGAAAGTTTCCACTAATGCAGGGAACATTCAAAGCAACAAGCCTATCCTCCACAAGTGAAATGTTGCTGCATAAATGTTCTGCAAAATTTTAACAGGCACCCCAGCTCAGGGGATAGAATCAGCCATGAATTATGCAACACAAAGAGTGGAATGCAAAATCATGTCTACAGCAACACTGACTGCTGTCAGTGAACACAAGACACAACACAAAACCCAACACTGCAAATGACTCTATACTGAGAGCACTTAAGCGATAAAAAACACAAAAGCACAGCAGGTTCTTACCTTGGGCCGCGGTCTAGAGATATCTCGATTCCCGGTGAGTGGGTCACCAACAGAGTAGATGCAATCCGAAAGAAAACACAGCAAACTTTATCTCCGCGTCTGTTTGAGTCGACGTGACTCCACGTGACAAATCCCAAGATGTTGCATTGCATTGTTTTCAATACTTCCAAACGTTGTTGAAAAATTCCCCAGATGCATCGCGATGTGGGTGTTAGTAAACGAAGGAAAAACAGAGAACCACAGGTTATAATTTCCGCGCTTCACACCTGAACAGGCGTGATTGGATGTTTGTGGTCACATGACATCATTAATTATATGTGGCAAAATTATACTGCGCCTCATTACCGACGTGATATATGCCGGAAAACTTCTTTTTTATTTTATTTCTTGTGCAGAACCCACTGAGCATTTTTTGGTCTAAAAGAGGTCTAATAGACTAAATGTAACCTAGACGACTGGTCTAAAATCAGGCTACCACAGGTCTAAAAATGAAAGTTTTTTAGACATCTAAATTTTGACCAAGTCTAAATCTGGGCTATAAACTACACTGTATTTTGCTCAGTGACTATCATGAGTATTTTGGTTAAGTACTTGGAGATCAGTTATGCAACTCACAGTTGCTTTTTGAAATAAATAGTTATCGAATAGTGGGCTAAAGTGCAATGTCTAAATTCATCTAAAAATTTAGAGAAGCTAAATGCATGAAATTGGGTCTAAAAAAGCTAGATGTCTAATTGCCGTCTATTGCTCAGTGAGAAGGGTCAAAGCTAAACAGCCAATCTATTCTAAGTATAAAGATTTAAATTGATGTTTAGCATACATTTATTTTGAAGTGAATTGTATTTTTCTATTCTTTTAGCAATAGAAAAGCAGATCTGTATTTCACTACAAGTAACAGTTATCACTGAGAAGTTTAAAGATTCAGGATTCAGGTTGTGGACAACATTGAAAATAGTTTTCTGTAATGCAAACAGCTCAAGCATTTGGCTGTTCTTGCTGCTACCTGTTGGTAGAGGATGTTTCACCTTAATATGGTTTTGTATAGGAGGCATGTTTTTGTTGTAGCCCATTTAAGCCATCCACAACATTTCAGAGAGGAGATGGATAAATATTTGGAGAAGTATTTCTAAATATATGAATGCCAGGCCTTTGGTCACACAACAGAGCCAAGGTTAGCCCCCAACTCTGCATCCATCTATCTGCCTTTTTGTCCATGTCTTAGTTGACTGTCGCCCATACCACTGGCTAAGTGCTTGACTGGTCAACTTTTCATTTAGGTTGTGAAACCCTCAGTATTTACCTAGCATACATGACATAATCTTGACTGCTTTTTTCTTGTGTTTCCTTTTGGCCTCAGGACGTGTGCCCATGAGGTCGTCACCACTGGTTCTGCTCCTCCTGATCGGCGTCCAGGCTGTACTGAACATGTCAGGTGGATTGGCCTGGAGCGCCGGGGCAGCCAACCACAGAGTAGGGCAGCAGACGGCAGCCAATCACAGAGCAGGACAGCAGCAGACAGCAGCAGAGGACCACATTTCTGTACACCATTCTTCACAGGAGCATCGAAGGACCAGCCACCACAGGACCAAGAGGGCCCATCGGGCAGCTTCTCACACCCAAGACAGGAGCCCTGTTGTTGGGCATTCGACATCAGATTCCTCCCCTGACCCCTCCATTCCAGTGGTGGACCCCAAGCTGTTCTCTAAAAGGCGTTACCGCTCTTCACCTCGAGTTGTCTTTAGTGAGGAGACCCCATCTCATGACGCCCTTGAGGGTGAGGGCTATGACATTGAGGGGGTGAGGGGGATAAGGGTGAGGCGCAGGGCAGGCTCACACACCATGCACCGAGGAGAGTACTCAGTGTGTGACAGCATAAACACCTGGGTGGGCAACCTGACAAAAGCCACGGACATAGCTGGGAACGAGGTGACAGTACTGCCCAATGTTACAATCAACAATGTGGTGAAGAAACAGTTCTTCTATGAGACCACCTGCCGCTCCCCCACTCACAGAGGCTCTGGGACTGTAAACGGAGGGAGGCCAGGGGGACGGGGTGGAAAACAGGGCTCCAAATCAGGCAACTCAGGCTGTCTTGGCATCGACAGTCGCCACTGGAACTCCTACTGCACCAACACACACATATTTGTGAGCGCTCTGACCATCTACAAGGAACGGACAGCCTGGCGTTTCATCCGCATTAACGCTGCATGTGTGTGCGTTCTCAGCCGGAAGTCTTGGGCGGGACGACTGGGGCACTGACCCCTGACCACTGAACTCTGAATCCAGCACACACATTTCTACTTAACAGCCACTGCAGCTTTATTGCCAATACTGTAACCCCCCTCCCCCACTTCAAACATACATACTGACCATAGCACTCAATCCACACATATTCATACACTCAAACAGCTCCATCAATCCAACCCCCTGGCCCCCCTGACCCTACCTCAGTCCGAGAAGTCCTGGTTGTTTTAAGTTATGAGGACTGCATGTAATATTTATGGTTTATACAGTCAAATATGAAAATATATACAGTATGTGTATATATACAAATGAATTCAAGCTTTTAATGTTGTCGTTCTCATTGTTGTTGTGTTGTTCATGCTGTTATTTATTAAACACCTCAGTACTTGCCTGTTTTTTGTGTCAGTTTGAGACAGCATTGCTGTTCACATTTTGGTATCAAAGATGACAATCAAAACACTTAAAAGTTAGATTAATGATCGCTTTATGTCATTAATATTTGAAATTAGAAATATAAAAAAGCAATACGATCAACAGCGACCTATTATTGGGGTCAAATTTCCTGGAGTGGTGATTCGGGATGAAAAAAAAGAGGTCCAAGTGGGTTCAAAAGTTTAATTTAACACATCACAGGAAAGTTATAATATTAAAAAATAGAGAAAAACTTTAATTATTTTTACGGCAAATGTCATTGATCCCTATCTTACTTTGTTATTTATACCTGTGGCTGCCACTCTTGTTCCTTTTTGTATTGTAGGAATTTTCCATGACAGAAGGGGACAGAAGCAAAGGGTTGACTTCAGACAAGCGCAGCACAGACGGTCCAACCATTCTTCCCATACCCTAACACCCACAGGCCAGGCTCTCCCCTGAGAAGTGGAATGTTGTTAAGACCAAGCAGGCCTAAAAGTACAGTTACTAAGCTAACATCTACCCCCCACACTGATTTCAGACACTAAAAATTGAAATAAAAGATCATCGATCATGTTGCTGATGGTCTTGTTTATTTCTGTAAATCAGCTGTCAAAGAAGGGATATGAGGCCTCAGTCTATTTTGCTTTCACTGGCTGGTGTTTCACTTCCACAGACTGCAGCTTATCGATTTCAATCTCAGTAATTCACACATTATATAAAGACAAACTTGTTATCTTCACCAACAGCCACATTTTCTGTTAAAATTTTGTTAAAACACACAGCCCTCTTGTGATAAATAGAAAAACTCTTCCCTGAAAAATGTTAGTGCCAAGTCAGTCAAGGAGGGAAAGAAATAAACCTCTGTCTAGCTCTTCCTTTCTTCTCTTTCAGTTTAAGTTTAATTCTTCATCTAGCATGAAATCATCATCCTCATCATCATCTTCATCCCTGAATGCTCTGACCTTCAGTACTTCTGCTTTTGCAGCCTCAAAGTTTATTCACAGTACTATTCAGCTCTGGATGTGTTGCCAGGAAACCTTGTTACAGCAAGGCCACAAGCTCAAAGGTTTTTCAAGTTGTGACAGCGGTGTGGTTTATTCACTTGTTCACAACTGCTTTTAGATTTATTTATTTATTTATTTTTGCAGTTACTTTAAAGATTAAAAAAAAAAGAAAATAGCCTGCTTATTGATAAAAAGTGAGACGCCTTAACAGACTTAGCAGACTTCTGGATTGGAAAAGAGGCCGACTGCATTCATTCTTCTCTTAATTCATTCGATTTCTCATCACAGCTGGTCAAACATGAATCATTTATACACAAATGAAATACTCAAAAATTGCTGTCAGTGAGCGTTCCTACAATACCGCTTACTTTTATGCATAGCTGTTTGTTTGACATGAATCCAGAGCCTTGCTGCACTGATGTGAACCCTCCCTTGAAATAAATCAATGCAGGTTTACAGAGTTACCAGTAGGTGGTGCTCTGCTGCTACAGATGCAAGTCTCTTTTACTGCTAATTCCTGGACAATTTGATGTCTTAACTAGCATTGGCATATTAAGTAAACAGATAACTCATGCAGTTATCAAAAGTTAAAATAGCTTTATAATCCTGCAGAGTTTTGGTTTACTTTTGTATTCTTTCACTTCTTGACTCTCACATCCTGCCGATTTCCCAGGCTGTCATCAACAGTGACCTCAGAGCTGAAGAAAAGAGCCAGGCCCTGACCCAAGCATGGGTGTAGCATAATAACAGCTATTACTGATCCCACCTAGTCAAAACACAAGAAGAGAAAAACAAGGACTCTGCCCTTATTTTGAACAATCGTGTCAACAAAGCCGTTAATTATTTCAGATTTGAATGGTTTCGGTGAAGATAATGCCCCTCAGATGAATCTGTTCAGTATCACTCTGGGGTTGTGAGTTAATGACCTGCGTGTGTTATTCTTGTTCAAATATTTGGATCCTCAGCTGAGCCTCAACATTCCCTGATAACCAAAGAGTAGGGACACAGTGGCCTTTTCCCACTCTTATCAGCCTTTCCCCTTTTGGTACTGCTCTGGTTAGCGTCCAAACTAAACTTTGCAAACATTTGCTTCTTTCTATTCTTAACTTCTACTTTATAAGTGCCACAGCAAAAAGTCTACTGCTTTGAGAGTTTTTAACCACATTGGTTTGGAGACGAGCGCAGCATATTGGTGATTATTTAAATTAGTTTGACCCCTGAGCATTTGTTCTGGCAGCCCTCTCCCTTTCTCGCCATCTTGTCATTCCTGTCTGACTCCCTTTCAGCCTCCAGCAGGGAAGACTGTTTGCTCCTCTATAAGGACATTTTCTAACCAGGGCTCAAATTCCTAGTGATAAAATAAAATGTTCTTTGGAAATGTGCCTTACTCTCAATGATTGTGTGGAAAATATTTTGCTTAACATGCTGCTGCTGCTGAGTTTTATGCTCCCGGTCAACTAAAACAGACCAGTTGTAAGCCAATACTAGTTGTAAATATGTCCTGTTTGGCCCTTGCAAATGCACCAAATAGGTTTTGACAGTGCATTTGGAAAACAAGTCATTCTTGGTCTTAATTCAAATATATGAACACTGTAGTGAACTTTTTTTTTGCCCAGTAATCAGAGAGAAAGCTGCACAAGTAACAACCAAGCAACAATTACAATACAAAAATAATCGGTTCCAACTCAAGCTGTGTTTTTAGTGTGACATTAACATAAAAAAGCCCTTTTAGTTTAAGGAAACTATGACATGTGTCCTTTTCTGGAGATTCTATCATCTGAGTTTCATCACAACCTGTCAGACTGAGCTGAACAAGGCGGACAGCAGATGAAAAACATTCAACCCATCACTTAAGGGTTATATTAGTACCATGGGGAGACAAATAAGAGAAGCAGACACGATCCTTGTTTCCACTTTATCATTGTAAAGATCTAGCTCCAACAGAAACCTTGAAGGAACCTCCTTTTCTTGTTTGTTAACACTCTCATTCCAGCTAACAGTAGATTGCTGAGACTACTTGAATTCTCAGGAAAAGTTTGAGGAAGGGTGTTGTTCTGACAGTTAAGAAACCATCATGATCTTGTAAAAGGAAGTTGGGTTAACCGTTATCTTAAGATCACATCATTTATATATTTTTTAGCTTTTAACTCTCAGACTTTAAAAAAAGAGTGTGTTCTATGGTATGTTCAATAAGGCTTTTGTAAGTGTGTTAAAGCACCATGATAAAAGAAATACATTCTTACAAGAGAACATTTAGGAGCGAAGACTGGATAAATAAAAACAGCTAAAAGTCAATTTCAATATATAATAAGAGCTATAAAATACAAGAGTGGAAAGATATATATAACATAATAGTTATTTAGATGCTCTACTCTGAGTGATAAACATGATGAGGTTTATTGCAGTAAGATTGCATGAAGATGTAGCTGCTAGGTATAAATCTATTTATGTTTACTTTCTCTGCCAATGTGTGAGTGAATGCAGGAGCGAATTCTCTTCAGGGCATGTGATCAAAACTGGCACAGCTCCTGTATCTTACATAAGGGATTAACTACACACTTGGTCACTTGTACCTAAACAGCCTGTTTATTGTTGATCTATAACACGAGCGTATAGATGTAATGATTCGATGTGTTCCCGTTACAGGACGTAAACCACAGTATTGGATTAAAAGCAACTACATTTGAAGAAATAAAAGAACTGTTATGGCCTCATCACCACATTTTTTTACCATTGTACTGTTAACTATTACTATTATTGTTGATGTTATTTACTGTAAAGGAGATTGGGATATTATGAAATTATTATAATTACCACTTGAATTGAAATTAAGATGTATGATGTCAGCAACACAATTATAACTCTTCATAGGCTCTGATTGCAAAGTACACACCAAAGAGTTAATGCATAATTACCACATTGTCAAATGGACAGTTATAAAATTTTCTATTATTTTTATTATTATTATTATTGTCATTATTTTTTACAGGCTTTTCTGTCTAAGTACCAGAGTAAGCCATTCAGTGCTCAACTTGTTGATTAAAAAGATAGAATCAATGGAGGTTTAAAGGTGAAGGGTGACTAGAACAAGATCACAAGGACTTCAACACGTCGACCAAACATTTGCCAAGTCCCCATCGTGTAGTCACAGCCCTCCTTTTGGCCCCCCTCTTTATTATTGAAAGGGGCGGTCTGGAAAGAGTTTAAGCGGATCCTGTCGGCGTTTGTGCGCGCGGGCGTGCGTGTGAAAGAGAGAGAGAGAGAAAGAGAGAGAGAGAGAGAGAGAGAGAGAGAGAGAGAGAGAGACTCTTGATGCACAAGTGTTGTGACCGGGCTGAACCGTTATTGTCACAGTGAGAGGAGCAAACACAAGCGCCAGAGCAACATTTAAGCTTGATTTAAGGGCGAAACACACACTCACTCACTCACTCAGCCGAAATGGGAAAGGTGGAAGGAGGAATGAAATGCGTGAAATACCTCCTCTTCGTGTTCAACTTCATATTCTGGGTAAGTGCGTGTTCGCTTTGTGCTTTTTTTGTGTGATGCGAGCTGTGCGTAAATTCTGAACAAGTGCAGCAGCAGTCCAGACTAGACTACTCAGTCCACACAGCTGACCTCCACACCCACGTGTTAGGCTATTTAAATAAAGATGCGAGCATTGTTTACAGTTTTCGCATTCATGCTGTTTTTCTAACTCTCGTGTGCTTTATTTACCTACCGGCGTGGGTTTACTTACTGTGCGTGGCGCGGAAAGGGTGACAGCTAGAGGCTTTTTTTTTTTGTACTTACTCTTGGCTCACCGGGCTCAAATCAGATTTTCCACAGAGGAAAAAACCCGCCCCTTTATCCAGAGGAAGCGTGTTTTTGAAAGGAAGACTGAATGAAAAGACAGAGAGAGGGAGAAGGATTGAGAGACAGAGAGGAAAACAAGCTCAACAGTTGCACCACAGAGTTTCATTAACAAATTCTGATTGGCGAAATAGTCCTTTATGGCGCCTGATCCAAAAACTGCTTCCTAGTTTAAGCTGTAGGACCCTCAGTCCAGAGATAAACTGTCAGGTGGATGTGAAAGGTGTGTTTCTGTGTGAGTCCTGTGCACATATGAGCTGCATTTCCCTTCCAGACATCTCTGTTTATGCTTACTATATTCATCCTCCCTTTAATTTACAGTATACTAGGTTGATAACCTTTATGTGTGTGTTTTGGTTTATGTGTACCACAGCATACTCCTTAAAGGGGAGGTTCCTTTGTGTATATGAGTGTGTGTGTGAGAGAGAGAGAGAGAGATTTTCCAACAAGCATCTGTGGAGTGGATCAGGCGCTGAGTGCAGCGTGAATGGATCCTTTGTGACAGCAGGACAATAGCATAACTTCAGTCTACTGCTCCTGCTCCTGCTAAGCAGCAGAGCCCTGCAGGGTCCCCTGAATGTAGCAGCAGCCCCACCAGACCCCCTCTATTAAGCTGTCACATCTCCATTTAGCACGAACGAGTTTGTGGTTGAGATCTTTCTGGAGTATGATGAGACAGAGGGTTGAAGAGAGACATGAAAGACAGGTGGACAGAAGTGGACAACGAGTACTGGACAGAAAAGAGTGAATGGTCAGTGAGAGAGAGAGGAGAGCAAATGTGATTGGAGGGAAAAGGGTCATTGGGAGATTGAGAGGGATATTTATGTGCGTGGGAGTGTGCGTGTGTGATCACATGGCAAAAGAGGGACAGTTGGCATGAACTCGACCCAGATACAGAGAAAATAGATCAGTATGCGGATAGTAGGATATTTGTTGGATGTGTTAATCAGGACCACAGAAACGGCTGCTCCTCATGTCTGATGCCTCGAAGGTCTTTACATTTCACTAACTCTGTCTCCAATGACTAAGCGCCCCTCTTACCCTCCAATTTTTAATAACAGCCCTCTGGAGAGAGGAATTTGCCCTCAAATCCCCCTATGAGTAAAGCAGATGGGATCTACAGGACATGCTGACACACATCAACAAAAATGAGGTTGATTTTTAACCTGATGATCAAGAGTGTAGCACACTTATCTAACAAGCCTCACTGAACTTAACATGATCATCATTATCTCGACTTTATATCACACAGTGAAGGCTAAAAACAAAGAAAGCCTGTATCAGTAAATCAATAACTCCCTGTTTAATCTAGTTTCGCTTGTGTTGTGATCTCTGAATGCTCTGTTCGGTCAAACATTAAACCGTGTGGAGAGAAAATTGAGTCAAAGTGAAGTGCTTGAAAGGTGATGTACAAAGTATCTGTTTAACAAACTGAATGAGCTTTATATGTTCACTCAGATTCATCAGATAATATGAATAATTGGACCCATTTTAGGAGTGACAGACAAGAAATTTGGTAGTATTGTGAATTTTATGACATAAAACCATATCTTTTTTTCTCTTTATTTCGAAAAACAGATTTTGTTGGATTGTTGTCAGATTTTCGGAAAATCCCAGGACTCTTTCATTGTATCTGCGGATCAGATTTGCAACTTTAGCTATCGCTACTTCTGCCTATTTTAAAATGTACTTTTAATATGAGCAAAGTTTTACTGCCTCCTTTAAATCATACTTTTCATCATCCTGCACATCTCATTTTAACTATTTTATTCAAGGGTATTTGTCCTAAATTATGTTTCATAAATCTAAATAAATACTGAGTTTTTAGGGTGTCATTTTAGTTGAGTACTTCAATCATGCTCCGACTGTAGGCTGTAATCTTCAAAGTGATCTTCAGCTCATGCCCTTTACTCTATCTTCTGTCCAGTCACTCAAATAAAAGCATTAAAAAGCCCCCAAAACATCCTTTTACCAACATGGGCATCACCATGCAGTACAATCTGACAGTTATTTAGAAATTATATTGGTAAAGTGATTCTGAATTGGATGTTGAACTTCATGCTGCTGTAAATTGGTGAAACGTATTAGCTGATTTGCCCCACAGGTATGGGGACAAAAAAATAAAAGAGAAAAGGAAGGAAGGGAGGGATGGAGGGAGAGGAGAAGTGCCTATAAAGAGTAATCCTGCCCGTGATAACTTATATAGAATAACTCACAAATGATCCTAATAAAAGTACCAAAGCAGATCAGTTTGAATAATCTCAAGAATATTAGTGGAGAAACTTGTAAATAAAGGCGTCCACCAGGGCAGCATCCCAGATCCCTTTATTTTTGTGCAGAATACAAGTGATATGTGTGGTTTTGAATTACTTTATGATTATGAATATGCTGCATTATTGAGTTTTTTTACATTAGATTGTGAGAAAACTAAAAGATATGTAACAGTTCATTTCAAAACAGGTTTCTACTGTTTGCTTTTAGTAAATTAAGTCCTTGGACGGTCTTCATTGTTTGTACTGTTTTTGACTGAGAGACTTTTTTGAAACTTCTTAGTGCAAGTCTGTTGCAGGACAGCTTCAATAAGGCCTGAGTATCTGGAAAGGTGACTTGTAAATGATGTATATAATAAATGTATTATCTGTTTTTTTTTTAAGGAATCCAACTCTAAATCTATTAACAACTGTAGTTCAGAGAGGACATCTTTTGTTTTGCAGATCTCTACTAACGTATTTGGATTTTAAAATCAAAACAGGTTCAAAATATCCCGTCATGATTCATCTGTGAAAACACACTTGTCTCTTCTGGATGATATATGCACCACCAGCTCCCCCACTTAACCCTGTGACGAGCACAAAAGGATTTACTCCACCCATGACTGTCTCCCTCCTATTTACACTTTCTCTGTGCCCGTCACTTCTAATGTGTGCTTGCATCTGTTTTTCCAAACGTACACCAGACAGACGACTATTTTTGAAAGCCTGAATCATGCACCATTTACTGCTGAATTTAAAGAAGTAATTTATAATTGTTTTATTTTGATTTAAATGAAGACTATTTTTTTCCCTCAAAACGTGGAGAGTGGATTATGCCACAGACTGTCTCTGACCATGACCACAGCTTTGTGTCATCTCAGTCTCTCTCCTCATGGAAATTCCCCCTCACAAAAACACTTTTTAACTGCACTCTTAAAAGCACACTGTAAAAGAGCTTCCAAGAAGCTTTCATGGAGAGATTTCCATCCTCATGGAGAAATATCCAGACATGCTAACTCTAGGATGACAACAAGTGCAGTGGGGGTGGGTTATTGTCACTTTTGTCTTTCTTTAGAGAAATACAGGCATACATGTGGGATTCTTTACTTTCCCTCCAGGCAAGATGCAAGAGATCCTCTTACAACTTCTTTCATTCCCCCTTTGGTTGTCTCTGCCTCCTTCCCTTCTATTGTGCACCACAGCGTATAGTCACAGAGGGACACAGTGGGTCTTTGTCCTTTGGGTGAGGTTGGTGGGGAAGGGGGGTGTAAAACGAGGTGGGGTAAAGGATGGGGGAAAACATAGGGATAAGTCGAGGGGGGCTTTTTGTGGGGTAGAGGGGCTCGGAGGAGGGGGTGTGTGTCTGCTGTGGGACGGGGTAATGGTGGCAGAGGGAGGAAAAAAGAAGGAGGTATGCACCCAGTGAGGTTTATGCGACCTTTGGGTTCATCAGGCTGATGAGTGATAGAGTGGAGGATGATCTTAAAACAGCCTCGTACTGAGGTGTCCTTCAACATGAGCATGATTGTGATGAGGTTTGGTTGAGCTCTGAGGCGAACACCTGCTCCTCCAATGTCCTGACAATGTCCTTTTGCAACACATAGCACAAGGGGACACTCACCAGTCTAAATGAGGTAACAGCTGTTATCAGCTGTATCTACATTATAATCTTATAGATATGATTATCAATAATTTTATATATAATCTTTGGCACTAATACAGTCTGCATTATAGCTCTCATAAGCAACTTTCGGTTTGTGACAATTTTGGCATCCTCTGTGGACAAAGCAGTCTCAGCTTGTCTTGTCTTTTATATGTTTAAGGAATTGATTCATGTACAGTACATGTTAGCATTTACTATAAAGGCATGTTTGTTTTAGCAGACTTGTGCTTTGGAAAATAGACTGTTGGAAGGGATACTGGTCTTGAACGCACCTCTGCAGACCAACTGTATTCATACACTTGCACACGCCACTTTGTCCGTAGGAGTCACCACATTAGTCCAAACTGAAAGTTCTTCTCGGGGCGTGTTTAAGCCTTTGTTGTTGACTCTAAGTTGCAGCTAACCCACAGTGGTAAACACTTTTCTGTGTGGCTCAACAGTCCTCTTCCTGAACACTAACTGGTAACAGGATTTCTATGTTGGTAATATCTCCATTTGCTGCTTTCTCTATTGTCTCCGCTTGTCTGTGGATCCAAGTGTATCATGATGAAGTGTGAGTTGATGATATTGAGCAGCAGTTGATCGTACTTCAATTATTGAAAAATAAAGGAGAGATGCCAAAGGAGAAGGAATATACAGATACTGAATACAAGACAGCAGCAATATACCAGAAATGTTGTAAATGCAGGAAATGCAACAAGACTCAGCAAACTAATCACAGGACAGGACAGGTGGTCAGTGTTGTTTCAAAATTTAGGTGCTGTGTGAACCTATGCTTCGTCATAAATTCAACTCAAAAGTGTATAAACCAGGCTGAAGGACTGTTAAGGAAAAGAAAATGTCATAAATTGACAGGGACAAGGCAGAAAAATGCAATCAGATAAAGTGCAGATTCATGCAAACTTGTTTTCCTAGTTTTACTTCACTGTCATTAGAAATGTAAAATTTAAGGACAACGACGTTAGCTTAATATAAAGGGATATTCCGGACTACAGTTGGGTGATGCAGCTCAAGGAAGAACATTTATGATCATTTCTTCATGGAAATGCAATCAGACTGAGACGCTAAGGCAGAAGAACTACTGCGTCTGCAGTGCAAAATGATTGATATGATGATTATTACTTTAAGGAAATGATAAAGTAATGATCATAAATGTTCTTCATTGAGCTGCGTCACCCCGCAGTAGTCCGTAATGGACTGGCTTGAGGTCTCACTACAAACAAGCGGCTGCTGGAAGAGAGTAGGTGAGTTGTGTTTAGTCTCTTTGCTAAAGAAATTAGGCAAAGTTAAAAAGATGTTTGTTGGCTAGTACTATGGCTAGGTCCCTATATGTACTGTTGATGAAGTTAGGTGCTGTTCTGAGCATTATTTGTGGCTATAGAGTGGCTTTTTGGTTGCAGTTTGTTTATGGCTCCTCAGATCACTGTGTATTGCTATCCTGCGGTCATCACTGAAGTTGGTATAACTAGAAAAGCAAGCGGTTGGCAACATTCATCTCTCGACAGGGTGTCTAACTCTGTGTTACAATGTATTTTACTCTAAATTAATTTTACCCCAGAATATCCCTTTAAGGCGTCTGTTTGCCATTACTTTCAAGGCGGCTCAAACTGTGATGGCATGTAATGAACAACAGTATTTTTAACAGAAATATAATTTATTCAGATTAATAAAATCATGTCTTCATCAAGATTTGGTTTATTTGGTATGAAGTCCTGTAATTATCAGGATAAGACCTGATTTGGGGTTTTTCACACAGTTCAGTTGGCAGCATCCCAACTTTACACCCCCATAAAGATTACCGCACCATCAGGTGTTCAGACAAATACCAGTGTTAAATAAATCCAGAACTCCTCTCCACTCTAATCCAGCCTGGGTCAGTAAGTCTACACACCCACAGACCTTACTCCACCATGCTTTATCACTTTGGACCTGCTAATCCCGCTACCCAGAGAGCTCAGCTGTCCCATACATCACTACCCATGACACTAAATCCTCAGTTTGAGAGGAAGCCGCCTTTCCAACACCTGTCCTACTCCAATGCTTTACAACTGAACAACTGGCTTTACTTCAGAACAGCTCAATAAAATACAACCTGGAGCGGGAGTGCAGACAGTGAGGATGAGGATGAAATACGGAGGATGAAGTATGAAAGAGAGATTGCAGAACCAGAAAAGGGCAGATTTAGTAGACACAAAGTCACAAAGTAAGATGAAGATACAGACATGGAACAGTTTGTTTGTGTCAGACTTTGGCAGTGCGTTTTTTTACTCTAAGTTAATTTGCCAGATAAAGCTTAAAGGCACAGAAACAAACAGTCACGCTGAAAACAGGCTAAATTCTCAGATCTAGGACACAGAGACCATGTGACTGTAAAATACTCTCCAGTCAGTCAAATCATTTTATGTGTCCGTGCGCATACACACACATGAACGGGGTGTTGTTGTTTTCAGGCTCAGCTCAGAAGGTTTTTAGGCTGGATTATCCTCAGGGGGGCAGGCTCAGTGATCATTAAAACCACTCAGTATTGATCTGTCACAGGAGCATCCTCCGCAGTCTCTGTCCTTGAGAGCATCTCGGATCAGATTCCTGGAAAAAAACGAACTCTGAAGTCCTCTGAGCCTGGTGCAAATAAAAGTTTTTGTTCAAAAGCAAAGGGCCTTAGAGTAAGTATGATTTCACTTGATGTGTAATGATGGTGGTCTAGATGAGGGAAAATTTGAGCAACCACATTTCCAAACAAACAGGAGAGCCTGTTAGAGCTCAAGGTGCCACATTTCTGTCCACAGCCAAGATGGTCGTTTCACCCAAACTGTGAAGCCAGAAACTAAAATGAGGTGTTAGCAAGCTACACGAGTTACACTGATGGGAATTATTGTTGTTTGGACATGGACAGTCCACACTTGATGTAGACAAAAGTATAACTCTTGGTGAAAGTCTGCCTCTCTGCCCGAATACAAAGGGTGGAGGACCAGAGTGGAAACTTCACCGCACAGTTTGCTTTATTTATGTGGAAAATCACATCTTCAGGGTAGCAAAAAGCACAACCCCTCTGACGGCCCGAACAACATTTGCTGACATTGTCGTGCTGTAGATGAAAAACAGCGTTTGTTTGCGTGTGTGTGATCAATAGTGGAGTCAATAAATACCATTGATGTGGGATTCAAAGTGGGATAGAAAAGATAAGTGAGACAAGAAAACTGATTTTCATATTCATGATTACTGACCATGTTTGTCAAAACAAAAAACCATCTGCAGTTAGTTTTGGTTATAACCGGAGAGAAAGGAGCAGGAGTCGAGTTTACAGTCAGTTTTTATTAGGGTTTGGTCAGAGGAAAAGCCTGCATACACGAGTCCTCACAGAGTAAAACAAGGATCCTTTATTTGTTGGGTTTCTTTTTCAATGTGTTTATAATAACTGGTTTTACCAACACAAGTCTGTTTATCCCTTTTTATAGTTGATGGGGTCCTTTGTTCTGGCTGTGGGACTGTGGCTGCGTTTTGATCCAGAAACTGTGTCTCTGCTCAACGGTGACAAGGCTCCAGACACTTTCTTCATCGGTGAGTACAAAATCACTCCCCAAATAGACACTTTAATTTCTCTTTCTTCAATATTATTATGACTTCAGGGAACATAAATTGCAATACTTAGACTAGAGCTGTCAGGATATCAGATTTTCACCAAGTGTCAACCTCTGATCTTGAGAAATGAAGCCATTGAGGGAGTGCTAATAGCTTTAGGCTATCTATTCAAAAACGTCCACTTTTGGTATTAAAGTTAAAAGTTTTGCCTAATTCAAAGCACACTGCAGCTGTTAGTGAGGAAGCTAAAGGCCTGATTCAATCCCTTTTTAATGTGTCTTGCTAGTTTGGCTGAAAGTCGGGCCGAGTCAGTATTTCCATTATCTTAATAGGCTTCAAAACTCAGCTTCAGAATGTCACAGAGACTTTGTTGCGTTGGCCAAAATAAGAGTCACAGTAATGATATAATTGTGATATTAAAAGAAAATGTTTGGGTCCAAGCTTTTTATGATGTTCAAAGTTAGTCTCTGCGACAGAAACTTACATCAGCTCAGGAAACTTTTTTGGGGTGCTGGCAGAGTACCTCATTTTTCATCTTTTATTTCCTCCGACATTATTTACTGGACGAGAAGTCTAGTTTGCTTGATTTTTGCGTCTTCTTCTGCTGCTCTTAATTTATGCAATTATTTAGCACAATATCAATGTTGCAATTATTATAAAATGATCATCAGTACCAGTATATTATAACAAACCCTAGCTCAGACTTGAGTAGTGGTTCCAAATAGAAGTCTGGTTAATGGGCGCCAACAACCCAACCAATGTGCAGAGGATGCGGTCCTTGGAGCAGGTGGCCCTTGATTGATTGAAACCATTGATTGCTGTAACAAAAATGACACTTTTTGCTGTCACTGCTTTGTGTCTGTGCTTCAGACCACTTCAATGAGGTCATTGAAAGTTTATTTTCCTGTTTGAAGTTTGCATTCTTACTCTCTTTGACTTTTAATAAGTCTGGTTTGATATTCCTGCGCTGGGATTCCTCTCCAACGCTGCAGAGATAAACCCTTAAACCCCAAATATAACTGCGACAAGCACATGGGCTCATGGTTTTGTGATTATTAGGCTCGTGTGTGCCTTCACACCGGAGATGAGTGTGAATAACAGGAAATGACTGCAGTACATTGAGCATAAATGCACAAGGGAAACCACAGGGCTGCTAACCACCTTTCACTTAGGCTGTCATCCTGCCCAGATGGAAAGAAAGAGGAGATGAAAGGATGAAGAGGACTAAGTGTGTGGACAGAAAAAAATTTACATCGAAGACAATGAGCACAATCAAACTGTTGGCAATCTATGTGTTGAAATATTCACATGTTTATAGAAAAAGGAGAAATGGGATGTTAAATAAAAGTTTCATAGTGTCTCATGTCAGTCTTTCCTTCTCCCACTCTGTGCCAGTCAGCTAAATGTCTGTTTTTTAAACAGTCTCCAGACTAAACTATCCTTCCCCTGAGTGGTGCCTTCGCTGCTTCTCTTACTGTAACTGACAAGGTGGTGTAATTGCAGACGAGGCGTTGCATTTTTCTGACTAAAGCCTAAATCTGGTATTTCACCACTTTCTCTTGACATGTCTGTAACCTTAGATTTGTGAAATCCTCACGGAGGTTACAAACCTTTGGCCTGTTTTATATCATAGTGTGTAAAGAGACAAACAAGTTCAAGTAGAGAGCAGGTAAAAGTGGATAAATGGGTATAACTCTTGTAGATCCTCCATGTTACCAAATTAAGAACCGAGAAACATGTCATTGTTGATTTTTTGTTTCACTTGGGACAAAAACAATCATATCCTAGATGTTGGAGAAATATCAAGCTTGTGGTTACTTTACAGACACAACCTTGTTTCTGTGTCTGAGGAGACACTGAGATTTATTGTCCACACGGTTTGACTCAGGGCGGGTGGCTTCTGTCAGGTCCTCTGAGAGATCGGTGCCACACATGTCTTTGACAGTGAGAGTTTCGTCCCCAAAGATACGACAGAAGGTGCCCAACAGTTGTCATGCTTTACTCCCATGGCGCAATTTTCACTCTAAACTTCTCTCGTCTTTGTTCCTCTAGAGATTTGTGTGATTAAAAAAAAAAGGACAACCTCTGACCGAGATCCAAAGTAAGAAACAGGAGCCCCACTGAGTTGGAAGCAGCATCTCTCTCTAGCATACTGATTGAAGAGTCTAACATCTTAAGCAAAACCTGACTCTGTTACTGAATCACATCAAGTCCTCCTGTTGGCAAGATCTGTTGAATCTTTTTAAGTGTCGTCATTTCTAGTTCCCAGCTGAGCCCTCCTCAAGGGGACTGAGTTGTCTCTCTGCGGTGTTGCCTAGCAACAGGCTCCACCTGTATGAGTTCACTGAAAGGATAGCGCTGTTGTTTAACTTCCCCCCTCTATGATCTACTTTTCTGATAAGCTTGTTAAAAAAAAGAGATCGGAGAGGACATGAAACATCTCATTAAGAGCTGCTTCTAAACCAGGCGAGCGCTAACTATGCTTTTCATAAGGCATGTTCAATGAGGAGAGGTACTCTGTTCCCAAATTAACATGTCAATGCCCCAACTTCAGCTGTTTACTCGGCTAGTAGCAGAAAAAGTCTAATATGTTCAGTGAACTGTGTGAACTGTGCCTAGAAACCCAGATGAGACTGCTTCTATTTAAATGATAGAAATATGCTGCTCCCTGCTGGTGACCAGGAAAACCAGCTGGAATAAGAGCTGTGGTGGGAAATCAAACTGCAGAGTGTGATGTATGCACACGTTTAGCCTGATTGGTGTAAGTTATGTAGAAGGATAGATATAGCACAGTATTTCATGTAAATGATGTGTTTTTCTCTATTTCTGCAGGTGTGTATATCCTGATAGGAGCTGGCAGTCTGGTGATGTTAGTGGGTTTCTTCGGCTGCTGTGGAGCTGTTCGAGAATCTCAATGCCTCCTTGGTTCAGTAAGTACTCAAAAGTGAAAACTGAAAAATTGAGCTGCTTTGATTTCTGCATTTTAAATAAACCAGTTCAAGCAGTCATGCAGTGATATTTGAAAGAACTGCTCTCTTCTTGGTATCTCTATTCTTTCTCAGTTCTTTGCATGTCTGCTGATCATCTTTGGTGCTGAAGTGGCCGCAGGAGTATTTGGATTCTTAAACAAAGACAAGGTACAGTCATTACTCATCCTCTTGTATAATACAGTGAGTGTGCAAAATCCTGATGCCCTACTTTCACTCACTTTTTCCTCTCTCACACAGATTATTGAAGATGTCCAGACCTTCTACGCAACAACCTACAATGAAAACAATAACAGCACCTTGATCCTTTCATACCAGAAAGTAGTAAGTTGAACTTTGTTCTAAATGCAGAAAAATTAATGTCAAAAGCTTTTTTTTTTTTTTTTTACATACTTCCCTTAAAGGTGGGGTAGTCAGGATCTGAGGAAGTGACAGTTTTTGGGAGAAATCCTGAATGTAAACACTACCCCTCCCAACCAGTTTTCCCCTCAGCTTTCTTTATCTTTATTCTTTATTCATACAGATCCCCATCAGCTGCCACCAGAGTAGCAGCTACTCTTCCTGGGGTCCACAAATAAAACAAACAATACAATACAATACAATACAATACAAAACAATACAATACAATACAATACAATACATAATGCAATAAAACATGCACAGTCTTTCAAAAGGTCGTTCAAGACAATAAAAGTCCAGTAAAAAACTCCTCCTCTCCCCTCCCTCTCTGCTCCAGCAAGCCCCGCCCAGATATAATGCAAATAAATACTTCATATAATTACAAATGGGGCCCAGTTGACGGGAAAGTAAAAAGCATTGGTGCTACTGTAGATGCCACCAGACTACCAGAAAACACAATGTTTGCAGGACTTGTACAACTAGGATAAAGTGACATACTCCAGGACCTGAGTTAAACAGTTTAGTGGCGCTACAACACGCAGCAGGTCCCATTTGACAAGAAACACTGTTACACTTGGCTTACTTTGTTAAAGCGGTTTACCTGTCCAGCAGAAAGATTACAGGGTCCGCAAGATCCCGAAGTGTCCCCCATCATTGTTGACCCGGCTTCTTAGCTCTTGTCCAGGTGGTCTACCTTCTTTTTAAGCGCCCGTTATTCTGCCAGAGTCTCCGGTATTTTCTTCGTTTTCTTGCTTGTGTTGGCAGTCGTGGCTAAAGGAGGATTCAGACAATTTTCTGTACTTTCTGGTTGGTTTCTACTGTCCGATATTGTAGCACGCTAACTTTGTTTGGGCTCGTGAACGGCACGTGCCTCACAACCAATAAAGACCAAGGAGCAACGTCCGCCTCTCAACCAATCAGGTTGGGGGAGGCGGAGAATGGCTTTGTTTAGTGTCAGAAAGAGCACTCAAAAATTTTAAAATGTTGACTTCACAGATATAACAGAACACAGTGATATCGTTAAAATACCAAATGCCATCAATAACTAATAGCTATTGACTATATTAAAAGCTTTTTTGTATATACACCACAAAAAAAAAGATGCTTCTTGAATGGAATCCTGCCTAACCCACCTAAAAGACAACTTGTGTTTTTCTGTCCTCTCTTAGCTGAACTGTTGTGGAACCATAGCGAGCCCCTGTACTGATCCCAAGCCAGATACAAAGGTCTGTCACCACCACTAGACACAGACAGAGATTCATTTCTGCCCCTTTTTGGTAAGACAAACAAATTAAGTGCTGCTCTCCTCCTATCTGTGTTGTGCAGGACTGTGAGACAGGCATCAAGGACTTCTTCAACAGTAAACTCTTTATCATCGGGTATGTGGGCATCGGCATTGCTGGAGTCATGGTGAGTATGAGACTAAGATGAGCTGAAAATACGTGTGTGATTTTTTTGCGAATCAGATCTGTATTATTAAAAATCATTTTTCTCTCTGACAGATTATTGGGATGATCTTCAGTATGGTGCTCTGTTGTGCTATTCGCAACAGCAGAGAGGTCATCTGAGCTGAATCGTTGGCTTCTACCAATAACTACTCCCCAGAGACTGTACAGCCTTCAGATCAAATGTCATCCTCTGTCCAATATCCAATATCCAGTCTGGGTCCAAGAAACCCTAATGGTGCTCAACCCAGCTGTCCTGGCCTTATTTTCCACTGTTCTGTTTGAGTTTTGTCTTTAATCATCTGCCATCAAATCCGTAATGCACACTCAAGAATCTGATCAGTCTCATATCCAGTGAGAGTCAGAATCATTTCTGATGTTTACCTGACAATCTGTCAAATTTTGTTTTTTCCTTTCTGCCGTTTAACAACCACTACAACATGTTTAACCCACATACTGTCACAGTAGTGTCAGTGCTTTCTCACACAGCCTTGACAGTGACCCCAAGGCTGTGGGAAAGTTTAGCCCGAGAGAGAAATCGGAGGTGAAACCAGCTGAGTTTGCTATCTGTGCTCGGAAACCAACACACACACACACACACACACTCATAGACACACAAGCGCAGCAATGTTGTGTCATGTGAAACCACAGCCTTAAAAAAGGTTTTCTGGCGTAGTGAATCATGATTGGTTGAATCAAAGTGGGGTGTCAAGGGAATGGACGGTAAATGTTTCGAAAGTGAATCCCTCATGCACTCATAATCCTGGATGTGTAGTTTACACAACAAGGTAGAAACAGCACAAACAACAAGGACTGTTTTTTTCTATGATTGGATCCCAGTTAGTTTGCTTCTTTTCGAGTTTTAGATAAGAATATTGATAGAAATCCCTTGTCTGGAGGTTAAATATGAAGCTATAGCTGGCAAAGAGTTTGGTAAGCCAAGGTTAGTGTCAAATCTTGTAACAACACAGCACCACTGAAAGCCCTCTGCTGGCTTTAGCTTCAATTTTAGAAAACAAAGACATGAAAGTAACTTCAATGTTCTTGCATTTCTCCCAATAAGACAGTTAGTTTGCATCTTTCACGAAATATCTGACTGTTTCTAATTAAAATTGGGTTTTAGTTCACTTTGAATCTATCAAATTTTATACATTTTGCTGATGTGAAATGTTACAATCTGTATGTAACAGTTTCCTTAAAATGGGAATTCATTCAAAAAGTCATTTAAAAAAATATATATATTAATACATTTGAGAACAGCTACCAGTATTCTGCTGTAATTTTTTGTAATAACTTGGTGAAAACATGCCAGATACCTCGCTATACTCCTTCTCTTTTTTAATTGTCGCGCTGAATGTTATATAAAAAAACAGAAAACCCTTTTGTCAGGGAGGAAGTTTTCTTGTTTGGTCAGTTTTCCCCCTCTTTTTAAAGCAAAGTTAACTCTCTTGCATAAGACGGTACCCCTGAGTCTGTTGAGCGTATGTTAAGAAGATCATGTAGACGAGCTAAACATAAAACCAGCCTGTCAACTGAAAACAGGCACCGAGCCCGTGAGTTTCAGCCATCCGACTGAGCCTTTCATCTCTCTCCCATTTCCATCCTTTTTTTCCTCTTTTGTGCCTTAAAACAACAAAACAAAAATCAGAACCAACCCATTTCCCTTCTCTTAGCAACCTCAGCTGACAACAACAAGGCTAAAAAAACATGCCAAACCTGGAATCACTTACACTAGTCCAGGTTAATTCCGGCCACGTACTTCATTTTTCAGGACTCAAGTGTGTAAATATGTCAGATTTTTCTCCTAGTTGTACATTATTTTGTAGCTGATGTGATACTATTTAACTTGCTGTGTGTAGACTTCAGTAGTTGTACAGTGTTATAGTCATGGCAGTGCTTATAGTCAGAGCAAATCCACACAACTGAAACAGCTCCTTTCACGTGCCTTTCTTTGATAATGAGCTCTTTTTTTAAACCACAGGCTGTCTGAACGTAGCAGCAGAGTGTAGCAAAGTTATACTTATGTTTGTAGAGTTTGACTGTGATTGATTGTCACTCACTTTTGATGATGAGTAGCAGATATGGCTAAATTTACCACTATTGTTTTTTTTTTTTTTTGGTGTGTTTTTATACTTCATACTCAACTGTGTTGTTCCCACCAAGAGAGCACATTCAAGACGCTGAAACAATGTTCTGTCCAAAAAAGTTGAACCGTTGTCAGACTGATTTTTTTATATGTCATTTAAAGAGGTATAAGTAAGACAGAGGCAAAGAATTCGTAATGTGTGAGGCTGTAAGGAAGCCAGCAGGCTATGTTTACTCTGTGAAGTGAGGTTTTCACTTCAGACGCTCTGTGGAGTTAAAACGAGATGAACTGCTGCGACTCAATCCACAAAGCTGTCAGTCTGTTCCTTATATCTGTTCGAGCAAATCTGTAAAAGTACGGTATTTTGCACCAAAAAAACACTCTGTACACAGTCAAACCTTTTTTTGTTATTGATTTTGTGTTAATTTATTTGAATACCATTCCAAGCTTCTCAGGAAGATAGGTGTTTGAAGTTTAATAAAAGTTCAAGTTTGAAACAGTTTGTGTGTCATTTACACATTTTTTGTTAATTCAGTCAATTAGGTAATTAAGTACCTCTGTTTACACCAACTCGTGTACACACTAAAATATATCCTCTTCGATATATGATAAAATACACAATCAGATACAAAGTGAATTGGATTTTTTCTGTGCTGTAAAAATGATCACCACAGCTCAGCATGTATCACATCTAAAAATATAATAGATATCAAATGTGTGTACTGTAGGTACGAATTTAGAAGGAATCAAATGATCCCTTTGAGACCCTGTACTGATTTACTGTAGCATAAAAATAAACACTGTGAGGAAGTATCAGCTACATGTTACATCAGGCAAAGCGTGGCTTCAACACAGCATGAGAAAAAAAATAACGTTTCATCTTCAAACTTACAAATTAACAACATTTTGAAACTTTTCCACTTGGAATCATCCCAAAGTTGGTTGTATTCGATACGTAACGTGATTAGGTAGGTTTCCAGGTTTAGCAGCATGAGTTTCATGTCAGAGTTTCACCTTTCTCTACTTGAGGCTGAAGGACAGCTGGATATTTAGTCAAGGGGATAGGTATGCATACGTTGCAGCAAACGCTCAAGGATCACCCAGGGTAGAGTTTCCCCAACAGTGCAGCATGAGCATTTCTTCTGCCACAAAGCAACCATGCCTGTGACGCCTGTTATGAGGAGTGGGGTAACAACTCTAAAGCTTGCATCAGAAAAATATCAGTCCACCTCCTATCATCAGCCAACCTTAGACTAGTGGATAATGAAGTGTGTAAGGAGTTCACAAATAAAACACTGCATTTTGAAATATTTATTCAGGGTTAATTATTTACAAGCGCCATTCAATAATGACTTAGAAAATAAGTTATCTTCTCAACTGGTTGATAAACTGTCAAAACGTTTAAATGTCTCAACTGAGCTCACTTTGTGTTTCTAGCTTTGACAGTTGGAGAAAATACAAAACAATGACTTTTTACATGAATACAATTATTAAAAGCACTTAATCTTAATGATACATTCACGAGTGCTCCTGTATTCTTCAAGAGACAAGAAAACCTAACCAGTCCTTCACAGCCAGTCAATGAAGCAAAAGCTGCTTCAAGTGGATCATGTTGTACTTTTCTCTGAAGACTTGGTCCCAAAAGTCTGACAAACTCTGCCCATGAAGTCTTCTTTACCATCAGCCTAGTCTATGACCAACAAGCTACAATTCCCTCAAATCAAGAAAGCAGACATTCAAAGTCAACTTTGGAAAGTGTTTCCGCATCGCTTATCTTTTGACTTCTGCTGTAAACACCCTTAACCTTGACCACTGTGTTATTAAATACTAGAAAACACAACAGTCTGCTATATTCTGTGACAATCTACAGTGAAAAGCGGTGCAGATCAAGAGGCATCCAATTTAGGTGCACAAAAATACCAGGCTTGAAATGTCAGTGGTACAAAACATGATCCCTGTGGCACACCTCTAGGCAGGAAGTTCGTGTGTTCCTTTTGTTCAAAAGCCTTGACCTCCTAAACTTTTCTCTGTTAGAAAATAACATACAACAGCAAAGTTGTGAGAAAATTCATTTATCAAGTGATATCAGTTTTAAAAGAATAAATACACTATGTACAAAGACAAGGATAAACATCCGTGGCAAAGTTTCCTTGTAAACTCTTGAAGGACAGATGAAGCTTTTCAAGTTTCTGTCCTTGCTTCTTCCTGGTACTCTCTTTCTGGTACAGATGGTCTTTTTGCCAGACAAACAGCCAACAAGCTGTGACGGCTGAGTACAGCAGTTGGAGGGGGGACAAAGTTTGGGGCTAAATCAACAATAACCTTCAGTCCCATAGTAAAGAAAGAAAACATAAAATCACAGAGTAATTTAAAGTATTTTCACATTTGCCATGGTTTCCACCTCAGCCTGCTAAATATGTGATGGTCATGTCAGAGGCATGAAAGTGCCTTGATATAAAATGGCAACTATGTGGTCCTTTCAGCATTTTACTAAGAAACCCTCCAACAATAAAGAAGGTACACAGTTACAAAGAGCTGCCTGTCATTTAATAAGGCTGTTTAAAGACTAGGATACAGCTTGTTTATGCAGAGTAGATGTTGTAGGGAGTGTAACCCAACAGGAACTCTCCAACTCCGACAAAGTACACAACCTGGGCAATACCAAAGAGTGGGGCGATAACCAAGGCACGGCAACTGGCACCCTTTAGGAAGGCTCCAGGACCCTCCTTTCTCAAGATTTTTCTGCAATGAAAGAACAAAACATGCAGCGTGAACACACAACATAAATTTATGTCATTCATGCAAACCCTGATATGCAAAAAGAAGTACTGATAAATTCATGACCAGTTTACCTGATACAGTCCACCACTCCATTGTAGGTTTCTTCATTTGCACCTTTTTTGAGAGACTGAAGTCTTGTCTTGACCACTACAAAATAAGTTCAAAATTTATGGTGAGAATCTCAGTTCACAGTTCCCTAAAACACAGATAAGTTACATGCACACTTAATCGCTCACCATCACAAGGGCTGACAGCCACAGCAGCAACGCAACCAGCCATGCAGCCAGAGAGGAAGGACCAATAAAAGGGCACAGATGGGTCTTCAGGTGAGTGCTGGCCGAGCTTGTGCAGGTGTGCGAAAAGTGGGAAGTACACAACAGAGAATGGGATGTCCCTGTTGAAGGTTATAAATGAGCATGATTAGCACATTTGGGTATAATTCGGAAAAGATGGAAAACCAGCACAATAAAGAAATGAAGCATAAGGGCCTGTGTCCACTTACAGCACTTTTTGGCTGCCAGCATAACAAAATCACTGTAAGTGGACACACACCCCCAAATCTTCTTTCACCTCATCAGTGTGGCTCCAAGTCCTCTATACAGTCCTGTGACTCCTTTGGTCCTGAGCAGCTCTCTGGTGATCTCTGTAGCTGACACTCGCATGACTTGAGGTCCAGGACTGGTGTTATAGGATCGGCTTAGAACTGTGCTGGTTCCACCCATCTTAAGAGTTACTAAACTGGGAATCCCCCTTTGCTGGGCAGCTATCACACACAAGGGGAAAGAAGGTCAACTTTGTAACTGGGCTAACCATAAATTTAGACTCTGGTAGGTCTCAAGCTTTATTTTTATTATGAAGTGATAGCATTTTATGTGTCTAGATAATGACTTCTTCACCACATTGTTAATTTTCACTAAAATCCCTCGAACCCAGAGAGCAATTACAGCATTTTTCCAACAATTAAGTAGAATTTCTGTTTTACTTTCATCAATCTAAAAGGAATAATTGCTAATTGATTATTTTTTTTAGCAGTGATGTGTTGTTTTGTATCTGAATAAGTATGAGCACTGCGCTGTTTCTAATCAACAGGATATCCTTAAACACTCATACACACATGATCTTTTTGTGGTGATTTCCTTTAGTTACCTAGCCTGCCTGCATCCTGCATCTGAATCTTGAGCATCTCCATGGGTGTGGTGATGGTGACCTGACACATGCCTGCGCAGCATCCTGCCAACATCTCCTTGAACACCGTTAACCTGCCACTGAAATAAAGGAGAAGAATAGAGCAGGTTTAAAATATGGAGACAGACACTGAAAAAGACAAGGGCATGTCTTTTTTCGTGTTATCACTCACCCATCTTTGCTCAGCTGGTGGCGGAAGAAGTCATTAGCTGCCAGTTTGATGGCCTTCTCTGGGGTTACCAACGTAAGATTGACTGCAGCACCTGCAACAACCGTTATGACTGATGATTAACCTAATCCCAATGATACTTACAGCTAAGTTACATCGAATTTTGTGCAAGACTTGACAAAACATGGAGGATGTAGAAACATAGCATTAGAAAAATGATCCTTTTTGGAGTTTACTTAACATTGTTGATTTTTGGTCAGGAAAGCAAAGAATGTGGTACATTAATATCTGAAAAAAGGGCAAGTTAAGAAAAGTCAGCATGGACAGTGTGTCTGGTCTTACCTCTGTACATGCCAAAGTAGCCTTCAGATTTAACTGTTTTTATTAGGCAATCCATCCTGAATGGGGAAAAGATCAGTAAGGTGAGTTTCTAAAAGACGCTTAATAACCTCTTTACAAATATAAAAGTGGTTAACTGTTCCCTGCTTTAAAAAAGTGTTTATTTTGAAACTGTTTGAACTCACTGCAATCACTCTACTGTAAAATAAAGCATCACTGAACAAAAATATATGTAAAAAAAAAAGCAAAAGTGTACTTTGATTATTTTGTTGTTGTTGTTGTTGTTGTTGTTGATGATGATGATGTGACTGAAATGTACTCATTAGATATCTTTTCAAAGAAGGGTGTGGTTTTTACATGTTCTTGTAGAGTTGCTGCCCGCTACGTTGGTTCTGTAGTCGGGTTTTGGCCAAGTCGATCGGGAACACACAGGTGACTCCCACCATGCCCGCTACTCCTCCATTGATCAGTTTGGCTGGTAGACTGTCCCAGGACAAATCAAAACAGAGAAGTAAACAACAGTTATTTTCTGAGATTACATTTCTAAAGGTGGGATAAGAAGAGGCATTGTTGGGTATGGTGGCTAAACCTGAGAATATGGATTTCTCATTGAAGCTGAGGATCAATGATCATAGACTTTAAAGGCACAGAGCAGTAATTCAGTATGCATTTGTGAGTGTATGCTCATACTGCAGGCATCGGCATTGCAACAAATCTGCGTATTGGGTGACCACTCTGGGAAGCTGGCCATCCAAAAATAACTCATCCACAGAGAAAATCAAATCTACACATACAGTATATGTAAGAGGAACTATGCATACTAACACTTCTTTTTCTTTCCATGTGAGTGAAAGAGAAGAACAAATACAGTAACCTTAACTGTTTTCTGTGTCAAAGTTATCTTATTAAAGACTTTAAAAGCATATTTTATTCCCATTTTGTTCACAGTCCAAACTTTGGTTCATGCTAAGAAAGAAGTCAGTTATAGATTCATACCTATACTGCTGTTGCTGGGCCATGATTCTTGTTGTTGAGTGTGCCAAAGTTGGTCAGCACAAAGGAGGAGGCCGCCGAGGGAGAGCAGGCTGAAGCACCCCAAGAGACACCGAGCAAGGCAAGAAGGGAGGGAAGCTAAGGGGTTTATATATAGGGGGGCAGGTCCAGCCCTGCAAGATGCCGGGACAAGATTCAACTTTACTCTCCTCCCACTTCGATGCCAGCCAAGTGCCGGAGCCAGCGTCTGTCTTCACACCATGCAAGTGAAACCCCGAGCCAAACAGCTCCCTGGGCCAGAGCTTCAAACTACAGTCTCATTATCACCCTGGACATTTTGCTATTCATTTTAGTGATTATCAATTTAGATTTACAACAGCTGGAAATGTAACTTTTTGCAAAAAACAAGTTGTCAAACTAAAATCTTATTTATTTAGAACAAATGTAAAAAAAAAAAAAAAAAAGCACCATGTGACCTCAGAACTTAAAGGGATATTCCGGTGTAAAATTAATTTAGGGTCAAATACACTGTAACACTGAGTAAGACACCCCCCCTCGAGAGATGAATGTTGCCGACCGCTTGCTTCTCTAGTTATACCAACTTAAGTAATGACCGCACGATAGCAATACACAGTGGTCTGAGGAGCCATAAACAAACCTCAACCAAAACGCCACTCTACAGCCACAAATAATGCTCAGAACAGCACCTAACTTCATCAACAGTGCCTATATGGTCCCAGCCGCAGCACTAGCCACCAAACATCTTTTTAACTTTGCTTAATTTTAGCAAAGAGACTAAAAACAACTCACCTAATCTCTTCAAGCAGCCGCTTGTTTGTAGCGAGACCGCAGGCCAGTCCCTTACGGACTGCTGCAGGGTGACGCAGCTCAAGGAAGAACATTTATGATCATTACTTTATCATTTCCTTCAAGTAATAATCATCATATTAATCATTTTATACTGCAGACGCGGTAGTTCTTCTGCCTTAGCGTTTCTGTCTAATTGCATTTCCATGAAGAAAAGATCAAAAAGGTTCTCCTTTCATTCTCCTTAAGAAAATGCAGGAATAAAAGCTACAGTATTTAAGATAAAAAAAAGCACCCATGACGCACCAATTTCTTTCCCTTATTCATTTACTCATTTACACAGGTAATGCAGTTAAAGCCATTATGCATGCTCTGATGTTTTTTTTTTTTTTCATTTTATTATTATTATTTTTTTCAATATTTTATCCAGGAGCTAAAACATGACAGGCTAAAAAGCTATGTTGAACTACACTAACACATCAACAAGTGAGTACAAAATCAGCATCATTTCAAATCTCCAGAGCACGCTTGTTCTTGCTCCTCTTGCTCCCAGTGGTCGAGCTGCACCTGTCATGAGAGACCCTGCGTGTGCGGACACAGCGGTGTGAGCGCGTGTCACAGCGTCTGCAGCTGCATCTGTGAGCTGCAGGGTAATACATCTGTGGGTTGACATCCTGAGGGCAGCCAGGCAGAAGAGCGGGTTGATACACCAGAGAGAGAGGCACACAGCTCCGCTGAATCATTAAAGTCCTCCCAAATCTCCCCCTCAGATTGGTGTCCTGGGCAGACAGGGATTATAGAGGAGGTGCAGAGATTCAAACCCAAATGTTCAAGATAAAAAGTTCCATGAAAAGTGTGTAAGTGTGAAGAGTTTCATCCTCACCTGTGTGTAACAAAATCCACTGCAGATGGTAGTGTTGATGGCCACACACTGGGCGCAGTCATGTCTCTCAATCCACAGAGTGTGATTCTTCAGCATACAGGAGCACAAAGTCCAGCCCATCAGCATACACAGCAGCATGCATCTCAACACTACAGAAGACATTCTGCAAGACACCAGCGGCAAAATTAGACAAAAAACAATAAATGCATTCAAGAAATATATAAAAAAAAAATACTCATGCAAGGAAAAATATGTGAGAAAACCCACCTCAACCTTTGACCTTTTAAATTCTTGAAAAAACAAAGGTGCAGAATACAGTGGAGTATAAAGATTGGGACAGCAGGGAAAATTATTTCATCAATCTGATATATCTGATGAATTTGAGCGTTCTCTCTTTTCTCCTCACTCCACTCCCATTCTTTGACTCTGTATGTTTCTGAATCCATCAGTGGTGCGCTTCCTCTTTTATGGAAACCCTAACCCACCTCAACTTCAGTCCGCAACATCTTCCCTGAAATCACATGTCAGCTGCAGACATTGTTCGGAGTTGAAAACCTCAAAACCTACATACACTCAGGGACAAGAGGTCCGTCTGGGGTTTGTAGGCTGGCCGCCCCGTGGATTTGCTGTAATATTTTCACAGGTCATATTCGACAATATGTCGTTAACTATTTGGGGTGGTACTGACTGTGAACAACAACAGCAGAACAGTTATACAACTGTGTCAGCTATCCTAAAACTGTGGCTTGTGGTAATTGATCCATGTGGCATATTCTGCACGTTTTAGGTCACCTACCATATGTTTTGACTTTAGCATCTAGGTCTGTTCCCCTTTCAAAACAACATTTTTCAGCTGGATGAATATATCGATGTCAGCTAATAAACTGTAAAAAAATAGGAGGTAAAATATTTCTAAGTTATATAGAATATATAAAATATACATATATATATAATCCTGATTAAAACTTTTTTTTCTTGACTTTAATTTAATTTACAGTTTTACTTTATTTTAATTCATATCTTTATGGCATTAAGGAAGTTTCAGCTCCTGACAATTTGATCTTAGTTGGCTTACATGTTTCAGTTAGAAAAGTTTTTTCTAACTGAATTAGGCATTATACAGGTTTCAGTCTAATGTGAGAAATAATTCATGTCCCCCTGTACAGTTCTTCTATGATTCTTACCTGTTACTAAAGTGAGTGTTCCAAAGCAACCAATACAGATATTGTTGATCAAACAATCAAGTCTGCATCTATTTGACTAAATATAGAGGAATTATAAGTTGATTGTAACCATGCCTATTGTTCTCAAGCTCCTGGATACTAGAAAATAAAGACTTATGAGTGGTTTTTACAAAAGTACTTTATTTCTTAATATGGTTCAGCTTTGTTCTTTGGTCTATCAACATTTTTTTTTATTCTTCAATATACAGTAAAAAGCTATAAAGAAGGAAAAAAATGCAGAGACTTGTTTATCACACCGGAATATTTTTTAATTTAATTTTATTTCATTTTATTTAATTATTATTCTATTTCATTTGTTCCACTGAGAGTAATGATTAAAGATGATTGATTGTCTCCTGAAAACCATGTATTTCTGTAACAGTCTGACCACCCTGCTAATGCACACTTTATGACTTAATTAAGATATGTTAAGAAGAACTTTGTTTATCTCTGAGGGCAAATTCAATAATTATTTATTTATAATAACTTTAAACAATATTTTCTGCTTCCAGATCTGACCTGACCCCTGTGTCTGTTTATGCCTCTAATTCATCACATCAGCCCCGGTAAACCTACCTGCCTTCTGTCCTTGACTACGAGCTTTGCCTGCCTGTTTCCTGCTATTCGTCTGCCTGCGGCTGAATGGCACTCAGCCTGTTCCTGCTCTGTTGAGATCCCCCTTCTCGTCAGCTTCACCTCGCCAACTCACCTCCTCTGCCGACGTTGGTTCTGCCAGCTCCTCTGCAAGCTCTGGATCCTCACCCAGTCCTCACCTGAACCACTCTCCAAGAAATCTTCCTCCAGCTGTGAGTTGAGCGTTTTCCCCTTCACTACACTCGTGGAGCAAATTAAGACTGTGGACAATTCCCTGCTCACGAGTCCAAAACTCTTGCCTGACCTGAGGTCCACTGCTAATCTGCTCGCCTATCACCCGGAAGACCAGAGTTCGAATCCTGCCATACCCACCTGCTATACTCTGCTGCTTCATTGGATTTGGTGTTCAATAAAGACTGTTGTTAAAGTGAACCTGCTTGTTTGTGCTGCAATTGGGTCCAGTCAATACCCGTTACAGAAACAGATCCATTAGATAATTGAATCAAAGCGTGTTGTGGACAGTTCACAGAGTGTGTGCCCTGACACAGATCAGCCTGTTCAAAATGGATAGATCTTTATTAGTGTGAGGTTAATGAGGCAGGACAGCTTATGAACAGATGAATTGATAGTCTCTCTCTTGCAGCAGCAGCTTTTAACTGTGCCAGAGAATAAAGAGATTATTCAGGTTACAAATCATGCTAATACATGGATCACACATCAGTGTGTTGTATTAGAGTCATGTGCCCAAAAGCAGCATGTGTTGGTCTGAATGTTTGGGCACACCTGAAAACCTGCTAGCAAAGGTAGATATCATCAGGTTGGTTTGCTGGCTGTGTTCCACAAAAAAACATTGATGGAAAGGTCACTTTTAGACAGACAAGCTAACAGATTGTCTGGCTGTCCCTCTGGTGAACTCTGGTTTGAAATCTGTTGTTAATGCTGTAAGTGTAACTCTACTCGCTCCAACAAGGCCCTGCAACTGGGTCAGGCAGAAATATGAAGCTCTTGTGTTTTATGGAGGCCGTAACCCAGCATTGACCCTCGGCAGGTAAGAGTCACAGCAAAACATAAACAAGTCATTTTTCTGCAAGTTTGCCAAATATATCCGTCCTTTACCTTCTTCAGTATTCATTCTTGCTGTGACCAAATGTGCAAGTTGAAGTTTTAGTTGAAGCCACCTCACATAGCAAGAGTTAATTGACACAGTGTTGATTTTCCATCATGATCATCATTATGGTTGAGGTTGAAATTTCAATACAAAATCAATGTTGATGTGATGTTAAAAAAAAACAAAACAAAACAAAACAATGGAAACTAATGAAAGATAGCAGTGATGTTGAAACAACATAGATCTACAATTATCCTAATTGTAATTGATTTGACATCACAACATTAATCTTAAAACGATTCATTGGACATGGTTTTACCTCTAATTCATTCTTTTTAACTTTTATCAAAGGAAGCAGGCTTAATTTCAGTAAATAAATCCAGATTGGTTTAGTTTTAGTTAGTTTAGTTTAGTTGTTTATTCGAACAGGTGAAAAGAAAAACTAAATAAATACAATATACAATGTGTTTGGCAGAAAACCAATTAAAGAGACAGCTCTGTAGCAACATAGATAATCATACTTTGTTCGAAAGGGTGTAGGATGAAGTTGATCAAACTTATCTAGTCCTACCCCTTTATTGTTGTGTTACTGTAATTTAATCAGTCAGAGCATGTGTAGGAATAAAAGCACAGAAGAAAGAAATATATAAGACATTTTTTTTTTATATCTTTGTCTTCTGAAAGACGTGTGCGTAAAAGATCAATATTAACCCATGATAGACTGTAAAACAAAAAGCTGAAAGTATTAAAGGCATTTTAATATACACCATTGTTGAGACATAAACTAATACTGAGGCTTTTAAACAGGAAGGTAAAATCCAACAACTTAAACCATCACTTTTTTGTGTCTGTGTTTGAAAGATGCTCTGAGACGTCACTCAGAAGCAGAAGCAGTATCTGATTTTGCTTTTGTCCAGGTGGTGCAGAAACAGTCCTGCTACATCGGGTTGGGCTGAACATTTGACTGTGCCAAAATAAATTTGAATAGAATGAAATTTAAGTGGGTAATATTGTTGAAATAAGGTAAATAAACTTTATGAAGCTCAATAAGATTTGAATTTTATGGAGTTTATTTTCTCATGGCTGTATTAATCACATTAATCATGGCTGGCGATTGTATGATTGTAATTCTTGAGTAGAAAAAACACTGTAGTATCTATAGTCAAATTGTCGTTTACTCATTTTATTTGTTAGACAGCGTTTGATGAATGAAAGTCTCAAAAGTGGGAGGAGAGTAGTCTGAATTGGGTTCTGGAGCTGTGCCCCACCTCACACATCGCACTCATTCGCCAGCCGCGAGCGATTCCAAGCCTGTGGGCTTCACATCCACCGGAGTGCCGCTGGTAACGTGCGACACTCTGGCTTCTCCTGCGACTACCGCCCACCGTGCCCATGTTTTCTGTTCACCCGCTCACCCGCATCAGGTGATACCCTGCAAGGGTAACGATTGGCTCTTGTCTCAGACCTTCCCCGAGGTGATTGGTTGAGTGACGAGCACTCGCTTGTAACCTCTACAGTGAGCTTCCGCCCACAAGAGGAAGTGCGGAAGAGGAATGTGATATATACAGCACAGAAAAGTAATCAGTTTTCTATCACGGTGCGGGAAAATTTCCAATGAAATTAATGAGCTGTAAGTTGACTGCAATAAAAATTACTAATATCTCATAGTCGTATAGTTTGTGTCACCGTCATGGCACGATGTCTTACAGTATTTACGGAAAAGAGTAGCATGCGAGCCCGTGGCATCCTGGGAAAAGAGCTGACGTATTTGGTCTCAGAAACGATTACATTTTTCCAACCACCTTTCTAAAATGAAATATGCCGTGAAGGATGTCCAAAAAAGGCGATTCTTTCTTTTCGCAAATGTCGAAGATATTCCTCGAAAAGTCGCACTTAACCATGACAAGTTTATTAGACGATTGCTGAGCTGCAACCGGAAACTGTGGACAGTTTCTCTTAAAGCAATTTCATCTTTTTATTTGTTATCCTATGACTAAAAGGTTAACTTTTAATGGCCGGTTTCACCAAGCAGAATATAAATTTATAGTAGGGAAAACTTTTAATTTTTGAAAACATCAATGTTCATATACAGCAAATTAAGCATAATTGATATTGTAGGCTATAAATTGCCCTTAACCCTTAAACTCTAATTCAATTAGCTGATTCTGAAAAGGTTTTCTTTTGTTGTAGCTATTCAAAAGAATATTACTTGACATATTTCTAAATTAAAACACTTTTCCCCCCATTTCTTTCAATTTTTTATTTCATAATTATGTGCAGCTTTAAATCACAGTTTTATGTTAAAATGATTGTCCCTACTTTTCACGTCACTACAACAGAAAATTGTTAATTATTATTTATTGTCTGTAAGTGATTATAGCTAGATACAAACAGCAGACAAGGAAATCTTTAAAATGTCACTCAATCTTGAGTAGATAGGTCCTTTTATCATTCAGTCAATTGGTGCAAATGATTTAAAAAATTAGTGTGGGACTTTATTTATTTTTCTGCTTCACTCTGAAAATGCTAAATTAAGTGAGACTCACTGTGCTGTAGGTCTATCACGTAATCTGACCAGTAGATGGCAGACAAACACAGTCTCAAGTATTATCTTTAATCATAACTGTCATCTTGTATGGAGGCACTTTCTGTTTGTTTGTTTGTTTGTTTGTTTGTTTGTCTGGCCGCTCTAACCTGAACAGCTGAGCAGTATAAATAACCAGAGCAGAGATTTTTAAAACACCCCCGGACAAACATTAACTGGAAACCAAAAGCTCAGTGGGACAGGTGTGAAATGAACATAGCCAGGTGTCTCAGCTGGGTATTTGTTCCACAGCCTACAGCTAAGATTTTTATTGTCATTGCATATGAAACAATTTGAGCTGGAGAAAATTTAACTGTGTGTGCTGTCTGAGCCCAGGCACAACAGTGAACATCCTGCTGATGGTTGTGCGATGAGTGGCCCAGTCAAGGTCTCCTTCACTCACAGACAGCAGCAAGGAAACTATGGATGCTTGTCTTGTTTGAATGACAACAGAGAAATATACTGTTGTAAAATATTTGTGAAGTAGTAAATGTCAAGAGTTGTAAAAGATGGACAGAATAATATGGTACAGCTCGGTTTTCAATCACCAGTTGCTTTTTCTTTACCACCTTACAATTTGACAAAGAGAGTTGACATTTCATAAAACTGAAAATAAAACTGTTTTTTCATGAGGATATCAAATATTTTACAAGTCACAGTAATCCTGGTTTATAACTCCCTGACAACAAAGACAGAAACCATCTTCACTCCAGGAGAGAGAGTGATTTATTTGGGGCCATTTTTGTGTGTGCCCTTGGTACACCTCAGGAGGAAGAAGAAATAGTCTGACCCAAATCATCATTGGCGTCCTTGAAGAAACACACTTATTAATAACCTCAGGAATCTGGAGACCACCTCCACTCCTCCCATCTTTCCTCCGCCTTAACTTTTATCCCACCTCCTTCTTTATGGTTTGTGTGCACCTTCACGTTCACTCACACAGACCCAGTAGGCCCCCACAGGGCCTCCAAATCAATCTCACTGAGCTTAAAATAATCAACCTAGATGTGGAAGAGGGCTTACCAGTAACATGTACAGTATCACACTTCTTCACTTCCTCTTGGATTTCTCTGAGTGTGAGGACATTTTTGGAACAAGATACTATTTCATCACAGAATTAGCCTGTACAGCTTTTATGTGTGTGCAGATATCTAATTTCTGAAATTTGATTTTGGTCTAGTCCTTCATCAGGAATTCATATTTTATGATACTTCTCAAATTGTTCTTGTTTGTCTGTTTGTTTATTTATTGATTGATTGATTTTGTGATGAGGCAACAGTACATCTTGAGGTGACAAACCTGATTTCATGAAATGAGATGATAATTTTCTGGTAATATAGAAACAAAACAATTGACCTTCACTGTGATAGATCACAACATGCCGTGCTGCAATTGGCTGCACTTGGAAGGTGGGTTAAGCCTATATCTGTCAGTGTTTTGCTTTGAAACTCTAGGACAGGGCTGTAGTGCTATAGACTTGAATCCACGTCCTGATTGTGATGCCCCAGACTTGGACTAGTTTGACATTAAGGCATCCTGCTAAGATCCATTAAATATGTCTTGAATCATAACCTTTAAAGATTTTACCACAAAAAATGCAAGCAAGCTTGTGCAACGTGTGTGATATGTTAAAGAACATGAGGAAGAGTTGCTGAAACTTTTTATAGACATCTATCCACAGGGTCTACAAGGTGTTTATATAGTCAAAATTCATAACAATAATGAGTGATTACAGGTACTTTTGAGTTTATAAGATACCTGCAATGCTCCCTATGCTGCAGAAACAAAGACCGCGCTGCCCCGTACATAGTGGCGTGCAGCACATTTTAGCACATTTAAGCACAACACAGAGAGCTGTAACTTTATTGATAATTCAAACCTTCAACTGGATCAGTCAGAATCTGACACCAGTAAATAAAATGTCTTTTCTAAATATTCAGGGTTCCTCACAGTCAGTCAAGCTTCAGACAGTGAAGAGTTTGAAAAAGACCAGCACTCTTCCCTACAATGAATAATAGATATGATAATGGAGAGTTAACCTGGAATCAAGGTAACATGGACTCATCTCTGATTTGACTTTTCTTTCCTTGGAAATGTGGACTTCTCTCAGACTCGAGGTTTGGGGATTCATCTACAACACATTTTTTGGGAAAATTAATCAAATGATGAACTGATACTGAGTTGAAATCTCATGAGGACACCTGAAATTAACATGATATCACAGGCAAATCGGGAAAAAAAACAATGTGCATGCAAGTCCACTTCGGGCTTCCATAATTACTGAATTTCCCTTTTATTCTTTACTTCCCTTTTTCATTTCCGATCCTTTTATTGTTTTATTTAGTGTGTTTAATTATTTATGTTTCCCTCTGATACAGCAGTCATTTTAGGACTTGTTTTATTTTTACCTTTTATGTCTTTTACAAGCTGCTTCAAACCAATCCCCCAGAGGGATTAGTCGAATTGTTGGATTTGAACAGAAAATATCTTGTTACTACACACAATTTCATCAGAGCGTGGTTAGACACTTCAGTCATTAGATCATAGCCGAATCTAAAAAACAGTGTAAAAAAAAACTGCAACTCACTTGTACTAAAAAAAGAAGGAAATAGAGGTTATTGTCTTTCCCTAATTGGTGACCCTTGTCTCAGTGAGTATTGACCCCCAGACAGCTGCAGAAATATCATCCATCAGCCGGGGTAAGAATAGCCTGTGGAAGCTGGCCTGTGGCATCGCCGCGAACATCTGCTCCTCGCCACTTTTGGTAATTAACGACAGCGGAGCACCCAACTGAAACTTTAAACAATCTTTTTACCTGTGCTTGTTTCACCCTTTAACTAATGAGCGCTTTTGCCTTTTAAGCTGCTGCTATGTGGGGGAAATTTGAAGGAGTGCAGCGTGACCTAGGTTTGATTTAAAAGACACGTTTAATAAAAATCAATCGCCTGAAGTCTTTCTGCTCTATTTTCTTTTCATGCTAGCCCTATTATGTCAAGCAAAGTCTTCCTTCTTTAAAACTGCTATTGATTTTTAAAGGGATGCAAATTTTTTTCCCAAGCCAGTGCTGAAGTCGGGGAGGCATTGCCCGTCCTACATTAAAACTCAAATATAGCTGTAGCAATTAAGGCCAACTCTCCTATGCTACATTAAGCATGCGGGAGAAATCAGTCTTTATTACTGTATTATTTATCTCTAAATGTCTGACTGTGCAGACAAAATAAGCCAGGGTGAGGAACAGAAATGCATCTGATTCACAGTCTTTTTTTACCCAGTGTTAAATGGAGTAGACAGCCAAGTGTGCCCTGATTTTGTGAATAAATAATCAGACTGTATCGCTTTCCCCCCTTCTATTTCCCTCCTTTCTCCTATCTCTTTCTTTCTTCTTCTGTCAGAGGAGGAGTAAGGTAATTATAACCTGCCTCTGACCCACACTGGCCTTTAGCCCAACAAGGAGGGACCAAAAACCAGAAGGACAGGGTTGTATTACATAAGCAGCAGACTGACCAAGAAGGGAGGAAAGGGGAAGAAGAGATGACAGAGGGGAAAGAAAACACAAGAGGAAATCAAGTGGTGCTGATGAGTGACAGAACGAGGATGAAGAGGGCAGGCAAGATAAGAAGACGGAGGGGGCAGGCGGGATGGCAGAAGGAGGAAGGGAGGGTGAGCTTCCGACAAAAGGAAGTGGGAGACAGTCCAGTAAAACACATGGTGAGGGAGCGCATGTGTGTGCGTGCATGTGTGCGTGTGTGTGCACATGAAATCCCACACATGTTGCAGCAATAACGTGGTGCAAGTGGTAGATGGTCACAGCCCCTAATAGCATTATATCACTTGATGCCAAATTTGAAATATACGCTAGAAGGCCAGATTGCAGGCTGTTAGGGATTTAATTCTAAATTAAGCCTCTATGGAGAAAATTTGCATGTAAATCCATGTACCAAACCATTACTTGGTGTGTGAACAACAATTAAAAGCATTTAAATCAGGGAGTCAAGTCTTCTCAGTGTGTGCATGGAGAGCTCATAAAGACAAGAGAAAACACAAAGAAGTGTGCTCAAATGGAGATGATCATTATTGAAATGCACCTCCTCAAGGCTGTGATGTTTATAATATAGCTGATATCTACACTCACAAGCACACACACGCAGACACACACAAATGCTCACTAAAAAGGGCAAAGTGTGAGAGCAGAGAAAGCAAAAGAGTGCTGATAAAACAGTGTGAGTGAGTGACAGACTGAGTGAGCTCCTTCTACATGGCCACTGGCCTTGAAGCCTGTCAGCTCCGGCTGGCACATTTGGCAAAAAGGATGCCTGCTCTGACTTCTCAAAGCTACAATGCATTTCACTTTTACCCAAACAGCTGTGCAGCTTGTTTTGCTTTTATGGCACAGCTCAGTTAACCTCTTCTCTCCAGCTCAAAGGAAAAACATGCTTTGTCCAGCAGCGGAGGGCCACTAACTGAGAGTGTGTTTTCCAGTTTAGTTTGATGCACTCACAGAGGTGAAGGTCAGTGATTACAGACACAGTGACTCATGATTGTGATTCATAACGGCACATAATGGTCATCTCATACCTCTGTGGCTGCAGTAATGGCCACCTTTACCTGCGTCCTACGAAGATGATTTATGACTGTGGTGACATGAATGGAGATCACTCGTTGTATTACCAAGTACGAGTACTCCAAAGTAATCAAGAATACTTAAAAACTCGCTTTGGGTGCCATTTATTGACTGTAAATAAAGATGGACAACATGCTTGCATCTCTCACACACAATAAAAAAGTGACACCAAAATGCTGCTTAGACTGGGATTGACATATTGTGCTGATGATGTGCCCAGAGTGTCACGACATGCAGGGTTCAACAAAGAAAAAGACTTTTTTTTTAAAAGAACAAAATTTAAAAAAAAAAGCAACAAAAAAGAGAAAAATCCAAAAGGCAAAATCCACAAAAATCACTGGGGAGCAACTGGGGACACAGGCATACGTAGACAAACATACAATGGACAAACAAAGAAACAGGGGAAGACGGGGACTATATTTACACACAGGGAAACGAGCAACAGGTGAGGCAAACGAGCAACAGGTGGGGCAAACGAGACAAAGGTGAAACTCATGGGTGATTAACGAAGTAGGGAAAACTAGGGAAGTAAAACCAGACTAGAAACACAAGGCAACAACTACTACAAAATAAAACCGGAAAAACTGCACATAAGGGAAGCGGGGTCAAACACAAACTGAAAACTCACAAGACAAGACTACAGAAGAACAGGAACGATAGGGAACAGAAACACTAGGAAAAATACACAGAAAAAGCACTCAAATAAACAACATGGTGAGAAAACTTGATTAACAAAACATACCATGACACAGAGGTATGTCCTGGTTGGCAGAAGCACACTGATGTTGCCTGGTTTCCTCTTAGATACTAAAGTTAAGGTTGCACATAGATCAGCATGATAAGAAGTAAAGCATGTTTGAGAAAACTATACTTGGCCTGGATTTTTAATTTTCCAGTCTGGGATCAATATAGTAATTCTGATTCTGATTTTGATTCTGATTCTGTTCCAAAGGGGGTAAGCTAGCTTCATGACCATATGGCCACTCAACTGAGCATCAAATCTGTTGTGCTGGACTCCTGTCTTATTTCAGACTCTGCTCTTCTTGACCTCCCGTGTTTCCTGCCACTGTGATAACATGGCAGCGACCTCCAGGGTTGGAAAATGAAATCCCCTATTTATAAAAGGCCTCAATTTAAAAAAAAAGCCCCAATAATAAGGGTGAACTGATTTGACTGGCACTGTAACTGTTTTCCAGGAGGCTAAAGGCCTGCCTTATCTCTGCCTCTATTTTCATTTCCACCCCCTTGAAATGTTCCTACTAGAGTCGGTGAAAGTTAGCTTGAGTGAGCATTTTCATTTTCCATTTTCCAAGAAAAAAGGAGGGGGGTCTGGCTTTATTTGTTAACTAAAGATGCTGTAACTCTACATATATAAATGTCAAGGAGAAATTGTGTTGTCCAGATTATTGAACTAGTGGTAGTTGTCCTTCAGCTGTGTTATGTTCCAAGGGAGTGCAGTGACATTGTAACAATACTTTTATACATCCCACCCTAGGCAACAGCTAAAGTTCTGTGTGATGTTCTCCATGATACTGTTGCTAGGATATGATGGAGAGCTGCACACTGATTAAGGTAGAAGCCATTCTAAAAAAACATGGATCATCCAATTCATAACACCTTGATGGACTAAAAAGAAAATAACAGTGGCAGACGGCTCATCTCTCTTTGCTACAGGACAGAGAGATTCAGAAGCTCTTTTGTACCCACAGCCATCAGACTTCTTAATTCTTCTATTAATAGTAGATGAGATGAGATTCCAGACAAATGAATTCCCCTTTGGGAATCATTTAAGTTCTTGGATTGTGTTGTGTTGTATTATTGTAATATGGTCACTGTGCACCAAATCTGGATTGTGTAACTCTTAAGACACTAATGGATGACATCACTAAGATTACATCCATCATTTATACAACATAAACTGATTCAGTTGTTTGTAATTGTAAAGACTTTATTATTCCCTCTGATCCCCCTTTTTTTTAGGCCAGTGCATCATAATCCGGGGTGACCAGCTGACCTTTTTTGTATTTCAAAGCTTTCAGAACTTTGTGATTAGAGAGACTTTGTTTTTCCTGTCTGTAGGTCTGCATTTGAGTCCTCGTCCTTATTTTGTTATGAACATATATACATCTTGAACAGACAGCAAGTAACTGATGGCCTACCTTGAAAAACAAGATTTTTCTTTAAAACAGTGACATATTGTGAAAAGGCTTCCTCATGCCTTTTCACCAGACCCACTCTCCCCACCGTGCCCTGATTACGTCAAGTGAGTTCACCTGTGCCTGAGTGGTCAGTCAGTACGTTTACGTGACACTCAATAAAACCAAATTATTGCCTTACTCCGATTAAGACCGGACAACTGAAGAGCATGCAAACACGTTAGTTTGACTATAACCAGAGATTGAGAACTCCAATTGGAGTTGGAGAACTTTGATTAAGACACCCAGATAATGCAATTGGAATTCAGTTTTCTCTACCATGTAACCAGAGTAGTCGGAGTAGGATCGGGCAATGCATTTGTGCGTGCGCCAGGCCAATGCAACCCCGGAACAATAATACCAGAGAAGAAGTGGCACTTTCATTTAAAGAACTTTCGACTCAGAAGCAACTGCAACATGGCTAAAGCACGAAAGAATGTCCACTTTTCGAACAACGAGGAGAGTGCCGTTATGCTTTCCGTCCTGACAGAAATGGACATTTTAAAGTATATGGATGGTCGCAAAACAGGGAACAGAGACATCTTTAAAAAAGGCCTGGAAACAGCGCTGCTGAAAAGACCCATATTGCCCCCTAGTTTTGGGGAGGAGGAAACGTTCACATCAATAATTTGATTTTCTCAGCTGCATGTATACGCGGACAAGGAGTGAGGTCCAATTCAGTGGAAGAAAAAAAAAACTGGATTATTAGCATAGTCCAGTTAAGCTGTGCATGTAAACGCACTGAGTGTGGAGTTCCTGAGTGTGTTTTAAACAGAGCAGCCAGCCATTTCCAGGTGTGGCTGGTAACAGCCTGCTGTGAGGCTGGAGTTTTCTCCCTTGGTTAGACTTTCTGTTGAATTCAGTAAACATTCACAAACATTATTCATATGTTTCATAGATTTTTGATGTCGAGCTGAAGGTTTTTTTTTTATTGTAGTGTATTGGCAAAAAATTCAAATATTCTATCCAGCTGACAAACATCCAGGAGGCAGCCAGAAGAGCAGAAGCACCTGACAGTATGACGCGAACAGTTGTGAAACCTAATTACAGTATTATTTTGACACTGTCAGTGTAAGTCCAACTTTATGGTAATTTTTGGAGCTGTTGTTTTCCAGACTGAACAGTTTTGAATCTGTCATGGTGAGCACGATAAGTCAGAATTAGCCGCCGTGATTGCATTAGCCTTTAAATATGAAATGTAGAGGTGAAAAAGACGCTGCCTAACCGTGCTTGATGAGATTTCATAATGATCTTTTTGTTCCTGCTTTTTCAGTTTTCCTTGTGTCACGCACACACACACACAGACACACACTCAAACACACACACACACACACCTTTGTGAGAATATATTTTCAGCAAATGGAAGCTGCAGCAGACTCAAGGTCTCTTGTGAATGTCTGTGGGAACAGACTGTAAGCACCTGGACAAAAAAGGAGAGACCATAATGCCACAGAGTGTGTACGTGCGTGTGCGTGAGTGTGTTTATTTGTGTATATGTGGGTGATGGTGTGTGTTTCTGTTAAAAAGCAGCATTAAAAAAAAAGATGTGTTTCTTCAGCACCAAACTCAACTTGTTCTCTCTCTCACACACAAACACAGACACACTCTCTCTCTCTCTCTTTCTCCCCCCATTACCCCATTACACACACACAACAGACATACACACAATCCACTAACAAGCATGTGCACAGGCATGCAACCTCAGAGACACTTAGAAACCCAGTAGTTAGTTCCTGCGTCATTACAGTAGCCATCTGTCAGTACGAAGACACACATACACCGACCTCACTGTGGGTGTGTGCAACCACCATGCAAACACACACGCGCACAAACACGAGGCAGCTTGCATTTGCACAAGCGCACATTTACACTGGCACAGCCTCACCCCGGTGACCCTCTGTGCCCTGCACGTCCTGCTAGTAGTCTGATGGATTTCACAAGAAGCTCTTCAGATTTTAGTGAATCCAAGAGGTGAAAGGTTTCCTCTCCTTTCTTTCTCTTTTTTTTATTTCTCATTATCTCCTCTTTCTCTCCATCCCTACCCACATGAATCTGTGTTTATCTGTGCCTGCCAAAGGCTGATGTCATTGTCCGGCAGCAGTGTGTGCTTTCCAGTGTGTGTGAGATAAAATGATGAATGTTGAGGTATAATCCCAGAGTTTAATCCCGGACCACTCGCAATCCGCTGCTTGCACATATACACACAGAAAACAACCAGAGCAACTCCTCTGACAGACAAGCTCACGGCTTTATTAAAACATAAAAATCATGCAGGATTTCTTGAGGAGGGGGTGGAGGACACATTTGGACCTCCAGCAGTCTTTAATAATGATCTCACATTATTCAAAGATGCCCACCTGCTAGGCACACAAAGAAAGAGAGAGACATAGAGGGGAAGAGAGAGAGATGAAAGATTATTTATTTCTCCTGGGTGGGAGACAGTGAGTGAGTGAGTGAGAGTGAGTGAGTGGGAGGGAGGGCGGCAGTCAGAAACAAGCAAACTAATTCTCACCGAGGAACAGACAGTCGTGCCAGAGCAGGAGCTGCGCTTAGTTCACCTCCCTCTGACGCTCTTTGTGTACCAACAAAGAATCACCTAGTTTTTTTTTCTTCTTCACGCTAAAACCAGGTATCAACTCGGACCAGAGCGTTCACATTTTGGATAAGGGGGCTGCAGACACAAGCACCCACACTTCTCCGAGCCGAGACAACTCAAGGTAAGGCTGCAAAACTGAAGGCGTAGTGAAATAATTTCGATGCAACAACTAAATGTCATCTCCGTTGGCGGTTAAGAGCTTCCGATAAAGAGATAAAAAGACGACGTTTGGTGTGCCGGGATGATGGTGCGCCGCGGACAGCGCGCGTAAAACAGCTGCAGTGAACATCTCCAACTGGCACAGATCATTCAGAGTAAAGTATCTGTCTGCTCATCGTGCCAAGAGAAAGTTAAAGGAGCTGCAATCTGTTAAGTGTAGTAACTGACTTGTTGAATTTGTGAGAATTTGGCACACTGGTTAAAGCAATCAATGTTTTGTTTTATCGGACTTACGGTGGGCTACTTTGGTGTTGTCTTTGTCCTAGAAGTCATTATATAATATGAACAAAATTCCCAGGCTAATCTGTGTGCTTTTATTTTGGCAGTCGCGCACTCTCAAATGGCAGGTTCGGGATTTTAAAACACACTTTCCAATTCTGAAAAAAAAGTGTGATTTTGTTTTTCTTTTATGTGGCATTTTAATCCTCTGAAAAGTTCTCCCAGCATACTCATCAGCTGAAGGGAAAAAGGTGTGTCCTCCTCAGGGGAGAAACAGCTTCCCTCCTCACACCTCCCATCACAACCTGATCCAGCTTTAGATCCTGAACTTATTCACTTGTTAATTATACATCAAACAGTAGAAGCCAGGCAACTTAACTTTCCATATACTGGGTCAGCATATTGATCGCAGAATGTTGAAGCAGGGTTGCTGCTGTTGGTTTCTCAGGTGGACTTATGAAAGAATCAATGCAACAAGCTCTTATGTTGAAAGGGAAGCTGCAGGTAAATGTCATTATTGCATGTGCTCAGAGTTTTGCTGGAGTAGCAACAGGAGTAAATGTAGTTTGAATACTTCTGCATCAACTCACTAAAATGGATTTAGTGTCTATTAAAGCCCCAGTGGAGAGTGTATCATACTTCATTTTTTGCAATGAAAGCAAAGTCCACCCCCTGCTGGCCTCATTAACTTGTTTCATAGGAGTGTGAGTGCAATTTGATAAACGAGGAGTGCAGAAAAACATCACAAGAAAAAAAAGAGAGAGATCCAGTGTCGGCTACTACACCACAGCACCCCAGAGAGAAACTAAAGGAGGCTGCTGAAAGAGAGACGGAAAAAGTGGTGGAGGAAAAGAGGCTGGGGATGACAATGGGGGGGGTGGGGAGGGAGGTGAAAATGTGGTGGGTGCATATTTAAGTCATTTGAGTTGTGATAGCTGCCCTGAATTTTCCCACATCATTTGCTTTTAGCCACAGATGGAGGATGAAAACTCAATTTTATGTAACAGGGTGGATGAGACTATCTATCTATCTATCTATCTATCTATCTATCTATCTATCTATCTATCTATCTATCTATCTATCTATCTATCTTTCTATCTAATCTGATCTACTTCTTTGCTGTCCTTTAAGTCAACCTGTGAGCTGCAGTATTTCATGTTTGAACTCCTCTCTTGAGACCTCATTTGGAGTTTGTGGGGAAAAAAAAGCTGCAGCCTAAAGGACAAAAGGCTCTCAAATCTTTTGTGTGCCTTTTTTGTTGTGTACTATGACTGTCTGTCTGTTGTGTACTGTTCACAGCAAAAAAAAAAGCAACTCTTATCTGTGGATTTTACTGGACGAGCCAGATAAATGGTATAATCCAACATACAACGCGGATAGCTAAACAAAGGTGGTTTGAGAGATACACTCTGTATGCTCAGGTGTGTGTGCAAATGCGCTTTATGCATCGTGGTCATCGTTCCCTTTGATTTTAGGAGGAATGGTACACCAGATTCAGGTTTTAACCTTCATCCGTACAGTTAAGCTAGCATCCTTTTAAAAGTCTGAGATTCATTTTGGAGATTTTCGATCACTGACCTCAGATGTGCACTCACACAGCATCAACATTTGGAGGATTAAGTGTTTCAGCAGGAAATAAACTAACAGAAGGATGGATTTGTGAATTGAATTACAGTAATATTACAGCCCTGAGTTACAAATTGAGCAAGATCTGTATGATTGAATGAGAGTACATTAGTGAAACATTTATTCTTCATTGGGCAAACATTTGAGTCTCGATTGAATCTGCTTGCTGCTGACCTCTTTTAACCTCTGCTAGCCTTTAAATATTTGTTCAAGTTTTATGTGTTTGACTGATTTTTAGAGGAATGTCTGCAGGGAAAAAAAAATGAGTTTGTGGGAGAATTATTAAATAGTTATATCAAAGACAGGGATTCTGATTCAGAGTGGAAATATGAAGTTAATTCAAAAGGGCCAAGCAGTTACCCTTGTTTCCACTCAAGGCCAACTTTAAAAGCCAAGGAAACCCATTTAGGCCTAATGTTCAAATGGCAAACTTTTTATCAGATACAAACATGCTGATGAAATAGTGTCTGAATAATTTCTCTGTCTGTAAAAGCTATACGAGAAGGATTTTTTAACATTAATGTTAGACATAGGGTGTGGCTGATTTGATTGACAGGTAGGTATGTCATAATTATTTACCTTACATATGGCAAGGCTGTAGCTTCTACTTCACCTTTTTGTCAGTGTTGACATTAGCTGGAAGTTAGACAGTCTCATGTATTCCATTATGATGATCACTAATCAAGGTTTTGTAACCAAGCAGCAATCTCGGGTGTTAAAAATTACTGAATTATGAAAAGTTCCAGAAACTGCAATACCCAGACTGTCCACTTGAGGCTGTCTCCAAAAGCTAAGGAAACCCCATTAACACACTATACAGTTCAGTCTTTTGTGGTTTTTTCTCGATTGTTTCAGCCCATTTTTGGAAACAGTTCTAACTTTTGGTGAGTACTACCAAACCACAAAGGTAATTAATTATTGTTCAAGCCATACTAGTTAAAATATAGCTGTGTTCTCACAGATTGCATTATATTTATGATAAAATTACTGTCTTTTAAAAAAGCAAAATTAAAGCCAACAAACAAAACATCCTTTAAGGATGAAAAAACAGAGTCAGTTTATGTAAATGAAGAAAAAAAAGAAAGAAAAAAAGGCTTGCACTACTTCATAGTAGACTACAACACACTCTCAGTCTGGTTTAGGATTTTTGTTACAGCAAGATCACATCTGATAGTTTCCATTAAAATCCTTAGCAGACAAACAAATCTCACCGTTCACACTCAGAATTCATGGCAGAAAAGCACCAGATTCATATCTATATGTTCTCAAACTTGACCATGATTGGTTAAATGTGATCTCTAATCCATCCATTACACAATCTCACCTAATGGGCCAGTTTATTGTGACAGACATCACAAACACTCTGTGATATCCATATAGCATTGACATGCATTAAGATTTATGATAGATTTGAATGACTGAATGGAAAATTTGGAATATGTATAAGCTGTGCAGAGTCAAACAGTTTTGTAAAATCAATAAACCAAATTTGATGAATGAGTCACTGACAAGAGATTTTTGTGCAGATTTGTAAAAAAAAAAATAATAGACCTAATATTTGGCCCACATGGACCAAAATAGTGAAATCTTCTTGTTTGAATGAGAGAAATCTGATCTGGTGTGAACAACAAGCTAATAGTTCAGAGATTTGAGCTTAATGGTCTAAGAAAAAGCTTTTCTCATTAGTAGACTGAGCCAAAGCGAATGAGAAATACTCTTACAGCTAAATTAAACATATTTACAACTTAGTACACGAAATGATTTTGTCTCATTAAACCATTTCTCTATTCATTAACACTAATTCATTTAGAAAACTACAAGTCTTACATAATCAGGCATGATTAAGGGTGTGACTTGACTGACAGGTGGACACATTGAAGCTATTAGCCAGGAGGCTAGAGGTCTGCATCAACTCCAGCTCTTTGTCACTTGATAGATCAGCCAAAAGTGTCACCATCATTGGGCTCCAGAGCGCCTCTCCAGAACTAAACCATGACATAACTGAGACTTAATAGATATTTCAAACCATCCAGGACTTAAGGCTCACTATCATAACCATGCATACAACCAGGGTTTATAATCTGAGCTTTTTTTAAGGGCTTTTTCAACAGCCCACATTTTTATCACACTGCTATTTTCTATAGACACATAGAGCCTAACCAGATGAGACACAAATTTTATACATACAAAAAGCTTTCGTGGCTATTCCCTGAGTGACGTAACAGGGTTCATTAAAAGAAGATCATGTTTCACTTGGTTGTTTTTAACTGTGTGTGTTTTCCAGCAGATATAATTGTAGTTAAAACACATTTTCCTGCAGATGAATTCACTTTTACTCTGTTCAACAATCTAAGCATGAACAGTACACACCGTTCTGCTGACTCGCCTCTTACTTTCACGTAGTTTTAATGAACCAGCAGGGAGGATTTCTTCGGTAAATAAGAAAATGCTGACATAGTTTTATGCTAAAACAATCCGCGGTTTTGACGAGTCTTCACATTTCTACAGTTTAACTCAATGAAATGGAAGAGTGGGCTTTGACTGCTTACACCAGCCTCTCAACATAACCTGTATTGATCACCCAAATCCTTCATCAAGGCTGATGAATGTCGTTTTTACAACAGCGATCCGATCCAAATATATAAATGCCTCTTTTTTTATGGAAAAGCCGATAAGGGGATGAGGATGGCGGAAAGGACGAGTAATGCTCATGTTTACAGTAACAGTGGCGGTATTGATCAGCCCACATATTTCTCAGAGTTGACTCACTGCAGTCTGAAGTGAGAGGTTGAAGGAAATGTACTTTTTTAAATAGAAAATCCAGGACACAAGAAGCATAAATAACTTTGATATTGCTTATTGAATAGCCTGGTCAATGCTGCAGAGATAGTGGAGCAAATTGTGCCAGACCTTGTCAATAAAAGACATATTTACAGTTTTATGATTCCGTCAATATGAAGCCCAATAAGAGGGTTTGTGTGGACGCTGCAATGTGGGCATCGATATCCCATTATGATGTCATTATATATCATCAGCTGATAAAAAAAATGATGGAGTAAATTCAGTCTGATGTTTCCTACAGAGATTCTGCTGCTGAATATGCACCACCGTGGTCAATGTGACATCTCAAACCCTCTGTGTAATGTGACTTTAGCTCTCTGCCACAATATTTGGTGGCTGGTAATGATCCTTATGTGCCACAGGGGCTCAGAGGAAAATATTCGTCAACATTAGCCAAGCTGAAGAAAAAGTGAAAAAAAAACTGTGGCGAGGCAGAAGAGGCGCACAAACTGTAGTGCTTAGACGGCGGAGGAAGCAAAGCGAGGGAGAGAGAAAAAAAAAATCAAACACTTCTTGTTTATTTCCGCACACATGCCACCTATGTTACATAAGGATGAGCTTGAGGATAAACTGCACATGCAGCATATGTTTTTTTTTTTTTTCCCCTAACTGACTTTGGTGCCAGAGGTTTCTCATGTCCTGCCCTCCTTGCTCATCTTCTGCCTCCTTGCTCTCACACACTCCCATCTCATCTGCTGGCTGTCTCTTCCAGCTGAGCCCTCTGTCCCCTGCTGAACCCCCCAATGTGCATTCTGTCTCAATCTGTCATAAAGTATATTTATACACGCAGAAAGAGAGGGGGAGTGTGATCTAGATATCTGTGTAGTAGAGGTTACACATTCCTGGGCGTAAATGCAAGAACAGATTTAGATATGTGAGAAGAGTGTGCTTTTAGGAGGATGTTACTTTGGTGAAACATCCACTGCCAATCAAATCTCATTTTTATGTTCAATGTGTTACACCGTAATTCTCAGTTTTCTATGAAGCATATTCAAACAGCTGTAACCCATCCAAAACTCATGTTAAGAGACATTAAAGTATCAATCAGTTGTCAAATTGACGCATTTTACTGCCTTAATTCAAACCAAAGTCTGCGTGGATTTGGACTATCGAACCATTTCTTTTCTTCTTACCATTTCTTTTCTTGTCCTTTGTGTTTTTGCTGACACTGTACCAGACTTTTATTTTCCTGGAGCCAGCTGGATGCTATTATGTATCAGAATGAATACTCTTCAGTTGTTGTTTTCAGAGTTCAAGGTCTCACATTCCACTTGAAAGCAAAAGAGCACCGAGACACAATTCAATTTTTCTGCAATGGTCACACAACATTGAGCGAGGCAGGAAACAGTTCAATGGCTTCAAATCTTTTGGAGCCAAAGCAACTAATATTTTCACTAATTATTTATTTTCGTCCAAGAATTTTAGGTTCTGCCACAACATTCATTACAGGAGTAAAGCAGATATTGGCATGTCAAACAGTGCAACTTTCAAATACTTGATACCTCCAACTGAACTATGACGGTTGTGTGTTGTACATATTTAAAAGAAACTCATTTTCTACATGAATCTAAAATACTAGATTCCATTGGCTGACGTCAAAACCAAAACCCATGGTCATGTCAGAAGCAGTTCATGTACCAGAAAGTTTCAGGAAGGCCACTTGATAATAAGTGAAATGTTAGCTATCCTCCTGAAATGTTTGCTAGCTGTAACAGCAAGGAAAGAAGACATGTCATTCTCAGTGGAGCCCACACCCAGAACACCAAACTGGACAGGAAAGAAATACGTACACTATTAGGTCAAAATAAGACACCATGATCCATGTGCAAACTGTATATCACCTTGTATAATCAAGAAATACTTATCGACTAAACACAACATCAATCCGGGTTAACCTAGTGCTGTCACAATACATTGGTGTAATCAGTAATAGGACTGAAACTGATTCCTCGAATACCTCGAGTACCTCGATTACAAATAATGATCGAGGAATTTTCTCTGCCTCAAGTACTAGTTTATAAGCTCAAATCGACACTGTTTCGCATGGATTCTTTTGAAGGTGACACTATGTGCTTACATCACCACGGTAGAAGGAGGAGAAAGCGCTGTTTAGGTTTTGCGGTGCAGAAAAAATAAACGATGAGAGGGGTTTTTCTTGCAGCGTTGCCAACCTAGCGACTCTTCACACTTCTCTTCACGCTAGCTTGTAGCCTAACATCGCTGGTGTCGTAGCAGTAGCAGATAACATAGGAGCTATTCAGCTCTCGGACACTAAAGTCTTTAGGGGCATGATGAAAGTTAATATCATAATTAGATTTCTTACAAGCATTGCAATCCGCTAAAGCACACACTTGTTCCATGATTGTCCTCTATTTCGCCAAGCCTGGCCTTCATATTGGGGCTATAGGAAATCTAACTTTATATGAGTCTACCGTTTGGGTCCAATTGCTCGAGTAATCGGTAGAATATTCGGTAAAATACTCCATTAGTAAAATATTCGATAGCTGCAGCTCTCATCAGTAATGTCTTCTTTAAATGTTAAGATTGTGCTACAAATTAGCGTGCTCTTGTGCTGTGAGTTCATGACTGAGGTCGTTCATACAGTTTGCCACATGTCACGAAGAAGCAGCAGCAGACTGCCTGTGAACTAGCTTGAAGCAGCTCTCTAAGAGATGAGTAGATCCATTTAAAAACTAAAATTCCATCATTTTTGTTAATCTAACATTAGAACTTGTGCATCTCCCAGTTACTAAATAGTCGAGCATTCATTCTTACTGGCAGTTTAATTAACGGTTTTCATCTACTTCCTTAGCCTATGATCTACCGGAAGTAGCTATACTTCAAAATAAAAGCATATAGGAAGTACAGAATGGTAGAAAAGGTATCAAAATAAAAGCATGACAAACAGTCAATTTATGAGGTAATGGTCACAGTAATCTTGAGGTGAAAATATGATATCGTGACAGCCGTACATCGAACCCAACATGACTTTTAGCTGTTAACCCTTTGATGCGCAACATGGGTCAAAAAAGACCCGGCTGAGTTTAAATTTTATATATCTTCTCAAAAAATTAATTCCATCAGTCGGTACTCAAGGAATTCCTCAATTAACTTGTTTTTGACGACCCTACATCCTTATGTTAATTTTTCTTTTTTTACTTTTAAAATAAAAAACGTTTTTGTATCACTACCCCTCTAATGCACAACATGGGTCTAAAATGACCCGTATCCATTTTCAATGTTATTTCATGTATGGCTGAGTGTTTCTATGGTATATCTTTGACATAAATTAATTTTATCATTCACTATTCCAAGTATGCAGTAAAGATCTTGTTTTAGTTGAGCACAAATAATCATTTTTATTTTTCCTTTCTTACGGTATGAGGAAGCACAGATTTTGTATTTCTACATCAAGTTTACATACATGGGTCAGAAACGACCCACATACAGTGACTGTAGCATTTAACATGAAAAGACCATCTAATACATGTAAGTATGGTTTTTCAATTGTTCTGACATTATCTTAGAAATTATTTGATGACAATTGTGAAATATAATTGTACATAGATTTGATTTGATTAGGTTTAGGTTACCTTGAGAGTGAGGACATTACATGTTGGAAAGTTACACAGTTACAGGTAAAACAGCTAGCGTTATTTCAGCTAGCTATAATCAGACGCATGTGTATGTGACAAAATGACAAATAAACATGTTGCTGATACAAAATACAAAAGTGTTTGGCCCATAGACTGTATAAAGAATGGACAGCGTCTGCCTCCTTGCTGGGTGAAGCCGAGAACAGCACCCCCTGTTTACAGGCTGCAGTATAGGTCATAAATCCCGCCTCCGCCAGCAAACCTTTTGGAGCTGTGGACAAACTTTAGAAATTTATTACACAGAACATAAATTTTTCTCCCCCCTGCTTGTGATGTTGACATGAAGTTATTGAAAGACTGGTTTTTGCTCAAGTCCTCTTTTTTCTGTACAGCTCTGTTTTTAAAAGTTATTAGGGGGTTCATGTTTTCTATGATTGACACCTGCCATAGACTGTATATAGAATGGACGCCGTCTGCCTCCTCGCTGGGTGAAGCCACTCCGAGAACAGCACCCTCTGTTGATGGGCTGCAGTATAGGTCATAAATCCCGCCTCCGCCAGCAAAGATTATGGAGCTGTAGACAAACTTAAAAATTTTATTACACAGAACATAAATTTTTATCCTTCCTGATTGTGATGTTGACATGTAGTTACTGTCAGACTAGTTTGTGCTCAAGTCCTCTTTTTTTCTGTGAAGCTCCATTTTTAAAAGTTATTAGGGGGTTCATGTTTGCTATGATTGACACCTGATACAGCCTATGGGCGTTCAGGGATTGCGTAGCTCTCCCGGGGGATATGCTGTTTGAGCCGAGTGTCATCACAGCGACTCTCTTCAACTGTGCGGCCAAATGCGCGCATTGCTACTGCGCAGCGCTGGTTTCAGGAAATGAAGAAAAATCCTGGAAATATCGAGAGCTATTTGGCTTCAAATCTGTATACAGGCAGTAGGCGGAACAAAGTTGTCCATAGTATATACAGTCTATGGATACAGCCTATGGGCGTTCAGGGATTGCGTAGCTGTCCCGGGGGGATACACTGTTTGAGCCGAGCGTCATCACAGCGACTCTCAGCGACTGCGCGGCCAAATGCACGCATCGCAACTGCGCAGCTCTGGTTTCAGAAATGTAGAAAAGTCCCGTAAATACCGAGAGCTTTTTGGCTCCAAATCCGTATACAGGCGGTAGGCGGAACCAAGTTGTCCATGGTATATACAGTCTATGGTTTGGCCCCACTCACTGCTAATTTCATTACTTGAAACAAATTATTATTATAGTGTTAAGTAATTTAATATTAAATCACACTTGAATGAATGGGTCGTTTTTGACCCATGTGTGTAAACTTGATGTAATAATATAGAAACTTTATTATTTCATAAAGTATGAAAAGAAAAATAGAAATAATGATCAGTGGTGATCAAAAACAAGATTTTTAAAGAATACTTGGAATATTCAATCAGAAAATAAACTTATTTCAAAAGATAGAACAAAGAAAAACTCAGCCAGCATGAAATACCATTGGAAATGAATGTGGGTCTTTTTAGACCCATGTTGCGCATTAGAGGGGGTGTGGATATGTTGCGCATCAAAGGGTTAACTTTGTCAGTAAGTAACCGCAAACCAAAGTAGAACATGTCTATTTATAAAAATCAAACGCAATTTAACCTGCAAAAAATGTAACTTTATAACTACTGAGCACTCACCAATAATAGAATCACAAAAGTGACTGAATAATGTCTAAATGAGCAGTAAATCAACCATGGAGAGGAACAGTAACCTGCTGTAAGTATGTTGTTCTCAGTACACTGAATCCAGCTGCTTCAGGCTGCACTACACTTCAAACATGCTTCCAGTAGGCCAGAGCATACACCACTGGACAGAACTATGGCACTGATGTAACACAGTGCATGCACTAGCTGTAGAGTTTAGCAGTCAGTGTTTTGGAAACCAAGTAGTGACTGCCAACGTGTTGATATAGGTGTACCCTTACATTTAAGTCCAGGCTGTAAAGCAGCAGTTATAGTAGCTTTAGGATTGCTGGAGGTTATGTGATGTTGAGGCGGACATTCATGCAAAACTCATGTTGGATATTACATAAGACAATATTAGCTGGAGTTAAAGCTACAAAAACAACAAATCATTTTCAATGGCAGAAATCCCAGATCCAGGTCACTGCCAAAATTTTACCAACTGATCCTTGGGCCAGCAAAACGCTCACCAAACTCCAGCCAAATTTACTACTAACTTTTTGAAATACTTCGCAGACAGAGTCAGAGTCAGAAGGGCACATGCATCGAGCTATTTCACTGGCAGAGGTAATAAAAGGATCTCGGCATGTGCTACTACAATAACACACAGACGTCAGCAGCTCTGGCGCGCACACACACGCACGCACTAGCACAGTACTGATGGGCTTTTTTTTTTTTTACTTGTAGTGTTGCTCTGGGAGAATAAATAGGACTTAGAGGAAACTACCAAACTACACACTCTGATTAAAGCCATGAATCAAATTCTGCTGAATTCTACCAATGATTAACAGGCAACTCGAACCGGCACGACACAGCTAGGGAGGGATGAAACTCATGAAATCTTCATTAGCAGAGCTCGACATCAAGCCAAGGTAAAAAATCTGTCTTTGTGAAGGTGTTGAGAATTAAAAAGCCACTGCTCTACATGTCAATAAGACAAAGAAGGTTTGTGTCATTTTTACCCAAACTCATTTTTTACCCTTTTAAACTCTCACAGTATTGCCTTCCTTCTCCTCGAAAGTTATAGTTCATGAAATAAACAACCTCCTGATAGGTTATCTTGTTGTTATATGTCCCCTTATATGTAGCTTCATTTTCAATTCATGGAGTCTGTTCATTTCACCCTAGGTGTTAGAAACACATCTTCTTTACACCAAATACATAACAAGTCTTCCAGAAATTTACCTGAAATGATCTTCACAGCAAAATAAGACAACTACTGAATTATGACTTTTACTGTATGTATCATACTTTTACACTAAAGTGTGAGATTCTTTGTTTTCATGGGAAATAAAAGGTGTGTTTTAGGATACCCTGTTAGCCAGTAATCAAGTCCTTTTATTACATACTTAGAGAGAAACGAAGAATTTCTAATGAGGTCTTCTTTATGTGTGGCTCCCTGGTGTTAAAGGAAGGAGAGGCATTTGAAGTGAGAAACAGGGAAGAGAAGATAGATTGGAGAGGGAAAGAGCAATGAAGACGGAGAGACAGAACAAGTACTTAATTAAAATTACATTCATTACCACTGCCTGTGTATGCTGTCCTTTCTGTCTTTTTGTCCCCATCTGTCATCTCTCTATCTCCTCTTCCTCTCCTCTTCTGTCTCATTCCCCCACTGTCTTTCCGCTTTTTCTAATGCCTAATCTCCTCACCTCTCTTTCTTCCTGTCACCTTTTTTTTCCCTCTTCTTGGGCCATCTCTCACTTTCCTGTGCGTCTATCTTTTCATCAGTTCTCCACATGGGTTTATTTATCTCTGCTATTAGACAGTTGGGTGGATGACTGCTGTGGCCTTTTGTAAGAGAGAAGTCAAGAAGAGAGAGGAGAGACAGTCTGACGTAATGTTCTCTTCTTTAAAAAGTCCAAGCAGCCAACTCCAACGTACTCCACCTGGCCCAGTTTTGGACGACTAAAGACCACTCACCTGTCAAGTCCACGCAGGAGGAAGCTTGGTCACAGATTTTTTGGATGAAACTGGGCTAGAATCTGGGCCAGCACAGCTAGGACATAGATCAGACAATGACATAAATGGTACAAATAAAAGCCTTAAATTACTACAAACATGAATGAGTGCAATCCGGATACAATTATATTAGAAAAGCTAAAAATAGACGGATTAAAGTAATTATAACTTTGGCATTCAGGCTGTTATTATGAGTAGCAGTATCTTATTGCTTGCTCATTATGTTCGTCATTGGGATTTATCATTTGTTCCTTCTCCACCAGCCCCGGCTACATCATGCCTTATGTAACACCCCAAGCTGTTGTAAAGATGGATCCAACAAGCTACTGCTCCATCCGTCCGTCAACTGTGGCTCCCTATCCGATCGTAACCACTGCTGCCGAAGCTACTTCCTCTCATCTCCTGCTAGCCTCTCTCCAGAATAGCGATACAGCTAATGCAAGCAAAGGACAGCTGCGGCACAGCACTTTGTAATTGAAAACAATTATGAGAGAGGCCAGAGGGAACGGTTTGTGAAGAGGGAAACACATACTGGCTATTAAACATACTGGGAAAATAAGGTGCGTGTGAAAACCATTGCCACAATCCCAGCAGGAGAGTGTCTCCTCTTTTGGTTGAACGCATGGATAGTTTCAAAAGATGATTCTTTGCTTTTGTGACACTGCTTCAAGAAGCAAAGACAGAAATAGGAATCGGGAAGAGTTTCTGGGCTGCTCGCTCTGAAGTGAAGAGATTCTGAGGAAAGAGAGGAGAGAGAGAAAGAGAGAGAGAGAAAAAAAGAGGTCACAACTGATCCGGATTTATTGGCTCAGCTGGTCATAAAAGAGGCTTTATTCTCACATTGCATTATGCAAGCCAAGATCTCTGCTAGCTACAGGTGAAAGATGAGTAGTCTGCAGACACCCATTTTCTCTGTCTCTGTGATTCTCTCTCTCCTCCCTCCCTCCCGCCTTCCTTTTTTCTCCCAGGATAGATGAGTTTAATACCAAGCTGGTTAGATACAAAAGATTTCATCACTTAAGTGCAGTGTTTGCTTTCTCTGACTCAAGTTATAAAAGTCTAGCCTCTTTTCCTCTGATCCCACCATCTCTGCGGCATTCTGCTGCTCCCCTTACTCTTTTCCTTCCTGCTTTTTTTCCCCCTTTTCCTTCCTTTACCATTACAGAGACATCCCAAGGATTGCTTAAACGCTATACACAAAGCACAGGCAATATTTGAAAGGTATTACCGTGAAGACACACTACCTCTTGATATCTTTGAGTCACTCCTTACCTCATTCTCTGCCATATGCTTGCACACAGAGTACCGGCCCTGCAGAGGCACCATAGGAAGCATCTAAAAGTGCCTACAAGACAGTAACAAACTCTCTGAGAATCACTTACAAAGAAAACTGCCAGCTTGTGTAGCTCTGTAGAGCAGGATGGTCATGACTTCACAGTTTTGCCGATGACAAATTGGTGTCATCCATCATAAGTTGCCCCAAAACCTTCAAATGTTGCAATCAGTGGTATGCGTTGCTTGTGCTATTGCAGCAGAATTCCTCTTTCCATGTTTTTATAAAACCTGACTAAACAGTAGTAAGCGTAAGTAGTTGAGTAATTGAATTTATTAGCAAGTCTGATGGATAATCCTCTCTTTAAATTCAAAGCCCCTCAGAAACAGTGACAAGTGGTCTCTTTGCGTGCCTCTGCAAAGAAACCTAATATCAGGAATTTTAGAGAGTATGTGTCAGAAAGGGAGCAGGATTTTCTGAGGTGAATGGAGATAACCATTCCAGTCGACTTTATTATAAAAAAAAAAGAGCCAGGGAAGTGATAGGAAGAGAAAAAAAATGGTAAGAAAAGCAGCTAAATGGGAGAAAAGCTGGAGCATGCTCTGCCTTTGCTCTGACCTGGTTCCAGTTAATCCGCCTACTTTACACGATGAACATTACCTCCACACAGTATTTATAGTCTTTTGGTGTGTGTGTTTTTGTGTGTAAGCTTGTGCGTATGTATGAATGTGATTTTTTTTTTATTGTAGAGTAAATGCAGTCACTCCATGCCACGTAATGGGTCTGATAGCAGATAAAGCTTGATGAAAAAAGGATCCATATTTAAACCTTTATTTCGCAACAAACGCAAATCCCCATGATGCTGAGTGTTGGAACCATTGTGGAGGCACCATCTGATACACTGCCTCTGATATCGACAAGATGTTTCATCCAAGATAGGGCCAAACAAGATTAAATTGAAAGTTCTCTGATGAAACACAATATTGGTAATTTATTCTACAGTATGTCAACATTGCTTACAAAACATATTGAGCTTAAAAGAGAGCTTTGAGAGCAGCTAGCTTGACTGACAGGGGCCTTGGGTCTTTGGCTGCTTTCAGACAGATTTGGCTGCAATAAGAAACAGAGCGATCACATTCATTTTGCGGAGGTTTGGTTGAATTTTTTACAGCTATGTAATGTGAAAATCATTCACCAAATGTATCCTCAGACTTTCCCTCCTTTTTTATTCGCTCATAGGTTCCCGTTTCCATAAATCTACCATATTACACAGCCTGAGCACTCTGCTTTGTTGATAGTTCAGTGTTTGTAACCTCTGAATTTTTTTACCCATGTATACTGGGACTGTCGATTTGTAGCTACCTGCCTGCCCACTGAGCAATAGATGGCCATTAGACGTCTAGATTCTGTATATCTTTTAGACCTGTGGTAGCCTGATTTTAGACCAGCCGTCTAGGCTACATTTAGCCGTATATTAGACCTCTTTTAGGCCCAAAAAATGCTCAGTGGGTGTATTTCCAATAACCACCTGTGTGCTCTCTTTTCATGATATTTAACACAAGTCTAACATTGAGCATGATTGTTACAAGTCTGTCTCATACAAGATCATACATCCTGCAATTAGAAGAAGTTGAATTGGTGTGGTCAACATTAGCAGAACTAGCACTGCTAGCCCTCAGTCCTCCTTGCAGGTTAACATCCAAATGCCCACGCTGGTATAGCATTGCTCTGGCAGCATGGCTATAAGACAGCCTCCATGCAACTTAATCCCAATTTATAGATGAGACCACTGCCAGACTGTTACAGTTTGTCCACATTAGTGATGACATCCAGGTGATCGAGCTTTGATACCGATACCAACTCTAATACCACAATACTTGACACTGAAATAATACTCAAATAATGGTTCAATACTTGATACCCAGCAGATCAGAAGCATGTCCACCAGAGTTGGTCATGTTGCATTTCACAGTTCATTAATGATATTTTGATGCTGTGAAATCACTGAACATGTCCCAAACTTGTTTTTTCAGAAAAAAAAAAAAAAAAAAATTGACGCTATCTCTCGTCAGTCGGTTTCGACCCATGTCTTTAATCAGGTGAAAATTACACTAAAAACAATTCTCTATCATCCGATTTGGTTCTCTTCTCTAGGTTACCTTGTTGGGCTTCATTATCCATGAAAATATTGCTTATAGTATTTTTGTTGTGGGTCTCTGGGCCTTTCTTTGTCAGGTTACCCCTCACACAGACATCCATACTGAATTGATCTTACATGTCTGGACATGCCCAGCATTGCTTTTTGTGCAGGGAAAAACATGGCAATGAGAATTTCCTAAATCTCACTGTATTGGAAGAGGATCTGACTGTCAGTGTGGTGCCTGACAGTGCACATATGATTTTAGTTGTTGCTCTAATTATTAGATATTAATCTAACTGGGTCAACAGTGACCTTAACACGACAAGTGCCATAATCTTAATAAGAGCAAAGAGCAAAAGTCTTGATGCAAAAAAGTTAATTTATGTGGTTCTTTTAAGCATTTAAAACATAAATGGGTCGGTGCAGTCCCTAACACAGATGGAGGGTTAAGCAACCCGACCAAAGTTTTGTTTTTTTATCCAGGAGCATTATGTGCACTACACGCCCTATTTTGTTTTCAAAATGTATGTGTAAATGTGTCTTGTTTACTAGCCTCTTTGGTTCTTTGTCACTACAGAATCTCAACAAAAGAAGTGACAAGTAACATTCATCATAAGAGAAAGTTAGACCTCCAAATAAGAGCGGCTTTCTACATCTGTTGTTATTGATTGCAGGTTTTTTATGTTCTCAGTCCCTCAGTCACTTACATCAGAGCCACATTAACTCTTTGACCTCCATATTTGTAAATTCTAAAACCACGGCATAATGAAAGTACCAACATTTTGGCTTACTGTGATACAACACTATTGAAGATACAGGTTACCAAATCTGTGCTTTGGACTTGAAAAGAAACTGGACCAGTGGAGAGACAATTCAGATTTCATGACCAAAAATCTAATGATTTTTTTATAACTAGAGTCTTTCATCTCCTCTGCTAAAACGGCATCCCAGTGGAAGGTGCTAGATCATCTCACCTCGAGGATGCTCCACAGGTATACTGTGAATGCTATAAGGTGTACCCACACACTGTTTAAAAATAGAGAGGGCCTTGACAGTCCTACACAAAGCTTCACAGCCAAGACCTCTCCGTTGAAATGGTCTCAAGCCTTATGACTCTTATCCAAAACTTCAATCACTGCTCCATTCTCCTCCTCTTCCCTGCTCCTCCTCCCTACTCTTCCTCTCCTCCCTCTCCAGGGAAAGGATTTTGCTTCTATAAGTCTTCTATCACACTGAATATTTCACAAAAGCACTTTTTTTCCTCCTCCAAGTATACATACACACACACTGCTGACTTTCTCACGGAAGTCTTCTCGCTTTTATTCCCTCACGCTCTTCACAACTGTCATCCTCCAAGCTTTGTCTTTTCCTCTCTCTTTCATTTTTCCTCTCTTTCTTGTCATCCTCATCTCAATCTTATTTTTCCTCTTTGTCAGGCTACAGTGCTACTTTCTCCCTCTCTCTTCCTCTCCACTGTTAGGGAACCTCTTTGCTCTTTCCTGTCAATTTTTTGAAACACATCTCTACTTTCCTGCATCCTCCGTTATGAGATTTACAGGAATGCATTAGACTTATAAAGCCTTGAAAGGATGAAGTCGACCTACATTGTAATCAATACACTTTATGTTGGGCTAAGCTTTCGTCTAGCTTTTTTCCATGTGTAACAGAGCCTGTTTACCTCATTCAAGAGTGAGAAGCTCAAATACTTTTATCATGTCAGATAATATACAAAAGTTACCTGTATTGCCACCTTTTGGTCTTTAGCTTCTTTGCTAATGTCTACAATGTGCTCACCTGTCAGGCAAGTGTAGTTTCCATTTTATTAGCCACACTAGCTAACGTCAAGAACATTATGTTGTTATTTATGCTTACCTCATTCAAAGGTGAGAAGCTCAAATGCTTTCATAATGTGGTACTCAGATAATATATGAAAGTCACATGTCAGTATTGCCACCTTTAGGCCTTTAGCTTCCTTGCTAATGGCTACAATGCGCTCACTTGTCAGTCAAGGCTAGTTTACATTTAATTAGCCACACTGGCTAACACCAAGAACATTGTGTGGTTATTTATTTCAAAGAAAGTGTAAGCTTTTTAAAGGGACAGTAACTTATTTGAAGCATCTCAGACAAAGATATTAAGAGTTTGTTGAGCTTGTTGTCATGTAAAGCTGCTAAAATGCTAAAAGAGGGATGATAGAAAGACCATAAATAAGCATCACACCCCATCTTTAACCATAGCACTACAAAGCACTTTATGAAATTTCCAATTGAGTTTGAGCCTTGTGTGTCTCATAGTGTGAATCTACCAAGTGTTTGTAATCGTTTTTATCTAATTCCAAGCTAACAGTTATAGTAGGTGGCGTGCTACTGTTGGCTGATGTCTAACCATAGCTAATGAGTCATCTATTGTGTTCATTTATCTTGATATATGACCATGATTTCTGTCTTCAACAAATCAGATATAAAACTATTAAAAACTGTCAGGAACTCTGAGTCGATTTAACTTAAAATCCTAAAAACTGTAACACTACATTGCAGCATTGAAGGTTATTTTAGCTCCTCAACCAAAGTCTGCAAAGAGAGGAAAATGAATGCTGTGTGAATACTTGTACTGTAATTGGTGGTCAGGTCAGTTTAGCTTCTTTGCTGTGGTATATGCATAACCAGAGTGGTTTTATGCAGGACAAGCTGTACAGATCCTCACTATAGGGATAAGCAGCTCGCTAAAGTGTATGTAATCAGATATGTTTTCCAGAGCAATTTCTCAGCCAAAGTAAATTTTCATTGGTTGCATCCCTAATGTTAAATGAGTCAGTGCATCAATGAAGATTGCATGGGAATCTAACCCAGCGATGAATTATTTATGGGGTGTGCAGGATGAGTCTATTTGGTAGCTTAAGTGTGTGTGTGTACGTGTGTGTTTGTGAGTCCTGAAGATTCAGTACCCCAGAGTTTTAATAATGTGCATTTAGTCTCAAAATTAGATTCTTCATTTTTTCGTCATTGTTAGTCAGACCTTGCTTCCTGCCTGTGTGTTTTTGCGATGCCTCTGAGGCTCCGTGAACATAATCACATCTAAACATCCTCCTGAAGCATTTAGAGGAGTCTCATACAGTAAACAGGTGTCACAACAACCACAATGACTCGCACTGCCGTTTTCCCTGTTCTTCTTCTTCTTCTACTTCCTCTTCTCATTTTCTCAATGGTCTGATTTTGATGGCATGCTTATAAATCAGACCAGTTATATTTGGACTAAATAATGCAGTTGGAGACATTGGAAAGAAGCCCCATTTGAGGACCTGGTTAATATTTCATACATAAATTGATACTGCATAAAGCATACTGTTGATCTGCACAAAGGTCCAGAGTGTATAGGCGCCTGCCATAGCCTCAGGCTAATTACACGAGAGTCTACACACTGTGCATGCAAGACTGAACAGGAGCTGTGAAATTGTAATGTCAGCCTTTTTTTTTTTTTTTTGTCTATTTGTGAGTAATCAGAGATGCAGACTATATCTGGAGTGTACCCACCAAACACCATCAACACATTTGTAATCCTCTGGAAAAACACGGTGTATGAGCTGTAAGACCTGCACAATTTGGCAGGATGATGTGCATTAATATTGAAAATTTAAACACGGAGAGTGTTTTTTTTTTTAACTTCAGTTTGACAGAAACGAAGTGAACGAGTCAGTACAGCATTGTTTGTTATGTAACATAAAGCTAATCTCACAAAACCAGATAAAATGAGAATGCAACTCAGACCACTGGCCACAAGTTAAAAAGATTCCAACAGGGAGACAATGAGAGGAGGAAAAAACTCTCAAAATTCAGCTGAAATTGGTTTTAAATTATGCAACGCAGAAGCACAATGGTGGCGGTGATGACTCTGGGTGTTTAAGATCGTCCCCACTAAGTTAAAGTCCTTTTATTATGAACTTAGTGATGCATTGGCCCCTGTGAGCGCCATCCTAAGAGTGACCTACAGCTTTCAAAGGTCTCCTCAGATTAACAGTAAATCTCCACTTATCTTAAGTTACTTCCTGCAACAGATGGAATTCGTCGATGACTTTCTGGATGAAGCTTCTGGAAATTGAAATCCTTGATGAGGAGCAGCAATAAGCTAACTACTAGTGCGAAACGATGGTTTGAAAGTAATTCCCTGACCTGTGTATGTGTAGAGAGGCACCATCTGTGTATGATTACTGTGCGTGCCGCTGACATGCCCAAACTGGCTCATGCCCATAAAAGCACTTGTTTCATGTTCCTCTGCTTCTTTTTCTCCCTTTTCTGTCTCTTTCATGCTTTTTGACTCATCTTGTTCGCTGTCTCTCTCACTTTAAGAGTCCCATGAGACCAGATGACTTCACTTTCATCCTTAAACTTGTGCTGGAGCAAGCTTGTTCTCACACAAACATGCTGAGGTGCTGGTTCAAAAATGCCAGGGCCCATGAGAGTAGGGGGCTAGTATCAGTAACTTGGATAAATGATTTTAAATTGAAATTAAATTGAAGTTGACAGCACTTTCAGTGAGAGAAAAAGAAAATGAGTGCTACCCCCAGCAGAAATACAGATGAAGGTTTAACAGATGATGAAATTAACACGAAAACATCGGCGGTGTGGAGGTATTTTGTTTTTTTGAGGTCGGACATGTAGCAGAGTAATGTGCACTGCAAATTATATCGAGTACATGTTCTCACAAAGCCAGGGAATACCTCAAATCTTTTTCCCCTCCTGAAGCAATGCCATGCAGCAGTGCATGCACAATGCAAAAGGTTACAAACCCTGAGTGGAGCAAGAAGTCCATGGCGCCTGTGCAGCCGAAACAGCCGACCATTCAGTCCTCTTTCTCAAGCGCAACGTCTTACAACAAAGCGTCGAAGAGACACAAAGACCTCACAGATGCAGTTGCTTATTGTATTGCAGAAGACATGCTACCAATAAGCACTGTTAAATTTCATTTTTTTATATCATGATATATATCAATATTGACTGATATGGAAAAAATATATTGTGATAAACTTTTTCCCATATCACCCAGCTCTACATACCTACTCTGAACCATATGTAAGTCTGTGTGTGTATGTGCAATGGTAACAGCTGGGTCCTCAGTCCCTATGATGCTCCTGGCTCCTTTTTTTTTCTAAACCGACTGTGTTTGCACAAGTGTGTGAGTCCTTCAGGTGCCAGAAAACTGCGTACGTGATGGGTAAAAGAAAATCAACCACCTTTCATAAATTCAAGGCAACTCCGAGGGAAATTTTAATGAGCAGCCAAATCATAATGAAAGAAAACAAAAGCTGTATTGTTTTAGAGGTGGCAACAGGTGAAAGAACACTAAACTTTGTGAATTTAATCATCAGTCAGCCTTGAGTTCCAACTCTGAAAAGTGGGATTTTTTTTTTTTTAAAGGGGTTTAAAATAAATTAGTTTTCAACTCAATGAAAAATTTTGAAGGATACTATTAGCTGTTCTGGTTTTATTTGTTCAACTGACATAAACGATGGGATGTCATTCATAGGTTCATAACAAACTGAGCCTTTATTCTAAGCAAATGTTGCTTCACCATCTACATTTACAGGCTAATGCTGTCCAACAGGTAGCAGTGAAACAACAGAGCATTAAAACAGCTGACAATCACAGACTAAAACAAAGAAATCAGAGTCTCCAGGATGCATCTTTTATTGTCTTTTGTTTTGTTTTTGTCTTCTGATGCAGTTGTGGAACAGTTCAGGTTTACAGCATGTTGTCTTCCACACTCCCCGCTGAGGCTTCTATCAGCCGAGGGTTTTTCTCCAGCTGCTGAAAGTAAGAATATGACTGACAGGTGTTGAGGGACGAGCAGGAATAGACAAAAATAAAAGAGAATTCCTGTACTCTGTCGGCATCAGGACGCTTTCACTCACAGGTGAGACCTTTATCTGTGATCTCGGGAAGCAGAGGTGTAACAGTGAAACCAAAAGAAGAGAGAGGGAGCACAGATTTATTTGCTGCCGCTGATTACTTGAGAACATCGGCTGTGTGTGGAGGTGCAGTGCTAGAGGGTTGTATGACGGAGTGTCAGAGACTGCTTGTGTGTGTCTTTGTTTTGCATGCATGTGTGAGTGAAGGGGTGTATGTGCCAAAACTGGGGTGCAAATTGGGCTTCTCGGTATGAGATCTCGAGGCTCTTTGCTAGGTGTGTTCAAAAACCACGTTTGGCCACAAAGGGTTGAATTAATGCAGGTTTGATCAATTAAGGTACTCGAATGTGCACATGTGCAAGGACACGCAAACATGCTTAGAGACATACAGACACACAAAGTATAATGACTGTTGGGAAAGAAGGTTTTTTTTTTCCAGTTTAATTTATTCCCCTGAGAGTGCAAACCTAACAAAGAGACCAGTGGCTAAACACATGTGCATGTGCATTTGAATCTGCACAAATGTGTGTGAGGGTGTGTAGGTGGATCGTGGGTAGGTGCATTAGTGGGTCTTTGCATGTGCCCGTGTGTATGTGCATGTGTGTGTGTGACAGGGAAAATGAACAGAGGTGTTAGTCTGTGCATGTTTGTGACAGAGAGACGGAGTTCTCACTTCACATGAGTGTTTCTCAGTCATTTCTAAAAGTAGATTAAGTGCAAGCAAAAGTGCCAACCTAACACACACACACACACACACACATGCACAGATTCACACACACACACACACACACACACACACACTAACATATTAAGTTGCTTGATAAAAGCAGCATCAGCCCCTGGAGGGACTTGCATTTGAAGTCATTGATCCACTGTGTTCTTCCCTTGCGACTGTTTGTGCACACACTCTTCCTGTGCTGTACACTTCTGAGGAGGAAACCACTTGACAAAGACTCCTCTCCGCACTGACCCCCCTGGTAACAAACACACATGTATAACACATACTCTCACACACTCATAGAAACAGCCCTTGGCTTTCTACAGTGCTTCCCCTGTGTATTACACATCATCTGAATGTTTTATACACTCTCACACTTCTGAAACATTAGCAGTGTTTCCTCCTCCTCTGTGTCCTCTCTCATGTCTGCCGAAAGCGTTTATGTTGCATTCGGTGAGGTGTGCGTGTGACAGGAGTCGACAGGAGCCATTTAATTCAGTGGTTTTTATGTTTTACACGTGAGCCGTGTGCGATGCAGCCCTGTCTGCCTGGCGTGGCAATTTTTTTCTGCACCACAAACTTTTCGTATATAGTCAATTTTTCCTGATCTGCATGCATGAGCAAAGTGCAAAAAACTGTCTGTTTATTTATTTATTTATTTATTGCTTTGCTCAGTTAAATGTGGGATTTACACTGTACTTGTTCACAAAAGAGAGGTATGGAAAAACAATATTGTTGTTCCAATGCTTTGAGATGCTATACAGGTTCATCAGGATGAAAAGGAACACTATATTGTCTTAAGGCTGAGTAAAGCACAACCTAAAAATATCTAATATCACTGAAAGTGATCTTTATTTTTCTGAATGACTGTGCATAGATGTCTGAATAATATCCAAAAATGTCAGCCAATCATGGTAATTCAATAAAGTCTGCTTGGGGGATTCTTCTGGATCCCTGTTTCTTTCTGGCATATCTCTTATACAGGCATTCTGTGTCGAGCCAAGTCAAGTTAGATTTTATTTATACAGTTCAAAACCCACAAATCACAGTTTTCCTCTGGGGTTTTTCTATCTGCATAGCATGTGTGACACCCTTAGGAAGAGCCACAAAGGAAGCACCCCTTTGCCCCAAGTGGACACATACACAACAGAATTTGCACGTACAGTCAAGAGAAGATTAACATAATCACAATGTATTCAAATTCGGATATTTAAATCATTACAGAATCTAACTGAACTATCTAGTCAGGGAAGTTCACTAGTAGGGCTGGGCAATAAACTGAAAATTTAACAATATCAAAATTTATGACAATTACCAATGTTATTTTGCCCATGTCAATATATTTGGTGTCAAAAAATTAAATAAATAAACATTGGTTTTTGATGTGTGTAGGTAGGCTATGGTCTCATGTCCCTTTAAGACGCTGTCCTATGTTGGAGATGTGACTTCACCCCACCCAGTCCCTAACAAAGAGGGAAGGACAGGTGAGGAGATGAAGGACAGTTCAAAAGTTGTAGCAGCTGGAGTCGACGAAGTTAATGTGGGAGGGGATGAGCAGCTTGTAGAGTAGTTATCTTCCTTTTATAGTTATCGAGGTGAAGTGCTCAATATATCGTGATATTGATTTGAGGCCATATCGCCAAGCCCTATTCACAAGTTCTTTCACATAATGGCGTAAAGAAAATGGCGGCTCATAGGTTAAAAAAAAGGGGCAAGTCAGCGGTGAATATTGTGTTTTCAGTTTTATGTACAATATCATGACAATAATGATGATTAAAAAACAACAATAAAAGCAATGTAGTGCAGAACCATGGTCTGGGGGGGGGGCTCTCTCTTCTGTCCGAGAGGTGATCCTGTGTGCAAAGATCAGTCAAGAACCCACCAGCACATAGAGAGCTGCACTATTGCCCACTGGGGATCCCACAAGCCGACAAAGAAAACTGACCCATTAATTTAATTAAACCCAGCCTTGTACTGGCAATATTTACTGTTAGTCTTGCTTCAGGCAGAATCACACAATCCTCTGAGGGCCCATGTACTCACAGCCCAAAAATGATTTGTGCTTTTCATTTATAGGATGTGGGCCCAGGAAGTGTTACACCTGTACTATGTTGTACAATACAATACAATGTAATAGCTTTAGTATGTTATTGAATACTCCCAATCCCTTCCCATTGTAATGGATTTGGGTGTCATGTTTGCTGCTTTACCTTTTTACTTCCACATGAGGCTCATACTTAAGTTGTCATCATCAGAAGTATATGATGAAATCACATCTGCACCAAGGTGATAAAAGCTGGAGAGACACAGTGAATGTCTGGAACAAAGTGGCTCAAAAGTAGGCTGAGTTAACTAACAGCTGAGGTGGAGTTATGATACTGGTTAAGATTATGGTTGAGCTGCCAAGAAATATGGTTTCACAGAGTGGTATGTATGAAGATGGTGAGTCCAGAGAGACAGCTGCAGAATGGTGACAGCTGAATCTCACAGTGGTCCTCAGTGGCCTGTGAGTAAGTGGGTGAGTCTCTAAAAAATGGATCAACAGTGTGCCCAGGGTTGTCCTATATTTGGAGCAGTATAGTCACTGGTACACTGGAACAGAAAACCCATTTGTTTTGCATTGGGTCTTGTCTGATTGTCTGATTGTCTGATTGTCTGACCCCTTGAAAACTACACAGCCACATCATCATGCTCATTACACAGCTACTTGATAAGTTAACACTAAATAACTAGTAGTATCTAAACATGGTTTTATTGATTTGAAATACAGGTAAAAGAGCAGATTCTCATGGTTTATACTCAGTTGTGCTGTCATAACATTATTTTTGGGCCTAGTTAACATTAAATTTATCATTTTCTTTTATATCCAAGTCAAAATATACCCCTGCTTTACTGTTATGAATCATGTTAAACTAAATTTAAAGTGACAACGCCAGTGTTTTTCCACATTACAAGGTTGACCCTGCAGTCACCTCCAGAATTTGTGACTCTGAACCAAAAGAAGACCCAGATGCAGACTCACAGGTGGGCAGATTTAAAGTCTGTTTATTCCAAAGAGTCGGTACGCAGGATCCAAAAAAAGCAAGACAGAGGTATCCAAATGAACAGGCAAGAGGCTAAGTCAAACAATACTGAAAAGAGGTCAAAACACTGAGGCAAACATTAGAAATATATGCTGGAACTCTGACACTGAGTTTAAATACACCAAGGCAGTGGAGTTAACGAGACACAGGTGAGACTCGTCAGGGTAATCAGGGGAGCAGGTTACACAAGGAGGAGGAAGTCAATGGACCTGAAACAAGAGACAAGGTTGAGTATTAAAAAAAAACAGGAAACACAAGACAAGAAATATGAGGAATGAAAAAAAAAAACTCAACTAATCAGGAGATGTGACAGAATTATCGTCTGTTGGTTTTCAATCAGAGTTAGGTATTTAACACAGCCAGGTGATCAGTAAGAAAGGAGCATAATAACAGGAAGGTAATTCACCTCTTTGGTTCAGAGTTAATGCTCGAACTACCAAGGCAGTCATTTTGACTGCTTTCAAAATTATCAATGTCATAAATTTTTTTAAAGAAAACCTATACACCAGTCGTACCCCAACTTTTCCTAAATGTGTGTATATTTTATTCTAACATTGTTTTATCATTTAAATTTCAAAACACAAAAGAGATCTGAGTACCTCGAACTACCAGAGCAGTCAAATTGACAAAGGGTGTTATATTTCACTATTTGCTACATTTTCCCGCTCTTTCTCCTGCTTGATTGTTTGTTTTATACTTTAAGCTCTGTGACGCTAAAATCTTGATAAAACTTTGCTCAAAACTCAAGAGACTCAGAAATGACAAGTAGAAGAAAAATGACAAGTATGGAGGCTTTAGCCTTGCTCCAGAGCCTTGATGGGGAGGAATCTGATGGATGAGCAAGTTCAGGGAATGATGTGTCTTGGTATTTTGAGGAAGGTTTTTAGAAATCTGATTCATTATAATTTTCATTTTGTGTATTGATGTGTTTTTTTATCTATTCCACCAATTTATTATTAGTTTTCATTGTTGATTATCCAAATTAGACTGAGTGTTAAATATCTTCTCAGTCACATATTGGCATAAAATATGTCAGAGAATACTTTAGTGTCTAACTTTTTCTTTGGCGCCACTTTTAGGCAGGCATTTGTTTTAGTATGTCTCAGCAAATCATGTTGAGTTTTACACCAGCATTAGACAGCTTTATTTGATTTTTATTTTACATGGAGGCTATGTTTAAATATTAAGGTAGCCATTCAGGAAGGCTGAACCTCCAGGCTCCTGTCCTCATATCTCTCAGGTCCCGGGCAAACCTTGAAAAAGAAACTTGGAATGCACAGGATAGAGCGTGTAAAACAATGTTGAAACAGCTGGAAGCTTTTTGATAGATTAATCCTAAGTAGAGAAAGAGCAAGCTAGTGCTTTTGTTCATAAGTATTTTTACACTTTGCCACACTTACCAGAGAGAAATGCTCCCAATGTGTAAAGCGTGGACATGCTTTATGCAGTAGATTTACATAAGATATTTATGATTGTCTTCCTTTTCTCCTCTTATAATACCCCGCTCAACCCAAAAATCCCCCCACCACCACTTTCCTCCACTCTAGCTTGCTTTCACGCAGAGCTCTGATTCTCAAATTTGATTTTCACTGAACTCAGAGAGTAAGTGTTTGTAGCTGCCTCCGTGCGTGCATTTTTGAAATGTATATCCAGCTTATTCGCATATCCTTCAGTTAAGTCAAAAAGTTGCTTCTGCACAAACATACACACACACACACAAGCATGCACTAGCCATCATTCACTCTGTGTACTGTGTCCATTCAGTGTGTATGTGTGTGCCTGCGGGTCTCGCCTCAAGCTATTCTGGTCTCGGAAGCAGCAAGCCTGTCAGCCAGACATTGCATCATTCTACGTAAGCAGCAGACACACACATGCACATACATACACACATGTCAAACAAAAAGACAAGGTACTCTGTGGCTCTTTCTCCCTGAGGACGCACTTACTGTGCAAGACCTGCACAGATCCACTCTCCTAATGAGGGGACAGGAAACAGAGGACACACAGGAGGGGTGAAGGAGCAGGGAGACAGTGAGAGGTTAGGAAAGAAGTGGAGTGAAGTTTCTAAAGCTGTGTAAGCATATTCTGTACGAGAGGAGATGCATTTCTGTACATCTTCTATGGGTCTGCATTTGGGTTCATCCTTCTCCCCACTTCACATATGGGCAGCTGTGTTGAATTTTCATTGAAGTGTTTCCTTATTAAGCCTGTTTCTGGTTTTGTGTTTGCCTTGCAGTCACACACACACCATGTCTCAATCCCTTTCCCACACAAATACACACTTGCCTTACATGAGAGCTGCTATGTGAGCAATTAGGGAATTAGTGTTTGTGACAAGCTATGGGGAATTACCCCATACAGAAGAAGAGGGAGATGTAATGGATATCATTGCATGCACTCAGATAGATGCATGTAGTGTCCATTCGATGATATCTTTGCATGCCTTTCTCTTAATACTTCAAGTTTAGCGTGAGAGTGTGGGTATTTAGAGCGGTAATCCATTCACGCTTGTTCCTTGTCTCACATTTGATTTTTAACAAGCGCAAAAATGCTGGTAATTGGCCCTTCATCTGCTACTCCCCTTCATCTCCCTCAGATCTTCTCTCCTGTGTATTCAGTCATGTCCTCACAACTCTTTTATTTGTCCCACTTTCACGTCACAGCATCCTGATAAGGCCTGGGACCAACCTCGGGCTGCTGCATGCTCTGCCAAATATCAAACACACACTTGTCAGCACAGGCAATGAGCTCAGCAGGAACTGGTGCACTGATTTCTGTTTAATGCCGTTATGAGCGTACTGGAAATCAGTTTTTCAGTTAGAAAGATATGAATGAGAATATGATGGGGCTTTCAGCCTCCCTCGTAAAATGTATTGTGTTATTATTTCCTAATTACACTCAGAGAAATTCTTTCATTAGGTTGTGAGTTGAGTGAAATTTCCTCTGAAAAATTTCTTGCTGCGCAAAAAGTCAATTTCGGTCGCTTATATTTTTTGTGCTAAGTCAAGCAAATTGTGGATGGTCTTGACTGATCAATATGGAGCAGGCTGCATCTGTCATGTCTTGTTATACACAGATGAAAAGGCACACACTGGTTTGCACGCAAGAAACAGACTAAGGGTTACAAAGGTAAGAGGGAAATATAAGGATATGTGATAGTCATTATTGCTAATCTTATTAAAGGTAGCTAACCTGATGTTAATGATGGGCTTAATTACACCTAAGAGCAATTCTGGGAAAAAGGAAATTTTCTGACATTGTACAGTAGGCAGGTCTGAGTGTCTCTTTAATGTATTACTCTAATTTAATTGCTCTTTATGCCACAAACACGCACACACACACACACGTTTAGAGGCAAGTGGGACATTAGCGGTAATGTCATTGGGAATCCTTTTTTTTTTCAAGTGTTCCCTTCAGATGTTCACAAAACCTCATGTTTCCCACTCTCCTCTTTAGTAAAGCATTAGCATATTTGTAATCACCTTTTGGATGAAGCCCCAAATGCAATAGCAGCTTAAAAAAAAGGGGCAGGGACCAGAGAGGGACGAAGGAAACAAAAACTTTTTAATTTAATGATCCAGCTGTCCTGATAAATTGTAAAATTGTACACCAAAATAGTGAAGCGGTGTATTGTTGGTTTTGGAGTTATAGTTTTGTTCATTTTCAAAACAGTGAGGTGAACATACTGTTACGTATCTCTAGAAAGCTCCAGATGTCGATCCATCTGTCCTCAGAGCTACAGCAGATTCCTCAGATAAGTTGTGCTCAACATCAGCTGGTATGATTTTATGGCTAATGTGCAGTTGAGATATAATTTTATGGCAGGGCTTTACAACTTTGACATGTTTAAACTCTGTGTTGTCAACAATTGAATAAGGTCTGACTTAAAAAAAAAACTCCTGTAGTATTTGCCATCACTCTTTCCAACTCAGAATTACCCGAAAAAAGCTGTTTAAATGCCAGATACCAGATTTCAGTACCTACGGGCACTGTATTGGGAGTCCAAACATTTTGGTGGGATTACTAGTACCTTTACACCCCGAGTTGAGAGTAAAATTGAAGAATTTATTAACAAGAAAACAACATTTGTTACAATGGTTTTATGGCATTTTCTGAAACAACTAAACCTAAGCATTAAACCAAGTTTTAGCTCACAGTATTGCTAGTCAGCACAGTAGGGCTAATGATAGCTAGCTAACAGTTTTGTTAGATGTTTATGCCTTTCTAAATGCTTTGTATTGATAAATCAGGTGTTAGCAAAGGAGCGGTTTATGCTAACGTTAGCTCTTGTCTAAAGATAGCTAATGCTGAGTCAACATAAATGTCTCGTTAGCTTTGAATATTGCTTAGTCACCGATGAGTTTTTCCTCATAGATCCTATTATGAGTCTAACCCCCAATTTCCACTGCATCCGGGATGGCCACGAAAAGGCTGTATCCGCCAAATCATAACCATTCAAGCCAATGTGTCCATTTCCACCAGATTCTTTTCGTTCCGCTGTGGATCGCTGGAATCCACAGCTGATTGCAAGAGTTCTATTTTTTCCTGACACCAAAGCATGCCAGATAAATTTGGCACAGATTAACCCATGCTGGACAGGAAGTCGGGCACAGAAACAAAATAAAACATCCGGCTTCTTTTCAAAATAAAATACTCCGTGTTTCTGGTGGATTGTATCTCACACCATGCAAACAGGCGGGGACCAACAAGTGAAAGGTTTATAGACAGCATTTTACCCCAATGACACCATGGATTAGAGGATGCTGATTTTATAAGTCTAGAAGTAGATTTCCTTCTCTGGAAGGACACAATCTTCTGCTTATATAATTAGCCTACGTGGCTAGAGACAACTTGTTATCACGCAACTGCACTTGAATCTGTGGGATCTTGTGAGTTCTCTGGAATCTTGCTGTCCGTAATCCATCGCGAAATTTGCCTCACAAAGAGACAAACTGTAGGAATTGGCGGATGGCAAAAATTGCCACCATTCTGGATCAGAACCATTCCGGATGCAGTGAAAATTGGGGGTAACAGTGCTGTGACCCAGCTCTGCCATCATGCTTTTTAATTTTCATATTGATCCTGCAACAGGATCATAAATGTGTTTAAGATATTTCGTAAAGTTACAGTGTTGTGGATACATGAGCACTAAACACTCAGCAGGAGCTTCACACACACACACACAGCACTGTTCCACTCTACCTGCTCCAGTGGCTCACGTTGATTTCATGTCACCTCGATTTCGACCACGTCTTTTGAAACCCAGATGTTAACAGAGGCATGAAAATTGCCTCTTGACCTGGCAATGTAAAAATGGTGATTGTCCACTCAATCGCAGGTCAGTCAAGAACTTGTGGGACACAACTAGCAAACAAAACCACGACACTAAAACATTTGAGCTTCCCACTTTCTTTATAGTGTGTTGTGACATGCTCACATTAGCAGGAGACAGATATGTGTCACTGTTATGCAAGGACACTCTCACTGTATAGTGATCCGTTCTGAGCTGTGTGATGTGTGTGCCTACATAATAGAGGTAGGTGCACAGTTGTGTGTTAAGTCTGTGTGTGCGTCTATGTCAGATGGTCGAGTTCTCATGGGGCCTGACATGCGAAGCCTGTCATCTCTTGTTCACACAGGCAGAAGTAACCTGAGGTCAGCTGCAGACCCTCTGCTGCTCTGACTCCTCTCCTGAGGCAAACACTGACACACACACACACACTGACACAACACACACCCATACTCATCTTCTTGTTAATGTTGTTGTTTATCTTATCAAACTGTGGATTGAGTAACACCTCTTTACAAGGCCGATGCTGCACCATTAATCACATTGAGCTGCTAGCAGGATTTGGTGATGGTAGTGACACTGTTTTCGATTTAGACGCCACGTTGTTCTGCATCAGTCTAACAAGGACACGCTGACACATCCAACAACTTGATTGACAACATAGAAAGATTCTGTGAAAGCAGCTTTGCACTGAAATTATTGAAATATTTACATAGCGTACATTGACTCTTAAATCAGCTTTCATCAAGGCAGCTCCTCACACAGAACATAGACCTTCTGTCATGGGCTTTGTTTCATCAGTGTATCATTCTCTGTGCATATGTATGTGGTGATGAGCTGCAAAATGCACCATTTTTCTGCCCTTTTTTTTTCTTCTTGTCGGACTGAGTTCAGTCTTAACAGGGTAGGATTGCAGAGGAGATGAGTGCCAGCAAATAGCAGATTTTCTCAGAATAACCTTGACGCCAAGAACCTCTGAAACACTTCCCCTCAGAGCTGATAAAAAGAGATTCTTTTCCATTTGATTCATTTTGGAGCCATGCACACAGCACTTGTGAACAAGCACACAGACACACTCTAGACGCGGAGACGTGCGCAAGCCATTTGAGTTAAGGTGCTGAAGATAAAGTGTGATGTCTCGGATACAGAAGTGTGCCATCCCACCTGTTCCTGTGTGTTCATGTGTGCACTTATAGGCATGCATTTCAGAGCCATATAGAGGATGTACATCAAACCGTTGACGATTCTGCATGTATACTGGCAGAATTCAATCCATATTCATAAGGTTATACATATTTTTACATTTCTCTATGCCAAGTTTGTGTGGTTTAAAAGTGAACACAGAACAAAACTTAATTTCTTATTCCAGTTTTGGGTATAATTTGATGAAAATAGTTAAAAATACTTCTCATTTTCTAACATAGATGTTAAGCAGCTCCCTCAAAGGAGCACTGATCTCAGATTTTACTCTATATCTGCAAATAGTGCAGATAGAACATGAGTGGTATAATCCAAAGCTTAGTTTGAACTCTGTTTAAATCTGAAGGTTGACCTTTCCTCTATGTCAAAGCACGTGGAAGCCCCCTTTATGACCCCTTGGAAGTGTGTACTTTTTGAGTGTTTATCCTGAAATGTGTTTTTATAGCACTAAAAATGGCTCATCTTCTGTTGGTGGGGGGGATACTACATCATCTCAGACAACAATACATTCACAATCAAATTACCTGCTCGATCAATGACAGTTTCACTTTGGACCAACAATGAGAATAAATGAAGTAAGGCACAAATGGGACACAGGATGCTCCATCATCTCTGCGTAGCATGAGTTAGCAGATTATTGTGGGTTTAAGCTCTAAAATGATCAGATAACAGAAAAGGATCACAAGCATGAGTGCAGAAATCTAAAGACCATGTTTGCAGAGGGTCAGTTTCTGCTTATGTTGTTAAGCACACTCTAAGCACAGTGTTGCATTACGCTGTAATTTGCTCTTTTTATCACTGTTAATGTATTTTCCCCAATAACACGCATTTATGCAAAATGGTTTATATAAAAAATTTTGCAGAGGTTGCGCAGTCAGCATGCCTCCAAGTGATTTTTTTCTTTGGGGACAGCCCTTTATACTCTCATAAACACCAGATTATCACACAAATACCTGTCATCGCTTACCTACATGCACCCACATCCACAAACACACGCAGTTTCACCTGTGCGAATGTTAAAACAGACACACAAAGACTTGCAAAGATGTGAGGTTGAGAAGTACTCTCTTTCTCTGCCTCTGCAGTTCTGTGTTTTACACTTTGTTCTCATGTACACTATTTTCTCCCTCCACCTTTTCACTTAGTCACAGCATACCTTTCTGTTCCCAGCATTTCTCACCTCTTTCCTTATCTGCCATCTTTTCCACTCTTTCCCTTTACATCTCCTTTCTTCTCATATCGCCTCCTACTCTCTGTCAACCTCAAGGTTCGTACTGACTCAGTGTTCTCTAGGTATGGTGTTTTTTAAATTCATCGGGTTTTGTTAAGGGTGAAAAACAATCGCAAATAAAAGAAAAAGGACAAACATATAACTCAAAGAAAGGACCGGCCCTAAAATTATCTTCCTAGTCTTAAAAATGAGAGTTGGCTCATCTAAAATTCTGCTAATGTTGTAAAGCAGCTGCAGGAGGAGGCTGAGTTTGATTCTGTTTTCCTCAACTCTGGCCAACGGGCATTACTGAGGTTTTTAAAATCAACTGTGGTCCGTTTTGAGCTTTGAAACACCCATAAGGGTGGATGTAACAGCAGAGATTTTCAGCAGTGTCTCTTTTAAGTTGGAGAGTATAGTGGCCAGCAGGAACCAAATTTCAGAACAGTAAAAAACCCACAAACTGTGTTGAACTACAACACTCAAAAAATGAACATTTGGAAGAAGTAACTGGTGCATGTTTCTGCTGACCTTTATTGGCATGAATGACATTTTGTGCTTGTTTTTTGGTGCTGTAGTTCAGTCAGGATGCTCTTTTCCTGTGCACCTTTTGCATCTACCCAGCATCACCTTCACTGTCCTGGGAATGATGTTGTGCTTACATAATCTTCTTGCAAAACAAGGCCTTTTCAATCCAATGCTAAATTCCCCCCCTTGCCTCACATGAAAACGCACACATAAACACACATGTGCACACACAAACGCTTCCACTCCTATTTGCACATGTGGCGTTTTCGCCTCCACCTTTCCCCTTGCTCAAAAACATATATATGCACACACATACACACACAGTACATCCAAGCACTCTGGATTAGGGGTACAGATTAGAGATTAGGGCCAGGGCTGGGATTACACAGTACTCTCCAGCCCCGCCTCCATGGTAGAACTAAAACACACAGATAGATAGATGGATAGAGAGAGAGAGAGGGAGAGAAAGAGGCAAGATATGACATCATTGATATTCTCTCCATAATCCTAAATTGGCACCCGCAAATTATCGAGGATTTCTTTTGTCTTTCCGGTTTTAGCATTCATACAATTTTCTCTATTTTCTTACATCTACCCAACCCCCCTCTGTCTTCCCTTCCCTCACATTCATCAACGCTTCCTCTCATTCCCTATCCTATCGCATAATTCCTGACTTGGTCAATTTCACAGATTTTCCTCAATGAGATCTCAAACTCCCACAGAGACAGAAGATAAACAGTAGGTTGAAATCTGCACTTTAAGGGGCTGTCAAGAAAAAAAAACTGCGGAAAAGAATGATCCAGCTTGGTGGAGGTTTTTTTTGTTGTTGTTGTTGGGTGCTTGGAGGAAGAGAAGGATCTCAAAGACGAATGGCAGAAGCTTCCAGGGAATGTGTCTCCTACAGTAGATGGAGTGTTCACGGATGTGGGTGAGGATAGCCTGAGGACTGTGCTAAGACGGTTTATCGACTGCTGATTCACAATCTGGATCCTTGAGTTTTCTACCTTGGCGTTTGGGACCTCCTTTGGGGTCACATGCTGTTTTAGTCAAGAAAAGACTGTGATGGTATTTATAGAGTTCATAATCATTAATGGATGCTGTGTTTTGCTTGCCCTAGACTTTTTACTATGAGGTTGTGAGTGTTTTGGATGTTCAAAAGGTCATGAACTTGTGATCCAGATCCAACACACTCACAGAAACAGACTACAAACAAACTCAATCTCTTTTTTCCTGTCATTAAAACCCAGTACTCTCTGTGCTACTCGAGTCTCCAGTGATTGCAGAAGATGCCAGCTGCTTTAGGGACACAGGGACATTGCCCTTTATAAATAAAGTTTAACTTGAACTTGACAGACGTTGCACAGAATCTGCAGACTTTAGCAGAGTGGGGAGAAGCTTAGGGGGTAGCTTAGTATCTGTTGACAAGGCTGGCATGCAACCAGGCAGCCAGAAGCGTTAGTATCCAGATTCGTTCATGAGTTGACTTGGCTGTAGCCGCGGTTCTCCAACGTTCGGTTTCTTTTCAAGGCTAATAGTCGTGGCACTCCCACTGTGCTTTACTTGAAGCACTGTGGGCTTTCATCATGTTTCATCAGTACCTCTTTTCCTCTTTAACATGCCTGTCCATGCTGCTCTCACATCCCTTTGTCTATACCTAAAGGTGTTATCAAAATAGTTCATGCTTTACTTTTCCTCTTACTGGTGCGATGATTGAAATCTTTCCCCAACTCTACTCTCTATTGATTCCTACTTGGAAAATTACATGATTTTAACTTAACACACACACACTTTTTTCTCTGTTTTCTTTACAGGTGAATGCCGTCATGCCATTTGGGTGCCTTGCCCTGCGAGATGGGCGGAATTATGATAGCATGTCTGATGTCACAGACAAATATGAGATTGGACAGGTTCTCAGAGCGTGAGTATCATACAGCTTTGTGCATTGTTTTTCCCTCTATCTAGTATGTACAATTCATAAGCACATGCCATTACCCGCTAATGTTCTTTGTTCACTCCATGAATTATTTCAAATTCAGTTACATCCATTTCCCCTGCAGATTTGGTTTGGTATCTCAAACTGTTTCACTGAAAGAGAAGAAAAAGGCAAAGCATTATAGCATGAGGCTGCTGTGTATCACACTGCTCTCCATTCTGAAAAAAAAACAATTGTCTGAATATTTCAGATCAGTTCACAAGACACACTGATGGACATATTTTTGAAGGGCGCTGAAATTCACACCCCTGCTTGACTGAGAGGAAGCTTGCCATTTTTTATTTTTTTCTTTAAACACCACCTCTCACTGACAGATTAAGGCACACACACACACACACACACACACACACACACACACACACACACACACACACACACACACACACACACACACACACACACACACACACACAGAAATACACACAAACACACAAACACTGATCAGAGTGAAAGGCCATATGGCAACATTAGCATCTAGGCTGAGAGATATCTGCCCTTCTTTTATGTAACATGCACACACATGCGCACATACACAGGCACACACGCACTCATACACACACACAACTCATTACCTCATAATTAAAAGTGTACATATGCGTAATACTTGCCCAAAGAAAAAAAGAACAAACAAACAAACAAACAAAAGCAGGAGAGAAAGAAAGAAAGAAAGAAAGAAAGAAAGAAAGAAAGAAAGAAAGAAAGAAAGAAAATGAGCATCGTTAAATATCATTATTTATTGGGCATGAAAGTTTTAATTTGACCGGTAGCTTAATGTCGCATTACTTGGAGTCTTAAATTCCATTTGTGTGAAAAACTGCACGCCTCAAATGCCCAGCCGATGGCTGCAGTAAACCCATTCCAGATTTGTTTTTATGACCTTTTTATTCCAGCCACTGTCTCTCCACCCTATTACATTCTTTCTCAGTATTTCATCAAAACACAGAGCACACTTTCTCCCTCATTTGAATATTATGCTGTCTCCCAGTAAAATCCATTGTTTTTGTGCTCTAACTAACATTTTAATTCACCTTTTGTGCCTTTTCTTTATTTCTCTCTCTGTCTGTCTGTCTCTATTTTTCTGGTCTTCCTGCGTAGGAAGGAGTTCTGCGAGCTCTGCCTGGCTAAGGACCGACAGACAGACAAGGTGTTTGTCTGTAAGAAATTCCTCAAGAAAGACGGCAGAAAAGTCCGCAAGGCTGCCAAGAACGAGATCATGATCCTGAAATTGTACGCAGTCAGTTGGTGGTTGGATGCATGATTGATGATTGAATGAAAGGATGTTTGATATTCATCTCTGTCCATATCTACAGGCACATGTAATAAGTTCAGGTGTTTGTAGTTCTTTTATGGCATTGGTTTTGAAGCTATAGAGACTTACGCCTACCTGTTTTCTGTTCAATAGCTAGCATTAAGCATGTGGGACCCTATCCCTTTCAGTCTGTGACCCTTTTAACTTCTCCATTCCAGAGTCAACCATCCAAACATCCTTCAGCTGATAGACACATTCGAGACCCGAAAAGAATACTTCATCATCCAGGAACTGTGAGTGTTTCTTTTCTAGTCTTGTTTTACTGTTTATCTTACCTGTGTAAGCATTCTCGACAAAGTGTCCCTCTGTGTGGGTCTTAATTGCATATGTGCCATCATGTAGGCCTATCTCAACACACAAATCCATTAGCTCGAGGATAGAGCTGAGTCTACTTTCATATCCTTTCATGCCCTGGTGCTCCCCACAGCAACAGAGGAAGGTGTTAAATTTTATGAGATATTTGTTCTTAGCAATACTCAACATTACTCAGTGCTCCTGAAGCACTACTTTGCCATAATAAGGTCTCTACTGAGAGCTCAGGATCAATAAAGCTGAGCGGCAACCAATCCGAATGCCATTTTCAGCATTTGTAACTTTATCTGGAAGCAATAAAACTGATAGAAGCTGAGTGGACGGGATATTTTTCTTCTGTTGCCGATATTCAGAGAGACAGACTGCGTTCAAATTGGTTGCAGCGTGCGTCAATCTGTTTATTTGCCGGTGTCTGTTCATAACTCACACGTCTGCCCAGGCAATAGTTCTCCTGCTGCGGGCGATATGTGTTTATCACACCCATCGTTTACACGGGCTGCAGCGTTAACCAAGTCTGTTAGAGTAATGACCAATAGACTAACTTTTAATTGCTCAGGAGAGCTAGCTTGAGGCTCGTAGAAGCAGATTGCTTTGCTAATGGACAAAATGAGTAGAGCAGAGGGCTTTTGATAACCATGTTATTGGAAGCTTTAAGTGAACAATTGCGGTGCAACATGTGGTTAACAGCCCCAGCAACCTGCATTCATTTCTATCAGTGTACTTGGCAACACTTGCAGTGATGTTTTCCCACTTGTGTGTGTGTTGGACTCCACACAGTGCCACAGGAGGGGACGTATTCGACTGGATTTTGGACCAAGGGAATTACACGGAAAGGGATGCCTCCAATGTCATCAGACAAGTCCTGGAGGCTGTAGCGTATCTACACTCCCTCAACATAGTTCACAGAAACTTAAAGGTAGACTCAATCAAGGGTTTTCTTTCCCCACATTACAGCAGGTGTATGATTGCAGCCAGTGCCATTACAGTCAAACAGGAGACAGAGTGGCAACTTACTTCTCCAGATACAGGAAGATAATACAACAATACATTTTTTAGAGTGAGTTGTCTTTATCACCATCACACCTAAGAAGGTAATTTCCAGTATATAATCTGCAGAATCTCCACGGAGACATTAAAGCGATGCATACATTAGCATCTCACTTAATGACTCAACATTTGATAACATTTTTAGCAGGGGAGTACACACTGGCTTTATTGCTTAATCCAATCTCTGGTGATGCATGTATATGCAGACTGATTCATATCTTTGTCCTTCATTAGCAACCCATTAGGATGCCATTACGGCATCTCTTGGGCTTCATACTCCCTCTAATGGTAGAGACAGGGATCTTCTTTCTGTCTCTTTGGTCTAGAGTCGTATCATCAGAGTCCATGAAACTGGATGAAAATTACATTTTCAAATTATTGCAGGAGTGAATTTAATTCACCGAGGCAAGCAAAGATGATTTTTCCTTTGCTCAAGATGTTCAGTGCCTCCCTCAACTCAGTCCTCAGCGTCTTTTTTTTTTTTTTTGTGGAAAAATAGATCACTTTGCTTGAGATTTGTTTAAGTAATGCCTCTGTTATCAGCTGAACAGTTTTAAACATGATATTGGTTTAAAAAATAAAAAACGCCCTGAGAGTCACCCTCTTTTCTGAGAGTGAACTAGTCTTTAACAAAAGATGTTCACATTGATATCACACAATGTAAAAGCATTTGCTAGAATTCCCTTTAAAGCCTCTCTTAAAATAACAAATGTGTTATACCCATATAATCACCATGGTTTGAACAGTAACACCATCATGAATCTCCTGTTTTAAAAGAAAGAATTGAAACGTATCAGACTCCCCTTAGCGATTTTGCAAAAATCATCAAGACCACAGGCATTTCACTGTGCACCTCAGCTTGTCCGACAGGGATTGTCAAATGATTAAAGAAAATACAACTATATGCAGAGCTGTTGTACGCAAATTTAGGATCTGGTAATGTTGCTGCAATTATTTTATAACATGCACAAGTTTGAATAATCGGCTGCTGATTCACAAAATACATCGTCTGAACTGGGTCTGTACCTGCTAAGTTAAAGATAAAATAGGGCTTTGATTCTAGGAATATTTGTATGAGAATAATTGTCCTTTTTCTTATTTTGTTTAGCTGGAAAACCTGATGTACTACACAGAAAACAACCACAACAAAGTAGTGCTGCGTGACTTCTACCTGTCCAGGTTTGAAAATGGGCCTATCACAGAGCCCTGTGGAACACCAGAATACCTAGGTAAGATAACCTCTTTTATTACCCCTACTTTACGCTATGTTTTTTTTTTTAAATATCTTAATTTCTTTCTGCCTGTCATCCAACTCCATCTCCTTTTGTTAGCTTTACCATTTGATGTGAGCACAAGCCCACGAGCATACTATACCTTTTGAATTCTTACCTCTTTTTTCTTACGAAGATTATACTCTGTCAGGGGATGGCTGTTATAATAAAAACGCAGTCATAAAAACCCTGTGAAACACGTACACAGAACTGAAAGCACCCAACTCTCACCCTCCTCCCACTCCTCTCTTTTCATATCCATTGATCTCCTGTGTGCTGTCTCGCTCCTCTTTCGCGCTGAGGTTTGTGCAAGGGCAGCTTGGAGTGCAGAGCTGCGCTCTGGCCTGGTTTTCTCCAGTGAGAGGTCAGGACAGTTATTCATAATGCTTGGCTGAGTAATTAGACAAATAAATAAGGTATGGGAACAGAGTCCCTGACAGGAAAGGAATGAGAAACAGAGAGAATGAGAAAAGAGGAGCTGCTGTCAGAGCTCAGAGGAATTATGAATGTGGTGTGGTTGTTCATAATGAAAATCCAAGCCAACTGCATCTCTTCCTCTGACTCTCTCTTTGTGCTTTCTCGTCTATCTCTCAGCTCCTGAAGTGGTGGCCCGTCACCGATATGGTCGCCCAGTGGACTGTTGGGCTGTGGGTGTCATTATGTTCATACTGTGAGTCTCCATCAACAATGTAAAAGGCTCTACTTCAATACGCAGGGCAATTCAAACTGCTGCATTAAAAAGTTCTGCTGAATAATTGCTTTGTTCCTTTAATAACCCCTAACATTTACAAGAATTATTTGAGGTGTCAAAAACCTATTTCAGTTTCTTGACAGTTTAATTACTGCTGTTTACACGCACCCCATTTCAATTCTTATGTGCATTGTTATGCAACAAATACTCAAGATTGATTTGTTGTTTGTGTAAACCTACGTGGCAATAAAACTTCAAGTTTTATTGTGTGTTTCTCATTCTGAAAAGTCACTTGCATGGTGTTTTAAATAACTCTTCATCATTTGTCTCTGTGCGTGTCCCCCTTTCTGCAGCTTATCGGGTAACCCTCCTTTTTATGATGAGACAGAGGAGGAGAACACGGATCTACACAATCGTATCATTTTCTGCCGGATTGTTGCTGGTGACTTTGAGTTTGATTCTCCATACTGGGATGATATTTCCCCTGCAGGTACACAGCTTCACCACACGATGGTGCTCTATACTTTCAAATCTAATGATATAACGTCATTGGAACATTGGCAGGAGGAAAGTAGTTGATTATATGCTCGCCCTAAACATTTGAAAGAGCATATTTATTCAAAGTGTTAGGGTAATCATTTTTCAGAGCTAAAAGTTTATAAATAATCAATAATCAACGATTCAGCACATTTATAAATCAGCTCCTTATTTCTTTACTGTTCCTTTCTCAGCAAAGGAGCTTGTCTGTCGACTCATGGAGGTCGACCAGATGCTGAGGATCACTGCACAGGATGCACTTTGGCATGAATGGTAACCTTGGTTACATAATCATAAGGGCACAAAGATTCACACGCTTTAGTAGGTTTCCACTTACTTACAGGCTCTCTGTCACTTGTGCCAGGATTGCAGGAAATGGTGCGTCAGAGAAGAACCTCAAGGATGGAGTGTGTGCCCAGTTTGAAAAGAACTTTGCAAAGGCCAAATGGAGGGTAGGACTTTATTTTCTCTCCTTTTTTTTCTGTGGCAGTGAATAAAGTCACTGAGTTTATAGTTGAGGAAGCAGCAGAGGAAACAAGGAGAACTAAATTTATTCAAAGAAATTAATGACGGTTTATTTGTGAGAGTTTTTCATATAATGGGCTTTTAGATCAAATGTGCAAAGGTATGTTTTAAATTGTGACGATGGTGAAAATATCATTGGAGTGGTGAATGCAGGAAACTAAAAGGGAGGTGATAACAGTTAAACCATCTTCTCTCTTCCCCCATGTGGTTCCCAGGAGTTGAAGGTATTGTAGTTCATTATGAGGGAGAGTGGAAGGACAGAGCTTTGGCAGAGCTTCACTTTCAGTCAGACATGAGTCAATAATCAAAGCCATCTCCTCATGGCTGTACATCCTCTTTAAATAAAAGGGGCTAACAATAAACCAATCAGGAACAATTCCAGTCAAAACCACGATCAGCCAAGGGATGTATTGATCATGTTTGCACTGGTGAAATTCTTCCCATCAGCTCTGGTCCTCCCCACTGTCACTCTGCCTATCCTAGAAGAGATTCATCCTCTCTGCCCCACTTTTCTTTATTGGCTTAGACCCAAATGTTCAAAGTGGCCCAATCTGCTCCTTTCTTACTCCTCATCTGCACTTGACAACATGACAGCTTTGATTAAAACAACATAATGACCCACAAGTTAGGAGAGTGCTCATAGCTTTTCTGTTTTTTTATATCGTGTGGATAAGGAGAGGGGGAAAGGGAAAGGATGTGTAAGAAACAGGCCACTGCGGACTGTGCAATGACAGTGATATAAACTCTAAGGCCCTGTGTCATCCCTCTTACGTGAATCCTGGCTCATTGCCCCATACTGTATCTACGTGTAACATTCAAGCCATACTTGAAGCCAAGAAGAAGCTGCACAGTTAAGCCATATATGTATTCAGTAACATTTCTGTGCCCAAATGGCTTTTCACTTCCAGAGAGCTGCTCCCATGGTTTAGAAACAACTTCAAAGCTCACCCTTTTCCCCTTCCTCATTTGTTGTTTGGATGTCAAGGAGGTCAGATGTGTATAAGGAGGAAGAAAAGGTTGGATTTACACCCATCTGTCCTCTCTGTTTCCCAAGTAAACAAGAGAGAGAGGGGAGAGTGAGACTTAGGATTGATTTAAACCAGGGTTCAGTGTGTCAAAGCCTCCTGGAAGTAAACAACCAGCACTAATCTTACTGCACTGTCCACGTCAAACCAATCACATCTCAGCACTAAGTATGGCGGTGCATTGACAGACTTTTTTTGTCAAATGCTTTTCTCAGAAGCTTATCTTTTATGCTTTTCCATAACCAACTATAGAATCAAGCTATATTATTATCTCTCAGGGATTAGAGTCAGTTTAGGGGCTACTTAAAAACAAGATATGACAAATGTTATTTACTTTTCTCTGCTATCCTCTCCTTTTTCTGTGCTTTACAGAAAGCAATTCGTGTCACAACGTTCATGCAACGGCTGAAGAATTCAGAGGCACTGATTGACAGTTCGGCTGAGGCTCAGGGGGTCGAAGAGGCAGGAGATGGTGAAGGGGGGGTATCACAAGGGACGAGTGATGAGGGAGACAAAGGGACAAGTGATGGAGGGGTGACGTCAAGTAGTGTGTCTTTAGAGGTTACTGTTGAAAGTACGCCAACAGGTTTGGGCCAGGATGGAGGGATGGGTACAACTGGGGAAAAACAGGAGGAGATAAAGCAAAGTTCAAGTACATGTGTGGGAACTTCACCCTCTGATACTGAGCAGCCTCCTTGTCAGCAATCAAACGCGGCCCCCAAACTCTCTCAGGAGGAACCGAGTAAGGTTAGTGCAAAGAAAGCAGCGGGTGATGGAACTAGAAAAATTGCCGCTAATTTGGGTCAAAATAAAGTTGCCCCAGAATCAAAACCATCACCTATGAAGACGTCTGACCCCTCCAAGCAGTGTGATGCTTCTTCGAACAGTAAACAAGCTTTCCCCTCCCCTGACCCCAGCGGCAAATCTAAGATGGCTACAACTGTCCAAGGTCCTCCGCTCGCTGGTCCTCCGCTCGCTGGTTCTGCCGCTGCGACAGCCTCACCAGATAGGAGGCCAGGGATGCATAAAGACGAAACTGACGGCAGCTGGTGTCAGACTCAATTACCTGAAGCAGTGGCAGAGAGGTCTGTTGTAGCTGCTGTCACTCCTGCCGTAGGGCCTGCAGCTGGGGCAGATGTAGGGTTAGGAGTCAGGTTAAGGGGGGATTCCAGCCCCATGAGTAGAAGGGACAGGGAGACCAGGAGAACAGACAGGTACAGTGCTGAGTTTGGCATGGCAAGAGCCGGTCCTCCAACAGGACAGGGTTGTTATACGGTGGGCAGTTCTGCTAGTTTAGGCCGTCACGCGACACCATACAACCCAGAAGTTTGTATGGGAATAGCAGGGAGCTGCGGGAGTCCATACAGCACCCTCTATACAAGTGGATCTGGGTTAGGGATGTACGGGACTGGGTTACATCAACCAGGGGGCGGGAGCAGCACAACAAGCGACTGGCAAATGGACAGTGTCATTGAGCAGATAGAAAAGCAAATGGCTGCTGTGCTTGAGAAGATTGAGGGAGATATGCCATCACTTCTGGAGCAAATCAGTGACTGCCCCATCGAACCACCACGCGCAAGAAGCACGCACGCCTCACCTGCGAGCTCCCGGGCTCGCTCCTCACAGCACCCCGCCACCACGACCTCGGCCACTCCTCCGCCTCTTCCGACCTCTCCCAGGCCTGCACTACCGTCCCTCCCTCGCCTTTCCATCCCTCCTCCCTCATATCCCCCACCCTCCCCTCCCACACAATCCTCCCCCCAGGCTGCAGGAGAACAAGATGACACGGATGGACAGAGGGATGCCGCTCGCTTGACCCAGTCCCCCAGAGCTGGAATGGGCAGGGGACTATGAAGCAGGTGTGAATGATGCAACATGGAACATTTATTTATAGTTTAAACTCAAGGGTCTAGAGGCTGTGTCTCACCCAGAAATGTCATTCACGTGTTCACTTGGAGAAATGTAACCATGCAGTGTTAAGTTTTGCTTTCTGTTCATATTGAGAATCACGTGAAAGTGAAATCTCATGATCAAATACACGTATAACCAGAACCTATGGGAAGTTGTGTACTGTATTCCCCTGCACAACAGCTGCAAAACAAAAGTATGCAAAGGTTTGTTTGCATCTGAAACCCAGATTGTGTGCATGACTGCTTAGCACACATCCTCCTCACAACCTGCTAATTATAAATTACACAAGTGAGAAGAGTGTGGAGAAGTTCTCAGCTAATGGTGGGAGTTAACAGCTGAGGAAGTGTTATGATTTGTGTTATTTCTCTCAAACTGTAAATACATACAACAGCTGGGTTCTTTATTCTTGCTCCTTTTCTCCCATATTGTCAACCTCATCTCATCTAAAGTGACATGAACTTTTAAAAATCAGTTCTTCCCATTGTCAGTATTGTCTGCTCATTTTTATTTATGTAGCTATGCATCCTGCAAGCAAGGCTGCAAAAGCAAGACCTTGGAGTCATGCAGTTGTACAGTGTATTATGAAACTGAACTGATCGAGCGTTTTGATCAGTGACTAGTTAATGATGCTATTATTTAGTGTATTTAAACTTGAACTGCCATTAGAAGTCTTGTGAGATGCTTCACATCTGCCAGAGAGCTAGGGAAAAATCTTAAAATAAAAGATATTGTATAAAGGCTTCTCAATAGCACATGCACTCAAACACCCGCACACACATTTTCTGGTCTTTTTCCAAAGCGACCTAAATGTTTTTGCCTGGAATGTTTGTTATCCTTCTTTCCTAAATTATTATTAAATTAATTTGGTACTGTTGTATGGACGGTTCTGTCCATGTTTGCTCCTTTTTAAGATGTTAAAAAAAAATCCTTGAAATTCATGCTTTTGGATCTATGTAATACCAGGCTCTGTGCTGTTGTCCCAAACAAGTCAATACATTCACTTTTCTGACCCTGTGTTAACTGTGCTCTGTTTGCAAGTCTTTCAATAAAAGTAAAACATTATTCTAGATGTTCATTGTTTTGTTTGATGAGTGAGTTGAAGGTTGAAACTAACTTAAATATGTTTTCTCTCAGGGACAGAGAAGACAACCAGTAAGTCTGCAGTTTTAACCCTAGAACACTATCCCCGGGTGATTTTCATTATGTTGCGTTTGTCTGAGTATTATGGGTCCCTGGTTAACTTCAACATTGCCTTTGACATCTTTGAAGGCATATTTGTCTCCCTGATCCAAAACCTGCTTTTCCGGGTGATTTTCACCCGGAAATAGTGATAGAGAGTAAAGTATGCTTTGGTGGATTTGATAGCTGTATGTGGGCAAATAAGGTCAGTAAGAGTGGTCCCGGAATTTGCATGCTGTCTTTATTTAGCACAGTGGTTATGTATTACTATCACAAAGTAGTGATTTTCAAGGGAATTCATATGGTGATTAGAAATATTTGAGTCAGCTGGTCATTTTTACTCACTCAAATTCTGCCATATTTTGGTTCTCTCCCCTGCAGCTGTTATTGTGCCAAGGACCCGGAGTCTGAGTAGGAAAGACTCACATGCCCCAGGAATGGGTGAAAAAGAAACTTAGTTTACAGTTTCTATATTTTTTTAAGAATGATTTGTTCATGAATGCCTAATTTAAGTTATTTTGTTGCATTATATGGTTCATTAATGGCACTTTTTTACTCTTCCTTTGAATACTGCACGGTTAAAATTAAAAGAAAACTACTTTAATTTGTTATGTATTGTCCTATTTTGATGACAAGTACTTTTTCTTGGGTATATTATTTCGGGTAAAAATCCTCCGGCGATAGTGATGGTGTTACTAATGTAAGTGATAGTGTTCTAGGGTTAACAAAATGTGCAAAAAGCCCTTATTATTTTCCTACAGAAGTTGCCGGTTGTACTATAACGCCGTCGCCATGCCTACAAGTCCCATCTGCCCTTGCATGAATGAAGGATCAGTCTATTCTTGCGAGAACGCGGGGGTGAGAAAAATACTTATAGTTATAAATTATATAAATACAATTGGACTTTATTAAAGCGTGTAATTTCAAACATCTTGGCGTGTAAGTGGTGCACTTAGGCGAAGAGAATAGTTAACACAGACATTTTGGCAGTATTTTCTCATAGCTACTTTTTAGTGGACCCTCCGGTCTGGGGCGATGGATGTTCCTGTAACGTGCACATGTTGCTGCTTTGCTTTGCTTTCAGCTGAAATAGAGTGAGGGGAAACGGTTCGGGAACAGCCGGGCAGGCAGCCGTCCAGCGGAAAAACTCTCACTGAGCCCGCCACCCTAACACACTTTTTAGTTTGCAATCAACGGCAGTGTTTTATTGTCACGTTGTTAGTTGGTATTCTTGCTTAAATACAAGCTGATTTTTAATACTACAGAACAGGCCGAGTAATATCGGATGTGGTAAGTTCTGCACACTTGTGTAAGCTCCCTTTCTTGGTAATGTTAGCCCCAGCTAGTTGGCTAATGTTAGCTAGTTAGCCTACATAGCGGCACAAGTATGGAAAAGTCGTTGGGTGGCTAGATAGCCCAAAAGCTAGCAGCGTCCAGGCCAACAACTACGCAGTCGTTTGATCTGCCTTATTGATAGTCGATAATGTGAGTTGCCGTCGGCTATTCGAACCGTTTCAACTGCCCGTTAAGGCTAACCGCTGCTACCAAACCCTGGTCACGTAGCAGTTGACTCTGACCGTTAAATTCGCTTTTTCTCATTTAATGTGCTGTGTTAATGTGAGTCCTGTTGTAACAAAAGTGGACGGTAGCATCAGAGCTAGTTGGCTACAAACATTAGATGGATGTAGTATTAAGATGCAGACACTAGCTAAGTGCATTACGTAGCGTTTGCTCGAACCCCCGGTAATATCGATAGGTGATTTTGGTGAATAGTACGATAGCCCGACATCGGTGTTACCACAGTAACGAAATACTTGCTCGTTTCTCTTGTTTGAAGCAGCATGTTAACGTGACACAATTAATTTTCAGTCGTTTTGCACGGGTTAAACGCAGGAAAACATCGTTTTTTTGTATTTTTCGCACCTACAACCTGAGGATGAGGACCCCCCCTCGACATGTGTACCCGAGAATATGCGGCCCACTCTTCCCTGGGCCTTTGTCATTTGCCAGGCACCCCCTCCCCCAATACTCCTCTCTGCAAGGAATGCTCACCCCTAACCTCCATGTGACTAAGGGCCCAGACATTCAGCATCCTAGTAGCTATCAAATAGTCTGTACGCCTCGTACCTGTCCGACTTATCGTTTGTATCAGTGGGATTTATCAGGCTGAACTTGAGAAAGACCACCATCTAAAAAAGGAAGCGCACGCATGCAGTCAATGTGAACCCCATGGATAGCTTCTTGAATAGCGGCATGTTTTGTGTGCGTTTGTGTCGGCTTTTTCAACAAAAAACACGCTATTACTGAAACAAAGATGCTGCTCCCTGTGGTACTCTTCCTGCAGATGTCCCCATGAATTCTACACCAGAGGGTTCGCACTTGAACGTTACTTTGTTCGCCTTTAGTGTCCACGGTCTGTGTGTTTGAAAAGAATTGTAAAATGTTTCTGCTGGAGGACCTGCAGTTCATTGTACAGTAATATACAAGGCATGCGTTTTCTGATAGCGAGGGGGGCGGGACAAACGCGCATTGGCCTCGGGATTGGCCAATGAGAGACGAGCCTGGCTGAACAGCACGAGCCCAGCCACCCTTTCCTGTTGAATATTTTAGCCCCTGCGTCACAGCTCCCTCCGCCCCTTTCTCCTCATCTGCCATTTTGGTTTTGTTCCCGTCTGCAGTCGCAAAGCCAGCAACGCAATTATACAGAAGAGACTCAGTGACTCGACAATATAGTGTAGACCCTCCTAATCCCTCGTCGCGTTTCTTTTCTCTGTACAAACCGCTCTTTTTATTCCCGTCGTTAATTCTGACATCTAGACGCTGCGGGAGAGGAGCGGGTTCGCATTGGAAAGGGACCGAGAAGGATTATTGGTAAGAAAAGGCATATCAATGGAGCACGAGTCTATTGGCTAGTCTTTCATTCCCATAATGCTGAAATTGAGCGATAAAGTTGGATGTTTGTTGTTGTTCGTCTTTGTAACATTAAACCGTAGCGATAGAGGAGTCAAGGCGGCTAGCTGTCAAAATAAACCGGTCGCTGTCTCTTGTGAGCAGGTTGCTTGTAGCTACAGCTGCTAGCTTGTAAAGTTGTGTTCCGCACTGGGGTAAATGTAGGCCTAGGCCGAGCCACTAATGGAGAGAGGCTGACAGGCGGCTGTTTTCTTGCCTTTAACTTATTAATGTTCCGTCTCTGTCCACTCGCCAAATCACTTATCTGATTAGTGCCGTGCTATCTACTCAATCTGTTACCTCTTTCTTGTCTTTGACCGATAATTGATCCACCGTTCCCGTCCATGAAAGGCTTTCAATTGGTTTAGCAGCCAGGTATTAGGTTTTTGCGGGGCGAACTACAGTAACAGTACTGACCGGGCGCCTCGATGCTTTGCTGTATCATGCTGTGTGCTTTCATTTTCTTTTCGACGAAACAGGAGTCGTTCGTGTTTCAATGAAATTTCGATTTGATTTAATCTAAAGCAGCTGTGTTATTTGAGATTGTGGAAAGGGTTGCTAACGTGCGGATATATTTAAAGGAGGTAATCTAGAGGCGCTGGATGCGGAAACCGTGCTCGTGTTTGCTGTGCGGTGGGAATCTGTTCGAGAGACTGCGGCCTGTTTCACTTCCTGAAGTAACTGGGATTGGCCGGTTTAATCTGAAAAGATCGTGCAATTGGATTTCTAATTTTTCTCCTGCTATTCAAAGCCTTTTGTATCTTCGTTCGGAATCTAGTCCCGGCAGTTATTGTACGGTGTGTCCACACCTGCAAGCCACCGTGAGGTGTCACTTTACCGCAGTGAAGTTTTAATGATTCAGCTCTTTTTGCTGAAACGATGTTGGCCGTCCTCAAACACCGGTATAATGAACAATAGAAGTACATAAACAAGCCAGTGCTGTCTCTGAGCATGAAAAGAACTGATAATGGTGCTATTCATGTCTCCTCCTAGGCTCAGTTCGTTTTCTAACAGATTTGTGTTTGGCATGCAGCCAGCCCAGCTGCTCCCTAGACTAGAAATCCTCTCTTCAACATGAGGAGGATTGGGTTGCATTTACCTTGGATACACATGATGCAGGCAGCTTTGAATTATATATTTAATACTTTGAGTCTGATTTGGAATCCCATTAGCTTTTGAAAACATATGGATTAAGGACATTTTTGTTAGATTTTTTTTCACAGTGCCCTTTAATTTCGATGTTTCATGTCAATTTTCTTCCAAACTATGACTAATTTTAAAGTTTTGAGATAGGACAGCTTTGTGTCTTAGATGAACAGTTTGTAACACGATGTGTTTATGCGAAGATGTCCAGCTCGCCGCTGTCCAAGAAGCGTCGCTTGTCAGGAACAGAGACGAAGACGGGATCCCACTGCTCCTCCTCTAACTCTGTCAGAACTGATCTGTCCCACACACCTGCCAACGTAAGTGATGATGCATAAACTTACCATAAAACACACACAGCCCACTTGTTAGTGAAAAGTTGTTTGTGAAACTGATTGCATACCCTCTTGTTCCTCCTCAGGGCATGGCTAAGAATGGCAATGATGCTGAGATTGATGAAGGCCTGTACTCCAGACAACTGTAAGTTTGTGAATCTCTAGAATTTTTGACCTGAGAAAAGCCGCCAATTTTTAGTTTCCTTTATTTTATAGAGTGGAAAAGCAGTGTCTAAATATGCTGTTTGTAATTTGTTTCCCTGTGTAGTTACGTGTTGGGCCATGATGCCATGAAGCGCATGCAAAACTCCAATGTCCTCATCTCTGGTATGAGAGGTCTTGGAGTCGAAATTGCCAAGAATGTCATCCTAGGAGGGGTGAGGAGTGTCACCGTTCACGACCAAGGAGTTGCAGAATGGAGAGACCTCTCCTCTCAGGTGTGTGAAAGCATGCAGAAAATAATCCCCCCTTTAAAGCCATATGTTGTTTTCAGCAGATTTGTAACTATGAACCAATCTGAACTGGATTTTGATCATTACATTTGTTACACCAACACCGTAAGTTGGTAAAATTGTCATTCAAATGTTTAATGGTCCAGTTTCGAAGTGGTTGCCTGAATAGGTTTGCTTAGGTGGCTGGTTAGGTAGCATTAGTTTGCTCACCCTGATAACTGATAACATGCATATTCCCCCTCAGAAATCAGGCTGTTTGGGTTAATGTGATGGACAGAAATCTAAGTTCAGTAAAACCTGCTGCAAGACAAATGTCACCTGTTAGACCCCATGACAAACCTGTTCTACAAAGCTTGCATTAGTAAGAAATAGCCTCAAGTATTAAACACTTTTCTGCCAGCAATGGTGTAGTGCAGTCTACTGCTTGTTTTGTCACCAGTTTATATGATGCTTGGAGTGCAGTGGTAAAATCAGCTTTAATATCACATGATAACCATATGTGACAGTCACAGAGTAATTATTATGAAGGGGGTAAAGACTGTCTTGAATAGTTTCATTTAAACAATGTGCCAGCAGCATGTCTCTTCAGTATAACTCAACACAATGGGCTCTTTCATTGAGCGTTTGTTTTTATCTACTTTTATTTAATTGACCTTAATTTTTGCTGCTTAGAAAATAAATGCTTTGTTTGAAGTACTAGCAGCGTTTTGGTTTCTCACCTGTCACAGTGAGACTGAGCATGGATGTGTAATTAACATTTCTGATTGTTTGTTGTTTCCTGAGATTGTATAGTGCATCTGGTCTTTTGCACATGAATATTGATTTTAAGTTTACTCTGGATTATTAATTTACTTTGATCCGAATCAAATGGTTCCAAATCCAAAAGACACCAAGGCTTTCTTTGTTTTTAATTCCTTGTTCTTGAATGAAGTTGTAACCATAAAATATTGTATTGGATCATTGTGACTTATCAGGTAGAGATCATACTCCTGGCATTTAGTACAAAAAACGTGTTTCCTCGTTCTCTGATTTGACCCATATTCCTTTGTCTCTTTGACCGATTCCAAAGTGCAGGGGGCCGTTATCTGGTGTTCGTAACTGGTGTTACACTGTTGCCATCCAAAAAGAGCACCGCAGCCACCCCCACCCTTGCTACCCATGGGCTGACCCAGATTTATCACTGGGTAGCCTCTCCCTGGGTTGTAATCATACTAAAGCTAAAGCCTGTTTTAGGACATCATTACTGTAGGGAGATTGTTTCGGGTTATTGGCCTGAGACCCTGATTTCTTAAGTGTCTATTCAAAGCCAAGCAGTAAAAGGGCAAAAATAGACAGGGCAGGTGTTAAATCAGGAGGTTCAGTAGAGCCCAGCCCCGCTTCATTTTGTATGATAATCAGGGATAATACTGAGATCTGGATCTGATGATCAAGGCTGAGTTTAACCTTGTACTCTTGTTTCTATTTTTAACCCCTGGTATTTGCCCCAATTTTGCTTCTCAGTTCTCATTCAAGCTCGACTGAATACCCTTTATTTATTTCTGTTGCTTAATTGACATGACATCTATCTTTTACAAGGAGCGCTCCATAAATAGCCAGATCATGTCTACAAGAGGCTAAATTTTGACAACCAACCTTTCTTGACAAGACGTGATCTCCCCCCAAACTGAGATTTTTTTTCTTTGTTTAAAGAGAAGCAGTTTCTGTGAAAACATGATGGTTTTGGTTTAAAATAGCCTGAGTCTGAATGACACATGTTGGTTAGATATATTTCAGTGTTCTGCAGCAGATTTGTGTGCAGCCGCATTGTCCCTTTAAACACAATCTGATCGCTAATATTGAATGTCGGTTGAGCCCCTTCCTTGTAATTGTTTTTTGTTTATTTCTGTGCTTGAACAATAGATCATAATGTAGACAAGGAGGAGAACAGATGTTGAAATTGCTGAGGCCAAGTACAGTGTCTAAATGTTCTCCTGTGGACTCTTAATGATAGCTGGGGTTGTTAGGATGTGAAACTAACCAAAGGAGATGAAAGGGGTCAGAACTCTGAAGTAATTCAGTGTGGACGCTTTGCAAAACAAAAACCTGCTAACTTTTTCACGGCTAGATGTTATTTTTAATTTTTAACAGATTGTCTCTTGGTGTGATCTTTTCTTTCCTTTATATTTCTATTTGGCATCAATCCACTGTTGCTGGCTGAGTTTTTTTTTCCTCCTGAGTATTTTATTAGCCCTGACGGCCTTTATTTTTATTTATGTTAATTTAGTTTTACCTGCGGGAGGAGGACTTGGGAAAAAACAGAGCAGAGGTGAGTCAGCACCGCTTGGCTGAACTCAACAACTACGTTCCTGTGACCGCCTACACCGGAGCTCTCACCGAAGACTACCTGACCAAGTTCCAGGTAAAAACGGAGAGAGGCTCACGTCCCTGTCATTCAGCATTAAATAGAAGTCACGGTGTTAACATTTGTGTCCTGTGACCCAGGTGGTAGTACTGACTAACTCCACTCTGGAGGAGCAGCAGCACGTAGGAGAGCTCTGCCACAGCAAGGGAATCAAGCTGATCGTTGCAGACACTCGTGGACTATTTGGGTAAAATTCTGAAGCCTTTGATTCTGCTTCACTTGAGTTCTTGCTCTGCATATCCTTCATTTATCCTCTCCATATGTCTGATCTGTATGTTTCTGTGTTCTGTTTTGTAGTCAGCTTTTCTGTGACTTTGGCGAGGAGATGATAGTGTATGACACTAATGGAGAGCAGCCATTGAGTGCCATGATTTCTATGATCACAAAGGTAAGTCAGATGATTTTAAAACAGTTTTCAAACCACCCTATTTTTCTAATAAAAAAAGCATCAACACTGTCTTTTTTTTTTTCTGCTAACATTAAAAGGTGTTCTTTTTCTATTGCAGGACAATCCAGGGGTTGTGACGTGTCTGGATGAGGCCCGTCATGGTTTCGAGAGTGGAGACTATGTCACCTTCACAGAGGTTCAGGGAATGACGGAGCTTAATGGCTGCCAGCCAGTGGAAATTAAAGTCCTGGGTAAGTGTGTTTTTTTATTTAGGAACAAGGACATGTTTTTCTCCTTCTCTGGGGGATGACTTGTACTAATGGATGTAACTTTTCCTTCGTCCAGGCCCCTACACCTTCAGCATTTGTGACACAGCTGGCTTTACGGACTATGTAAGAGGAGGAATCGTCTCTCAAGTCAAGATGCCCAAGAAGATTGCTTTTGTAAGTACAGATATTTTTACACACTCAATATACACTCACCGGCCACTTTATTAGGTACACCATGCTAGTAACGGGTTGGACCCCCTTTTGCCTTCAGAACTGCCTCAATTCTTCATGGCATAGATTCAACAAAGTGCTGGAAGCATTCCTCAGAGAGCTTGGTCCATATTGACATGATGGCATCACACAGTTGCCGCAGATTTGTCGGCTGCACATCCATGATGCGAATCTCCCGTTCCACAACATCCCAAAGATGCTCTATTGGATTGAGATCTGGTGACTGTAGAGGCCATTTGAGTACAGTGAACTCATTGTCATGTTCAAGAAACCAGTCTGTGATGATTCCAGCTTTATGACATGGCGCATTATCCTGCTGAAAGTAGCCATCAGAAGTTGGGTACATTGTGGTCATAAAGGGATGGACATGGTCAGCAACAATACTCAGGTAGGCTGTGGCGTTGCAACGATGCTCAATTGGTACCAAGGGGCCCAAAGAGTGCCAAGAAAATATTCCCCACACCATGACACCACCACCACCAGCCTGAACCGTTGATACAAGGCAAGATGGATCCATGCTTTCATGTTGTTGACGCCAAATTCTGACCCTACCATCCGAATGTCGCAGCAGAAATCGAGACTCATCAGACCAGGCAACGTTTTTCCAATCTTCAATTGTCCAATTTCGATGAGCTTGTGCAAATTGTAGCCTCAGTTTCCTGTTCTTAGCTGAAAGGAGTGGCACCCGGCGTGGTCTTCTGCTGCTGTAGCCCATCTGCCTCAAAGTTCGACGTACTGTGCGTTCAGAGATGCTCTTCTGCCTACCTTGGTTGTAACGGGTGGTTATTTGAGTCAATGTTGCCTTTCTATCAGCTCGAACCAGTCTGGCCATTCTCCTCTGACCTCTGGCATCAACAAGGCATTTCCGCCCACAGAACTGCCGCTCACTGGATATTTTTTCTTTTTCGGACCATTCTCTGTAAACCCTAGAGATGGTTGTGCGTGAAAATCCCAGTAGATCAGCAGTTTCTGAAATACTCAGACCAGCCCTTCTGGCACCAACAACCATGCCACGTTCAAAGTCACTCAAATCACCTTTCTTCCCCATACTGATGCTCGGTTTGAACTGCAGGAGATTGTCTTGACCATGTCTACATGCCTAAATGCACTAAGTTGCCGCCATGTGATTGGCTGATTAGAAATTAAGTGTTAACGAGCAGTTGGACAGGTGTACCTAATAAAGTGGCCGGTGAGTGTATGAGCTATTATAAGATACATGGCCTTTTTCTCTTTTGCACATATTAGTCATACGCAAACCTCAATCCCATTGCAATACTCTTGTCAACATATTAACTTCTGTTGCTCTCCCCCTGGATATTTACACATTTTGAGTCTATCCTGAGGATCTTGTGTTGTTTTCCTGCAGAAATCCATCTCTTCTTCCATGGCTGAGCCAGAGTTCCTTATGACAGACTTTGCCAAGTTTGACCGTCCAGGGCAGCTGCATGTGGGCTTCCAGGCTATCCATGCCTTCCAGAAGAAACACAACCACCTTCCTGCACCTTGGAGCCAGGTAAACAGTCTCAGATATTACCATGGCTGGAAATGATTATATTAATGATCGATTTGTGACACCTTGTGGCCCAAAATAACGAGCTGAATGATATTACAGGCAGATGGTGATGAGTTTTTGGCCTTGGCTAAAGAGGTGAACTCTGCCCAGACGGGTTCGGCCAAGGTGGAGCAGTTGGATGAAGCTCTTATCAAAAAACTCTCTTACGTCTCTGCTGGTGACCTGGCCCCTCTCAACGCCTTCATTGGGGGTCTGGCTGCACAGGAAGTGATGAAGGTAGGTCACTCTAACAGTAACCCTCAGTCACAGTGTGTTTTGAAGTTGAGTTTGCTCAGGTAATAGATTATCAGTGTAGTTGTCGTTTTAGTTTCTTGGAATTAGACATGCCTGGACATGCGCTGCAGTAACCTGTTAAACCACCTGGATTGTCTTTTATGTGTCATACATGCTGAGATTGACATGCTCTGTGTTCTAGGCGTGCACAGGAAAGTTTATGCCCATCATGCAGTGGCTGTACTTCGATGCTCTGGAGTGCCTGGCTGAGGAGGACGGCGTTATCCTAACGGAAGAAGAGTGCGCCCCTGTAAGGCTCTTCACACTCAAACGCTCATGACTGATAACCGTAATGGTGATCTATTGTTTCTTTAATCTGTTTATCTGTCTTGTCTCCTCTTCCCAGAGGAACAGCCGATATGACGGACAGATTGCTGTGTTTGGCACCAAGCTGCAGGAAATGCTTGCCAAGCAGCGCTACTTCCTGGTGAGTTGGCCAATGGAAAATTTCCTGGTACCTTCTTGGGCATCCTGTTGCTAAGGGAGATTGGAAAGATAAGTCTAGTGATACCATAAATATATATTTATTGTCAACAATCCTCCATTGAGAAACAGACTTGTGCCTCATGTATGATTGGGTAGGTAGACTTTTGGAAAGACGTAAAGAAATAAAAACTGGTTACCAAGATACAGACTTTTTTTTTTTTTTTGATTAAGGATTGGAGTTATTTGTGCAAACAAACCAATGTTGAACAAGGAAATTAAATGTACTGGATACAGGATAAAAGGCTACTTATCTTGTATCTGTGTTTTGAGTTGATTCCTTTGTAAGCCGGAGTTAGTTCCTCTGATAGGCCGTATGCACAGAAAATCGTCTCTCTCTTCAAGTGACTGGAGCAAACATTTCCATTTTCATTAAGAGCAGTGATGTTTCTAGGTATGTGCCCTGCATCTCTTCCACAGTCATTATCTGAAAGGACCTTGTAAACTAGCTACCCCTGCTTATGGTACAGCAATTAACAGAGCAGGGATGAGGCTCAATCTCTAAACTTATTATTGAAGCTATAATTCTTTGCTACCCTCCTCAGCCTCTAACTAAGCTTGCTAATAAATGAAGAAAGTTTGATGATTGTATAAACATCCCCATCTGTTCTTATTGGTCCTTATTCACAGAAGATGAGCTGTGGCAGCTTGTCTTGTTTGTGTGCTCAGTTTCGTACAACAGTTTCACTTCAGTCAGTCGTTATCATAGAGGGTTAGCTCATCAAGTGAAAGCCTGCTGTCATAAACATACAATGTTTATTGGGTTGTGGGCTTTGGATCCACACTGAGATCTGTGTGTAGCAGACAGTAAGATGATTATCAATAAATGTCTGCTTGCTAGCATTTGCTGTTGTTAGCTTTCACACCAATTAAGTCTGTTTAGCTTTTTAGAGCTGAATTTAGAATATGAAGTGCTTAACAAAATCAACAACACAGGCATGATTGTTATAATGTTGATCTTTGAGTCTGTTTACTCCCTTTTAAAGCAGACCTCCTACCTGCTCGTATGATATCATTTGAGATGTTTAGTGACAGCCCTAGTGTACACTTGCTGGTCAGTAACCGTCATACTTTGTGGATACTTTGTGGTGTGGATATGCACGTCCTGTGGACCAGTGAGCCTGGTGCAGAGTAAGAGAGGAAAGATTTAGATGCTGATGTTGAAGCTTATTTTCCTCTGTGGATTGTGGTTTGACACCTGCCCTCCGATCACTGTTGGTGTGCTAAATTACAGGATTAATTTTAAACCAGCTCCCTCAGTGTGTTGTGGGTCAACTGAGTCAAAAGCCGCACCCTTAAAGGTTAACTCTGGTCTCCCATGGATACGATGGGCCTCAGCATGTAATATGTACAGCACCCCTGGGTGTTAGGTCAAGAAAATCAATCAGCCATGTGCACATCTGTGAGAATGGGGTTCAGTATTTACAAATGAAAGCCAAGCCACAAGGTTTCATAAAACACACTTTTGTGTGGGATGACATTGAAATTGTGGTGTACTTATATTCACATAGAAAACACACCAAATGTATAATTATTGATGTGCTGGGAAGAGTTAAGTAACAATTAAACGAAACATTTTTGACTCTAAAGGTTGATTTTTCTTTAAATTAGGGAACAACCAGCCTATCATTTTAATATCCAGAGCTGTAACACAGATTCTGTATCATTCTCCATCTTTGTATTTATACAGTATGTCCTGTGAAAGGAAACAAAAAACCGGATAAAATGTATCACTATAATTATATAAGGGTATTTAATCATTCTATTTAGCTACAAGAATTTAATTTCAAGTCAGAAATCTAATAGATGAGTTTATAATTAAAAGGTTTTCATTGAGGCACTTACATAAATGAATACTTGTTTGAATAAATCAGTTGCTTATAAATAATAATTGTTCTTTTTTATAAGAGACTTGTTAAATTTCCCAGGGTACCTAAGAACTTGCTACTTTGAAAAGCTGTCTTGTAAATTTTAACTGAGAGGTTTTTGTATTCCAGGTGGGAGCCGGAGCGATCGGCTGTGAGCTGTTGAAAAACTTTGCCATGATTGGCCTGGCGAGCGGTGAGGGTGAGGTCATCGTGACAGACATGGACACCATCGAGAAGTCCAACCTCAACAGACAGTTCCTCTTCAGACCCTCAGATGTTACGGTCAGTATGAGCTTTCTGTGCAATAATAAAGTGATGCTTGGCTTGTGCTCAGTATGTATCTTGTGTTGGTCTTAACTACTCTGTAATGCCTGACCTCTGCAGATAGATGATATTGAACTGCGTCAAAAAGGAGAAACAGCATGTCTTGGGGTCACACTTGCTCCCTTTTGATGTATTAGACAAGGATGGAATTCCTCAGGATTGATTCAGAATTCCAGATTTTCCAACCTAGAGGCAACAGACCTTGACTAATCTCGTGACTGTAAAACACCACATCTAAAAAGAAGGAAGGTATAAGTTATTTAGTAAAAAAGGTAGAATCTCTTTCTATAAAGGCTGAAATGTGGGGGCATACTTTTCATGTCCTAGTATCTGTACTAAAGATTGCGATGAACTCAGCCTGATGTTCCTAACTCAGAAGTGGTGACTCATGTCAGAGGTTTGTGCCTCTTGATGGTGCTGTGCATTAACTTCAAAGCCTTCAGATAATAGCACAGTAAATAACAGATACAAAGTGCTAATCGAAGCTGTATTATACTGTCTTGTTTCTGTGTGTCTTTATAACCACCTTAAATGTCACTGAGGTTCAGAACTAGATGGTCTAATCCATCTTCTAGAAAATCAGCACTCATTTACGGTGAAATAAAAAGTGACTTGCAAGCATTTCTTCTCTCCTCTCTATCTCTATCAATTATTCCTATTCAAAAACAAAAAGAAAAATCTATCCTTTGTTTTTTAACAGATCTAGATTTTTTTTACACTATTGCAAAGCTTGTGATGCTATAAGATAAGAGATTCCTTTAATAGTCCCACAGGGGGAAATTCCAAAATTACAGCAGCATAAATACAGAAACAACAGGAGAAATTAAAGGCTAAAGAAACAAAGAGTTAAAAGAGAAAGATTTGTACATGAGTTTTATTTACTATATACATATGTGCAGAATATACATGATATGATTTATGATACTGTATTTGTATACTCTTTAATTGCACGTTTTCTTTGGCTCATCTGCATTGCTATCGTTATTATTTTAAGAACTCACTGTCAATACTTTTGTGTAAATATTGAAACAGAAAATGAAGAGCGACACCGCCGCTGCAGCCGTGAAGCAGATGAATCCCTCCATCAGGATCACCGGTCACCAGAACAGGGTTGGCCCCGACACAGAGAGGGTCTATGATGACGACTTCTTTGAAAGCCTTGACGGAGTGGCCAATGCACTGGATAACGTCGACGCACGTAAGAGCCGGCCGTTTTGATTGTTTGTAATCAAATTGTTGGAAATCAAATTCAACATTTAAGCCGTACATTTTGTCTTCTGTGTGAAGGTATGTACATGGATCGGAGGTGCGTGTACTACCGTAAACCCTTACTGGAATCAGGTACTCTCGGCACCAAAGGCAATGTCCAGGTTGTGATCCCGTTCCTCACAGAGTCATACAGCTCCAGCCAAGACCCACCTGAGAAGTCCATCCCCATCTGCACCCTCAAGAACTTCCCGAATGCCATCGAACACACGCTGCAGGTCGGTTTGGTTTATTTTGTTAAACAGGAACATTAAAAAGCTTTTCTTGTTGTATTCATTATTCATTCAAACATGAAAACTTAATCAGACTACCTCTGAGAATGTGTAATGTTAGTTTTAGATTTAGAGGATAAAGGGTTAATCATGACTATCATGATCATACACTAATGCTGCCCCTCTTTTGTTGTACTCTGAGTGGAATACTAATCCCTCCTCAACTTTGACTGTGTGCAGTGGGCCCGTGACGAGTTTGAGGGACTATTCAAACAGCCACCAGAGAATGCCATGCAGTACCTCACGTGAGTCTCCTTCATTTCCTTTCTAATTAAATTTTAAAAGTTTACAAAGACTTCTTTTGAAATGACTTCATCAGCCTGTAAAGTTCTTAATAGTTACGTGTCCAACTCTGAGAACATTTTCTGAGTGACCCCTGCTTCCAGATGACCAAAAAGTGGCAGCTTCTCAGATGTGTAAAACCAGATCACGAGGTTTACCCTCATTGTTTCCGCAGAGATCCAAAGTTCATGGAGCGCACTCTGAAGCTTCCCGGAGCTCAGCCCGTGGAGGTGCTGGATGCTGTTCACAAGAGTCTTGTCACGGATTGCCCCCATAGCTGGGCTGCCTGCGTAGCTTGGGCACGAAACCACTGGCAGGTCCAGTACAGCAACAACATCCGCCAGCTTCTGCACAACTTCCCCCCAGATCAAGTAAATACTGAGCTCACAGCATGATGACTGTCAAGTTTTCTCTCTCTGGTCTTATTGCCTGTTTTCATGTAGACATTACATCTCCTTGTTGCTTATTTTATTGATGTTGTGTCAGTTTGATATATTCAGATTTTATTTCTGCACTCAGCCTCTTCTTGTCTTTTCACAACTCTGCTATATCATCTCATCTTTTGCCAGCATAATAAGCTGCTATTCAGTGCTTTAGTTGCTGTTGCTATTGAACTAAAGTAAATAGACAAACTGAAAGATGTCTTCCGCTTATGTCTTGTAACCGGCATTGTTGTAAAGGTCAGATCTTATCTGTTTCTGCTCTGCTGTGAAGCTGGGGTGCATGTCTTTGAGCGCACATCAAATGGAGGAAATAATCTAGCATTCAGTGAGACTCGGCAGCGACTTGAGTGAATATCAGAGCTCCTAATGTCTGTTATGAAACTAAAGAGGTGATTTAAAAGATGATGTGACTGCTCTATGTTGTCGTGAAGTGTCTGCGTGTCGTGTGGAGACAGCACCATGGATAGAAAGACAACTAGAACCTCCACAATCCAAAGTGGGGAATTTAACGTCCATCTCTTTAATCCGTTTGACCTTTTGGCTCCTTCCTGGATATCTAGCCTTTCTTTTAAGTCTAGTTAATCGGTATTATTGAACACACCTCTGCTGCTACCACCTGCTCGACAATCATACTGCATATACAAGTGGCTGTCAGACTCTTTTCACATTCTAGTTTAAAATATTTCCACACTGCTGGCATTTTAGCCATGGACTTGCTACTGTAACGGTTTTGACTTGGCTGGCCTGAGCAACCGCATGAACTGATTGGCTAAAATTGCTGATCACTCATCATCAAAATGTCATGGTTGGCTCCTATCTGATCACTGAGATCGGGATCCAGGCATTCCTTTGCAACAGCTCTAGCTCAGTTTACAATTAAATTAGCAAGTGAAGTTTTGTATTCAAGCGTCAGTCTTAGGTGTAGCACTTCAACATGTTTTGCCAAGTTTAAAACAATCACAAAATTAAAAAAGAAACATGACAGTTAACAATATAACCAGCATTAGATATAAAATAGTTTGAAATAATTGATCAAGAAAGTCAAGTTTGGCCGTCTGTCTAGATCAGTGGTTCTCAAGTCCAGTCCTCGAGGCCCACTGTCCTGCATGTTTTGGATGTTTCCCCTGCTCCAACACACCTGATTCAAATGATCAGCTCGTTATCAAGCTCTGGTATGGCTTACTAACGAGCTGATTATTTGAATCAGGTGTGTTGGAGCAGGGAAACATGCAGGACAGTGGGCTTTGAAGACTGGACTTAAGAACCACTGGTCTAGATATCCTTGTTGAGTTTGTATGCATTTGTTGAGTCAAGCTCAGGTCTGTTTTTTCAGACTTGGTGCAGAAAGTGCCGGTCTCTCTGCAGACCTTGGGTATTATCTTTTTGTTCATCTCTGTATCTGTCATTTTCCTACTGTTGTCTGTCTTACATAGGTGTAAACAATTAAAAAATGCTGCAACATTTTACATAAGATTTTCCAGCACGATCCTTTCTGAAGTTTTGCGTATGATTGTACTGAACACCTCCATATAATCTCTTTCAGCTCACCAGCTCTGGTGCCCCCTTCTGGTCTGGCCCAAAGAGATGTCCTCACCCACTAGATTTCAGCACTAGTAATGTAAGTTTGATTTGATTTGGTTTCTTAAGTATTGCAACTCTCTGCTCTAATTTTTAATCAACTCCAAAGGTAATAATTGACTTGATCTTTTGTAGGAGCTGCACATGGACTACGTCATGGCAGCAGCCAACCTGTATGCGCAGACGTACGGCATTCAGGGCAGCACTGATCGTGCAGCTGTGATCAAGATCTTACAAGAGGTTAAGGTGCCAGTTTTTACTCCTCGATCAGGGGTCAAAATCCACGTGTCTGACCAGGACCTGCAGAACAGCAATTCCTCTGTTGGTAAGTACACAATTTCAAAGCACTCAGAGTAACTGTTGATGTCAATGTTGATATGTTGATTTAACTGGTCTTTCATGTGTGTAGATGACTCCAGACTGGAGGAGCTGAAGGTCCAGCTGCCTTCCCCTGAGTCTTCCCAGTTCAAGCTCTGCTCCATCGACTTTGAGAAGGTACTCCCTGTCCTCGGTTCAAATTGTCCATTTAATTCTGAATTAACTTTTAGTCTCGAGTTCATCATTGCACGGCACTAATCATTGTCCTGCTTTCCTTTCTCTGGTGGATATCTGACATTAAAAGGATGACGACACCAACTTCCACATGGACTTCATCGTAGCAGCATCCAACCTGAGGGCAGAGAACTACGACATTCCCCCTGCAGACAGACACAAGGTGGGGGACAGATCTTCGATCTAAGAACCAAAACAACATCCTGTCTGACTTGACTTACTCATGTTCTCTTCTTTACTGCTTGTTGTAATTCTTTCAACTTTGTTTTATTCCACTTTAGAGCAAACTGATAGCGGGCAAGATCATCCCCGCTATCGCCACCACCACGGCTGCAGTGGTCGGCCTTGTGTGCCTGGAGCTCATCAAAATTGTCCAAGGACACAAGAAGCTGGAGACATTCAAGAACGGCTTCATGAACTTGGCCCTGCCTTTCTTTGCCTTTTCCGAGCCCATCGCCGCTCCCAAGCACAAGGTAGACAGACAGACAGCTGTAAATATTAAATCTGAGCCTCTATGAGCTGCTGAGATGACAAAATGTTAACTATTCAACTTGTTGGCCTTGAATACAAATTTAGGGTTTTTTTGTGCTCCAATGATGATCCAGCCATGCTAATACTGATGCACCAGGCAAATAGACTATCTGCCTGGGTGCAAGTGAGTTCAACTCACCTTCTCACGCTGATGGTATCAGTGTGTGCTGAGGAGAAAATAAACCATGTAGCTGTAAATGCATTTTTGCAAAGCACCGTCCTGTATGTTTTCTTCCTCCCTCTGAATCCTTCTTTGTTTTTGCAGTACTATGAGATCGAATGGTCCTTGTGGGATCGCTTTGAGGTCACAGGGTTGCAGCCCAATGGGGAGGAGATGACACTCCGACAGTTCTTGGACTACTTCAAAGTACGTTCTCTCCCTCCCTGACTGATCTCTTCTCCATGTTACCATCAGATGTCAGCAGAGTTGGCATTTAAAATTCTGTCTTTTTCAGAATGAGCATAAGTTGGAGATCACCATGCTTTCTCAGGGAGTGTCCATGCTGTATTCATTCTTCATGCCTGCTGCCAAACTCAAAGAGAGACTGGACCTGCCGTAAGTATTCCATCAACATGGACATACCTAATGCTGCGTTTCAGTTACCTAGGAAGTCAGATGTCGGAGCTGAAAATGACGTCACACCAGAGTTCCCTGCGTTTCAGATACCAAGTCGGAAAAGCAAAATTGGAGGCCTGAAACAAGATGGCTACATCTACGAAAGTTTTTTTAGCGCTTGCCATGTCCCAATATAAAACAAGCTTCGTAGCTGTAGCCATCTTGTTCCTGCCTCTGATTCAGCTTTTTTCCGACTTGGTAACTGAAACGCTGGTAACTCAGGTGTGACGTCATTTTCAGCTCTGACTAACGCAGCGTAAGTGTCCAGTATGAGTGTTTGTTTGTTTTTAAACTAACTATTTTTGTCTGTGTGTTCTTGCAGGATGACGGAGATTGTCACCAAGGTTTCCAAAAAGAAGCTGGGCAAGCACGTGAAAGCGCTGGTGTTCGAGCTCTGCTGTAACGATCTGTCAGACGAAGACGTGGAAGTGCCCTATGTCAGATACACCATCCGTTGAGCTCCACATTGAACCCACCCAAAAGGGAGGGTGGGGATGGCAGGAGGGAGACCGGGGTGGGGTGTTCTAAGTGATAAAGTTGAGGTGGGGGGGGATTTTGGGGTGGGTGAGTTGATCCAGATCAGTTCTACTGGATCAATCAGTTTTTTTTAAGGCCTGTGGTTTGTGTAAACCTGTGCCTGAGTGTACATAGCCCCCGTAAGCTGATTTAAGGATACCTGTATGTGTGTTAGGGATCCAGTTGGTGCTCGGCTGTGGGAACAGGAGCGTCACTGGAAGAAGGGAGCATGTATACTGGACCTTTTGGTGATTCTCAGTAGCAGAACCTCTCCGCTGAGTTAAAATCTAAGCCTTAGTGTTCTCTTGGCACTCCCTCTGTAACCTCTGAAACACTCTCATACTCTTTACTAGCCTTCAGCACTAAAGGAGGGACCTTTAATCCAGTCTCCCCTCCAGTTTATGTGCTCTCTTCGTTCCTCTGACCCTTGTCTCGTAGACCTGGTCCCAAATCACTGTTTTTTATTTCAATGATGCACCTCATTAAAAAGAAGCTCAGCCAAGATTCCTTGAGATATTGTCACACTTGACCCCCCTCGCTCTCCCCCAGGCCATTTCACTGCCCTTAGCTCTACGTGAGACCCCAAATTTAAAGGCATAGAAACACCTAAAGATGCAGCAAACCAACCCTGAGTCAAAAGCCTCTCCTGACGGGAGATTATATGTAAATCTCACTATGCCGCCGCCAGTTTAAGGCGCTCCCTCACCTCATCCAGCACCCTGTGGCTTCGGAGGGGCTCTTGCACATGATATCAGTTCTCTCTTTATTCTCTTATTTCATGTGTTTAGTTAATTTCTATTTTATTTCGAGGGGTGGGGGTGGACAAGGATTCGGCGCACACACCTACATCATAAACTGTCTTCTTTCTACTTTGTTAAACTAAAAGACATCACAGTATAAGAACAAGGCAATGAGATGTATCTTGAAATGAGAGCACTTAGTGTGATAGTGAATAAACATGTAAAAACATTCCTTAACTTGTGTTTGTTTTTTCTTTTGTGTTGGGTTCATCGTCTGTTTTCAGATTCAAAATTACACTTGACTCATACAGGAATTTGAACAAGTCTGCTGAGCTTGTTTTTACGTCTGACCTGCATGTCGCTTTTTCATCAGAAGTTTCATTATAGAGCATATCCGGGAAGTGCAGCCTGATTCAGATCAACGCCTACCTGGTTACTTTAAATGAAGATTGTTTTCTGCTTATTAAAGAGTATCAGGAAAAAAAATATGAAAGCTGCTTCACAATTAAACCAAACCTAAATTCATTAATCTTAAAAATAATTCAGATAATAATTTTTCAATTCAGACACATCTAAATAACAATGTTCAAGTCAGAGTTTGAACCCTCCTCTCCGAGAAGAGCGGATACATGAGTACATGAAACTCAAAAGGATGTGGTCTAGTGTGAGATGAGGAAGAAAGTGAAGAGGAAGAAGCGTACTGAACTCTGACAGAAAAAAAAAAAAAAGTACTGCCGTCTGTCACCGAGACAGAACTCTGCGCAGATCTGGATCCAGTGGACTTTTCTCATTTTGAGAATGTGTAGAGTTTATGTAAATATGCACTGAAGAAGGAGACAAGATGGAAGTGGAGGAGAGTGGTGAAACGAGGACTTCCTGGTATGATACCGTTTGTTCTTATATCTGTCTAACTTTACGACAAACTGAACTAAAATCATGTCGCTGTTAATCCACACCTGTCTGTCCTTCGCATTTAAATTTGTAGGACATGTATACACAACTGCTTTAGTGACAACTTTATCATTCAGAAATACTCTTATTTAAAGCTGAAGATTATGCAATTGTTCTAAAATATAGTGTAGCATAAAATTCTGTTACTTCGGCACACTTGATTTTGGATTTAAAAATCGCATTTATGTCTTTTTAGGTCTGCTGGATCAGAGAAAGACAAATGTGATCATGCTGCGGTAAACCAAGACATTCACCTCTTTTTTTGTTTCTTGTTTTTCTGTCTTAATATTTCACGGGTGTTCTCAGGAGGGTAAAAAAGTAAAAATGTATGATTTTCTCTTTTTAGAAAAAGAGAAAACAAGACCCGACCCCTGAACCTGTCATCAGAATCACAGAGGTGAGTGTAAAATCTGAGACGCACCATAAAAAACTGTTGCGTTGCCTTTTTTTCTTCATCTTCAAGTCTCTTTCTCCATTTCTGAGCAACAAACGGAAGTTAGTCAACCTTACCTTTGTAACCACAATTCTCAGAGCAGAGCTGACGAGGTATATTCATGTGTGCAGCTGCAGGAGCTCAGTGAACACACAAACCTTTAAATCATATCTTAAAACCACTTAGCAAATTTTAGCTGGTGATTTTTTTTGTACTTCTGTGCCAGCCATCTTTAATGAGTCTGCTGTCACGTAAAAAGGGTGAATGTAAGATATTTTTGGACAGTTTTCTGAGAATACACTCGATATACAGCTGATGTGGTTATCACTGCAAAGAAAAAAAACAGGCAGACATCTTGTGTTTCTACTACAGCGCCACAGTTTCAACCTCCTTCCTCTTTGAAAGTGTCACACAGGAAACTAGAGATGTGCACCATGCAACATCTCAGTGTTCTCCACTGTCACTTCAAGTCTCTTCATTAAACTTCTTTGAGATTCTGTTATCTGACCTGCTCTGTTTTATTTTAAGGATGAAGAGGAGGAGGAGGAAGGTGAAATGATGTCTGATCACATGGTGGATTCAGAGGTAGGTGTCGTAGCGCTCTGCAGGTCTAAGATTTGTGTTTTGTAGAGCAACCAATGAGCCACGCAGAGAAGCTTGTGGCTCAATTATTGTTCACGCTGTCAAAGCCAGTTTCTAACTTTGAACCTTGATTTCGTTGTAGGAGCCCAGTAATAAAAGGGTTAAACCTGTGGTCAAGTCCAACAGTGTAACAGGGGTCATAACCCCAGTGAAAACCCCTGCTCTGAAACGCATCGGACAGTCCATTTCGGTAAAACATTGCCCAAACCCACTCGCATACCTGCTGTCACACAGAAAGAACATGTCTTTTATATGTCGATTTTCAACCGCTCTGCTTTTTTTCACAGAGGTCTATCAGTTTTCGCACCGAGGCCCGACCTCTGCCCCCGGCCCCCCTGCGCTCTCGCCCCAAAGCATCATCGTTTCCACGCCGGCGCAACAGCCAGTGCTGGAGTGACACTGTGGAGAGTCACGACCTCACTGCAAAGGAGATTAAACGACAAGAGGTGAAACTCCTGAGAAACTGGTCCTCTTACTCATATCGTGCCACCCTTTAAAACAATATGTAGGTCAGACTGTGGGGCCGTGGTTCGCAGCATGGGCAGGGCTTACCAGTCCCTGCTCTTCACTTCTGTGAAGCAGCACTACAGGGCTATTATGAAAGAGGATGTGAGCTGGCACTTTAAGCTCAACTTCCCTTATTGAACAATCAGCTGTGAAACTCATGCTGTGTGTATTTCACATCATGTGCAATAGCGTGTTTTTGCAGTTTGCAGGCATCCTCATGTTTGTCTTTCTGTCCTGCAGGTGATCTATGAGCTGACCCAAGGGGAGAGACAACTCATCGATGATCTCAGCCTGGTCAAGAAGGTCCAGAAGCATTTTAGTATCATGGCTTTACATACGAGTTTAGTCTGGTTGCATATATCTGTATCACTTCTGGGCATCAATTTCTTTCTTTTCCTGCATGACTTCCACTCTTACTCAAGTTTTGTTCATGCAGGTGTACTATGAGCCAATGCTGAAGTTGGACATCATGACAGAAAGTGAGCTCGGACAGATCTTTGGTACTCTGGACTCACTCATTCCTCTCCATGAAGGTAACAATATCTCCTCTTTGTGTGAAAACAAAGATGTATTTTTTTTATCATACCAAATCTTAATTTTTTTCTTAATACTGGGTAGGACTGCTCTTATGTCTTTTCTTTTTTTTTTCTTTTTTCTTTTTTTTAATAATTCCATTTTTTATTTTTATTTTTTTCAATGTTGCAACAGACAAATGAACATTAAACAAAACCGACAGAATGGATGTCAAGCGTAATAATAATAATACGATAAATAAATAAAAGAAAATAAGAAATAAAAGAAAAAAATAGAATAAAAATCTTAAAGTACAGAAATGAAAAATAAGACTAAGGCAGATAAGTTGGCAAGGCAAGAAAATTAGCACATCTGTCTCCCAAAACTATCCTATTTTTTTTTTATCATGTTATTTTTCTCTGATGTATTTTCTTCTTTCTTTTTTTTAAATAATTCAATTAATTATTTTTTTAATGTTGCAACAGACAAACAAACATCAAACAAAACAGACAGAATGGAGGTCAAGAACAGTAATAATAATAAAATAAATTAATTTAAAAAATAGATAAATCTGAAAGTACATAAACTAAAAATAAGACAAGCAGATAAGTTGGCAAGGCAAGAAAATTAGCACACCTTTCCGCCTAAACTATCCTATTTTCCTTTAATCACATCATTCTGCTCTGATGTTTTTTCAATGAAATATCTACATTTAGCATGTTCTGCATTTGTTTTTGTCCTCCAGATCTCTTGAGTCGTCTAGAGCGGCTGAGAGGATCAGAGAAGACTGTAGGAGAGGTGGGGCCTACTCTGTTGAACTGGGTGAGTATCTCCATGGAAACCAAGGATAAATAGAAAGGAAAGGGGGAAAAAAGGACAGAACCCACCTTCACATGCTAAAGTTCCTGTATTTTCGCTGTTTTGTTTCACTTTAAACTGGTGTTGCAGAGTTCACACTGTGTGCGTCTCAGCTTTTCTCTGACTCAGAATTTCTGGTCTCTGTCTCAGTCATCATTCTTCCTCTTCCTGCAGTTCCCTTGCCTGGAGGCCTATGTTACTTACTGCTGTAACCAGGTGGGGGCTAAAGCTCTGCTGGACCAGAAAAAGCAAGAGAAAAGAGTGGAGCACTTTCTGCGTCTGTGTCAGGAGTCTTCATTCAGCAGGAAACTGGACCTGTGGAACTTTCTAGATCTCCCTCGGAGCCGTTTGGTGAAATACCCACTGTTGTTGAAAGAGATCCAGAAGTGCACGCCTCCAGAGCACCCAGATGAAGACACGTTACCTGATGCTGTAAGTTGGTGTCCTATATGCTCCATTTTACTCTTTGTATACACAGAAAAACTTACCGCTTATGAAAACTTATTTCTTAAAGGAGCTTGGTCTTTTTTTAGTTTGTCAGAGCAACAAAAATCTAAATTTCTCTCTCTGATCAATAATAATAATAATAATAATAATAATAATAATATTAATAATAACTTTATTTTTATAGCACTTTGAAAAACAGAAGTTTACAAAGTGCTTTGACAAATAGTCAAAAAGTACATGTAAGTAAAGACAGATGACAACAAAAAGCAAAGTTAAAACGGAATTGAGGGCGATTTTCATACGTCATAAGGAAACCCAGACAATACAAGAACCATGCAACATAAAATGAGACCATGAGAAAGTGCAATAAAAAAATGGGTTTAAGCAGAAAACAGGATAGTAAATACAAAAGACAATATTAATAATGATAATAAAATAATTGCAAAGATCAAACTAACCCTGTTCAAGGTCTGTCAAATATATACACATTATCAAATAACACACCAAACTGAATCAGTGTTGTACATTAAAGCTACCATGGGGACTTTTTAAATGGTTATGGAATAGACCAAGAATAAAGATGCAGCCTTATAATGACTGACCAAGATAACCAAGAACAATTGTCAGATGTGATTATTATCTTTTACTAATTTTACAGCAAATATTTAAATTGAGAAGTCCATTTGACTGTAAAAAGAGGATAGGGTGGTGCAATGGTGCTTCAAATTGGCTTAAAAAGGTTGCTTAGTAAAACTCTAGGACCAAATAGCTTTAAGATAGGACATAAATAATTGTTGTCCATTTGAATTGCCTTTAGTCTTCTGCCATGGACATAAATAGTCCACTTAACAAACAGGACCGACAGAATAAAGGACTTTTTTTCTTACTCTTTTATTGCAATTATTACCACATAAAGACACAGTTTCGCAGTTTTTACAAGATGGGACTCTCTCTTTATCTGAAGTGATGAAACAGTTTTAAAAAAACACACTGATGCTTAGTCACACTGTTGTATTTAGCTGGAGCTGATCCAGAGCATCGTGGGGGAGGTGAACAAGAAGACGGGCGAGGCAGAATGTCAGTTCTACAGGAGAGGTCTCAGCTACCTGGACGAGAGTCAGAGACTATCAGAGATCCAGCAGTCCCGCTTCCTGTACTGTCATGGAGAGCTGAAGAACAACAAGGGCCAGGTAACTGTTCCCTCATCATAATACATTTCAATAAGATACATATTTTTTAAGAAATGCTAGTTCCCTTGTATTTTTACTGCTATTTCTCTTTGATTTACAGTTTTCCTGTCTGCACTGTAACTGTTATACCTAAATGATTGATTAATTTGACCCCTCTCCTCTCCATGCCACTTTGTATATTGATAAATACGGTATATTCATCTGTCTCTTTTGTCAGCGGCTTCATGTCTTCCTGTTTGAGCTTGCGTTGGTGCTGACCAGGCCAGGTGAGGACAAAGATGGAGGTCAGGTGTTCAGTGTGTACAGACAGCCTCTGCCCAACGCCCTGATCAATCTAGAGGAAATCCCAGATGGAGAGGCTGCTGGAGGAGGCTCCTTCAGAGGGGCGTTTACTGGGAATGATAAAGGTGAGGTCTAAATATGATGGATTCAACAAATGAAACAGGTTCAGAGAATTTATATCACCCCATCTAGTTGTTAAAAGTGAAAACTACAACTGAATTTCTGCTCAACATCCCTCCTCCCTCTCTCTCTTTTTTCTTCATCTCTTCAGTGAAGAACTGTTTCCGTGTGAGCAGCAGAGGGCGCTCCAAAGCCAACCCTTACAGCCTGCAGGCCAACGACTCCTTCAGCAAGCAGCAGTGGATCAGCTGTCTGCGGCAGGCCATCGTCCAGTCCAGGGACAGGACGGCTCACACCAGCCAGTCCCGGCTCTCCCTGCACCCTGACCCCGCCCTGTGTCACATAGCCGAGCTCAGCCTCAGCTCGGACACGGACATGGCGGACCACACCAGCCGCTGACTGTTTCACAAACTGAGGCCTTTGGGTGTCTGCAGACCTGTACATTGACTCTGTAGGAAATAAAAAAAAGGACTTAATGTGAAAGAATATTGTGGTTAAAACCTGCATTGAATGTCTGTTTTATCTTTTCTGTTCTTGTATTTTTTGATGGATTGTATGATTGTGGTGATTGTATGATTGAAGTGGAGTGTGTTACACAACTTGAGCAGTATTATTGAATGTGTAAAGTTTATTATTGTTGATTTTTTTTTAATAAACTGACACTCAAAAGTTTGGTCATGTACTCTTGGCTGGCAAAGCCCAAAAGACAAATCTAAGTATAGCCAACAAGATCTAGAAAGACAAGATTAGTGATGCTTATCCTCCCTCTCTCTCACCCTCGTCCCCTCTTTTTCTCTCTCTCTCTCTGACACTGCTGACAGGACAGGAGAGAGAGAGAGAGGTAGATTTTCAGTTCCAGCCTACAGTCACGCAGTGTAACAGTAGATGTCTCCTTATGCATTTTTAACAGCTCAGCAGGTGATAGGAACAGTTCGGTGAGGACAGTTTGTCCACAGATAGAGTGACCAAGTGTTCAGGTGAGTCTGAGCCTCTCTGTTTATCTGCCAGTGTTACTTCATTTGTCAGGTTTTCTTTAGAAACTTCGAAAGGTTTGATCAGTTTGTCTGCATGAAACAGCAGAGAGAGTTTGCTTGGTTGCAGGATTTGCATGTTCTAGTTTGAGATTTAGACTTTTGAATCAGCTAACTTGAGTTGAGATCTCATTTGAGGTTTCTGTCAGACCTTGACTCTGCACGCCGTAATTACACAAGAGAAAAGCGAGCCAGATCAGGATTTACTCTAAAGGGACGCTCATTCACAAATTGATCCTGTTCTTTTTCCCTCAGCTGTGAATGACGTCCTTCTTCATTTTTCTTCAGAAACAGAAGGATAATACAAAAAGAGGACTTTCTGTCTCTCTGCTTACGACCCACAATCCCTTTCTCATCTTTGACCCTGCGTGTGAAACAACTGGACAGCAAAACTACTTGGTTTCTACTTTTTTTTTGGGAAGCCTCTCTTGGGCTTTACACGCCTCCTGAGGTTTACCGGTGAGACAGGATGCCCGGAGCCAGTGGTGTCAACATCGAACCCTCCTGTGAGGCCTTGTGTCGAACCCTGGTGTCTCAAAACGGCCTGCAGAGAGAGACAGCAGATATTTCCCAGTCTGTCCTTTACACATCACTGATGGGCCTGCTTCTGGTCACTGACAACGAGGTGGGAGAAACACAACGCTGTAAAATCTTCTACTTCTGCTGTAGCTTTGAGAACTAATCTTAACTTTCACTTAATGCTTAGAGGACAAGCATAAACACAGTCAGAGGTATTGTGTAAAGGCATTAATGGAAAGTACACATTGACACACGTGTTTAAACACCTGTCAGCACTCCCTGGACTCTAATAGGATGAGTACCTGGAACTGACCTCCTTTTAGCCTCTCTTGTTATGTTAATGAGATAAGAAAACTAAATCTGTCCCACCTTTGCGGTACACACACTGACACGACGTGGTTAAAACAGACACACATGTCAGAGTAAGGGGTCAGATGGTAGGATATACATGCTGTAAACTGCATGTACATACAGATTTGTGCTTTGTGATGTATGAAAAGTGTCCTTTGTTTTTTAAGAAAGAGCAGCTCACACTTGGAAGTGGAAGAGTTGGCCTTAGAAACATTGGAAACACAGTAAGCGTTGTTTGGTGCAAAGACTTCAAACATATTCACCTTTGAAACTTCTTCAGCATTATCACGCTCATTTCTTCTCTGTGTTTATTCTCCATCATAGTGCTTCCTGAACGCTGTAGTCCAATGTTTGTCTCACACACGTGGCCTGCGAGACTACTGCCTCTTAAAGTCCTACAGGCATGAGAAGTTCTCCAAAGAGGATGCAAAACTCATGGAGGGTACTCTGCTCTCTTCTTAACTGGAATCACTCTTTTGTAATACACCTCTCCCCTTGAAATTTGTTCATCCTTTCTATTCTTTTGCTTTTTTTTTCTATACCTAGCTTTCTCACAGGTGCTGTCCGGCCTCTGGGATGTCAATGATGGAGACACAGTTGTAAATCCGCGCAAGTTTTATAGTGTCTTTAAAGAAGCAGTGCCTTACTTCAGTGGTTACAGGTGAGAATGTTGATGGTGTTTCATCTTTTTTTCTTGAAGTTACCTGCATTTTTAACCTTTTTGTAAAATTTATCCCACTGAACGTTTTTTGGTCTAAAAGAGGTCTAATAGACGTCTAAATGTTGCCTAGACGACTGGTCTAAAATGACACTACCACAGGTCTAAAAATAAAAGGTTTTTAGACATCTAAATTTAGACAAAGTTTAGGCTAGCCGGCTAACACAGGTCGAACAGCCCACTGAGCATTTTTTGCTAAACGGCTATTATAATTATTTTGGTTAAGTACTTGGAAATTAGTAATGAATCTCACAGTTGCTTTTTAGAATAAATAGTTATTGAATAATGGGTTAAAGTGCAACGTCTAAATTCCATCTAAAAATATACAGAATCTAGATGGTTGAAATCAGGTCTAAAAAAAAAACTAGACGTCTAATAGCTGTCTATTGCTCGGTGGGATTAGGGCTGCACAATTGCAAAAAAAATACAAAGTTTTCTATAACCTTTTTTCTGACGTTTCCAAGTTGGGCAAAGTGGAAAAAGATCAATAATGCAAAGAAACCCCCCCATGATGTTCCTGTTTGTTGAATCCAGTCAACAGGATGCACAGGAGTTTCTCAGGTTCCTATTAGACAAGCTGCACACAGAAATCAACCGCAGACCCTACGTACGACGAACAGGAAAGGACCCTGAACAGAAATATGCCAGATTTAGGTGAGTGCTCGGGCCCATTTTTGCACAACATAATCTGGTATGACGCAGCGGTTATGACTAAAGATATTGAGAAATAAAATTTTTAGGAAAACTGTTTGTAAAGATAACGCCATCATTGAGTCCAAATGTTAACTCTGAACTTAACAATTTGATGTTCTGCATGCAACTGTATTTTAACTCCTATTTCCCCCTTTCAGAATTTCCGAAGAGGCAGCAGCCATGTGGAAGAAGCACCTGGAGAGAGATGACAGTCGAATAGTGGGTAAGGAGAGCTATAAAGCCATCGTGATTGATCAATCTCATCCATCTGATAAAGGAAATCATTCATCAGTCTTTCTGTTGTCCTCACAGATCTGTTTTCAGGCCAGCTGCGGAGCTCGCTGCATTGCTCCGTGTGCTCCCACTACTCCAACACCTTTGATGTGTTCTGTGATCTGTCGCTGCCTATTCCTAAGAAGAGCTCATCAGGGGAAGTGACGCTGAGGCAGTGTCTAGACCTCTTCTCTCAAGAGGAGAAGCTAGACAAGGAGAATTCACCAGTAAGTAAAAAAAGCAATAAATCTGAATGTGTTTATGTGTCCCTGGACTAGTAAGAGGAGTGCTTCAAACAAACAAAAAAACAAACATTTTTATTCCTGAAATTAAACTTTTATACTGGAAAATTCATTGTTTACTCTGACACTTAAAATTCAGCCAGTTTTTGATCACATATCTTACTGGTGTCTTATCACTTCAAAGTAGAGTTGCAAAACAATGCTAATAAATATCACTATGCACAATTACCTACACATAAACATTTCAATTTTTCATAAGTTAACAGTAGCATGACTAAAACTGTGTATTAACAAGCTTAAAAAATGTCTATGTGTGTGTTTCAGATGTGTGAGAGGTGTAACAGACATACAGAGTGTACCAAGCGCTTGTCCATTCAGAGATTCCCCCAGGTTATTGTGATCCGTATCCTTGGCAACAGCTTTTATTCAGCATGTAAAACACATCATCAAGTCTTAAGTTGTTCTGATAGTTATATTCAAGCTTAACTGCCTCCTTCAGATCTAAATCGATTCACAATGTCGCGGTGGTCGATCAGTAAAAGCACGACGTATGTGTCCTTTCCATTTACTAACCTGGATCTTGGACCTTATGGGCCTCTGGACTGTGGTAACTTAACCCAACTCTTCTTTAAGTTTAATATTGTTATAATTTGAATACATTAAAGGGAAAAAAACACTCTGTGTTTCTCTGGATCAAAACAAGGAAGTTATTGTATCTTTGTACATCCCTACAGGTCCAGTTCTATATGATTTATATGCAATATGTAACCATGCTGGAACAGTAAATATGGGCCACTACACAGCCTGCTGTTCAGATGAAAATGGCTGGTGCTTTTACAATGATTCAAGGTGAGTCTTTGCCTGAACCTAAATCTTTTTACTTTCTGAATGCTTTATAAAGTCTTTATGTTTGATGCTTTCACTTGACTCCTCTCCTGCTCTCCTACAGTGTGACTCTAGTCTCAGAAAACCAGCTTCAGACCAATCAAGCCTATGTGCTGTTCTACCAGCGCAGCAACAGCACCGCCGCTACCACTGTCAGGAAGTAGACCTCAGACTGGCTGAGCCAAGGAACCAATCAGAACAACTTTACCTCCAGTGTCCATAGAAACAAATAGAAGCAGCAGTGCTGGCATCTGTGAACTTCTCAATCTCATTAGCTCCAGTGAGGTGGTGAAGAAGGAATACATACACACTTTAAGGGGGCTAAAAAAATGAGCAACCATTTTGTCTCATAAAGATGCTTTTTAAGAATCCCAGAGCTGAGATGGACTCTCTACCCTGGTCCTCTGGCAGGAGGGAGGAGATTGAACGCACATTTTGCAATAATAGTGTAATTCGTGCTTGCTAACTTGGCCATAAATATATCTTGGCTGGAATAGAAAACATATCATGACTGTTGCGATGTAAGACTTTTTCTCACCACAATTGTAAGCCGAAGTATTTTGTAAAGAAACTTGAATTCAAAGTTAGTTATCTGTAGCTGGTACTATCTGTCTAGATATCTAAATTCTCCTCCAGATGGACTGAATTGCAATTATCAAAATGAGCTGGATTGTATACACTTATATCATGAATTCATCTTTGTATGTATTTTTTTTTACATTTGTGTTTTCTGCTGATGTACAATGAATAAGAATTGTAAAATTGTATTATTTCTATTGTAACAGTCATTGATAACAAACAATGAATGTTTGATCACCAGTTCAGTTTATCTGTAATTTTTCAAGTTTTTTTTTTTATTATTATACATGCGATTTATTGAAATTATTTATCCAAATGATTTTAACAACATGCCCACTGAACTCCTAAGACTTAGTGATTTTTTTTTTTTTTTTTTGCAGGAACAATTAATTTTAATATGAAGCTTATATTCCCCGATTTCTTGTGTTAAGTACTTACCTATGCCTAACAACTGTTTAAATTTAGGTTTATGTCAAAGAGCACATTTAGCTAACAGTTATAAAAAAATATAACCATCCTGAATAATAGTGTAAGTGCATATGGAAAAGGGCACCAATATGATATTAAGGTCTCAGGCATTAGTTCATTAAATTATACTGTCTTTGAGGATGTAGCTAAGCACACATGCTTAGCTTATGTCTACATCCCAGAATGGTATATGTTCATTCAAATTAAAAAATATATTTAAAAAATTATATTTGGCAGTAAAAGCAGTAATTAAAAAAATAGAAACTTAAATACTTAGGCACTGTATGGCTGTGAATGAGATTGTGCGGAATTTATGACCTATACTGCAGCCCGTCGACAGAGGGTGCTGTTCTCATGGTTGCTTCCATAGACATTATATACATAGACACCTCGTTACGTGCTGGAGTGTAAATCCAGTGTCACCGCCATATTGGATGGGTCTCCCACCCCATTCTCGATCAAGAGTCAAATAGAGTCAATGGGGAACGAGCAACTTTGCCCGTTTTTTTGCACTCTATGGTTAAAAAACCCGACGTAGTATTGAAACCAGATCACGTAGGATTACATTTCACAAATAGGATTGAAAAATGATTTGATTTATTTTGGATGTGTGATATTGTCCTGTATTATTGCTACATCCCTGCTGTTGTAACAAACGAAACAGTGTGATAATCGGGCAGAGATTCGGAGAGTTATTATTAAGTTGGTTGGTCATTCCTACTTACCTTAATGCACTGGAGGCGCAAGGGGGACCCATCCAAGATGGCGGCCACGCTGATTCGTGAGCTCCAATAGGCAGCGTCAGGCTTTGAGGCGTCTACGTATATAATGTCTATGGGAACGAACAGGCCACGGCCTTCTCGTGATACGTCACTGTGCACATGCGCAAACGCGGTGGGAGGAGTTTACCAGTCGGCCAGGAAGAGGAGAAAGGCGGACAGAGAAACATAAAGCGGTAATCTTTATCTGCTATACCTTCTTTACTTCGAGTCGGGTTTTTCTTCTTTAAAAATGTTATTTAAATGATAGCAAAATAGCCGAGGTTAAAGAGAGAAAACTTTGCCTCATAGAGGTTCCAACCACGAAAACCCTGTTAGCTTTCTTGCTACCCGGGCTAATGTGAACTGGTTTGACAGGCCTGGTTTTTACAGCAGGACTGAGATCACAACACGGAAATGTCTAATATTTACACCCTGTATGTGTTTTTTACGCGTTTTCCCCACAGATGGCTGCTTTGAGAAAGAAGTTGGTTATAGTTGGGGATGGTGCGTGTGGGAAAACCTGTCTGCTCATCGTTTTCAGCAAAGACCAGTTCCCAGAGGTCTACGTCCCCACTGTGTTTGAGAATTATGTGGCAGACATCGAGGTGGACGGCAAAACGGTGAGGCTGAAAACACTGGACAAAAAGTTGGGTTTGAGGAGTCCAAAAAAAAAAAATCCCACAAACTTTCATTTTCGATTACTTAACCTGTAGAACATGAAAAATGTGCAATCTTCATGATTTCTTGGATCTCCAGGTGAACATTGATGTAATGTTTATTAAGTGACATTTAACATTAGAGTCGTGCTTTTACTCTATGTTGTTTTTTTATTACCAGTGATACAAACAGATTCGTGACACTGTTTGGTTTAAATAGAGGATAAAAAAAGTGCCACATTTTTCTTTTAATAAGGTGAAACAAAATGTACAATTCTCCTCAGTTTTAAAGTACTCGTCTTGCTTTCCCATGTGTATGTAGTTGCCTTGCTGATTGAACAAGCAAATACCCATTTTTGTCCATAAATGCACTAGAATTTTTTTAACAACCAATGTTTCGGAAAAAGAACCATTTTAAGTCTTTGACAATGTGAATTTTGACTCTTTACACTTTACCATTAGCAGCGTAATGATTTGTTTTCTGTCTTAAGGTCCTTTCACACCGGGACCGTTTTTGTCGTGCGATTATTTCGATTTTTCTAAAGTTTCACATACTGTGTGTCCACTTCTGACCAATCAGATAGCATGTTGTTGCGACGTCTGCTTCACCGGTATATCCAACATGGCCAACCGGCTGATTGTTTACGTGTCTGAGAACAGAGTGCTTTTTTATAAAAAACACAGATGTTACGTACTGACGTTTCCAGCTTTTCTAGCCAACCAAAGGCAAAGGAGGCGGGACTTTACCTGGGAAAAATCTCTCTGGGATGCGTCTTTCTCCCCCCAGGAAGTCACACAATCGCATCGGGCTTGATCCGTATAGTCAGGTGTGTCAAAGTTCGCCTCCGAATATTCCGTAATTTCGCGTTCTATATTCACATCAGCCCTGGTGTGTAAGGACCTTTAGCCATAGACTGTGTATACTATGGACAGCTTGATTCCCCTTCCGCCAGTATATGGATATGAAGCCTAAAAGCTCTCTGTAATTCCGCGTTTTTTCTCCACTTCCTGAAACCAACATTGCACAGTAGCATTGTATGCACTCCACCACTTGCATAGCAGCAGTAACTTCCGTTGTGACTTTTTTTTTGCAATCTTTTTTTATTTGCAGCAGTGGCAGTTCTCGGCCACCGCAGTTATAGCTATAGGTAGAGAGTGTGGATTAAGGAGAGAGCACAAATACTCATCATGGAAATGCTTGAAAGCGAATAAACCATAGACTGTATATACTATGAACAACTTGGTTCCGCCTCCCCTCCCCCGGGTGAGCTACACAATCTTCGTACGCCCATAGGCTGTATCAGGTGTCAATCATAGAAAACATGAACCCCCTTATAACTTTTAAAAACTGAGCTGTACAGAAAAAAAGAGGACTTGAGCGCAAACCAGTCTTAAAATAACCCAGTGTTTCTGCCTGTTAAGAGGAAGTTTTTCCTTGCCACTGTTACTCATGTTAGAGAAGATGGGTCAATTGCCATCTTAGGTTGGGTCTTGATAATTAATCAAATGATGAGCGTGGTCTAGACCTGCTCTTTTCTTTGGAAAGCGTCTTGGGATGACAACTGTTGTGAATTGGCGCTATATAAATAAAATTTGATTGATTGATTGATTGATTGATTGATTGATTGACTGACAATAGCTATATGTCAACATCACAAGCAGGGGGGAGAAATATTTATATTCTGTGTAATAAGTTTCTAAAGTTTGTCCACAGCCCGATAGGGATGGCTGGCGGAGGCAGTATTTATAACCTATACTGCAGCCCGTCAACAGAGCTTGGAGCAAGGAGGCAGACGGCATCCATTCTATATACAGTCTATGGTCTTAGCTGTGTCCCTTGTAAAGAACTGACAATAATGTAATGACGAGTAGCTTAATTGCGTCCATGAAATACTTCTTTTTTTTTATTCTATTTAAATGTTCAGATCATCCTCTTGATTTGCCCATGTATTTACGCATCTATCCTTGCACTTTTTCTGGCTGTTCACAGGTTGAGCTCGCGCTTTGGGATACAGCAGGTCAAGAAGACTATGACAGACTGCGACCTCTCTCCTATCCTGACACAGATGTTATACTGATGTGTTTCTCTGTAGACAGCCCAGACAGTTTAGGTATTGTTCTCACAATAGTCTCATCATCATCATGTCTTATATGCCTTGCAATTGTCATATTGAGATAAATCTCTTATTACTGTATTGTGTCTTAATCTAACTTTAGAAAACATTCCTGAAAAGTGGACACCTGAAGTGAAACACTTCTGTCCAAATGTTCCAATCATCCTGGTGGGTAATAAGAAAGATCTACGCAATGATGAGCACACTAGACGAGAGCTTGCCAAAATGAAACAGGTTAGTTTCTATTGTTGAATGTGTTTTTTTTTTTTTGTGTGTGTAATTTATTTAAAACTGACTGTGTGTGCATATAAATCTCTACATTTAACCAATTTGTGTGTTTCCAGGAGCCAGTTAAATCTGAAGAGGGCAGAGATATGGCAAACCGGATCAATGCTTATGGCTACCAAGAGTGTTCTGCCAAAACCAAAGACGGTGTAAGAGAAGTCTTTGAGATGGCTACAAGGGCAGCACTGCAGGCCAAGAAACGTAAGAATGGGGGTCGCTGCGTTCTGTTATAGGCTCTGTGAGACCAGGGAGCTTCTGCAAGTACAGATGAGAGGGCAGCCGTCTCCAAGATTTAACAAAGGGGGAGTATTGGGGAGGGTCCAGAATAGTGTTGCAGATGCTCAATTTATGATCATCCAGTTGTCCTCAGCAAATTACAGCAGATCTTAAATTATTTGATAGGCTTGGATCTGACTTTTGGATATAAAAATCACTCGACATGTGATGGGGATGACTCAGAGTTGAGTAGATGTAAACTTGTTAAAATGTGCCATGATAAAAATGAAACTAGAAACAGCTGTTACTGGGCCAAAGACAATGGGGACCTGCAAAAGAAAGAGACAAAAATGCATAAATGTAAAAAAGAAAAAAAAAAGATTTGTATTGAAACCACGTCTAAGTGGATTTTACACAGTATCGCCTACATGTAGTGCCTTGAGAGTAAGGGTTAAAAAGAGTAAATTCTGGGGTTGGGATTCATAATTTTAGACAGTTGTTTTATTTTTGTCATTTTGTAGTGTCCACACACCACATTTGTGAATGTTTTTTTCCCATTGGCTTGGCTTCTTCAGGCTCATATTCTGACTCAGGCACTATGCGGGGGTATGCCTAATCTAGATTGTATGAGATATTTTCTCTACTTACCTGTACTTGAGCGTGTGAGTGTGTGCAACTGTATGGTGGTTTATCTTCTCCAGTGCAGGTTTGCATGCAGTGAATGTGCGTGTATTTGTATGGGTGTGTATTAACAAGTGTCTATGTACTGTATGCATTGAAAGGCCTTCTGTGTTCCTGACCTAACCCCTTGTTTTCATGCCAAAGTTACCCCTGATGGCCACCTTTTATGGCTCAGATGGGTAATTGAATTAACAACTACTCAGAGTAACATATAGATACATTAACTTTACTGGAAGACATTGTACTATACATAGAGGCACAATCAGGTTTAACATATTACAAGTTTTTAGGACAATTTTTGTGTGAACTAAAATTCATTTGTGTTAATCAGAGGGTCAAATCACAAGTGGTATAGTTGACAAGTTGATTTTGTTTTATTTTTTTGGTTATATGCTTATATTATAACCATAATGTCCATTATGTACTGTATGTCTTACAAGACCTTGTAAGGATATGTTTTTGATGTGTATTTCAAGTTCACTTTTTTCTCAATCCCCCTTCCCCTCAAGGAAAATGTCATTATTGTACTATAACTTTTCATTGTTGGTGTCTCTAATTTTCTTTGTATATTTTAATCATACTTTTTCTTGCTGTTATGATCTGCTTATATCAGTTAAATGATAAATAAATTGTAACTGTTGAATTGTTTTGTTTTATTGATTAAAAGTCATCCTTAGGGTGCATAGCTGGACAGGTTTGGGATTGGCTGCTACAGCAGTTAATTTCTTTTTACTTTTTGTAATTATTTTTTTTATTTTCCTTTCATTCTTTTTGCTTTATTTCATACTGTGACAAAATTCCTGTTCTTTTTTTTTTCCAAATAAAAGGTGATATGGTGATATTAAGTTTTCTGTCACAATGTATTTTTTTCTTGGATCCCAACTGTCTTCACTATATTTTTGGCATTAGTTTTCATTTTCCCTCAATAAAACATTTGTTGCCTAGCTAAATATTTGATCTGTTTTTAACATTTTATCCTGGGGTCGTCTCAGTTCTCTGAAGTTGCATCAGTGTATCCCTTGTCTTAGTCCCTCTCAACAGAGATACATGGAGAGATGCAAAAATATATGTCAGCTTTTTACATATATATATATATATATATTTTTTTTTTAAACAGGAGGAGCATCTTCATGGGAATGTAATCAGACAGACACGCTTAGGCAGAAGAAACGCAGAGTCTGCAGTGCAAAATGATTAATATGATAATTATTACTTTAATGAAATGATACAGTAATGATCATAAATCTTCTTCCTTGAGCTGCGTCCCCCCGCTGCAGTTGATGGACTCGCCTGGCGGTCTCCGACTTGTGTTTAGTCTCTAAAGAAATCAGGCAAAGTTAGAAAGCTGTTTGGTGGCTAGTGCCATGGCTGGGACCCTATATTTATGTATTACAGACTGTTGTTGGGTGACGCAGCTCAAGGAATAACATTTATGATCATTACTTTATCATTTCCTTTATGTAATAATCATCATATTAACTATTTTGCACTGCTGATGCGGTAGTTCTTCTGCCTTGGCCTCTCAGTCTGATTGTATTTCCATGAAGAAATGATCATAAATGTTCTTCCTTGAGCTGCCTCACCCCGCAGCAGTCCATAATGGACTTGCCTGAGGTCTTGCTAAAAACAAGTGACTGCTGGAAGAGAGTAGGTGAGTTGGGTTTAGTCTCTAAAGAAATCAGGCAAAGTAAGAAAGATGTTTAGTGGCTAGTACTATGGCTGGGACCCTATATGTACTGTTAATGACGTTAGGTGCTGTTCTGAGCATTATTTGTGGCCATAGAGTGGCGTTTTGGTTGAGCGAGTGGCTCTCTGTATTGCTATCTGCGGTCGTTACTAAAGTTGGTATAACTAGAGAAGCAGGCGGTCAGCAACACTCATCTCTCGACGGTGTGTTTGAACCAAACTTTATTTTACGCCGGAATATCCCTTTAAGTCCAGGGGGCTAGAGCGTCCAATGAGTCAGTTGTGTTTTGTAGGGGGCGTGTTCGTCAAACCACTTCCGCGAAGGTTGCCCCTCCACACTCCCTCGTCTCCTCTCTCCTCCGATCCCCCACAGTTTGGTAAGGGCCATCGGACGCCAGTCAGCATTAGCGAGTCCGCAACTACTTCCGGTTAACCGGAGGACAGAGCAGACAGCTTTGTGAAGACCCGAGAGCCTGACGGCTAGTTTATGGATGATATGGTTTGGGGTTGGCTTGTATGTCTTGTCCAATCATCGTCGGCGCAAGTGTTTTCGCCTACCAAGCACCAATCACATCCCAGAGTCAGCTGCTGACCCCGCCCCCTTTGAAATATCTTGCTGTGGCCATTTTATACTTAGTTGTCTGAAAAAATAATTACATTCGGCTCCTCGGGAAAAATACAAAACCCTACTCGAACCTTGGCTGCAGCGTGACATTTATAGAGGCGTTGTTGGCTGCAATTCGCAGAGGTAAGTGACAGTGCTGTTTGAGTTTCAAATCCACGGTTGTGTTTCTAATGCTAGCATCCGTGTGGAGACAGCTTCTCATTCCTTACGAGCTATCCGACATCCGGCTAAATGAGTTAGCCTGCCTGCTAACCGAGATGACCTCGCACCTGAATACCACTATCTGGGTTTTTAATTAATGCATGCATGAGACGTACACATGTGTGCTCCTAATGCATGTGTTTTTTATGTACGTGCGCACGAAAAGTAGTACTTCCAACGAGGACCAAAGTTTCTATCTTAAGTTATAGAAAACTCCTTTAGTGTCTAAAACTAGGCTTACCTGGGAATGTGCCGTGACACCTGCCCCAGAGACACTATGAACATCGTCGCTATTTTGTTAATCCCAACTCAAAACATACCTGTTCAGACTCGCATACTCTGTCTAACCTACAGCACTGTCTTCCCTCCTTTATTTTAATGTATTGTAATGTTTGATATGACGTTTGAATGTATTCTATTGTGTTTGGTTTTAATCTTATTTGCATATAAAGCTTCTATTTTTGTTCTGTATTCTCTTGTAAGGCGACCTTGAGTGCCCTGAAAGGCGCCCTAACAAATAAAATGTATTATTATATTATTTTGTGTCAACATTAGATTTTTGCAACACTATAGGTGAATGGTCGAGTGGTTCTTATCATTGCTTCTCCCAAAAAGTAAATAGTTGATATACTTCCAGGATAGCTAATGCTCTAGCGAGGAAAAGGGAAAGAGACCCGGAGCAGAGTCCGTAATTCAGAATGGATTATGAGCGGAGGTGAGTCAAATATCAATTTTTCACCCACCCTTCCTACAAGTGAAGGTATCGGACAGGTCCCTTACTGTGTCTTTCCACGATTTCCACGCAGGGGTGGGCGAGGAGATCGCACAGGTCGTTATGGCAACACCCACAACGATCACAACTTTCGGGACATGGACTATCGAGGTTATGGCCAAGAGGATGAGGAGACAGGGATGATATATGATATCAGAGCAGAGGAGGACAAAATATACATCCAGGAGGAGCAATCAAGGGGTGTTCAAGACTTCTCCCCGGGTTGCCCCCAAGACCAAGTAGGTTTTCACCAAAGAGGAGAAGGACGAGGGGACATCAGACGTAACGGGAAGGGGCTTCTGTGGCCTCCTTGCCCTCAGTCTCAGCCTGATCAAGCCCTTCCTCTGATTCAGAGAGAGGAGGAGGGATCCAGGCCGGTATTTGAGCAGTCGCACGCTTGTCTACAGGACAGAGGTCGGGGAAAAGTTGGAAGAGGCTTTTCTGAGAACAGTGCTTCTCCTTCTGGGAGTCGGGATGGCACCTGGGGATGTGGAGAACAGATGGAATACAATACAGCAAGACAGAGGGAGGAGGAGCGGTTCTCTCGTGGGACAGTGAGGAGGAGGGTGAGTCATAACTACTTGTTTATTCTTATAGCGCTGCCCTGGGTTTATTTATTTATTACTTTTCTGTTTGCATATGCTACTAATGTGTGACTTTCCAAATGCAGGCTTTTCCAGCAGGGGCAGATGAGCACAGTCATGGGAGTGCTGGACCAGACATGTCTCTTGAAGAGCTGGATCAGAAGGACCAGGATTATCGTGCCGATCTAGACCACAATCAGAGACCAAGCAACATCATAATGCTCCGCATGCTGCCACCCAATGCGACAGCCAACGAGGTTAGTGAAAACCTCACTGGCATGCTTCTGTGTGTCTTTTTTTTTTTTTAATTTTATATATGTATATCTTTGTTCGTGAGCCGAAAAACTAAAGTGACATCCCTGTGTTCATAGATCCGAGCACTACTTCAAGAACAGGGGATCCAGCCGAGAGAGGTTCGCCTAATGAGGAACAAATCTTCAGGTGAGAATTTGTCCATCGCCCTGATTGAACTTGTTCTTTACTCTCCCTTTACATCCCACCCATCCATTTCCAGCTCTATCATTTTCATTGCTCCTCCTTTCTCCATATCTGAATAAACAGCACCCTGTCCTTCTCTTTTATTGTCAATATCTTTCTGCATACTCAGATTTATCGCTGATGCAAACATCACACATTTTTTCACTACTATACAGGCTTCTGTTTAGATTGTAGCTTTGATTCTTTGGTCTTTCTGGAGTCTTAAGTCTTTCCAGTGCCCACGGGGCAACAAACATCCGTGAACACATCAAGAAAGAGTCTGATGAATATTATATTTTAAAACAAGAATGCATGCATACATTCAGGGGTTATACATCTTTACCACGTTTGCTTTCATTTTTCTTTTCCACCTTGGCTCTCTTACTCTTACCTTTCCATAATTCAGCTTCATCCATCTTGAAGTGACATGCGTCTGAGTTGGTGAATAGTGCTGACAGACTAACGGTGTCACCCTAGATGCACGAGGGAGCAAAAATTCGTTTGAAAGCTTTTGTCATTGTTGCTGTTTTTGAATGTGTGAGTGCCGGTTTTAAGTGTTGTAGTTATGTGTGTATCATCCATACCACTCAGACGAGATTCTCCTAAAGGTTTTCTATTGAAGTCATTTTCTTACCTGCCGCCTTTTCTGCTAATCCACTGGTTGTTAAGTGTGCCTACCTGACTCAGGCATACTTGCAGTCCCCCTCCCCCCCTACACTGCCTGTCTCTTCCACCCCTACATCACTGTTTCTCTTACTGACTGACAAACTTCAGGGATTGTCCTCCATGTGATTTCAATGGCACAGTGTTGTTTCAAAAATGATACACCAGGTTTGTGGTCTTCTATTTATAGTAATGCATGGAAAGGATTTGAAGTGTTTAAGTGGCGACGTCACACCACAGAGCTACATAGTGCCGGCTGCACTCTGACCCTCAGAGCAACAGAGTGTCTTTGAGCGTTTTGTGTTTAATTGTGTATGTGTGTATGTTCTCCTGGGTGCTTCATCATTTAAAGCCACAGAGCTTAAACTGATGAGTGGGTAGGAACTCCCTCTCTCTCCCTCTTTCCCTGACCCTGTGGAGATACTTGGCATTGCGTCCTCCCACCCTTGAGGAGCATCAACAGCAGCTCTCAAACTCGCTGTCAGATCGTATTATGATTCCCGAGGGAGAGAGGAAGCAATCACTGATTTTATTAGTACTGATACAGGGTCTCTCCCTCTCTTTCTCTCTCTCTCTCTCTCTCTCCTCTGAACATGAAGCACTAACCCCTCACTGCGTTGTTGTTATGTTGTTGTTGTTGTTGTTCGGTTACCATGGCGCTGGGCGGTGTCCAGGTCAGAGCCGAGGATTCGCCTTCGTCGAGTTTAATGTCATACAGGAGGCCACCCGCTGGATGGAGACCAACCAGGTCACTCTCCCTTACACAGACACACATACACATGCACACACATACAATGGGATGAATGGGTTCATATCAGGACAAAAGAGCAGTCACTTCATGCCCTGTCATGTGCACACGATGCATTCCACTATGGTACAGACATACAGAGACGAGAAATACAATTCTCTCCCTGAGGTAGGCAGGTAAGTCTTAATTGTTGAAAGGACCCCCAGTTTTTTTTTTTCCTGCCCACACAGAACTCCACAAGAAAGCAAAACTCATGTTAAGTCCTGCTGACGTCCATCTGTGTTGGGCCTTACGACATAAATCTCATACCTGGGCCCTCCCAGTCACATTTACACATCTTTTGTCGAATACAAGCTTCTCTTTTACTTCTGTCTCATCGGTGACATGTCTCTCACTTTGTTTGCAGAAGTTTGCAGTGCCATCTCTGCAGTAGTCAGACACTTTTGTTAAATATAATTTCTCACATGGTTTATTCTATGTTGACACCAAACCAATTGAAGTCCCCATATTCATCATTACACCATTGTGACATTTTAAGTAGGGGGTTATTTGTGTATTAGGGAGGGGCAAAGGTGGTGACAGTGGGAAGGGGTGCGTGGAAAGCTGCGAAAAGGTTTCCCCTTAAGGGGGGAGGGATGACACATTTAATAAATACGTTGTGTCCTTAAAAATGGACACTGCAAAGACTACACATACACCATCTCAGTCCGTCCCAGTTTCCTAAAGCTGAAGGTTGCAATTCTCTGGTGTCCTTTTTCTTTCAGCCTCAGTTCTTGTCTTTCTCTGTCTCCTCCTTTCTTTCCTCTCCCCCTCTCCTTCCCTCTCTCTCTCTCTCTCTCTCTCTCTCTCCCTCTCTCTCATCTTTTGTGAGATGAGGCCTTTCTCTGGCATGTGTGGCCCAGTTATCTCAGATAATCATTCTTTGTTCTCTCTCTCTCCCTCTCTTTTTTTTTTTCTTTCAGGGGGTGCTGTTGATTCTGGGACAAAGAGTGTCGATGCACTACAGTGACCCAAAACCGCGTGCCAATGAGGACTGGCTCTGCAATAAGGTTGTGCGAGTGTGTGTGTGTCTGCGTTGTGTAGATATGTCATATATCATTTTATTTCCAGTATGCAATTTTTGAAATAGTTGTGCGTGTCAGAGCTTTTTCTATACACACACACTAGCAGGGTGTAACCAAGATGTGAAGGCGCTAATTGGTGACAAATTGTTATTACATTCAGACTCTGTGGGAAAACATGACAGAGAGACCAAGGGAATTTAGACGTGTGCAACCATCAAACAAAAATGGGACATGCGAACATTCAGTCTGGTGTTTAAGGCTTATTGGTGCATGAAATGAATCGCTGTACGGAGTCTCTGATAAGAGAAAAATACACACAGTTGTCTTGGCCAAACCATCCCTCTGGTTAAACCCTGCATCATTAGTCAACCACTGGTGACTGCATTAGCGAACGTTGTGCAGAGAAATGGTATTAAAGCGCCCAAATACATTTTGAGTGAAATTTTAAGCGCATATGCTATGTAAATAGTTGCAGTTTACAGCCTTGGTTTGTGTTTATATCAAATATTGTGATAGTTTTCTTTTAGAAAACTTATACAGCAGGTCTCTTTGCATTTCAACAGTGTGGGGTGCAAAACTTCAAAAGGAGAGAGAAGTGCTTCAAATGCAGTGTGCCCAAATCAGGTAAAGCCGTTTTCTGAAGATCTTTTCAATCCTTACCCTTTTATGATACAACAATCCCTGTTCCAATATAAATACATATATATTCATATGAATCGATTGTGTGTGGTCTTCTCAGAGGCCGAGCTGAAGTTGCCCCATCTGCAAAGGGATTTACCTGTCAGTCTTCAAAAAGAGGGAGCTCAGGGCTTATTGCCGTTGCCCGCGCCCTACCACCCCTCTGGACCCACGGTCAACCCAGGACAGGCTACACAGCAGGCAGATGCTGCCAATGACAGTAAGTTTCTTTTTGACATGATTCATCCCTACAGTGATCTTTTTTTTTTTTTTTTTCATTTTTCCCGCTGTGTGTGATATTTACCAAAGCCCTCAGCACCACTTGACTGTAGCTCTGTGTCGACCTTGTGTCTGACTCGTTTGATAAGATGTTAAACAGTTATAAAAATCTGTCACTTTCTTTCACACCAGCTCTGATACTTCGAAACCTGGGTCCACATACTTCATTGGATGCCATCTTATCTGCTCTGGCCCCATTTGCCACCCTCTCTCCCTCCAATGTTCGCCTGATCAAGGACAAGCACACACATCTCAACAGGGGCTTTGCCTTTCTACAGCTCTCTACTATAGTGGTGAGAAAGCTAAAGAAGCAGCAATGCATATGCATAAGTGTTAGACAAATAAACTCGAGAACTATAATTTATTGATGTCCTACTAAAAACATGTTGTAATTTTTGTTTACTGACAAAGATTTCTCCCACATTTGGACGCCCACTTACAGTTCCACCCACACAGACTCAAAAGGTCTCCATTTGTTTTATCAACAGGAGGCATCTCAACTGCTCCAGATCCTGCAGGCTCTTCAGCCAGCTCTCTCTATTGATGGGAAGACTATTGTGGTGGAGTTTGCCAAAGGCTCCAAACGGTAAATACTCTCCTACCCTCACATTACCTCAAAGTAAAGAGTATTATTGTGACTCTAAACCAGCTGTAACAGTTAAGACAAGATAGTCAAATATCATTGAGTGGTTTAGAACCATAACAAATAAGCTGTTTTGCAGTGTAGGTCACCTGACACCTTCTGAAAGCGTCTCTTTGTCTCCATGTTAGTGATGTGTTCCTGACAGACGGCAGCAGAGTGAGTGCTGCTACAGTCGCCAGCACTGCCATCGCTGCTGCACAGTGGGCTGTAACACAGGTAATCAATGTACCAGTAAAGGATAACATGAGGGTGCATCAAAGCTTTGATTTCATACTGTATGAATATTATTGAATGATAGTGATCTTACCCTGTATAACTTTTTGCATCTCCAGACAACTCAGAATGGATCAGGTGGGGGCCAGAGTACAGATACAGCTGTGTGTCAGCAGGGGGCAGCAGTCACATACAACAAAGACGGTAATGAATACTCTGGGCTGGACGGCACAAGTTTCAAAGCCCAGGCAGACATCAGAGTCCCCGCTTTGCCAACTTCAGGAGCAGCCTTGATGGGGGCATACGCAGGAAGTGCAGTCGCGGGTTGGTATCACACGCTGCTCTGTCTAGTATAGTGAGAACTATAACTGAGATTTATACAGCTGTAAAAAAAAAAAAAAAAAAAAAAAGACGAAACAAGCTTTAAATTCAAGTCAATTTGTTGCACCTGTTTGTTGTTTCATGTATTCAGCTGACACGGTGACATCAGGATCAGTGCAGCCTCACACCGAAACCCAGACTGCTCTCATCAACACAAGCACCACCTCACCAGTTACGCAGGTACATGACTTTGTTGGTATCAGTTTGTTTTAATAATCAGACCTTCAAATCTTGCATTTTTAGATGTCATGGCTATGTTGGTATGAATACCTATTTGATTTCAGGTTGAGATAGTGGGAAAACCACAGCCAGCTGCTCCCAGCCAACCTGCTACCCCGGGCACTGAGCATGAGCTACAGCAGTATCGTAAGGCTTTGAGTATCTATTATCCCTGCAAATGAAAGAACTTATTTAGGTCTTTGTTTTGTGAAAGGAAATCTCTCACTGCTTGGTGTTAATACTGCTTTTATCTAAATGTAATTGAAGTATCAATTACAGATCAAGCACAGCTGCCCACGTGTTTAAACGATTTTAAATATATTTTTTTGTACTTGTCTCCAGCTGTTCCAGATGTGTCTACATATCAGTACGACGAAAGCTCTGGGTACTACTATGACCCACTCACCGGTCTCTACTATGACCCTACCTCCCAGGTAAAGAGTTGTGGATGTGTTACAGTTCAAATAATAAAAAAAAAACTTCTGCTCTGCAACCGCATCTTATTTTGATTGTGTGTGCCATGTGGCCCTTTTCTTCGCAGTACTACTACAACCCTCACACTCAGCAGTACATGTACTGGGATGGAGAGAAGCACACCTACATTCCTGCTGCTACTGCTGGACAATCCAACAGTGAAGGTGTTACCAGCAGTGGTGCCGCCCCTGCAGACTCGCCTTTTGCTTCCCCTGGCAGCAAGGAGAAAAAAGAGAAACCCAGAAATAAGACTGCTCAACAGGTAATCCACACACAGAGTACGATTTCAAGCACTGATAAGCATGCATGGCATCCATTTTGAATTATATCTTGGTCATGAAGTTACTCTTTTTTTGTTTGTTTGTTTTAATTCCTGTTTGAATTCTGAAAAAGGATTTGAATATGTCAACTGCTTCCATTTTTCAGCTGATAAAATGATATGCTGTTTAAAGTTGAAAAACAGACTAAGAACAAGCACAACCTTTTACATTTCTTCATTTCTGGACTTTGACGTTTCAAAATCCCAAATCTCAAGAATAAAAAAAAAATCTTTGCTCTTACTTATTTATATCACTAGATTGCCAAAGATATGGAGCGCTGGGCTAAAAGTCTCAATAGACAGAAGGAGAATATGCGCTCTGTCACTTCTTCCCCTGCTGTGAGCTCCACAGCTCTTCCACCTGGCTTCACAAGGACACCAGGCCACAGTCGCTTGGATGACCGCAGGGAATCTGCAAGTGCTGATGCAGGCTATGCTGTTCTAGAGAAGAAGGTATGTGAAACTTAGAAAAACACATGCTTGGCTCACACCACTACGGCACGCTTGAGGTAGCAGGGACTAGAGCTCGAGCTGCACCTGTCTTAGTCTAAACAATGCCTGATCTGCGCTCTTCTATCCTGCAGGGGGCTCTGTCTGAACGGCCTCAGAGTTTTCTGGACCAGATAAGACAAAGTACAGAGGTAAGGACATGGTTCAAGTGATGCACCGTAACATAATTAGTTGTGGCTGTTTCTCAGTATTTGGTCTTAAATCTCATTCCTTTAGCGCTCCCCACCCCAGCAGCAGGGCCTCGTCCCAGCTTACAGTGGAGAAACTGACAGCGAAGAGGAAGGGGGTGACAAAGAGGAGAAGGAAGGGAGAATGACAGACTGGGTTAAGCTCGCCTGTCTGCTGTGTAGGAGGCAGTTCCCCAGCAAGGAGGCCCTAATCAGGCATCAGCAGCTGTCTGAGCTCCACAAGGTGCTAACACTGTTTAAAAATATATTATGTTAAGATAGTGTATAAAAATGACACTCAGCATCAACTCACCATCTTCTGACTCATCTGCCCTCAGCAAAACTTGGAGCAGAGGAGGGCTCAGCAGGAAGTTACAGGCAAAGAAGTAAGTTCGAAACATTGAATGAATAATTGTTTGTTACTGACCGAATACAGCTCATATTGTCTTGACTGTCCCTTTTTTTGTTCTCAGAGACTTGCAGATGGACCCGAGCCTCCTGATCCGAAGAAAAGAAAGTTTAGCCTCATGTAAGCACCAATGAAGAAACAGTCTTAGAGAAGATATACATTTGTTTAATAAGTTTGTGTGAAAATGGTTCAAATGTTTCTTTATTTTTATCCTGCATACAGTAGAAGGTATCTGCAAAGGATTTTTGTCTTTGTGCACACCTAAAGTTGGTGTTGTGTGTTCTTCTCCCATTTAGCGATGGGATCACCGGTACCAGTCTCGGTGCCAGGATGCTACAGGGAGGTGTGAAAAAGGGACTTCTACTGCGCAATATGCAAGTGGAGTGACCTTCATCCCGAGTCCAATCTTCCTGATCAAGACAGGACAACGACGGAGCCGAGCACATAAAAACTTCACCATTAACATCATATAGATACCTATAGGAAAGTCTCTTAGTTTGGTCTGATATCACAATTACCTCAAAGGTGGTAATACACTCATGAATTGATCCTGTAGCTGTGGACTACAAGACATTGCACAGAATGCACTTTTCTTTTGCTTTCTTCCTGAATGATGCAGTTTGTTTTTTACCAGCTACAGAGCTTGTGTGTGATAAACAAGCCTAACGTGGTTGGGAAACATTTGCTGTGGGAAAATGATCAGTTTAGATCTAAAATGCAGCAAATGGGACTTTTTAATATTACTGTCTATGCACCATAGGTTTCCTTAATTTTAAAGCTATATGCCCTGTCATTCAGTGAATGACTGATCTGGGCATGGACTGAGTAAATATGTAAGAAGAGACTATGCCCAAGAACCAGAGGAGGGCAGCACTAACACTAGCGTGTAGTTGAAAATGTCTCATCTTGCAGGTGTGAACTCACACAATAGTCATTGGTAATCTCTGCATAAATGTATTTTTTATTTCTGTATATGTTTAAAAAAAATGACTGTTCATCAAGCTCATGTAAATTAATTCAGAATAACACATTTTTCATCATTATTGAAGATGTCTGTCTTCTATGTGCAACCTATTTCAACATTGTAACAGGGGATTTCCAAAGCTGTGTTTTCACAAATATGTGGTTTTAAAAGAGGAATACGGCGTTACTCTGGCAGCAGGGCCTTTAATGCAACAACTTGCAGTAATCATAGATGTTCATGTTCGTCCTTTCACCTCAGTCCTCAACAACACGGTGCCAAAGTTGCGGTTAGCAGGTTCCCATGGCAACAACAGACGCGACCTGTAGTTAGCTTTAGCAGACAACCTGTAGCTAGCTTTTTAAACTAGCAAACACCAGATTATACCAATTACTTCAACTTTGAGATTTACTCAGTAAGTTAATATTGAATGTGAGACGCTGAGCTCTTAAATCAGTTTTACGCTCCAGCTAACATTAGCCAAGTTTAGCTATTTGGTTGGTCTTGTAAGCCGTCTTGAGTAACAGTCCTACGGTATCTTTGCGAAATAAACAAGATCTACCAGGATGTCTGACCTGGAAGAGGATGTAGTCTTATCAGATGTAGAGGGAGACGAGGAAGTTCGCCAAGAAGGAGTCGGGGACGACGAGAAGGTATGTTACCTTGTGCAAGCCCGTCTGATGAAACATACAATCAACTATGACTCCCTCTGTAACCTGCTGTCGTTTAGTCACCTGGAGGTTGAACTCGAGTTTCATGGAGAGATCAGTAAACTTTTGTCTTTATTGTAAAATATTGGACCCTTTAAAATTTAGTTCTTAGTGTCTCTTCGTTTTCTTTCTCAGACATTAGAAAAGTGATATCTTTGACTTGGTCATGTCTTGAGTCCTTCACCCAACCTGTTTCTCACCAAGGCCCCAAAAGGCTTCAGTAAATATTAGTTTGAGAGTAAGATTTGCATCTCCAGGAAGGCAAGGTAATGCAAGACTTCTGTGTGGGGTCATGTTTTACCGTGTTTCAACTGGTTAAGTAATTGTTCAAAGCCTAAAGGCTGCATTCCTTTACAGTATTTTACACCTAAAAGTTGACTTCAAAGCCCAAAATGGATATAGAAGTATATGGCAGGCATCTGTGGAAAGTGTTTAATTGTGATACAACACTGTTGGATTCAGTAGGTTATTTCATCTTATACTGGTAAAAGCAGATGATTAGAAACATTATTGCTGGTGTCTTTCCCCTCACAGGTAAAGGTCTGCCCTTTGACCCCAGAAACCATCAGTCAGGGTCTCTCCTTATTGTGTCGTACGGGGAATGGACTTGGACATGCCTTCATCAGACTGGATCTAAAAGACAAGTTAGGATGCAAAAAATACATAAAAAGCATAAACTGTCCTTCATTTTGAATTGAGAATTGTTCCTCTTAAACATAATGATCTATCTGATAATATTTCAATCCCCTATTTGCCTTCACTGTACCCCTCAGTGGACTAAATGACATCACTGCGATCAGCAATTATATCCACATACGTTTCCTGGATATATCCAACAACCACCTCACAGATCTTTCTCCCTTGGCCTCCCTGACCCAGCTACTCTGGCTAAAGGCAAGCATCTCTTTTTCTTAATTCATTTAGTAAAGGGCATCCTAACATTGCTGTTGGTTTCATACACTATAATGGTTAATTAGGGTAAATGCAACTTCCTCTCTTTAGGTTGACAATAATGCTGTGGCTTGCTTCAAAGAGCAGCCTTTTGCCAAGCTATCCTATCTACAGTGGCTGAGTATGGTAGGGAACCAGCTGACAGATGTGGATGGTCTAAATTGTCCTTCCTTGGAGAACCTTAATCTAACAGGTTTGTCTGATTTATTTTCTCTGTTTTTAACAGGTTGCGCTGATGTTGGGTTTCCAAGAGTAAAATCAAATCAGGAATCGATTTTAAGTTATCTATTATTCAGTTGTTGGTCTCACAAACTCTCTCCATAAGGATATTTAATCAGAAAATGTTTTATCTCTGGCAGGTAATGGTATTCAGAAAATGAATGGACTTCAAGGTGTTTGTTTTGCCAACTTGGTAACTCTAGAACTAAGAGGAAACCAGCTGGATACTACCGATGGCCTCAATCTTCCCAACCTGCAGCATTTATATCTGGTAATAAAAATAGTATATGGGACTGACACACTTGATACCTGATAAGCTCTGTCCAGTCATACCAGTTTTAATACTTATGTAATAACCCTGATGACACGCTGCGTGAAACTATGTGTGCTTTCTACCATTCAGGCTCAAAATGTTATAAAACGCCTGGAAGGTTTGCAGAGATTAAAGCGCCTCACCACCCTTCACCTGCGAGAGAACCAGCTCGACACTCTGGAAGGCCTCAGCTCCAACCTGAAGTGTCTCCAGTACCTCAATGTCAGGTGCACAAGTGTGTCACAGAGATCATTGCCATAAGTTCCCATTATCATTTTACTTGACATGAAATATGCGAAGTGATCTACTTCATACTTCTGTCTCTTTCCCACAGAGGAAATGTAATCTTAGATCAGAAGGCTCTGAAGCCTCTAAACCATGTTTCAAAAAGTCTCAAAGCTTTGGTCCTCTCTGAGAATCCTTTGGTGGAAACAGCAGACTATCGCGTCAGTGTCCTGATTCTCCTGCCACAGCTGGAACGACTTGACAAAGACCCCGTCTCCCGTGAGGAGAAGGCCGAGGCCTTAGAGAGAATCAAGGTAAAGTTAAAAAGCATCTTATTTCTCAGTGGCTTGGACACACAAAAACCTGCTCCTTTGCTTGATTGTTCAAATGGCATGCATGTCATTTCAGGAACTAAAAGAAGAGGAAATACCCGGGCTGTGAGATTTGCAATGATGACCAAAAGGAGGAAGTGTTTGAAAAGTCAAACTTGGTGTGATTGTATTGGATAAAAATGTATTACTGTGTTATGTTATTAAAAGTGTGTCTCAGAAGTTGCCTTGTTAATATATTTTTACGCCTAGGTTTCTGTTTTTCTTCATACATTTTTAAAGCAACTTCTCATCAATAAAGTGGTTTCACTAACATTTACAAATGCAGGTATTCAGGTTGGAGTTAGGAAACAATAAGTGACTGACAAAAGTAGTCAGTCGGGATTATCTGAACCCTTTGTTGTGGGTCTTACAATCCTGGTTCATGCTGACTAAGGATGAGAGGGCAAAATCTGCCGCCATTTCCCTGTTGGCTGCTGTCCAACTACAGCTTTAAAGCGACAGTGACATGCCCTGAGTTCATGGAAAAGCGATAAATATACAATAAAACACTAATATCATGTCAAAGTGAGTCCTTTGTGAGTTTAATTAAACTTTTAGATTGATGGTAGCACTGGAGTTCACTCTATAAAACGCATTATAACAACACATGAGTTTTTAGAGAAGTGTCTACAATTGAGGCATGCTGATAAAAAGAGGAAATGATAAACACAAAGTGACCTCATATACAGCACTTTCACAGCTTTCAGTACAAGATATTTGGAAAGCAGCTTTTCCTGAGTTACTTAGACCGGTTCTGTTCTTCCAATGAGTGGATCAGGTGGGAGTGGCTGCCGTCCCAGCAGACATAAGTCTCCCTCCTCTCCGCGTCCTCCTCCCTCCTCTGGTTGTACTTGCGTGGAGCAGCTAGCAGCACGGCACTCTGCACACACCGGGAAGCAGCCTCCTGACTAAACTAAATTATTTTCACATTTTCACACCGACGCTTTGCTTAAGAAACCATCGAAGAATCATGTCCAGCTACCACAAACCCGATGAAAAAACTCTGCAGGGGCTGAAAGACGTCGCTAACAAGCTCAGGATCAACTCCATTAAGGCGACATGCGCCTCCAACTCTGGGTGAGTTATTTCAAGTCATTTCAATGTAATTTCGACTATCAGAAGGCTAAACACAAAAGCAATATCTCCCATATTATGTAATGTTAGCAAACACAAGCAGACATACGTTAACCCTGCGGGGCCCGGATGCACGTGCTGCTGATTATCCTCACGCGGTGGAGAGCGTAGGAGCTGCAGGCAGCTAGCAAGTAAATATTCACAATTCATTCCGTTTCAAGTAAAGCTTTGTGGAGTCTACAGACTGAGATAACACTTACACGAGCTATTGAATGGTGCTTTATTTGACGCTGATAAGATTTCAACAAACGTCGACTTGTTGGCTTAGTTGTTAAAGCGAGCTAGCAAAGAGTTAATGTTCTGTAATAACCCTGCTAAATGTAAATGATGAACCCGAAGTATGAACACCGGTGGTCTGTCGTAGAATGCACCCCCTGACGGGAGCGCGGTTGAAAGTACACAACAAGGCCATATAATCCACGTTTTCCTTACCGTTGGATGCATTCAAAAGCGTGTGCCTTTGATAATTTCATTCAGGCTATTTAGATAAGCCCGAAAATATGTTGTTCTCTTCCGTGACAGCTTACTGTACAGTTTATATACCCAAGTACACTTTTATATGTGCATTTTTGACACACATAAAAACCGAAGGAAAGTTTGCTGCTCCGTTTGACATGTTCTCATAATCCAGTACACCTGTTTTTTAAAATATGAGATCATTTTCCTTCACTTTAAGGAGCTAATGAGTGGATAGGCTGCAGGGGATGCATTCTACGGCACAACACCTGCCTGCTTTCGTTATCAAGAAATCACATGATCAGGAGAAAGGTTAAACCTCGTCGCGACGTCGATACGTCAGTTTAAAGTTGCAGCAGCATCCTAGAATGCTCCAAAGAGATAGCTGCACACTGACTGAACTGCACTCTGTGGATCTCCATGTTCAGATGTAGGAAGTCAAAGTGCACCTGTGGTGTTGCTTCATCCTCACCGCCTCCCAAGTTTGGCAACCTGGCTTCTTCCTCTTCACAGTGGGAAATGCCACTATAAGTTGAAACAGGTCCAAGAATAGTAAATGAACAGTTTCCTTGTTGAGAGGGGTGTAACTTTACGACTTTAGACACAGATTATTCTGCTTGCCCTTTGCCTTCCTTTTGTAATGTCAGGATTATAATAGGACAAAGCCACAAGAAACTCCAGAGGATTCCTGATCAAACCATTTAGTGGTTGATGCCTCCTGAAGTAGAATTATGTAAAATTACTGATGATTTTTGCATCTTTTTACAGTGGCACTAAAACAAAGTGGGTAAAAATGAAGCAGCATGTAAGAATCACAAATTTTAAAGCGTCTTGTCAATCCCCTTGTCAGTTCATCTCATGTAGGTTGTCCTCACACTTTCCACTTTTGTTAAATTTGCCCTACGTCCTCCAAAAATATCCGGTATTGCTTAATTTTCAGCTTCAGGCTACTTCCAAACAAAAGAGCTTTTGTTGATAAACCTGTTTTTGTCATTTCCGTGTTAACCGACAAGGAAATGTAGGAACTCTCTTCCTTGTGTCCTCACAGTCAGTCGGCTAATGATCTGATATCATTGTCACATTCAACAAAGGATGCCTCTGAGTTTTGACACACAACTTTCTTTACATTTAGTTCCTCGTTGAGTGAAATGAAACATAACCCTTGAGTGTCTGATTTCTTTTGTTTTGAGCTTTATGAATTTACTTGAGTGTATTTCTCAGCAGGTTATCAGTCAACACAAGGACAAGGGGTAACCAGAGCAGCCTGATTTTCTTTATTATGATTATTAAATGCAACTGTGATCATCATGTTTGCTTTCTAGATAACTCGTGTGTTCCCAGCATGGTTGAAGTGATGCTACTTGTAATTTAACTCACCTAGGGAAGCTGTGGTGCTGTTGAGTAATGTGGGATTTCCAAACACGTTCATTACAGTAGTCAGACCACAATGCAGCAACTAACAGTTTCACAAGTTCACTCCTCTGTCTTTTTTTATGTTTCTTTTTTTTATTTTTGTAGGTCTTGAGTGTGGTAACCTAACTGATTTGTTCATGTTTGCAGATTAACAACTGTTGGTCTAGGTGTTATTCCTAACCTTAAAAGAATGGAAAGATTGATTTTAAGACTCATTGCTTGCCCAATATATCAATTAGGATGAGCCTCCTGGAGTGACTGATTGTATTACTGTGGAAATTGGTACTGCTAAACTTTAAAAAATAAGTTTCTGACTGTAGTGAAACATGCATGTAGGAGCATGATGTCTCTCAAACATCAGCTTGAATTTAATGACCAGTATCTCCTCTTTTCTCCCTTCAGCCACCCTACCTCATGCTGCAGTGCAGCAGAGCTCATGTCCGTGCTCTTCTTCCATACCATGCGCTACAAAGCAGATGATCCTCGCAACCAGTGCAATGACCGCTTTGTGCTCTCAAAGGTCAGTGTGTTCCCTTTTTTTTGTATTTTGTTGGTACAACTTCGATTTACAATTAAGTTGTCTTAAAATGCTGTTTTTTTAACCTGTTTGTCTCAAGGGTCATGCTGCGCCTGTCCTGTATGCTGCCTGGGCTGAGGCGGGTTTTGTGAAAGAGTCTGATCTGCTTAACCTTCGCAAGATTGACAGTGACCTGGAGGGCCACCCGACACCAGTAAATAAGAGTCCTTCTGGTGTTTATTCCCTTGACCACAGGAGAAACATGACGTATAGGTTGCTTTTCATATGATATAAAATTGCGTCTGTCTCTTTCTCGCTCAACAGAAACTGGAATTTGTTGATGTGGCCACAGGATCTCTGGGACAGGGTCTTGGGGCTGCCTGTGGGATGGCTTACACGGGCAAATTCTTTGACAAATCCAGGTAATTTAATTCAAGACGTTAACTCTTCTTTTGAAACTTGTCATCCATTCAGCACCAGTCTGCAGGGAGTACCTTTACAGTGCATAATGATAACTCCAGGGCAGGGGTTGTCTGTCTGTTCTCTAAATAAACTGTCTTTGAGAAGGTTGGATGTCATATATACTCTGTTGTTGACTTAACATTGTTTCAACAAGCACTGTTTACTAAGAGTATAGCGCCATGGCTGGTTAGCGAGGATGGCTTTGTTTGATGTACTGTAATCTTTTTAATGGACTAACCAGTGTGAGTGTAGCTGTAATTGGGTTAAATCACAAGAGTTGGCGGTGGTGCCAAAAGGATTTACAGGGCTGTAAATGCGGTTGCAACTTCCTAGTAAAGTATGGAAGTATGGAAATAAATTTGATTAATTTCCAGGTTTTAAAAAGTATGGAAACTGAAAAATTAAGTGTGGAAAAATATTTGTTTCCATACTATTACCACAGTTCTAAAATACTGTTTTGTAAAATAGAAAAGTATGTATTTCCAAAAATAACTGGAAATTTCAACTGTGTAGGAACCCTGATATTAGCAGTTGGTCACACCTGTTGATCTTTTAACTAACCCATTGGTGTAAGATATGACAAACACCTATAGTGAACCAGCCTGTTTTGGTTGTCAATAAAAGGAGCCAGTCCTACACAAAATAACAGCAGTGATGGTCATGACTGCAGGGTTATGTACACATTACAGGTGTTTTTATATCAATGCTCTTAAAGGCACTGTCCTGTAGTCTCCCCACAGAAGACAAATGTTTGGCACTAGGGGAGTCCCGATATGATATATTAATATTGGTCCAATATCAGCAAAAAAACAAACATCAGATTATATCGGCCTGCATCTAAAATCTCAGATGTTTTTGATTTGATTTATTTTGGGTCCACCATTAGTTACAACAAAATATATAGTAACTACTCTTCCTGGGGTCCTTTTTATCTTCTTTTCCATTTTCATTTTGAACTTCAACATATACTTACACTTACATAACAGTCATTCTAAACTTCATTCATAAAGTAGCTCTTATTCTCTCTTGCTTGTTGAAAAATAAATCAAGACATAAATGAGATGAAAGAAAAGCGAAAAGACAAAAAAGAAAAACAGAATTGATCTTGGGCATAACAAGAAACGTAATCCATCAGAGATAAGAGTGAACTTAATTTCATTCATGGTACTCCATACAGTAAACAAATACACCTTTTAATTGTTTGTCAAAGCAACTTCTGTTAATGTCTGAAATTAAAAAGTTAGGAATCAGCACTCTGATGCAAGCAGTCCATTCCAGACTCCGCTCTAGCACCTCTAGCCAGCAGCGCCCTGATCCAGCAAGCAGAGCCCACAAAATCACAACAATAGTGTGTACTAAGATACTAACAAAGTATCAAGGAGTAAGAGTGATGTCGGCCTTGTAGCAGTATTTTTTGTTTAAGTCCAAAAAAGAAATTGCAGCTGAGTAGAAAAACTTGTGAAGTACACTTTTGTGCTAATATTGGTATTGGTCAATGTTGAAGGCTACAATATCTGCATCGTATCGGAAGTCAAAAAGTTGTATCGGGACACCCCTATTTGACACCCTTAAACTTTTTGACACTCATTTTTACTCCTTCCTGTGTTGTGTTGTAGTTACCGTGTGTACTGCATGATGGGTGATGGAGAGTGTTCAGAGGGCTCCGTGTGGGAGGCCATGGCCTTTGCCTCCTACTACAAGCTGGACAACCTGGTGGCCATCATGGATGTCAACAGGCTGGGTCAGAGTGAAGCTGCACCTCTGAAGCATGACATGGAGACATACCGCAAGCGCTGTGAAGCCTTTGGGTCAGTGACAAACCTTCCTTTCCCCTTCATAGACAGTTCTCCCGAGAAATTCTGACACAACTGCTCTAAACTCATAAAAAGTTAAATCAGATGGTAAATTTGTACGCTGCTGTATTTCCTCTCCCCTCTTTCAGTCATTTAGCCTTTCTTCTACGACTCTACTTTTGGTTAATTCATTTTATGTTCAACATGTTTGCTCAGCAGTTAATACATCCGAGTGTTTGGGGTTAATATTTATCATAGTGTGTGGTGTGCTGTTAAAGTTGAGCAATGTTTGTGCAGGTGGAACACGTATGTTGTGAATGGACACGATGTGGAGGAGCTGTGCAAAGCTTTCTGGCAGGCTAAGCAGGTCAAAAACAAACCCACTTGCATTGTAGCGAAGACATTCAAGGGCAGAGGTCTTAAAAGTACGTATTGTCCCTTTTTTTACAGTGAATACATTTCTCAAAGGATGATCTTTTGTGCAAGTTTGAATTATTTAATTGTGTTCCTTGACTGTAGATATCGAGGATCTCGATAACTGGCATGGAAAGCCCATCCCCAAAGACAGAGTGGATGACATCCTGAATGACCTGCAGGCTCAGATCCAGGTCCCCAACAAGATGCTGTGTCCTGAGATGCCTGAAGAGGACACCGCCCCTGCAGACCTGAGCCCAGTCCTGCTGCCTTCACCTCCTGCATACAAGAAGGGAGATAAGGTACTTTTTTAAGGGACACCAAAGTGACCTGGAGTAGTTGTCTGTACTTAGATGAGCACTTGGAATAACTATAGTAGTGTTTTGTTTTGATATACCTGGTAAATCTGCCTTTTTATTTCTATCTGTTCAGATGGCTACAAGGCGTGCGTACGGTATTGCACTGGCCAGGCTGGGCCAGTCCAGCCAGAGAGTGGTTGCCCTTGATGGGGACACCAAGAACTCCACCTTCTCAGAGACCTTCAAGAAGGCCTTCCCTGATCGTTACATCGAGTGCTTCATTGCTGAACAGAACATGGTGAATAATCGTATATAATCCTCATGTCTGATTTAAAAACGCCGGTGCCTTATTTCAAGTTACACACCCACATGATTAACTCAACCAGGTTTATCCCCCTTTCAAAAGGTAGAGTTCACACTCCACACTGCCGTAATCTGCTCCTAACTGGTCTAATCTGTTGCTATTCATTCTCCAGCATGTTAATCCCCCTCTTCTCACTGCTGCTAATGTCCAGTTAACATGTGCCTCTGCTGATATTAACCCCGTCCTGTCACACTCGTGTCGTTACAGGTGGGAGTGGCCATCGGCTGTGCCACCCGTGACCGCACAGTTGCGTTTGCCAGCACGTTTGCCGCCTTCTTGTCCAGGGCCTACGATCAGATCCGTATGGGAGCCATCTCCCAGACAAATGTCAACCTGGTGGGGTCCCACTGTGGGATTTCCATTGGTAAGCTTTCTGCTGAGGAGGCACGAGTTGGCTGTAAAACAGACTCAAGTTCATGTCACTCACAGATCATTTTCTGCCTTCAGGTGAGGACGGCCCCTCTCAGATGGCTCTGGAAGACTTGGCCATGTTCCGCGCTATCCCAACATGCACTGTGTTTTATCCCAGTGATGCAGTGTCTACTGAGAGAGCTGTGGAGCTGTCAGCAAACACAAAGGTTTGAGAAAAGAGGTTTTCTCTGAGTTATGTTCATTAAAAAGAGGCTAGTGGACTCAAACTTATTTCTACTCATCTGTATCTTCTCAGGGCATCTGTTTCATTCGCACAAGCAGACCAGACACCGCAGTCCTTTACTCTCCGGATGAGAAGTTTGAAATAGGAGTGGCCAAGGTAACAATTACCCCCCTGATCAGGGTTCCTACGCGAGTATGGAAGTAATTTGAGGGTCTTTTTAAAAAGTGTGATAAATGAAAAATTAAGTGTGGAAAAATATTTGTGTGAACAGACTATATTACCACTATTATAAAATACCTACTTTTCTATTTAAAGAAAACAGTATTTCCAAAAATAATTCTAAAAAGTAGGGTATGGAAACTGTGCAGGAACCCTGCCCCTGATTCTACACCATCCTTGCATCGAAGCTGCTGAAAAGGGTTTGAAAAATAAATGACAACTGGATGTTTGTGCTTCAAAGGTGGTGCGCCAGTCTGCCAACGATCACGTGACTGTTGTGGGTGCTGGTGTGACTCTCCATGAGGCCCTGGCTGCTGCTGACATGCTGGCCAGTGAAGGTAAACTCACATTGCCCCCTAGTGGATAGAAATGGGTATTGAAATTGAACATCCATGGCCATTATCCTCAACTGGACTTTGGACTTTTTCGATTAAACGGACAGAGTTATCAGCTGCTCTTTAATCTAGAACAGCATAACAAACACCTTTTACTGTAATGACAATGTAATATATATATTTTTCAGGCAAGAACATTCGAGTCATTGACCCGTTCACCATCAAGCCCCTGGATGCAGCTACCATTCTGGAGAGTGCCAGAGCTACAGGAGGGCAGATCATCACTGTGGAGGACCACTACAAGGAGGGTGAGTGGTCCAGTTTTGTTTACTTTTAATTTTTTTATTTTTATCCGTTTATTTATATTCAACCTCAGGATTTTATAAAATGGTAGCCTCCTATCATCTCTGCTTAAGTTCCCACTGGGAAGAATAGTCTATGAAAAGCACTCACAGGAGTTATTTATTGATGTGTGCTCTGCCTCTCTAACATGTTCTTTCTCCTCTCCCTAGGTGGTCTCGGTGAAGCGGTACTGTCCGCAGTGGGCAGGGAGCCTGGCATTGTCGTAACCCGGCTGGCGGTGAGCGGTGTTCCCCGCAGCGGAAAGCCACAAGAGCTTCTTGATATCTTTGGCATCAGCGCCAAGCACATCGCTAACGCCGTGCGCCAGACCTTCGCGAACTAAGGACCGCACCCGATCCCTCCCTCCTGCTCTGTTGCGTCAAAACCACCTTTTACATGAAGACCTGTTAACTATTTACCATTTGGTTGCAGTGTTCTGTCCATGTATTGTCATTTCTATCACAGTGAGAGAGCGAGTGGAGCAGAAGTGCAGCGTTATTGAAGCCTGTGGTGCTAATCTTATGCCTTTTGTGTACCCTGTCCCTCTGGCTCTCCTTTTCCACCTCAACTGATGTTGTTAGCAAGTGTGCTCCAGCTCAAATCACTAAAACACAATTCACTTGATTTTCTGGTTAGATATAAATGTCATCTGTCACCAGAAGCCTATCTAGGTTATGCTCTGCTGTGTACCATCAGGCTGTGACCTCAGTTCCTCATATCAGCCTTTATTTCCCTTTTTACATTCCTAACAAGCATACAGACCATGTCTACCGACTTCACTTATGTTCATTGCTCTCTTTTTCTAAACATCACTGTTACTGTTAGGCATTAAGCTCATGTACTAGATCATCTTATTTTAGTTGTTTTCACCCGCAGCTTTTAGCACTTAGCTGTGGTAGACAACTGCGTCATCTGACCCGGTGTGAAAATCACTTTGGTTATGAACAGTTTGAAGCATTCCTTTGGTGACTCCTGGCAGGCGCTACATGACGCTGCTGGTGTTTGAGGTCACCTTTGTCATCTTGCTATAGTTGTGATGTGCTGAATTAAATAATTAACCATCTCACTTGATTTTTTGTGATTTTTATTTTTCTATTTTATTTCCTGGCTGAATAGTTGGCAATTTTGGTCCAGACTAAATTCAGGGTTCCTACACAAGTATGGAAGTAATTTGATCAATTGTCAGGTCTTAAAAAGTATGGAAAATGAAAAATAAAGTATGGAAAAATATTTAGGTTTTCAGACCATTACGACAGCAAAAAAAAAAAAAAAAATTCCAAAAATAGAAAAGTAGGTATTTCCAAAAATAATTCCTAAACTAGGGTATGGAAATTCCATCTGTGTAGGAACCCTGTAAATCATTATGAGGACAATTTGATGCATTTTCAATAGTTCTAAAAAATGAAAGATTTTGTGCAAGCAAGACAAACTGTATACAAAATATATGATCTTGTGGGATAGGGCTGGGCGATAAACTGAAAATTTACCCATACCGAAATTTATGACAATAACTGACGTCATTTAGCCTATATCGGTGTATTCAGTGTCAAAAAAATAAAAGTTGGTTTTGAATGTGTGTAGGTAGGCTATTTTCACATGTCCCTTAAGATGCTGTCCTACATCAGAGGCATGACTCTGCCCCGTCCAGTCCGTAATAAAGAGGGAAAGACAGATGAGGATATAAAGGATGGTTCAAAAGTTGTAGCGGCAGCTGAAGTAGCTGAAGTTAATGTGGGAGGGGGTGAGCAGCTTGTGAAGTAGTTATCGTCCATTTATCGTTATCGAGGTGAGCTGCTCAATATATCGTGATATTGATTTAAGGCCGTATCGCCCAGCCCTGTTGTGGAAACAAGTTGTTTCCTCGTTCTCACAAGATACAACTTTCCTTGATATGGTTGTAATGTTTGCGTGAGATAACTTGTGTGTTTTCATTCATATATCGTCTGCTACATGACAAAGTTGCAAACACGGCGGTAGGGCTTCAGATTTTCTCCGTTTATTGACTTGTTCTCTGGGTATGGCCTTACAGAAACATGTCACATGTTTTAAATCTGTCAGTGGTCACATTGCTAGAGTCTAGAGTTTAGCTAATGTGGACCTAGAGAAAGGTTGTGTATTTATGCAGGGTGACTCCTTGGCTTCTGCACTGTTCATGGCAGTGGAAACTGTTAATCCAGGGTGTTGTCTGACTGAGGTTTAGGAAGAAGTTGAATGTGGTCAGTGGATTACTGCATGTTCCTGTCAACGGTTAAATGAATAGTCTGTGGACACATCACTGTTGACACTGGAGGAGCACATCAGCACCTGTGTGTTTCAGTGTTTAGTGCCAAATTGTCTCGGGAGCCATTTGGAAGAATCTAGATTTGGTTGTTTTCCTGACTCATCAGATGAATCAGATGAACTCCACGTGCAGAAAGACAGGGAGGAATATTTAAACATGACTTGATTTTTGTCGCAGATCTTGGAAATCACAGAGCTGCTGCTGCATCGCACTTGGAAACATGCACATTTTGACATATTTAGTGTATGTATGTGTTGTTTCTGAGCAAATAATGAGGAGCTGTCAGCAGCTTTCACCTGATAGTGAAAATCCCAGTTTGGCTCAACACTCAGCCAGTGGCACCTGCTTGACTTGGCAGTGGGTGTGATGCCCACATACTCCGGCGAACATGTTCAAGTATCACGGTCAGACAGAATGTATGTACACAATATAAAGACCGTCTCATTGTTCGTTTCTCAGAGGTCGTGTTTGATTTCATACATAGATGCTAGTGGAGCTTGGCCAAACATGGTTGACTCCTTGACCTGAACTGTCTAGGAACCCCTGTCTAATGCTGGAAAAAATTAGGATTGATCTGATTTTGAGACGAGAAAAAATCAGATATTGGGCCATAAATTCATGTATCAACACACGTGGGAATATTAAACTAGATTACTGGTAGCATAGTATAATCCTGTCTTTTTCTATCCTTGTCTGTCTCTGCTTTAATTTTAGCAGACAGTGAGGAGACAGAAGGAGCAGGGCGTGTCTGTGTATTTCATGGTATGATGAGCAAGGACCTTTATTAACAGTGTGAGAGTTTGAGGGGGTATTTTTACCCCTCTACCTCCACCTCCTGAGTCCTCCTGCCCACCCTCCTGGTCTTCACTCTGAGTTGGGGGCATGTATGATATAATTTAGCTCTGCTTTTGGCAGACACACATCAGTGAATCTGCACCACAGATTTAACTGCATGTGCTCATGATCTCTAATTCACTGGTTTCCTGGAGATCCTAGTGTAAACTTTTGCGCTGATTGCTACTTGCAGTTTCTCCCCTGTGACATAACTGTCTGTCTTTTCGGTGGATTTTACTTGATTCCTTACTTTAGCCCTGAACCTCTCAAAGCTTTGGACATCTCTCTCTCCACCAGGAGCAGCTCTAACTGAGTTGAAATCCAACCATGCAAACACAGAGGATATGGATCATGTTCGTTTGTCTTTACTGTCATGTCTTTTCGGGGCAATGCTTCAAGTATTTGTCTGGCATGACGGGGAAATTGGAAACTTTGCCTGAGAGACATGAATTAGGCACAGCGCATGTTCGTCAACCTCGAGCAGCTTTGCCAGATCCAAACGGCTCGAGGACATCTCTCCCTGCAGGTAAGATTTTATTGATGTCTTTTAAATACTGTCCATTTTTTTTTCAAATAATTGAGGTGTTAATTACTTGGATTTCATGGGTTTTAAAGCTGCAGTAAGGAAATTATGGTAGGTGTCAAATTTGGCGCCCTCTGTGGGCAAAGATAGGTCATATTTTATGATTAAAAACTGCTTCCTACCTTCTTTTTAAACTCAAATATGTCATAAACTGTGGACATTTGCAATCAAACATGTAAAGACAGGTAGTTTCTTTAATGTGCTGTCAGTGTCTGGTCTGACCCGTCTCCTCGTAGCTGTTTAAGGCATGAAACAGTCTGATTTTAAGATAATGGTCTTGTTTGCTTTTGTAGGTTATCAAGAGGCCCCAATATTTAATTTCACTCTTACAACTAATTGGAAATTCCTCACAGGAGCTTTAAGTTATTTGTAAAAAAAACAGCTTGTTTATGTAACTTGAGAGTTTTGAGGAACAGGAGCTCCCAACTGGAACTTACTAGATACTCATTTTTGTCTGCCCACCACTGGAACTGTCTTTAAACAAAACATGGGAACTTTTTCTTACCCACAATTCCCCAGTTTTACAAACTGACTCAATCTGATCTTTGCAGGATTTTAAAACACTGAGAATAACTGGTACCTTTTTGTCCCTTTAAAATAAGATCCTTGGATTCAAAGGTTTGGGTGCTTCTGGTGTAAACATGCCCTCTAAAGTCTTTTTCTTCTATCTGATTTTTTATGAAGAGGGTAAGAACGAATGGCTCCACATGGAAGTCAAAGCGGCGAGAGAGAACCGAGGAGTCGATCGGAGGAAAGAAGAGGCTGAGAGAAGAAAAAGAGGCACCTGGGGGAAGAGGAAACATGCAGAAACAGTGGAGGCCAACGCATACAGAATAGTAGGATGCCTGTTTTTTTTAATTATTTTTTTTATTTTTACAAATGTCATGGTACAGCCTGAAACTGTGCTGGTCTCCTGCCCCTTGCAGGCTGGGTTGGGGCGACCCTTGATGGGCTGGAAGAGACGAGGGAGAGCGGAGCAGGAAACCGGCACTCTGATCTCTGTGCTGAAGGAGCTTCATGATGAAAAACGGCGGCTGATGGATGACGGGAAAGCAAAAGAGGTAGAAGATGATGATGACGATGATGAGGAGGAGGAGGATGATGATGATGATGACGATGATGATGATGATGATGATGATGATGAAGAAGAAGAAGAGGAGGAGGAGGAGGAGGAGGAAGAGGTTTGCATTTGAATTTGTATTTTTCTCAAAGCTCATGTAAAAGGATGTCTGTGATTTTACTGTTTCCAACTTTTCATTCCAGGAAGAGGAAGAGGAGGAAGAAGAGGAAGAAGAGGAGGAAGAAGAAGAGGAGGAGGAAGAAGAGGAGCCAACTGAGGCTCCTGGTAATCAAACAGAAACGTACTCCATCCCTACTCCGACTCGGTACTCTACAGAGTCTCCTCTCACAGAATGTCAGACCACAAACAGAGAAATCAACTGCAGGAGCAGGGGCTTGACTCACTTACCAATCATCCACAACAAGGAGGCCACCAAGCTGGATGTCGCAGGTGTGTTTGTGTGTGTATCTGTGAGCAAATGTGTTGTTAAATAACCTTGCATCTAATTTACAGATATATTTATTCATGCTTTGCAATTTCTGTTTAAAGAGAACAACATCAGAGTCATTACTCCACAAGCTTTCTCTGCTCTACCGATCCTGGACACTCTAGACCTCAGCAAAAACCAACTGGATGATGAATCATTCAGCCAAAACCCCTTGTCTGTGAGTAACAACACTCTGTGAGCACATTATCAATTTAAAAACAATCAGCCAGCAACCAAACCAGAGTCAACTTTTCATAATCAGTTTCACTAATCTAGTCTCAAACCTGCAGGTCTAAACTCGGGGAACCAGTCCAGCCAGCTTTACTTGCAGGCAACAGTCCTTACTTCGCCATCACTATCGTCATTGTTTTTTTTTGCCATTGTTTCTCGATGTGTGTCTTTGATTTTTAACTTTACTCTTGATACTTGCTGACTGTCTGTGTATATTTTTCAAGACCAAATGTAATGATGAGGTGAAGTGGAGATAATGGTAAAAACAGATAAAAACACTTAAAGAAAAGCAAAACCTTCATGGTACAAGATTATTGAATTAAGTATTGTGAGGAAACTAGACAGCATCCCCCTCACTGAGGTATAAGAAATCACACACAGATGCATATTGACTTATAAAATCAACTTCAGCTAACACAGGAATGTGTTTTTTTGTTTATGATCTCATTTATGTAACCTCTTACTAATATCCGAGTGCACACATGAAGATGCAGCCACAGGACTCCAGCAGCCATGTAAGGCTGAGTTAAGGGGTTCAGAGGAGAGGGAGGAGAGGGAGGAGAGGAGTTAGAGGTGATATTTTGGTAGGTTTGGCTTGTTTAGGTTTTTCTCAGTCTATTAGATGTTTGTCGTCAGCTGTATTAGAATATCAGTCCATTAAATTGTGTTGTTACTTGTGTATATTTTTCATTGTAAATATGTTTTAAAGGCCTTTATGATTTCACTGGCGAGGGAGGAGACTTGAGAGTAGAGAAGCTAGGTGAGAATAGGGCAGTGAGTGTGTGAGAGGGTGGAGAGGCAGGTTGTGTCTCTTCTGCTGGCCTGCTGCTGCAATTAAGGGGGATCAGCTACACCTGGGAGTGTGACTGGCTACCAGGAGTATTTCTCAGCTGCATGTGATTGATTCTCTGTAGTTTTTTTGCAAGCCAGAGCTCTGGAACTGGTTGTCTCATGCTCTTCATTTGCCATCCTGCTCCACACCTTTTTCTGCCCTCCGTTCATCCTTTTCATATTCATTTTTAAAATCTTACCACTTTTTTGACATATCTGTCAGCGTAAAACATTTTTTTTTTTTTAACTTTAGGTCTTTCTTCATCTAATCATGCCTCAAAGGCTAAATTGAAACAACATATTTTAATAATTTTATCTCAAATAGTTTTAGTTTTAAATGTCAAACTAGCATTGACACACACTGAGAAAATAATAGTACAAAACAACACTGTAGTACTTATCACTACCTGCAGGTGGTGCTCATGTCTTTAGTAAAGTCTTCACTTCCTTTTCCAGCAGGTGGCAACACTCACATTCCCACACCTGCACTTCCAAACTCCTGAAATAACCATTTTATATCCAACACGTGAGGATGATCCTGTGAAAAACAGCTTTGATACTTCTCCTAGAAAGACACCAACTGTAGGGAATCTGCTGCCTGCTAAACATGAATGAGTGAGTTAGTGAGTTTCAGGGAGGTTTTATGAGTCACTTGTATCTAATTAAGATAAAAACGCTGGCTGCATCCTGTATGATTACTGTAATAAAAGAGCAGAAGTTGCATTAACTAATCCCTTCCAAGAATATCCTCCTAGTCTAACCTCCAAATGACCACACACCAATCTTAGATCCGGACCAATCATTACCCTCTGATCGTTGGCATCCTCACACAGGATTGGCTGGACAGACCTGTCGGAAAAAAAATCTGCAGCCAGTGTGTGGAATTTAAAAAGAGTTATTTATAGTTGAAGATATTTCCTTACTTTCTGCTCAATTCGCTGTAATGACAGGGCTGATGATGGACTGGTTTTATGGATACTGCACGAGATTCAGTCTGCTGCTTAACTTTACACAAACCAACCAACCACAGCAGCTGTCACTAGAGAGATTTTCTCTTGTTTAAGACATGATGGAAAGTTTTTGTTTTCACTTGTTTCCAAAATTTTGGTGTTTTCCCCTCACATTTTTTTATGCTTCCTTTCAGAGCTTGTCTTTCCTGAAGAAGTTGAACCTGGATGACAACCAGCTCACCAGGGTTCCAGCTCTGCCTCCATCTCTGGAAGAGCTTAAAATGAACAAAAACAGGCTCACTGAACTCACTCCTAACTGTTTTAAAGGTAGGCTTTAGCGTCTATATCATTAAAAGAGAGTTATATTGTATAAAAGTGCTTCTAATATAAAATATATACATTTATTTCTCTTCAGGATTGGTAAACCTGCTGAATCTAGAGCTGGAGGGGAATATTCTACATGAGGGAAGTGTGTCTCCATCAGCCTTCAGACCACTACAGAAACTTGTTGACCTCCAGCTGGACAACAATCGCTTCCGCTCCCTCCCAGTGGGCCTTCCTCCTTCACTTCAGGTGCACTGATAGCATTTAAGTGGCAAATTAGATAACTATTAGAACTAATCCCTAATCCAGACACTGATTTATGATTTTACTTTCTTAAAGGAGCTTGAGATGAATGAAAATCAGATCATGGAATTGAGATCAGAGGTACTGAGGGGCTGTGTTCATTTGAGAGTGCTGGACCTGAGTCACAACCTGCTGCACGAGCACAGCATCGAATCTGACGCCTGGACCCACCTAAGGTATGGTAAACCATCCATCCATCCACCCATCCATACATCCATCCACTTTGCAATTTTCCCATCTTATCACCACTTAATTCAATCAATCATCCATGTATTTTTTTCCCAACCAGTCCATCCATAGATCCCTTTTTTTCATCCAATCAGCCATTCACTACTATAAAAAAATATATTTATATTATCCAATCCCACTATCTACCACAAGAGGGCGCACTGGAATTGTTTGAAACTTGGCAGTAATTTTCTCATGTTTAGGCAGATACATGTCAAACAAGTGTGGTACATTATAGATCTTAGATAAGGAGTTGATTTATTAAGTGAGGGATGAGATTTTTATCTATAAAACCTCATTTTTCTCTCGTCTAAATCTGATTCATCCTCAAAAGTAAACCAAAAATTCATTAACTTATTTGATCTTTTCTTCCTTCTTAAAATTTTAGCTTTATATTTGAACACAAAGGCAGATTAAATCTTTAACTTTCACTCTCTTGCTTTTTTCCTCTCTCTTTCTCTGTCTCTCTCTCTCTCTCACACACACACACACACTTGCACACACACAGCATGCATTACCATATCAAAAAAGTTATGACAGCTGACTCTGTGTACGAAGATGAGCAGGCGTGTGACGGACAGCTCGAGGGCAACTGTGTGCCTGCATGTGTGTTTGTGTAACTGTCTGATACGTGTGTGTGTGTGTGTCTGAGTGTGCATTTGCGAGTGTGTGTTGTTTAAATATAGTGAATTCCAGTGGGTTTTTCTTCGCTCCCTGGGATCCTTGTGAACCACAGGGAGAGCTTCAGGGAAAACTGAGAAATAGGAAACACTAAAGAAAGAGAGAGAGGCAGGATAGGAAAGTGCAACCTGAGAGACTCTAGATTGTATCGTGAAACTGCATAATGACATAAAAAGGTGTAAATTGTAAATAATTGTGCACTAATTTCAGATAAGGAAAACTAACTCAGGTTGCACTCTCAGCCTTCTTTTGACCTCTGACCCCAAAGTATTTGACTCCTGGCACCTGACCTCATTAGCAGTGAGGGTAACTCTCTTCCCATCAGCACAGCAGCATTATTAGCAGCTCTTGTATTTAAATAGCCCTCTTCAGCACTGCATGGACACCATACTGAGAACTAATTCAACTTGAACTTAAGCCCATGAACACGGTGGGAGCTGAACCCTTGAGGGCAGAGGTCTGAAACAAGACTCCTACCTGTATTTGGATAACATGTTGGTCTGAAACCTTTTGTAATTACATCCACCTTGGCTTAGTCGTGGAGAAGAGAAACAACCATGTAAAATCTGCAGTGGTGTATAGAGGGATTGATAAAAATCGGAAAAACAGAATTAAAAAGTAAATTGCTCTGTATTAGAATGAACTTTGGTGTTCTGGTTCTGATTAGGGGAATGCCTCTGCTCCATGTCATGTAGTCAGAGCTATTAGTGAGTCCAGAGGGAGTTTCACTGATTGGAAGCTTCTGTGTCGAGGCTGGAGGTAGGTTACAAGGAGCCAGGGAGGGTGGTTTGGATCTGGGCTCTGTCCAAGGCTGACCAGAGCGATTGCCAGCTCCTTACCTCACAATCTACCTCTATGGTCAGTGTAACCGTTCCTTTTTAAAGACACTATCAGCTCTAATATCCAGATTTTTACCCGCTTTATTGATCCCAGAACTGGCTTTAATACGTCTTCTTGTTTTTGTTATTGCTTTCGAGTTTTGGACAGCACTTTAAGTATTCTCAAATGGTTACCAGTCAAGATTGGAGGTTATTATAGTCATCTAAGCACAAGAGCACTGTTTATCGATTGTTGCTTAACCCTAACCCTCTCCTGAAGGCATAGCTACAGGATGAAGAAATGACTAGTTGATCAGTTGTCTTGAACGGCATGCATGTAAATGCCAACATATATGCACACACAGTGAAGCTGTATTATGCATTGTTAGAGATAAAATGAATAAACTACGACATGAAGATACCGTGTATATAACAGGGCGACAGCAATTAAGATTCAATTGAAATAATATAACGGTATTATGCTGATGGTGACATGATTATTATGAATCACTTAAAACAAAGATATGATGGATCACTGCAGTTTGTTCTGACAACCCTTTCCTCTTATGCTTCTTGAGCTACTTTTGCAAAATTAATACTTTTAAAAAGATATTGTAAAAATTACATTATGGATGCCTCTTATCAGGGGGAGAGCAAGTTTTTGTCTTAAACCATGGGTTCCTTTGAAGAAATTACCCTCTTTATCATTTGATCTTAAGAGAAGATGTTGAAAAAAAGTGTCCTAAAAATTGTTATATATAATTATCATTTTCTATTTTCACTGCGTCAAATCTATTCACCAACTTTATTTCAGTTCATAAACAATAAAAAAAAAAAAACGTGTAGATTGGTTAAGCTTTAACCTTTTGCATATGCATTTTTGTACTCTATATCTGTTTACGTACTCTAAATAGCTGATATAGTCATAAAAAAAGACCAAAACTTTTGTACCAAAAACTTATAAAAATTGCAAGAGGGTATTATTGTTTATGATATAAAAACACTCTGGACTTTGCATGACTAGCAATTTACTGACTGACATAGGATAAAAAATAAATAAAAACAGTTGTTGTGGGTTTAATTGTCATCGTAAAAAGCATAATGGGTTGCTCGTGGTTATTTTTAACTTACAAAGCACTCAAAGCCTGATGTAAGAGATGGAGTCCAAATTTCAAATTTTGTGTAAAAACGGCTCATTTCCACCAAATGGCATGCCATTTTGATCATCGATGAAAAAAACACACTTTAAAAATAAATATGGACTGATTTAGAAATAAGGATTAAAAGTAACAGCTGTTCAGATAGAAGGCATATAAGCACACATGTACTTTTGAAGGACCTGTCAGCTCAAATCACATCCTTAAATGCCTCCAAATCCCTTCTTCCTGCAGTCGATCAAAACTTAAAAGTTAGTGCATCTGACAGAGTAAGACAAGTTTAAAATCACTCCCACAGATCACAGCTATAATAACCATAACTCATCCCAAAAGTCCCAAACAATAATGATTTAAGAGTAATCTGCTTTCTATTGCGGTTTTATAAAGTGTCATCGAACATTTTATTGGGAACAGGATCATTATCTGGACTGTGCAGGAAGAATTGCCTAACACACAACAGGGTGTTCTGCAGCTTAAGGCAATAAATACATTTTCCAGAAAAGTTACATGTGGAGTGCTAAGTCAAAACAAAGTATTGTCTTGTTTAACTTGATCGAATGAGCCCAGAATGATTTTGTAATTCTATTGCATAAATAGGAAAACAAGTACACTTTATCAATGCACAAAAACACAACAGCTGTGTTAAAGTGTTACAGATGTCAAAAGACAATTTTCATTTTATTTGTCACTGAATGTATGAAGAAGAATTGATAGTGCATATACACGCAAACACTTACACTGTATATGATATGATAGTGTATTCACACATGCTCCCCTTCTGTCAATAATTAGAGTCATATTCTGTGTTTAAGTGAATCCAAATGTGCCTCAGTCTGGTTTCAGCAGATGTGACAAACGGCTCGAAACGCTACCAGAAATCAGCTGTGCACAGAAGCATGCAAGTTACTGACATTTGCAGTTTAAAGCCATGTGCTGCCATCATCCATCCATCCATCATTGTGAGTCTGATTTTAAGTCTGTCAGGCCTGCTGGTCACAGCTGCCCTGCCTGGCTGCATTATATATCCTGGTTAGATGGCTAGAGTTTGAAAGCCAGATTTTTTTTTTTTCCTCTCTTTGCATGGGCAGGGCTGACTGAGCGCAGTTTGACAGTATATATTTAAGTATAGCACTTCTGTACTTGTGCTTCTGCATCTGAATGTGGCAGGGAGTGTAAGAAACTCCCTTCTGTGTGCTGGTTCTCATTATAACCAAACACCCAGAGGAAGAACAGGCCTCCAGACTGATTTCTCCTGGCTATGTTTGCAGAAAAACTTGGACACACACATTTGTGCACACTCACACATTTGTTTTTTTTTGTAATTACTGACAAAGCCACTCTGTAAGTGCTTACAAAATTGAACGGTTACTCAATCTAGTGTTTGAATATAATGATCGGGTATCTAATGAGAATCAACCAAATCAGAATCACACACTCATGTTCAAAGATTTGTTTTCTTGGTTTTGCATCTTTATTCATTCGTCTCCTTTTCTGCGTCTTCTCATCATGTCCTAATATCAAAGCGTGTGTACGTGTTAGTGTATGTGTATTTGTCTAGGTGCCAGTGGGTGGAGGGAGGAAGACTCGGAGAAGAGAAGACTGTGTGTCCCTCCGCTCATTAATACCATGTGGAGCTCCAAGCAGCGGCGGACTGCTGCTGAGCTTCCTGGCAAAGATTTAGAATACAAATTAGCAGTGCACAACTGGTCTGAACTGGAACGCAGAAATGTGACGTAAACATATGAGGGATCAACTATTACAACTGAGAAACCATATTTTCATAGTAGTCTGTGACTGGCATAGTTAACACAGGATAAAAATTAAAGCCTGCCATGGGTTGAACCCACGTGCTTTAGTGATGTATAGTGCCCAGTGTAAGTCAGTACACCCCTTTTAAAAGTAGAGTATTTCTCAATATCTAGATGAGCAAAAGTACAATTTCCAAAGTTTTGACAAAGCTGGGTTGACAAAACATTTTTTTTTTTGCCATAAGATAATAATAGGAAGATATGGTAACTACAATTTAGCTTTACTCCCAGAAATTTAATTGGCGTCTACTCATTTTTGCATCCTGATTTTAAATTGAAAAAGAAAAAAAAAAAATTTTTTGTTTGCAACTTCAAAAATCTTGTTTGCAATCAATGGCCCTCACTTTGGGTAGTATTTTGTTGTGTAGTCTGACATAGAAAATGTTGATTTTGAAAGGAAACTAAAGGTTTTCTGACATTTCTAAAGGGGTGTACTCATTTATGCTGAGCACTGTATGTCAATAATTAGTACTATGAAAAAGACGATTTCACCTGATCAAACAGGCCGGAGGAGTCAGCCCACCCGATCCCTGGGCCCGGCTTCGGATAGCTGAGGCCTCTGGAGAGGTTGGAGGACGCTGCCTCGGTTGTGCTGGGCAGGTGAGTATTGGCGCTCACTTTGCTTTGTACAACCTCCTGATGGCGCCCTGTTGTAGTGTGAGCATGGCCATCCGCTTGCAGAGCTTCTGGACCCGGACCTCATTGGCAGGGAGCTCACCATTGGTGGTGAACTGCACATATCCCAATTTGGGGTTATTGGTTATTGGAGGCAGGCCAAGCCCCCTATGGTCTACCCAGAGCAACAGTTACACATACATTTTAGATATAAAATGTTATTTTATCTCTAAAATATATCTATTATTTTTACAAACGTAGCACTTGCGCATCAGCTTCTTTTCTCCAGACCAGAGGCTTTCACTTGGGTGTTCCTCCTAACTTGGGAGATATCCGAACTATACCCGAAGCTTAATGATGTTGTAGACTGTGTATAGCAAAAACCACTGAATGCTCAGTGATTTTGGTAAAACACAAATTGTTACTATTCAGCCATTCATGTGGGTGATAAGCCAGCTGTTCAGTGACCAAATACAGATGTGTATTGACGCAGTTCTGGATAAACTGCACATATCACAATATGGGAATACTAGGATATGTCATAGCTGAATCGTTTTCCACAGAGAAAGGGAAAGAAAGAAAGAAAAAAGACAGAAAAACCTAATTTAAAAGCACCGGGAGCATCACCACCAAAGGTGAGCTTCCTGCCGATGAGGTCCGGGTCTAGAACCCCTGTGAGTGGATGGCCATGCTCACACTACAACAGGGCACCGACAGGAGGTTGTGTCTAGCAATGTGAGCGCCAATACTCACCTGATCCACACAACCTCCTCCAAGACATTTTGGACTCCTCTGCCTGTTATTCTGCCTTAGTGTGTGCCGAACCTGGACTCTTAATAAACATATCTTTGCCTTCTGCAACCTCGGGTCTGCATTTGAGTCTGTAACCACAGTCAGTTCCTGACAAAGAGTTGATGCAGAGGTCTCTCTGTAAGTCACTTCGAGCAGAAATGTTGATATACTGAACTTCAGTCAGACAGATACCAGGCCCAGGTCTCCCTCTTTCCGCTCTCTTTCTCCCCACTGGTCCCTGTTTCCCTCTACTGTGTGGTCATCGGTCTGGGCCCATTTGGTGCGAAGTGGGTTCTGTGAATGGCGGCAGGACAGGAAATGAGGTTCTCCTCCTGCTGGGAGCAGTTCTGTAAACTCACAACAGCTGTGCAGGATTTTCTAACAAAAACACTGAAGCCCTGTATGACATTTTTGCTTTAGAGCCCCCCAAAATATAGCGCTCATTCTACGTCCGTCTGTTCTGTCTGTGAGACAAAAATGTTCATCCTCCTCACCAATCATGCATACATTTTCCTTCAAACTGCTTTACTCTCGTACCTCCCAGGCCCCATTACTTTCCCCCTCCTGCTGCTGCCCATGAACCCCCCACAGTCTAACCTCACACTCTGCATGCCTTCCTCCCCAACAGCGCTTTGTAGGAGTCCAGTAACTATAAAACTGGAGATCTGCAGGGAAAAGCCTTGGAATAGGAGAGGAAATAAGCATCCATCATTGTATTAAATCTAGAGCCCTGTAAAACATCAGCACAGTTAACACGCTGATATTTTACAGCTTTACCATATTTGAAATGAGGAGGCTGACACGTCTTCAAGTCAACATTTGTCCTCAGTTAAGGCCGATGGGAATGGACCTTTATTCATTTATATATTTTAGTCATTTTGCCATGAAGCAAATAATAGGACAAAGTAAGGGGATCAGTGGGGTCTACAGGAGACTTTGTCTTTAAGGCATGTTTGACCCAAGGTATTAGCCAGACCTTCTAATAGATGATCGACATAATAAGTAAAAATATTGATCCTCCAGTTCAGGAGTGCAGACTAGAGAATAAAAAACATCTTCTGAATAAATAGTAATTTGACCTTTTTATTTATTTATTTATTTTTAATTTAATTTATTAATTAATTAATTTATTTATTTGAGTGATGTTTTTGTGCACTTTTCCTTTAATAGATAAGACAGCTCTATAGAGATAGGGGATGTGGGGGAAGACATGCAGCAAAGGATCATGCCCATAGTCTCTACATGTGGAGCACTATAAGTCACACCATTACTAGATGTCTTCATTAATAGAGAAACCCCCACACCTTTTTTTAAACATATTTTTAACTCCTAAGTTTCTTCATTCTTGAGTTTCTCTTTTGTATTTATCACTGCTGTAAATTTTGGAATTTCCCACTTCCCAATTTTATTTCCCACCCACTTTGCAGATTTTTGACCAGGGTTTTTGACCAGCTTGAGCAAGCGCTGATCTTTTGGTTCTGTAGGAAAATCACTGGATTATCAAAGTTATGGGGACCTTCTTGGAGAGGTTTCATGGTCTTCTATCAAAGCATTTTTGAGATCTGGACCAAAATGGGCATCCCATCAACAGTATCCTGGTTCACCTTCTTGTAGATACCTGACTTAAATTTATCATCTTGTTTCTTTCAGGTCTCTTGAAGCCTTGGACCTGTCCCACAACCAGTTCACCTCTGTCCCAGCGTATCTCCCTCGACCCCTCCGTAAACTGGACCTTCAACATAACAGCATCAGTCTCATCCCGGCCCTCGCCTTCCGTCACCTGAAGCCCGGCCTGCAGTCGCTTCGTCTATCACATAATGTCTTGAGCAATGAGGGGGCAGAGAGGGCCTCTTTTGTTGGGACATACCGGTCGCTGAGTGAGCTCTTCCTTGACAACAATCGACTGAAGGAGGTTCCTCGAAGTGTTCGGCAGTTTAAGAATTTGCAGGTGCTCAGACTGGACAACAACCAGATCAGGTAGGTACATTTGTATGATCAGCAAGCACACAGAGATAAGTCTTCATTTAATGGTCTTTGTATGTTGTGTTTGCAGGTTCGTGAGACAGTGGGGGGTTTGCCATCCTAAGAACACGGGCTCCGCTCTGGCTTCAGTCCACTTGGAGAACAATCTCTTGGCGGTGGAGAGGATTCCCTCCAACGCTTTCTCCTGTCTTATCGATGCTCAAGGACTAGTCCTCTATCCACAGCAGCAGCATTCATAGAGCAGAAAGACCACATTGTGGGACAGACATACATGAGCAGACTCATACCCACAGAACACACATGTGTATCACCATGACATATACAGCTACTTATTTCTGTCTGGGGTTTTTCCATATCATGTAGTTTACTTTAGTCAGTCAGACAGACTGTCAGTCATTTTATCGACTTCAAACCACCAAAAACTTTCATTTCTTGTTTTTAATGTAGGAATTTAAATATCTTTTTGCTTCTGAGACTCTTTGAAGTTGAAAAGAAATTTACATTTTGCAGCTTTAACGGTCCAGATCATTTGCAGGGCTTGCATAAGGAGAGGTGGAAAAAGGAAAATCAAATACAACAGGGATACCAAGAGGGTCATGAAGCAGTCAAATCTTTGCCCTGCAGCCTGGGGTCTGTGTGCGAGAGTGAAAATGTCTGGTGTGAACACAGTGTGAACATAAGGGGCCCATTAGGAAGGAAAACATAAACATCTCGCAGGTTTTCTATCACCAGACCAGTTCCAACATAAACATCCACCACCAGCCACGCAGCAAAAAACATTCAGAGTCACTCTAACTGTATGCAAAAGGTGATGTCAGTCTCTGTAGGGTTGTGTACCCTGGTTCGGTTGCAGGTATTAGTGTGTGTGTGAGGAGTGGGGCACCCATTATTTGTATTAGCAGCTGAAAAAACAGAAAAAATGGAAGGAACATGTTAACTAGGGACGTAACAGAAGCTGACTTTCAAGATACAGTAGAGAGATTGTTCTAGAAAGAGTCTTAGGTGGTCAGTGAAAGACGATAGGAGCTGGAGTTCATGACCATGTGGCTAAAAGGAGTTTTAAAACAGAGGAGGGAGAGTGGCAGAGAGCTGGGGCACATTTCAGCGCTTTTCCGGGATCTAAAGCCACGGGAGCTCTGGTGTCCTTCCAACCTCACAGACAGTGACTTCCAGGATTTTAATGTTCTCTTTTTTCTCTCCTTCTCCCCCTTTATCTCAAAGTCCATCTCCTGCTGTTTGTCGGTCTCCTTAAGCTCTTTTCTCTCTCATCTCCTCCTGCACATGTAAGCTCAAAAAACACAACAATACCCCATTCTGCTGTCTCCACATCTCCACAATCTCAGCCCTTTTGGAGATGCTTTAAAGACTGTGACGTGAATAAAACAGCCTTGCTCAGAACATTTCTGGGCTGGGGACCCATAAAGTGATGTTGGTGAGAGCAGCCGGAGGAAAAAGCACAAACCCAGTTGCACTCTGTTTTTGTTTTCTGCAAGGCAACAACTCTATTTTACTTTTAACCCTTTAATCTTGTGTTATAATCAAAAACTAAATTCAGGAACAAGAATTTGTTTCAGTAAATGTGATATCTGTATTTGCAGTATGACCAAAGAAAACATTTTGTGTTATCTTTATGAATAAGTATAATTAAAACAATAAAGCGTGGAGTCGTCTCAGTGTATGAAGTCGTAATTTGCTGGAAGTGCACTTGCCGTGTGGCTCCTGGTATAGGTTTACAGCAGAGAGCCATGCCCCTGCAGCTCTAAATGAAGACCAGAAGGTCCCCTGCAGACACTAGAGTTACAAGAGAGAGAGAGAGAGAGAGAGAGGGAGGCAGGGTGAACATGAGCGAGAATAAGGCTGGGTTATTTAGAGGCAAACAGATGACAAAGATAAGTTTATGAAAGCAGAGTATATGCATGGTCTGAATATTCAATACTCACATAGTTTTCACTCTCAGCATGGGCATGTAATCACACGTTACATTTCTGCTCTCAGTCTTGTGCATGTGGTGCAGTCTCCATAATTGTACAGTCATTTTACAAACAGCACATTACTGTCTAAGAAACTACGCATTCCCATTTATACTGCCCTCCTCACACGTACAGGCAGAGCTGAAGCTTTGCACAGATAAAGCCCAAACTGCGTCAGCTTTCTTTCCTGCAGTTTGCCATCTTTGTAGTTTTGCACAGATGGATGCCTCAGCTTTGATGTAAAATCCCTAAAGCTCTCCTCTATGCAGAGCTTATCACATGGTATACTCTTAAATTTGACAAGCTTGCCACTTCAGCGCCGTCCGTCACATTGCGTGTGACACGACTTAACTGTTAAACCGACATCCCATCACGCCCAACAGATGTTTTGCATCCCGTCGAGCTGAGGCCAGATTCTGCTGACCATAGAGCCGGGCAGTGCTTTTCTTCTCCCATGCTTTGTCTGTTCTACCCGGCGACAGCAGCTTCCTGTGTTTGTTATTGGAGGAGTGGGGGATTGCTGGCTGATAAAACAAAAAGCACAGTGTGCACACAGAAAAGCAGCTAAAGAATCCATGTAGCCTGACTTCTCTCTCAGAAACAAGAAGATAGAGGAAGAACGGTTGAGCGAGGACTGATCTTCGCTAGAACATGAGATTAGGTTGCAGTGTTAAAGGGTCAACTATTTGGGGTCAACAAGAATGTGCCTACTGCAGCGTGCAGGACCACTAACAGCTCGGTCATCGGCCCTAATATGATGTCCAACAGTGTTAATCACTAGGAAGTAAACATTTATATAGCTGAAGTCTAAATCTAGCAACACAGGATAAACACTTAACACGCTCAACGACTCATCATGTTCACACATTGACTGTGTTTGACTCGGGCCAGGCTCAGGGTGGAAAGCGGAACGATAATGATAATGATGTCCTGCTGTGTTCAAGGTCAGTACAAACAGAGGAGCGCACTAAAGCCTCTATAATGTGGGCATAGATCGACATCACTTATCTGAAGTAGGCTATGTGTCTACACTCAACCCAAGTTTTAGTCGACCTATCACGAGACAAATGCTTTATTAAAAAAAGACCACTCCCCCTACAGTGTGTGCAGATGGTGAAATGAGCTTTTCAGACCCAAACCTGTAAACACGTTTATTTTTGCTCCAAAATGGGCTTTTTTAGATGAGTGTGTTTGTGGTTTTTGGTGCCCAGCCTCAAATGGGGAACTGCAGCACTTCCATATTGACTTCAATACTCATAAGTGGGGGTTGCTGCTTGGGGCTAATTAACTTTTATTGTAGGTTAATTATTCCCTGACAAAAAAATTGATAATGAAAACGTCACACCCTGTCCACCTGCCAAGACATGCTTTAAACCTACCAGTAAGATCTCTTAGGGTTAGTATTATAGACTGTATATAGAATGGACGCCGTCTGCCCCCTCGCTGGGTGAAGCCACCGTGAGAACAGCACCCTCTGGTGACCGGCTGCAGTATAGGTCATAAATCCCGCCTCCTCCAGCAATCCCTATGGAGCTGTGGACAAACTTTAGAAATTTATTACTCAGAATATAGATTTTTCTCCCCCCTGCTTGCAATGTTGACATGTAGTTATTGTAAGACTGGTTTGTACTCAAGTCCCCTTTTTTCTGTACAGCTGCATTTTTAAAAGTTATTTGGAGGTTCATGTTTTCTATGATTGATACTTGATATAGCCTATGGGCATAAGAAGATTGCGTAGCTCACCCGGGGGATACGCTGTTTGAGACGAGTGTCATCGCAGCGACTCTCGGCGACTCTCCCGCTGAATGTGTACAATGCTACTGCGCAATGTTGGTTTCAGGAAGTGGATAAAAATGCGGAATTACCAAGCTTTTCGGCTTCAAATCCGTGTATCGGCAGAAGGCGGAACCAAGTTGTCCATAGTACATACAGTCTATGGTTGGTATAGATTTGTTGGTTGATTCAAAGCTTACACTTGTTGCTATGCGAAGAACCCTGCGGGAGCCTTGAGAGGGAGCTCTTTATTAAAAACTGTTTCAGTATCTCATGTTGTATCTCACCATCATTGTGAATGGGGGAAACCTCAGTAATTTTCAAGGTTTAAATAAAGGTTGATGATAATGATAATGTAGCCAAGCAAAGTGCATTTCATACTCCAAATTTGACTGGAAAGCAAGGCAGCTTGCTTGATTCTCAAACCTGGAAAACAACATAACAGCATTAGAGCATTTGTGCTTCATCTGGGAGGAAAATTGCCACTCTGTGAATATGGTGAATACTCTCCTCTCCTCCACACACACTCAATGGCAGCACCCACGCAAGAGCAAACAAGTGGGTGCACTAATCTCTGGAGACACGTTAGCTGAACACTGGTAGGACAAAAAGAGTTTAATTTGGATGCCAAGCCCTCAAGCTACAGACCAACACCATAATCAAGTAAACCACAGCGAGAGGGAGAGAAAGAGAGGCAGGCAGACTGGGAAATGAAGAGCGAGAAACAGAGAGAAAGACTGAATCTACAAAACGAGAGAGAGAGAGAGAGGAAGCAGAGAAAGGAGGAATGTTATGTGCAAAGACTTTTATCAAAACTTTGTGCCTTGCCAAAATCCCTGCAGGGCATTGATCTGGACTGTGAGGCCTTTTCCACGAAAGTGGATGCTGCAGAAACCCATTTCAGTGACTGAAGTACAGCCAGTCTCATATTTCTTCTTCTGCTTTGATACAGGTGGAGAAGAAAATAATTCATATTCGATGCTTGTTCTGAAGCGTAACAGCTCAAGCATGATGTGATAATGGCAATCTCTGTGTGTCCAACTCAGCATGAAGTAGGGAGAGTTCCCACATTGTGAGGCTCGCCAAACTCACTGCCTCTCTGTGGGTGCTGGAGATATGTGGAGGAAATCTGATAGACAGTTAAAAAAAGAAAAAAAACAACAAATCATCCTACCAGAAGAAAACTCTATAGAAAAGTGTGAGAAGACACAAAATCACATGTTTTATAAACACAGACCTATAAGTACTTTCTCTATGATTTTGGTATCCCCACGTTTTCTCCCAGAACTAATCCGAGAGAAATGTGTCGACCAGTGTAGAGTAATTATGGAGTTGATTTTAGACAAGAGTCAACCGTGACTCAGCAAACATAAAAAAAAAACTAGAGATGTTCTGATGTCATTTTCTTTTTATGCCTGATACTGATTTAAACTCTGAGACTTGAGTATCAGCAGATACCGGCAGGGTTACCTCTGATAAACATTTTAATAATAATCAAAAATACCAACACAGTTAAGGTGCTGATACTAATACTGACCATGATAACTTACATACAGGAATATCCGTGGTGTAATGAGCTAAAATTCCTCTATACAAGTTAGATTTTGAAATGGTGTTGAAATACATATTTACCAAACTCTCCTGAAAACTTAGTGATGCTGCAAGGAAATCTTAGAGAGACCTCGTTTTATGACTGCATTTTTTCTATTCTTTGCTTTTATATTTCATCCATGAGCAGCAATAACATCTCATTGTTGTAATTTTCAAGTCTGTCTGAGACATTTCAGACAATGCCAGGTTCTAGCCTGTGTTTTAATTGGTAACGCTAAAATTACTCTTTCTTTTACTCAAATTGCCCACAAAAGCGATTCATTACAGACCTTAGACCGAAAAAGTTCAGTTACAGTATAATGACTCCTTCACCTCTCTTTTTCTTCTTTGTATAATCCTCATTGTATTATTATCCTGAAAGGGTGTTTTTAAAGCTCATGTGAGGAACTTTCTGATTGTGTTACTTTTGGTGACCCCAGTGAAAAGGGCATTTATTTTTCTTATTTTGTCCTCTAGACTGCTGACAAAAAAGAAACTCCTCCTGATGACTTTTTACTGTTGAATGCATCATTCACTGTTTTTTTTTTTTTTTTTTGTAAATGATTGACTGCATAGACCAGTGGGTCTCAAGTCCAGTCCTCGAGGCCCACTGTCTTGCATGTTTTGGATGTTTCTCTGCTCCAACACACCTGATTCAAATGATCAGCTCGTTATCAAGCTCTGTAATGGCTTAATAACGAGCTAATCATTTGAATCAGGTGTGTTGGAGCAGGGAAACATCCAAAACATGCAAGACAGTGGGCCTCAAGGACTGGACTTGAGAACTACTGTAATAGACTTTATATAGAATGGACAGCATCTGCCTTCTCGCTGGGTGAAGCCACTCTGAGAACAGGACCCTGGTGACTGGCTGAAGTATAGGTCATAAATCCCGCCTCCTCCAGCAATCCCTATGGAGCTGTGGACAAACTTTAGAAATTAATCAGACAGAACATTAATTCTTTTTCCCCCTGCTTGGGATGTTGACATGTAGTTTTTATAAGACTGTTTTGTGCTCAAGTCCTCTTTTTTTCTGTACATCTACGTTTTTAAAAGTTATAACGGGGTTCATTTTTTTCTATGATTGACATCTGATACAGCCTATGGGCATAGGAAGACTGCATAGCTCACCTGGGGATACGCAGTTTGAGCCAAGCATCAACACAGTGGCTCTCTGCGACTCTCCCGCAGAATGCCTACAACGCTATTGTGCAAGTGGTGGAGTGCGTATAACATTTTTTGTACAACGCTACTGCGCATTGTTGGTTGCAGGAAATGGAGAAAGATGTAAAAATCTCCAGTCTTTTCTCTTGATGGTCTTGTTTGCTTTTGAATATCACAAAAAGACATCTATATGTATTCCAGTCAGTTTTTTCAATATCAAAGAACCCCCCACAGGAGCTTTAAATATAACAATCCCACCTCACAGATGTGGACAAAAACAATATATTGAATTTATAAAGATGTGTATTTGACTGCAGTCTTACTGTTGTTCTGTGTTGCAGTTTTTCTTTGTATATGTGCAGACTTGATGCTTAAAAGCAATTCCACCTTTAAATGATAAAACAGGTAGCCTGCTGCCATAATGGCACATCCATGCTCTCCACTCCTCCTCCTGCTCTCTCCTCCGTCCAAAAAGGGGAGAAAGGAGGCTGGCTTTGTTAACTTCATGGGCTTGACCCCCCCTTGCTCTCTTCAGTCCTGGGTTTGGGCTGAGAGGAGCACACGCGGTGCCCTGACACGGTTCTCATCGCAGTGGCACAGTGTGCAGGCGGAGGAGCTGCGGCTGGATGTTAGAGGAGCGCGGGAACAGACGGCAATAATCCCCTAATGTGATGAAAATATCGGACAAGTTTTGAAAACAATACTCCGGGATAAACTAACATACTGAGGGGGAAAATCTGCCATCGAGATTTTATATTGGAATTCGGAATTAATATCATTTTTTGTCAACAAGGTAGGGAGATTGGTTACTTTATTGAATGTGAAATATCAGGAAAATATCAGTTTTATCTCAGTTTTTGTTTCCTTTTCTGGATCCATTTTCACTTGATAAAATGTTTCATTACAGATATCATTTATGTGACTTATAAAAAAGGTAAATTTAACAGATTTTCATTAAGTGGGGTACATTATAGCGTTTTATAATTGCATTTATTAACTAGTGTGATGTGTTTCTAAATTTTAAACTACTTTTTAACCTTTTTTGTAACATGTTGAAAAGTTCTGTAAACCAATTTTCGCACTCAAATTTATGTTTAGTGTTTGCATTGTTAATCCATCAAACCTTCACTATTGTTCCCTCTCGTTCTCATTGTTTTTATACCAGGAATATTAGGCTACATAGTCAATCAAATCCAACCTGTTGCACGACGCTCCTGATGCTTTTATTTACCTGACAGCTCTTACCCTGGACTTCCACTAGATGGCGCAGCGAGTCTCCAAAGACTTATCTGCGAGCAGTCATTAGTGGACGAGATAATAATGAAGTAAAACGGTTCTTTCCATTCACTTCACCCTCAAATCTGTGAACTCTTACGCTATCTTGAGATCATGAACGCAGCACAGCTCTCTTTTTATCCCGCTCCTTCATCGTCATTTAGGGGTGAATAATTACAGTGAAACGTGCCAATCAAGTCACTCAGTTTGGTACACATAAGCCTGCGCTACCCTCAAATCTCTGCTCTGTATACTCACAGTGTTCTGATTAAAACGTGTTGTGGAGGATTTTATTTAGCTGCAGAGTGATTATAGCTTTCTCTTTCCTCGTTTTTATTTTGGCACAGGGTAGGATACCAAACAAGCGTGCACTTTCTCATCTGTGGTCACCTTTCTGTCCTGTGCTGATGACGTCACGTCCCGCCAGCGTCCACTGCCTTGTGTGAGACATTTGTACTGGCATATTTAACGAAGCCAGGCTGTGCTGTACAAAGACAAACAAAGCAGTGTCTGACCATGAAGCCAAAATGATGGTCTGAATCAGTCTGTTTCCTGACCTGAGTGCCTATTAGCTGGCCTGTGGGCTGCAGGCCACACCTGCTAGACTGTCTGCCTGTCTCTGGAGCTGTCTCAGTGTTTAAGGTAACAGCTTGGTCAAAATTCAAAGTCATATTTCCCTGGCGTGACACTCTCTCCTCAGAGGGCTTTTGTTTTGTAGTATAGTTTAAATGGTCCCTCTCCGTCACATTTTGACCTACATTTTTACCTCTGGATGTTATTGTCTCAGTATGGTTGATGATAAAATTTGCTGATTGCTCATTTTGCTTCCCGAAAAGGCTCCCATTGTTTCCATCCTCTATTCATAGCCTACTTAAAACTGGACCAAACTCTGGAATAGTCTGCATACTTTGACTGAGGCTCCCCTGCCCGCAGGCATAGATGCTCAGGTCAGCTGTCCTCCTGCTGTTGACTGATTTCTCCCCCTTTTTTTGTCTTCCTGGATCGCTCTGCTCTCTGTCTCTCTGGCTTAGGCCCTCATCTCTGCACAGTCAGAGCAGCCTGCCACCACATCCAAGCTTGGCGGCAACAGAGAAGCTGCCAAACTGTTCCTTTTTTTAGGGATAGCAGTCACCAAATTACAGCTGCTGGGGCAGTTAACTCCACCCGAGGTCTCCTACCGGACCCGCCCAGTACCAACTAGAACACATGAATGTGTGTGTGTTTGTGTGTGTGTGCTTGTGCCAGTCTGTGTGTGTTCATATGTGTGGAAGGAAGGCGACATGGCATAAGGAAATGAGGGAGGTCAGTCAAATGAGCAGATCCATTTGGAGGTGGGTTCGGGATTCTAGAACAAAATATACAGTCGGTTTCCATTCAGTACATGTGTGTCTGCGTGTGCGTAGGTGTGTGTGTGCATGTGTGTACATGTGGGTCAGCTTGCTTTCCCACCAACAAACATTTATATGAGTTTTACACGCCTTTTTTAAGTCTCAGGGTACATAACAGTGAGTGTCCTGCACAGAAAAACATGATGTGTTCAGGAAACTGCAATTACTCTGCTGGAAAACAAACATCCAATGAAGAAAACTTAGATTCATCCTCCTCAACACAATCTGAAGACATTTCAGATATTGAGTGCTTTGTCAGCACTGTTATTTCTTCTAGCGACTATGTTCACTTAATGAGAGCTGAGTGTTGACGTGGCGGCAGCCAATACACCAGCGATGTGGCGCCAGCTGGCACTCTCGGTGAGCTCTGTGCCCCACCTTAGCTCTGCTGACTCCCTGCCAGAAGAAGTCAAAGAGCAGAGCTACTGCTCATACATAGACAAAGTAAAATGATCAATATTTTGGGCCATGATTGATTAGAAGGGTTTTTTTGGAGACATAGTTGAGATCAGCCTTTTTTAGTATTCTCACTGAGCTGATTTGAATGATACTGAAATTCATATATGATACTCAGGTGGTTCCTGGATGGGAAGCTGGAGTGATACTTTTTTCTCGCCTGTGGTCATGGGAGACCAAACTCTGAGTGTTGTTTCTTGGGTGCACAATTATTCTTGGCAAACCCAGAGAGCATATAGTTTAAACATACGTTTGTTTAGCTTGACAGGGGGAGAAGGCCGCCTCGTGGGAACTCTCCTCACATCAAAGTAATTGCGGTGGATGTGAGGTCTGACAGGCACCCAGCACTTGATGGATAGAGCATATAGGAAATGTAAAGCTAATCTCAGACAACGGCTGTGGGAAACTCAAACAACTGATGCTCTTGGTTTGATTGTCACCAGATGGTGCGTTCAGGGACACAACAGCTTTGAATTTTCACCTATTTATTCATATACATCCATCTTGTAAAGTTATTTCTGTTTATTCTGTCTCTATTTATTCACCCTGAGTCTAAAAGTAAACCACTGGAATTTACTTTTTCTCAAAGGTGTCTGTCTTTTGGTGCTTGTTACGACAGATTTAACTACCTTTGGGGTTTTAGATAGGCATTATTATAAAACTGTGAGTGAGAGAGCACAAGCTGACACACCTTTGATATAGGAGGGGGTTTCCTCCTGTGTTTTTGAATGATACAGAGGCCAAAAACTTTATCTTGTTGGCTTCAATCTGGCTAAAAATAGGTGTACACCCAAACATTTCACCAGAGTGTGATTGCTAAATGTCATATTTTGGAAGAAGGGGCATTAACAATTAGTCCTTTTTCGGGGGTCATTATGAGTGCAAGGCACTGATTAAATGTATGCCAATGCTGTCTGATCCTTTACTTGAAAGATTTGGCTTGGTTTAAACTTCACATCAGGGACAAACACAGTGAAATGGACAAGAACGGCCGCCTGTCCAGCCATCTTTTAAACCACTCTTGGCTTTTGGAAGGAGCCGGGGAAACAACGATCAGGATTGTAGCCCTTGTTTGCCTTTGTCTCAGACCGGATGTGTGACTGCTTAGAGCTTAACTGGCAGAAGAGGACAGGAATTTGAACACACACACACACACATACACACTAGGGCCTGATAAAAGTGGTTGTTGTGGCTGGAGAGGCTGCTTTATTGTGGGATATACAGTAGTTCAGTCTTACAGGCAGGTTGTGTTTAGCGGAGACTTACAGGCTTTTCCTGGATGATGATAGTCTGTCGCTGTTCCTGTCCTCTTTTTTTTTTAAGATCATCTCCGTCCTCTGCAACATTTTTACAGACCGGGTTGACCAGTAAAAAACGGCCGCGCTGATTAGAGAATGAGCCCCACATTTTTAGATTTACTATGAATGTTTACCTTTCTCATTGTCGCGCAGCACAATTTTCAGAAATTGTAGGTGTATAAATAAGCACGGTGGCGGTGGTGTCTTCTGTGTATATCCAGCTCATTTGTGTGTTTGCGTGTCATTGTGTGATGCTGACTATATATGCCCTCGCTGTGTCCTTTTGGCTGCATTCTTCTGGCCGAGCCAAGGCCAGTGGTGTTTTTTCTTCTCTGTAAAATGGTATAATTTGGCAGCTATTTTTGTTGCAGAAAGCAGACTGCAGGGGCCAGTTATTCATGCTTCCAGGCCAGGTCCACATCATGCACAGACTCTTTGTTTTACTGATTTTAATTTCCCTGAATAATGATACTTTTATAACTCCGAGTACAGTGCATGCACCCTAGGGACACAGGGGACTGCAAAGGGGACTTTAAAACAAAAACAACCACAGAGAAAAAAAATAAGATTTTGCATGTGTTTATTGATAAGAGTCTGACAGTTTTAAGATTAAACTAATAAGATCATCCCCACATTGCTGGGGTGTGCAATCTTTGCTTACATACTCTGACTTCTGTGTGTTTTTGTTCAGGCTCTACTTTTGTAATTTAAAGGATCAGTATCCGTTTAGAGAACATTTTTCATGGAGTGTGGTATGAGAAGCATTTCCTTCGGCATTGAAAAAGCCCCTTCAAACTTTATTTTTGCGGCCTCCCTTTTTTTGCGGCGCTACTAGAAATAACCCAGGATATAAAGAGAAGGGCAAAGATCAAGAGAACTGTTTTGAATGTCTTCAAAAAGCAGATCCACTGTAAATTTCTAAAGTGTCTACTTGAACCTTCCCTCCTTTTATTCATCATCAATCCTACTCTTTCACAGTTCTCCTTCTTTTCATCCATCTCCAGGTCCTATTAATGCTGACAGCCAACATTTGCTTTCCCTCCATTCCATGACAAACAAAATATTATTCCCTCAGGATCCTTAAACTTCCCTGAAAATTCTGCTTGCACGCTAAAACGTTGGCATCGACGCTTTCTAGCAGCAGGATTACAGCGCCGGAGTCACAGAAGGACTTAACGCAAGGTTAGAGATTACTGGGTTTTAGGTCACCCAAGGGTCTAGTGTAGAAATGGGCTGTGGTTCATAGGATTTGCTACAGGTCAAAGGTCACAGCTTCCTGCAGTAATGATCAATTAGCCCAGTCATTATTTGTTTTTCTAAGAATGAGATATTAGGTCGAGCGGCTCAAGTGTTTCGTCAGGTCAGCGCAGAAAAGGATCAGGAGAGAAAACAAACAGACGCGCACATGCTAGCATGTCTGGTGACCTCAATTAGTGGCTATGACATCATGGAGTCTGTGTTTCATGACATGCAGGCGCATGTACTTTCACACAGACACACTCCCACTGCCAGTTTTTCCTTGAACTGAATGGTGGCTTTGTGTGACTGCTCAGCTGCAGGAATAAAGTTTTCCACAGCTGAGGCGATGTTCTCGACACTATCTGATTGGCTGGTGAGGAAAGACTCGCTCTCCTGGGGCGTGCAGGAAGCAGACAGTGACATTTTGTCACTTGTGGTTTAAGTGACTCTCTTTCCCACAGTTGAATCCTGGAAATGTTCCCCGGGGGGAATGAGTCCATTTCTTCTCCTCCTCGCAGGCCTCTAGCTCCTGCTCTGCCTGTGAGGGAGCTGTGGTTTCAACAGAGGGGCTTTGTAATTAAGAAGAAGCAGACCATTTCATAATATTCCAATGTCCATTTATCACTGACAGCCAGTCTCAACTGAATCCCACATGCACCTGGCTGGACTGACCTGTTCAGCTCTATAGAGGCAAAGGTTTGCTGTTACGGTCCCTGCTTCTTTTAAACCTATATGCTTGACCAGCATTTGTCCAAACGTGGACATTGAAATCAGTCCATGTACCTAAAGAAGAAAGCGTTTGGTGGATTCGGTGGATTAGGACAATGTTTCATCAGCTGAAAGATTTGGTCGTTTTTCCATCTGATTCCATACAATTTGGCTTCCCTAGCAACAGGTGGAGTGTCACAGTCTGTATGATACATAAAGATAGTCTCGGCAATTTCATGTCACCCATCGGTTTCTGAAAAGTAATTATGAAGTACTATAAAGGCACCCCTTATTTATGCACAACTCTTTGCCCTGATGTAATCACAAGGCATTGGTTTAACTATTGCATGCGTCTTTCTCTCCACCTGCCCTCTCTCCTCTATCTCTCTGTATTCCTCCCCAACCCAGCAGCAGCCTGGTGGCTGTCTAGCATGAGTCTGGTCTTACCCAAGGTTTCTGCCTGTTAAAAGGAAGTTTTTCCTTGCCACTGTCACTCATGTTAGATGAGATGGGCCAAATCCCATCTTAGCTTGGGTCTTGATAATTCATCAAACAATGATGAATTATGCTCTTTTTCTTTGGAAAGCGTCTTGGGGTGACGACTGTTGTGAACTAGCTTTGTATAAATAAAACTTGATTGATTGATTGATCATGTGGAAAAGAATGACACAGTTTTTATTCAAACAAAAATTATGAAATTACGCACCATTTAAGTTTTTGTCATTTGTAATAAATCTCTAGTTTTGTGAAAGAAGACCCCTTTTTAAAAATCTTTATTTCGAACAGAGTTCTTCAGTTGTTTTTTGAGTTTTGCATGTGTAAATGTCTCAAGAAATTTGCAAAGAATCAAGTAATCTTAGAGCCTTTGGAGTCCAGGGCAGTCACGTTTTCTGACTTTTGTTTCGCCATTTTTGCCAAACTTCATAAAAACAGAGGAAGAGTGAAATGCGAAGGTAAGATTGACTGAAACCTCTCAGGGTTAAGGAAATATACAACAATAGCACCAAAGATTTACTCAAGTAAAAGTGGCTTTAAACTTCAACGATGAAGCAACTTAAAAGAAGCATTCAAACCCAAATGTTTCTAGATCACATTTTGCTGTTACAAAACATCCAACCTGCATTATTATAACCTCAATGAGCGTGAGATTTATTGCAGAAGTTTTTTAAAACTACTATTTTGAAGCTCATTCCTCAATAAACTGACTGTAAGGGTGTGTAAGTTATTAAACAGAGTTGTCCTTGTTGTCTTCTCAGGTGTGTAAATTCAAGATGTTGCCACACTGCTGCTTCCTGTTGTTGCTCTGCGTGGCTCGGCTGCTCTCCCCCTCCTCGGCCCTGCCCTTTGAGCAAAGAGGCTTCTGGGATTTTGCCATGGACAGTATGGACAGCGACAAGATGATGACAATGATGAGGGACGAGGAGGAAGGCTCGGCCGTGGAGGAGATCTTCCCCCCTGACATCCACACGTGCCCCTTTGGCTGCCACTGTCAGCTCCGGGTCGTCCAGTGCTCCGACCTCGGTCAGTGGGAGTGTGTGGTGCTTTGTCATCATTTATAAGCTGGAGTGTGTGTGTGTGTGTGTGTTTGTGTGGAGCGAGTGAGCATGACCCGAACTTTGCATGACTCTCATAGCTCCGGGGGAATGAAGTCCCCCCTGTTTTGGTGAGCGAGGAATTTCTTTCTTGAGATAATGCCGGTGTGTTTTGACAGGGAAAAGCATGCCTTTGAGGGATTTTGTGTTCCAGACTTTGTGTGTTCATACTGGGTGGGAGAGGGGAGATAGTCTGAGAAGACAAGAAAGAAAAATAAAAGAGTCAAGAGAAGGAAGAAAACAAAGGGGTTGAGATGGAGGAAGGGGAGATAGAGGAGGATACAGTAGCAGACAAATAGAGGGGCTCTTAAATATGGGGATAAAAAAAGTTAATCATTTCCAAACTGTCTGTGAGGAGCCGTTTCATGTCACTTCTGGGATGTGGGCAGGATGTTTGATGGAAACCCAAAACAGGAAAGCAGGATGGAGGGATGACTGAGTTAGTTTGGAGGGATTTTCAGATGACAAGGAGGATTAGGAGTGAAGGATATAACTTATGTTGACTTGAACAGCTCTTTTTAAGTCAGGACAAAGGAGAAAGGATTATGAACACTTTAACAATGCTTTTTACAGTCTGCCATTGACTCGATATGATCCGTGGATCTGTCACATCATACCGGCTGTGTGTCTCTAATAGGCTGTATGTGTTTAGACATATTGGTTTTGTTGAATCATCGTTTTACAAGCTCTATATATTTACTGTCTCTGGTCTTGCTGCAGCGGGTAAATGTGGAAGCATATAATTTCCGCGATGTCAAGTGCTTATTTAGAACAGATGTATTTTCGCGGTGGCGTCTGTCTCCTCTCAGTGTGCATCCCGGCTTTATGCTGGGTGTATGCGTCGAGGGGTGCTGGGGTTACAGAGGGTGCTACTTTTCTCAGTTTGTGGTACAGGCTTTGAGATTTGCGGCAGATACGGTCAGAGTGCCGTGGTTTCGGAGGTCTTAGCAGGTTAAGGGATCCGGTGAATGAGGGTGTTTGGTAGATGTTCCTGCAGGTTTCTTTTCATGTCTGGTGCAGGGATACAAATTTGAAAGCTGGCAGGATGCATGTGGAAAGCTGCAGGTGTTGTCTGCCAGGTGGATATTTCCTACCACATGAATGCACCTGGTAACATCCTGCAGCTCACAGCAGCTGTAATAACTTTATTACTTAGAGGACGAAATCACAGAGGTGAGAAAGAGTTTGGTTTATAATTTAAATAAAGTATACCTTGGTTAAAACCTTTTATCTACAGCTTAAATTAATTTATATCTGCTCCTTGAAGGCACAATCCAGTTTAATATCTCAGATCAAGTCTCAGCTCTGTGTGGATGTGGCTTGGACAAAATGTCATGGCGAGCTGATGAGGGTTTGATCCTGTGTGGTGACATGGAGGGTGTGGCACAGTACAGCCAAAGCCATATATCTAAACTTAACTCTGGATGGACAGCTCTGGGTAGAGCCCTGTGGGTCAGATGTGGTTTGGTGGCAAACTGGATCCCAGTGGGACAGCTGGCACCCTCTGTGTCACCACCACCGACTTTGGTTGCATCACGGTCTCGGTCCAGATGAGGTCGCAGGATTTTGCTAGCAGCGGCCTGTCTGCTCCATCGACCACATCAGATACACTGGTCCACGTGGCTCTGTGATGTGGTGTCGTTAACAACCTCTGGTTTCTGTGTTTGTGCGTGTGCTGCTGAGTCACTTTTTCAGAGAGAGTGGAACAGTGCAGGTGGATTTCTTAACACAAGACATCTGTATCATTTATGAAAAAAAACTCCGAATTTTTTTTTTCTGTTAAAAAAAACTCAAATTGAGAAACTTATGCTGGAAATCATCTTCACCACTCACACGGCTTGTATTTCTCTCTTTGTACAGTACGTGTCAGCGTTGTGCCAGACTCCCGTTCATTTTAATGTGTGATTTTGCCCATGGTATTTAGTGCACATCCTTTGTGACTTCTGTTTAATAGAAACCAGATGGAAAACATCTGGTGTCCCCATCTGTGTGAGAGGAATTTATGCATTTGTGTGTGTGTGTGTCTGCGAGTGAGTGAGTGGAAGTCCTTGTCACAGTAACAGAGCAGTAACACCAGTTCTGTGCTTCATCCCAATATGAGATGTGACAGTCTAAAGTGGTCAGTTGAGACTGTGTGGGAGTTTATTTGCTTAATTTTTAGACTCTTAAACACATTCTTATTATTCATTTTCTAACATATTTAAGCGGCTCTATCCCTTCTCTTTAGGTCTGACTGAGGTGCCGAAGAACATCCCTCTGGACACCAAGTTCCTGGATCTGCAGAACAACCGTATCACTGAACTTAAGGAGAATGACTTCAAAGGCCTCACTAATCTATACGTAAGGGACACACACACCCACACACACACACACACAAACTCTGTGGTCACATTTATGCTGTTCCTCTCAGCATTAAATCAGCACCTCTTAAAGATGTGTTAGCTCAGCTTATATTGGCTGAAGTAGTGTGAAATATCATTATGACTCTCCATTTCCTCTGAAGGGTTATTTCCTTTCTTTTTTCACCCTACTTCGCCCAGCGCTCTGAGAGCTTTAATTGTATTAAGCCCGAGCCTGGGGCCAAAAGGGAGTATTCAAGCTCTCATCCTTGCTTCACTTAGTCAGAAAGGCTTTTCTCACTCTTGACCTGCATTCAACAGCACTGACCAAGAGCAATATTAAGTCTGGCAGCTGAGGAAACTCAGACATGACATTAAACAACAACACCTCTATTTAGGCCTGTTTATATTAGCTTACGTCTGTCTCCATTTTTTATCCAGCACGGCTGAACAGACAGTTTGTGTTTAGCCGGATCTGTTTTATTTCACTCAACTACGCTCAACAGAAACAGAGGAGTCAAAAACAAACACTTTTCTATTGGTATACGGCTTAATTTATTCCTCTTTCCCCAAATGTATCATGTTTAAAAAACAAACATGACAATCAAGTTTTAAAATAAGTGAGCATTAACTCTTTTTCCCTTATTTTTTTCAGGGTCTGTCTCTGAGGAATAACCATATTTCTAAAGTCCACCCCAGAGCTTTTGCGCCCCTGAAGCACCTGCAGAAGCTTTATTTCTCCAAAAATCTGCTGACGACCATCCCGAAGAACTTGCCTCCCTCTTTGGTTGAAATGAGGATCCACGAGAACCGCATCAAGAAGGTGGCAGCTGGGAGCTTTGCAGGACTGGGCAACATGAACTGCATAGGTCAGAAATGCTCGATGACTTCATCAAATCCATCAAATCTAGAGTTTTCAAATGTGGTGCTTACCGCTGCAGTTGCCTTGGTACACCCCTAGCATTTCAGTTTGAAGATTAAAGAGACTTTATTTTTATTTCATGCCACAAATATCCCCTTCATCTCGCAGAAATGGGAGCAAACCCTATCCAGAACAGCGGTTTTGAGCCCGGAGCTTTCAAGGGACTGAAGCTGAATTATCTGCGCATTTCAGAGGCCAAACTGACAGGAGTGCCAAAAGGTAACAGCTCACTTCAAAAGACTGTCACAGTGACATCTGATCCATCAATCTGTTATGGATTAGTTCAGCGTGTTAATGACTTTTTCATGTACTTGGAAGAAAACATCCTCAAGGCTATACATCAAATATGATTACATTAAAAAAAAAAAAAAAACATCTAGCCAGGCTCCTTACGAAGGAAAAACAATCTACTCGCCCACGCTGGCTGCAGTAGTTCCTTACAGAAGGTTTCTAACTCAACTTTTGAATTATTAAACCTTTTTGATAGTGCATAATTAGGGATATAGCAACTTGTGTGTGCTGCTAGCTAACCAAATATTACATGAACTTCTTACTTTCAAATAATCTTCAATATAACATTGCTGTGTTGATGCAGTGAGCTAGCTGTTTCTGCCTCCAGGTAATGTTGGTTTTCTAACATTACTTGAAGTAGTAATCATAGTTGGTGCTTCATATTGGGAGTTTCAGCTTACTGAGGATGCTAAGGAAGGTATTAGCAGGGTTGAGGAGGCCTGAATTATCCGGAACTCAGCAATCAGGACTCATGTCTTGACATTTGAGATTCAGCATCCTTCGCTAGTTCCTCCTCTCTGAGAGGAGAAGTTGGCAGAGGTAATAGATGATTTGATTCAGGTCATTGAATTGGTTTCAGGAACATAGTCTTGTCTCTGAGCTCTCTGTGCCACACTTTAAGAAAATCTCTCAGGGGATAATGCTGTGTTCAAGTTACCGCCGAAGTCAGAAGTCCGAGCTGGGAATGACGTCACACCCGAGTTACCAGAGTTTCAGTTACCAAGTCGGAAAAAAGCAAAATTGGAGGTGGAAACAAGATGGCTACATCTACGAAAGTTATTTTAGCGCTAGCCTTGTCTGAGTATAAGCAAGGACAAGGCAAGCGCTAAAATATCTTTCCTAGATGTAGCCATCTTGTTTCCACCTCCAATTTGCTTTATTCTGACTTCGCTGGTAATTGGGTGTGACGTCATTCCCAGCTTGGACTTCTGACTTCCGAGGTAACTCGAACGCAGCGTAAGATAAAATGTCTCTAGGAAAAAAAGGTGTTGCTGTGGTAACAGGGACAGACTGGTATAGGACAGAAAAAGTGATAGTTAGGGTAAGTCCCTCTAAAGTAGAACCTTATGAATATTGTGTTGAGCTTTCAGATCTCCCAGATAGTCTCCATGAGCTTCATCTGGACCACAATCAGATCCAGGCTGTGGAGCTGGAGGACCTGAGCCGCTACAAAAACCTGTACAGGTAGAGCACATTTTCACAAATCAGTGGTTTAATTATGTCTAGTCTGATCTCTTGCACCCTGAGGAGATTGTCTTGCATTTTGTGAGGAATTACCCCGTGCATCCTAAATCATCAGGGCTCCTCAGGGGAGATACTGAAAAATTACACTGACGTCTAAGTAAAAAAAATACCTGTTAGTTCATGCTTGTGTTGGCTTCTGAGTCTGATTGAGATAATAGTTTCTATTCTCTTATACTGTAGCTAAAATAACTTTCTGCCCTGTAACTTGCTGAATTCTTGAAATGGGACTTTAAATGGTTTTTCTTAGAAAAAGCACAGCTTGCTTTTCTCCTCTGTTCCTGTATTACACTCTGGTACATTTAAGCTGTCTTTTAACACCTCTTAGAGGATAATTTATTATCATGGGAGTATGGCCAGGCTCTTTTGGACCTAATTTTCGCTTGGCCTAATGTCCCTTTCATACAAATATATTTATCATGGAATTTGGAGTTTAGTTTAAAAACTTAATGCACTGTGAAGTGACCTGTTTTCTGTGTGTTATGTTTTTTTCCCCCTTTTCTTACTTTTTCCAGGTTGGGTCTTGGCTACAACCATATTCGTAATATAGAGAACGGCAGCCTGGCTTTCCTCCCCAGGCTGAGAGAGCTGCATCTGGACAACAATCGTCTCACTCGTGTTCCCAGAGGCCTCCCAGAAATGAAATACCTGCAGGTGACTCAAACTGATATAACAACATTTTGTTCGCCATTTTTGTCTTGATATTTAACCTGCTGCTGCACTCACAGTTGACTTCGCCTCCTCTGCTTTCTAGGTGGTGTACCTCCATTCTAACAGCATCAACCAGGTAGGCGTGGACGACTTCTGCCCTCGAGGATTTGGGATGAAGAGGACGTTCTATAACGGCATCAGCTTGTTTGGTAACCCCGTCAACTACTGGGAGGTGCAGCCTGCGACGTTCCGCTGCGTCAGTGACCGGCTCGCCATTCAGTTTGGCAACTACAAAAAGTAAAGACAGGGCGAATACTGAGAGGTGGCGAGAGAAATGAGGAAGGTGAAGAGGAGGGCGAGATAATTTAATAAATAATAAAGAAAACCTGAGGGAGTTTTGGAGAAAGCTTGAGTGGGACTAATGGAAAAGAAAGAGAAGTGAATTTCACAATCACATAACTTGAAGGGAGTGGAAAACAAAGCGCTTGCAGTACTTCAACTGAGTTTTCACATTCTTGAATTTTATGGTCTTGAAAGTTTTGCCATGAAAAGTGGATCGAACATACGAGACTGTCTCAGAAGAATGTTTTCCACCAGCCTATAATTGATTTAAAACTTGTGAAGCGTTTCATTCCATATTTTTTACACACATTAGCGCTTTATTTGATAGAGGTCATTTTTGTTTTATTAACATACTTCAGATAACACGCAAAAAGATAGAAAAGCAATGCATTGTAGAATTTTACATATACATAAAGAGGTGCTCTGTAAGATTTTATGTGTGTTTTAACTTGGGATTACGTCACATTGTGCCTTTTGGTCCCTAAACTGTGATTTAATTCTCCAGTCACAGATTTCAACAATTTTCCACCTTTAACAGATACAAAAATGGCATAAAATGTTCAATCAAATATCCAATTTTTGCAGTTTGCAAACATTTTGTATATACTATGGCAGTGGATTCATTAAAATTGCAATATGTACATTGTTTAAATTCCCCTCATCAGTGCTGAACATCTCTTCTTTTCTTCATTTACCTAAGGAAACTGAACCACCAGCGTGCCTGTGTAAAGAGTCTATTCTCTGCCTGTACTAATACCGTGCTGTTTGTATGATTCCTTGAGGGGACACTGAGTTAGTGGGGATTTGCCCCAGTTAGTGAAAACACACTCATGCTTTGCTTTGACACGATGAAGGCAGTGTGTTTACATAGTGCTGCATACTAAAGTAGTGTTGTTGCATTATTTTGCACAGATTTCCAGTTATGCTTTTTCTGCTTCAGGGTTATTGGAGGGTTAGCCTGTTTACATTAGTAAACTTATGTGGATCTGTTTTAGCCGTATAACTATCCTGTCCTGTCTCTGTTCTGTAATCTGACCAGCAGCTGCATGTGAATAAAGACTTTTTCTTTAGCCTGCTGCATAAAGCCGGAGAACAAATGATGCCCTTAGGTTGAATGCTGTGTTAGGAATAAAGAAAAACTGAACTTGTATAGGACATTTTGAGTGCACATTTCATGATGTAAACACATGAAACTCACATACATTCCATGAATAAAAACTGATCTTTTGAACGATGTTGGGAATATTAAAAAGAAAGATGTGTTTATATAATTTTTAGACAATGGAAATGAGGTTACCAGGACATGAAAAGGCTTTGAGATGTCCTTAAATTACATCTGAAGACATGGATTTAAAAAACATTAAATCTGATATCCATAAAAGAAAAATAAAATCAGAATAGTGATTTTTAAAATCTGGCTCATTGTGGCATTTTTGCACAAGAATACTCGCTAATTTATAGAGACACTCTTCACTTCAACATATAGGTCATTTATCCGGCCTTAAGATTTCTCTTCCTCTCCAAGTCCTTTTGTTTTACCACAACCTTTAAATACTTACATGCCAAACTACACAACCCATTACACAAAAAGGGAGGGGATTGTTAGAAAATTCTAGTGAAAAATATTATTCTTAAATCTCTATGAAGCCCACTGCAATGATTTGGATAATGCCTTTTTCACTGGCAAAACAACATTCAGATGACACGTGGTAAATAGGGGAGAGTGGGCTAAGTTGAGCCACCCCTTGTTGCTTGGAAATGGTAAAAGATGGTGTCCAGACCAAAAAAGATCATTTAAATTTTGTGTTATACAACAATTGTGGAACGAGCCATAAAAACCTAGCACAAAAGTCCACCATTTTAGCTTAAAAGACTAATAAAGTCATCAGAGTAGTTCTGGGGTAATTTGAGCCATTTGGCTAGGGGCTGGGGTGGAGAGTTTGTGTTACTCGGGGTAAGTTGACCATAGGAGACCACTTTTTTTTAGCATGCTATTTTATCAAGACAGTTATGTTTACACTCATTCTGTTGGTTTGCAGGGATTCACAACATCTTGAAATATATGCAGACACACTAGTTAGAGATAAAACTATGATTGTCTTGATGTAGTGATCCCAAATATGAAAAATGTCTCATCTTAACCCACTCTCCCCTATAACTCAGCTGATCTGCTCTGAACTTCATGACCTCTTCAAAAGCAGGTCTGGTTATGTGTTGTCCTCTTGGTGTTTCTGTCTCTTAAACACAAAGAGATGAGGCATACAGGCTAATTTGTAAGATGAAGTCATATTTTATACTTTCTGTCAGTCTCCAGTGCCAGACATCCACATTTCTCTCGCTTTTCAAATGAACCGCTCTTGGCGTCACCGCGGTGCGCCGCCGCCGCCGCAGCCCCCCTGATGCCCCGCTACTCTGACAGCTGATGGGGAAGAGAGCGTTTGTCTGTGTTGACACTGGACCGATATGCGGCGATGCTCTTGCGTGTGAAACCGTTTGCAGCGGTCTCTAAGCAGCTACCGAGAGATTTCGCCTCGGATGAGAGATTAGGAGCTGGCGGTGGAGGAGAAGAAGAAAGTGAAGAAAGGGGGAGGAAGAGGACGAGCGACCTGCAAGAAACTGGGGAAAAGAAACTGGCATCTCTCGCTCCATCGCGTCTGCTTGGTGGCAGCAGGCCCGTCGACTGTAAGAGGAAACCGGGGGCTGGATTTAAAATGTCGCAGGGAAGAGCTGGTGAGTCGGCTGGTGCTGTGCAGCTGATCTGAAGCCTCTTTACACATAAAAAACAAGCGAATTAAGCAGCATATCCTTTGTTTTCCACAAGAGAGATACAATTTTTGTATGTTATGTCGAAAGATTGTCACAGTATTGCTTTTGTTGTGCTAATATTGCACACGAGTGCTTGCACAGGCCTTTGCACAGGAGATGCAGATCAGCTAATCACCTGCACCGAAGGCTATCTGGAGACCATTGATAACAAGGCGCTGTTCCTGCCCTAGCTGCGCCTATCATTTCACAAGAGCCATAATGTTACAGGAAAATACAGGCTAACATGAGCCCCTGTTATCATTTTAGTCGCGCAAAGCTTTCCTATGTAACCGGGTATTTTATCAGGGAACTGTGATATTTGGTTAACTAATGTGCAGACACCAGCTTTGTTCCACAAACGCCCCATTAACCCGAGAACACTATCGCTAAAATTAGTAACACCATCACTATCACATCACCGGGGGATTTTTACCCGAAATAATATACCCAAGAAAAAGTACTTGACATCAAAATATATCAAAATAGGACAATACATGACAAATTAAAGTAGTTTTCTTTTATTTTTAACTGTGCAGTGTCCAAAGGGAGGGTCATGAGGGGACCATGTAAAAATGCAACAAAATAACTAAAATTAGGCATTCATGAACAAAAAATTCCTAACATAGATATATATTTAGAAACTGTAAACTTAGTCTTCTTCCCTGGTGAAGACTCAGGGTCCTTGGCACAATAACAGCTGCAGGAGAGAGAACCAAAACATGGCAGATTTTGAGTGAATAAAAATGACCAGCTGACTCAAATATTTCTTATTACCATATGAATCCTCTTGAAAATTACTACTTTGTGATAGTTATTCATAACCACTGCGCTAAATAAAGATAGCATGCAAATTCCAGGATCACTCTTAATGACCTTATTCGCCCACATGCAGCTATCAAATCCACCCAAACCTACTTCACCCTCTATCACTATTGCTGGGTGGCAGTAGCTCAGGAGGAACTGGAAGGTTGGCGGTTTGATTCCCCCCTATCCTAGCCTGTCCGTTGTGTTCTTGGGCAAGACACTTAACCCACCTTGCTCCCAGTGTGTGTCTTCCACTGGTGTATGATTGTGAGTGTTGTGTGGTGGTGGTCACAGAGGCCGTAGGCGCAAAATGGCAGCTTTGATTCCGTCAGTCTGCCCCAGGGCAGCTGTGACTACTAAGGTAGTTTACCACCACCAGGGTGTGACTGTGTGAGTGATTGAATGATGTATTTTAAAACCACCGAACACGTGCCTGTAGGAAAAAGCAGGTTTTGGATCAGGGAAACAAATAAGCCTTCAAAGATGTCAAAGGCAATGCTGAAGCTACCCAGGGACCCATGATACTCAGACAAAAGCAACATAATGAAAATCATGTAAACATGTTTGGTCGGGTGAAAATCCCCCAGCGATAGTGTTCTAGGGTTAAAATGTCACTGCTGCGAAGAAGCTAGTCTAAATAAAGAAGCTAACGTGGCATTTGTTCATGGCTGCTAATCATTTCAGCTAACAGGAGACTACACTAAGATAAAGCTGCTGGTGTTTTATTTCTCAGGGTCTCTTTGTGTTTCACAGGATGCTTGGTGATGAAGGCAGAAAGAGAAGGAGAGAGTGGAGTGAGCGCTTCCTGGTTCAGCACCCATCATCATTAGACCCTTGCAAAACCAGGTACTCTAGTCTATCCAGTTGTATCTAATGAAAGTAATTCATTTTGGATCTGAACAACTAATAATTGCCCTATATTTTCCTCAGTGAGACGGTGGTCAGGAGGTGATGGCAGTACTCAGTGAGCTTCACTACCTCTACAACCCATTTCTAAAGATGGACACCCCCCTCCTGCACGCCTGAGCTGACCTCTGTGTTGCCTCCTTCCCTCCTCTCCTTCTGCCTCTCCTTTCTCGTTCCCTTACTCTTTCTACCTCCTCACCCCAAAGCACTAGCCCAGAAGCACCCCTATCCTCTCCCTCCATCCATTATCCTCACATCGAGTTCTACTGTACCTACATAGTCTTTCTTTACAATGGCGTGCTGTGGACGCTCTCTGGACTCCCCGTGCACACTGGCCTTGCTAGTGGGCTTCCAGTTTGCCTTTGTTCTTTATTTCTCCCTTGGGGGCTTCAGAGGCTTGGTGTCAGTCTTAGTGCACACCACTGAGCCAGAGTTTGATTACTCCCGACCTCATGACGTCTATACCAACCTCAGTCATCTGGGAGTTCCGCCTCCCCCACCTCGCAACTCTGGCACTGGATCCCCTGCTACAGGACCACCACTTAAGGACTGCCAGATCCCCTCTCCACTGCTGGGTAAAGGAGTCATGTTATAAATATACCGAAATAAGCAATACAGACATCTATTTTATTAAATGTCAAAAATAATCAATGAACCTTTCCCATTCCTTTCCTTTAGTGGGACCTGTCTCAGTCCATCTTTCATCCCCTTTGACTCTGGAGGAGATCCGACAAAGGAACCCGTTAGTGTCACCAGGTGGACGTTACCGGCCTCCAGACTGTGAACCTCGCCACCACACAGCAATAGTGGTACCGTACCGAAACCGACAAACCCACCTTCGCGCCCTCCTCTATCACCTGCACCCCTTCTTACAAAGACAGCAGATTCACTACAGCATCTACATCGTACAGCAGGTGAGTGTATTTCAAGCGACAGCCTCTGCCAAAAAAGTAAATGTAGGGAGGCAGAAAAACACAGTTATTCAAGTGTTTACTTGAAGCTGACTTATAAAGGAAACTCATCAGAGACTATCTTAAAATGTTTGTATCGTTGAGGTCAGTCAGTGGATATTGAGCAAGACATAATTATTCACCTTTATGCTTTGGTTTGATGTAGAAGAAAGAAGGTCTCTGTGTAAACATTCACTGAGCAAACCAAAATAAAGCAGTACTTGGCATCATGACAACAGTTACCATGCTAAAGTATAACAGTGATTTCAGAATCTCTACCTCCATTTACTTGTGTACAGGAGGTCATAACCCAGAAATAATAACCACATACAAATCCACATGTAATGAGGCCTAAGAGTTAGATGTAATTAGACATAACTGTTCGCATGGCTAATTTGATTGACAGGTGTACTGGTCTACCTTGACTCCACCTCTTTGCAGGTTTAGTTGGAAGTTGGTCACCATTACCAATATGGCAACCACCTTTGATGGTAGGGCTGGGCTGTATGGCCTCAAATCAATATCACGACATATTGAGCAGTTCACCTCGATAACGATAATTGGACAATAACTACTCCACCAGCTGCTCACCCCCTCCCACATTAACTTTGACTACTTCAGCCGCCGCTCCAGACGCTACAACTTTTGAACCATCCTCCATCTCCTCACCTGTCTTTCCCTCTTTGTTACGGCCTTGATGGGGTGGAGTCACGTCTCTGACATAGGGCAGCGTCTTAAAGGGACATGAGACCATAGCCTCTCTACATACATCCAAAACCAACTTTTATTTATTTTTTTGACACTGAATATACTGATATGGGCAAAATGACATTGGTTATTGTCCTAAATGAAAAAAACATGTTGTTGTGCTGATGTCAAAAGTATATAACTAGATAAAAGTAGTGCCGTATTGGTTTGTTTTATGCTGTATCACATCTACATATTGTCCCTTTGCCAGATGTGATGGAGTGTTCAAGACATGGGGTATTGCTTTATAATGAAAACCTTTCTGTCTCTGTTTTTGACCTCCAAGTGGGGGAATGGTACTTTTAACCGAGCCAAGCTGCTGAACGTAGGGGTACGGGAGGCCCTCCGCGATGAAGACTGGAGCTGCATCTTCCTGCATGATGTGGATCTGCTGCCCGAGAATGACCACAACACTTACACCTGCCATAAGCAGTTCCCCACACACCTGTCTGTGGCCATGGACAAGTTCAGATACAGGTAAAAATAGCATGACGTGTATGTGTGCGTGGCACTTCTTTGGAATTGTTCCGTGCTGAGACTTACTTGTACATTGGTGATATGTCCCTCCAAGGCTGCCATACCCGCAATATTTTGGTGGGGTGTCTGCGGTGACACCAGACCAATACATGAAGATGAATGGCTTCCCTAATCAGTACTGGGGCTGGGGTGGAGAAGATGATGACATCGCTGCAAGGTGAGGATGGTGAAGGGCCAAAGGGTCCAGATCCCACAAAATGACAGAGTGAGCTGTGCGTGTTTACACGGGTTCAGCGTCAGAACTACGTGCACGGCTATTTCAGCCTCTCTGCTTTTTGTACTCTTGCTCCGCTCATTCATCTTTTTCTTGTTTGTTTATGGTTTCCACACCACATGTTTTCTTTTTCGTTGAATATTATTTTGTTCCTTCTAACATCATCTGTCATCTTCACCTCCCCACTCTCTGCTGTGGCTTTGCTGTGTGTCTCTTTCAGAAGGCTAAGTGAGTATGTTCACGTGGAGCGGCTTGCAGATTTGGGCTGGGCTGGGTGCTTGAGAGTTTATAGGCTCATCTCCTTTTTGCACTGCGGTACCCTCTCTCCTCCTCTTGCTCACTCTGGTTTACGACTTAAAATAAATATCATATACTGGACATTCACTGCATTGCTTACACCATTTTTGAGATAGCTGGGGTGGTACAGCAGCGCCAGAGATGGAAAGAGGGAACCACAGTGTTTTCCACCGCCTATAGGCCATAAAGTATGTTATTCTCATACGTCACCCACAATTCTATGTTTCCTTTCTTTATTTCCTGCCTTTAAATTTATCCCTTAGAGACCAGATCCACTCTTGCTGTTGTTTTGGACTATTAAAAACAGTGCATGGAGAGTGAAGTGCCAGGCTTTGTAGATCTAATATTATCCTTAGTCTGAGATTCAGTGGTCCACTTTTACGCCTCTAAATAAGAATCTGCTGTTCCTGTTGACCCCAACTGTGCTGTCTGTCCAGAGTGCGCCTGTCTGGCATGAAGATCATGCGCCCCCCAGTGGCCATTGGTCATTACAAGATGATCAAGCATAAAGGAGATAGAGGCAATGAGCAAAACCCGCGCAGGTACGGATGTAAAAACACACATATCGTACAAGGCTGTTGGATGTTCTTAAAGTATGTTTGCAGACTTTGCTCTATCTTTTCTGTGTGCCATAATTTATCCCGGCTATAATACCATTAATCTGGGTAAGAATCTGAATTATGCTAGCCTCTGTTTCATTCTCCCCTTTTCCTTATCATATTGAGTTTGAACAAAAATGGCAGTGTCATTTTTGTAGACACACTGCTTTGTGTGGTGTTGGCATTTTCCACTGCACGCTCTGTTGAGCCAACTATTTCTGCTGCCTCAGGCGGCTCTCTCATTTGTTTTCCAATTTAGAGAGGACATTGCACTTTCCTAGCCCATGATGCTCTAAATTTCTTCATTATAATAAAAAAACAACAACAAAAAAACATCATTATCAAGACAAGTCCTGGCAATTTTGCTGAAAAGCCAAAAGACATATTCCCATGAGTTTGTATTTGGATATAAATTGGAGTAACAGTTTGGCATTAAGTGTGGCGTATTGCCTTTTCTTGTGACATGGGTATTTTGACATTTAGAGTATGTGTGCATTAGGGTTCTTGCTGTAGAGAGCAGGGGGAAATTGATGTTGCTCTAATGCTTACATGTTGAATATAAAGCTAAGTAAGCAGGAACTAAACTCAGCTTTTTATCAAGACTGAAAAGAGTCTGTAGATAACACATCCCACATACCAGCACCTTTAAGGCTTACCCTATGTCTTATTGTGTCTTTTGCAGTATTTGCAGTGTCAGTTATAGCTTCATAAAGGGTATAGATGAAAAAACTGTAGGTGTAATGAATTGAAACAAAAACTCATAAAAGTGTAGAATGTAAAGTTGGCTAACTGTTGACTGGTTAAAGCTTAAAACAAACACTCATGTGGTAAATATATATCTCTTTATCTGACTTTTCATCTGAAATTTACCAATTCACCTACTGTGTTTAACTATTTACTCAAAGTTTGACCCCAAAACACATCCAAACCTGCAATTCTATATCCGCTTGTCTAGATTTGACCTCCTAAAAAGGACCAGACTCAACTGGCGCTCCGACGGCCTCAACTCTCTTACTTATGAACTCCTCTCCAAAGAGCTGGAGCCTCTCTACACCAACCTCACCGTCAACATTGGAGAGGATCCCCGGCTGCCCCCTGGTAAAGTACCTCTCCTCGTGAAAACAACAACCCCTGTTCACCAACGTAGCATCAGCAGCAAGAGCGCGAACGCGGCCAAACAGGAGCGGAGGCAAGAGAGCAGAGGGGCCGAAGCAGGAAATGCGACCGCGCTCAAGTCGGTCGGTGACAAGACAGAGCCTGCTCGGTCGAAAGCAGCAAATCAAACAAGACAGGGGAAGACAGGTGTGATGAAGTAGACCGTGGTGCAAAAATAGAGGGCTGCATCACATCTGTAGCGTAAAGCAGTGTTGGATTGTGGGACTTGAAATACACCAGCTTGTTGTGCTCAGTGCAGGTTATGCGGTGGATCAAAGGAAGAAGCTGCTGCAGGGGTGAACGCAGGGACACCACTGGGTCACCTGCTGGTTGATCATCTACTGAATGTGACTCTGGTTCTACTGACGGACACGGGCCCGCAAGTTTGGAGCCAAGAAATCAACGGTGCAGGAGTAGAAGTCCAAACCAGCTAAACGAAAACGAGACAGCGACTGTGCTCTTTTTCAGACTTTGTAAACTGTAAGCAACCCATCTGCTGTTGTTGGGCAGACCTGCAGCCTCATCCAGTTCGCTCCTGAAAAACTGCTGCTGTCTGTCCATCCCACTCCACAGTGGGTTTGTGTTTCCGTGCCTTCTCTCTTTTAATGCGCATTTTATAGACTGGTAGAGTTGCTTTACACGCTGATCCGGGGTTCTTTTTCTTTCTTCTCCTGCAAGTGTTAGGAAAGTGGGGAGGCTCAGGCTGATCCTAGACCGGAACTAATGATTTGAGTCAGGACTGCCGTTTTATATATGCGCGCATCGATCAAGCCCTGACCAACTTCAGCCGATATAGTTGTCAGACAATTCTAGAGTTTATATTTATATCCAGAGACTTCTTTATTTGTTTACTGAGTTGTTTCCTTCCCTTAAAGTCTGGTGCCTCTCTGACATTTAGTTTCTAGACAATCAACTCATATGGGAAAATAACTATGTATCCAAACATACCCACGTAACAAAGTGAGGAAATATTATCATGACTATCTTTACATAGACGTGGCATGATAGTTGTTGTCTAGCTTGACTATACTCTTGGATAGACCTGTGCTTCTGATATCTGTATTTTAATATTTTTCTTTTAGAATTTAGTCAGGAATGGAAAAAAAGAAAATCAGACCATATTGTAGGCACATGGATGCATTTGCCAATGTCAGATAGTATTTACGATTAAATATAGTCACAGTAAAGGACTGTGTATAGATCTAGGCCAGCTAAAAAGCTTGACATCTTCAGAATGAGTCTGAGTGTATTATGAAAGACCATGGTTAATCCAACAGATATAAACAAGCATCTGCCTCTTCTTGTTAGTTTTTTTTTTCCTGCTAGATGCAGCTTCTGTGCACACAAAGAAGAAGGAAATGTGTGCCAGGCAGAGGATTAATAGTTTTACTCTTAGGCCTGCCCAAATTAGGACGTGCATGTAGGTTATTTATGTAAACAAATCAACTATCATCTTTTTTTCCCTCTAAGCTAGAAGCCACTTCATTTCTCAGAGATAATGTTAATTTTCCGTATCAGCCATGAGGAATGTACTCTTCGTGTCCTCATCCTTGTTAACGTTTGAGTTCATTTAGAGGACGAGGTATTTATTTTGAGAACTCGTAAGATGTTGGGTTTTTTATTTGCTGCTATTTGACTAAGGAAATGATCAATTGTAAAAGTGATCAGCTTGAAAATTTTATGTATAACACTCATTTTGGAACTGTGTTTTATCATTACAGGTAATGCTCACGTGTTGAAGTTGAATGTATTTAAGTTATTTATTTATTTATCGACTCATTGATAGAGCTAAACACAGACTTCTCTACTTGTAGGGGTCTTCATTGACTAACATTTATGTGATAACTCCATGTTCCTTATGTTAACATTGTGCCTCATACCACTGGAGGATAGAAGACATTTTTCTGGGTTACATGTGAGTGCCCTCAAGTGGCTAAATCTGGCATAGCGCCAGCCAAGAGGAACTCAGGACTGAATGAAACTGCAGCGTTGTGACTTGAATGTTAAATATTAACGTTGGCCATTCACAGGTCCCAGCCAATCAAATCTTTGCATTGCTCTGTTTGGAGGGCTGCTTGTGTGCGTAGAATCACATGATTGATCCTGCCAAGCTTAAAGGTGTAGAGCAACTCTCCTCTGATATTAATGGTAAACGGAACCAAAAACTTACAATAGAAGTGTTTTATGAACCGATCTAGTTTTATAGGAGTTTATGTTTATGTCAAATCACATGATTCATGTTTTAAAGCAAGAGTGCAGTACAAAACAGATTATGTCGCTATGATGGGAGATAATGAGGCCTAATTCCTTAGCTTTATACGACATAAAATTCAGTTGCATAACAACAGATAATATATTCTCCATTTATTATATTGCCTGTGATGATGCCTGTATGATACAGAAAGCTTTTAAGGACATTATGTAATCTCAGATAAGTCGGCAAACTGTGTGCATACCTGAAGATTGTTCTATATTTAATAAATAGGCTAGTTTTTATAAAGGATGTAGTTGCAAATCCAGTAAAGTGGCTTGGGATTTCTCTGTAAGGATTTTAATTTAAAGAGGTCATTTTATCATAAGTTGTTTCTGTCTATAAACACATTCAAGAAGTGCTGCTGAGAACAAACTGACCGGAAAAATGTTTGTTTGTGTGTGTGTTCACTGCATATGAGACATATCTAATACATTACATTATATATTATGAAGAAGTCTGATGTCTGTACCTCTAGTTTTCTGTGGTTGGCTTTATTTACTGACCTTGTTCTCAAGATGACAAAGAGTATCTGCGTGTGTGAGTGTGAGTGGGTGAGTGCATGCTGGGTGTTTGTGAGCAAGGTCTCTAAAAAAAGGCAACAGGAGCAGCTAACTCTGGTTGACAGTGTTGTGACAGAAAGCAAACGTCTATGAATAAAAAAAGCACCATAAAAAAAAGACTCTTCTTATGTTTTCTATTAGTATTAACCAGATACATGCGTGGATTTGAATGCAGAGCTGTGAAGATGCGTAAATGAACATTGTACTATAAATACATTTTAAACAACCACAGCGATGCACTTACTTACTCCCCCGCAACACCCCAGGCCCCTTAATGAACATAAGCTTTAGCATTCTGATTAATGCTGCTACTGATGCAAAGATCAGATGTTCATGCTGGCTGGCAGATTGACAGTCATATACCATCACCAGCTCTGATGTTTTGGTGATCTAAACAGCACAAACCTGTTACATCACCCCGTGTGTTGCAAGCCTCGCTCTTCTATGTGGGCATAAAGAGCAGGATTAAAAGTTGGTTATGAGATCATACCTATAAATAGACAGTAACCCCCAGCGCTGTATGTTCGATCTGTTTCATAATCTAAAATGCTGCATGAGTCACAGAGAGACGGGAAAACAAAAACCAAGGAACTGGGTGGCCAAAAAGAGAGCACCTTATAACCAATCACAACACAACACTAGTTCAGACTTCAGTCTCACATGGGACCATAGAGTTAAAAGAGAGTTTCAACAGTGTTACTGCCTCCACTGCCTTTTCTGTTACAGTATAGTAGGTTGCAGGTCAACAGGTCTCTTTATTTTTTAATTTTTAATATGTAATTTTTCCCCAGAGTGCACAGGTGTTGCTTACAGGTAGACTATGAATTTTTTTTTTTTTTTTTACTGTTTATCAGCTAAACTTTAGAGATTCTGTCATTTATTTTTCCTAATCTTTTGAATATTAGTGCTGATTTCAACCAATAACATTGTGCCATGTTTATGTAGCACTTGAACTCGACTTGACTTGAACTTGCAAGGTTTTCCATTGCTCACCTTCAGCTTTCACACAAACACACAGACCAAAGTGCTTCATACAGAAACAAACAGAGCTGAAGCAAGAATTATATTCAATTTCTGAATGTTTCTCCAAATCTAAAGCCAAAGTAAAAACATTATATTCCCACAAAATCTGCGCTTAAAAGAACAGTTTAAAAAAACACCCCCAAAAGAATAACCCTTTAATGCCCTTTGTATGGTGTTTGATACATACTTTTATATACTTCTAGCAAATCAATATGATCAACAAATTACTAAAAACACCTGAATACAGTCCAATAAATGATAAAAATGTCCTCTTATAGTTTATCAGTTTCTGAAATCATCTAATGTATCAAATGAGATACATAAATATATTTGTTAAATTTTAAGGACATTTAAATTTTTGGGGGTTTACAGTGGTAAGTGAAATAACCATTTCAGCTACAAAAAAATTAAAATTTTTTGGCCATTATTTGTGGTGTCCAGCGTCAAAGGGATAAACCCAGCATTATGCCTCTTTATGTGTATCTCTAGACCTAATGTTATTAGATGTAATGGTGTATTGTCCTTTTTTTTGAGGCGTCACACCCGGACATTTTTCTCTGATGCTGTCACTCTACGATGGCAGCAGTGACAGGCTACTTTGCGCTTCCCCTCCAGTAGATTGACACACTGGCCCGCCGCAGTGAGCTGGGCAGGCAGAGGCAGAGGGCTGAGGCAGCCTTTAGTCACCTCATGTTACTGTATGGCCTATGAGACACAGCTGACCTCTCACACCCCCAGCAATACTTATGCCCCCTTAGTAAACACACAAACACATGCAGACAGGATGATATTCCACGAATGGTTGCACAAGGATGCTCATTATAACTGCGGTACTTAGCCTGATAAAAATAGACACAGAGTAAGACAAAGAGAAAGAAAGAAAAGCCCTATTGTTTCGTGTACAATACATCATTAAATTTAATGCATCTGATGCACAGGCCGGTAATTGTAACAGAGACATATTATGGAATGAGCTTGCATTGTACACTCTTTTATAAACATATGCTCAAATTTGACTAAAATGCTAATAATATAGAGTGTGGGCTTAAAGATATGATAAAATACAATATAATACGGTACGATATGATACAATACGATTCGATACGGTACGATATGAAACGGTACGATATGAAACGATACAATATGATCCGGTACGAGAATGATATGGTATGATACAATACAATATGGTACGGTAGTGTACGATATGATATAATATGATATGAGACAATACGATATGGTACGGTATGGTTCGATACAATACAGTATGATACAATACGATACAATACAATACGGTACGATACGATACGGTACAATATGATCTGATATGATATGATAAGATACGGTACGGTAGTTTACGGTATGATATGATACAATACTATATGGTACGATATGATATGATACCACATGGTAGGATACAATATGGTACGATACAATGCAGTAAGGCACGATACGATACGATACAATACCGTACGATACGATACGATACAATACGATGGGTTACTTTACACTACAATACAGTATGGTAGGATACGATATGGTACGATATGATGCGGTATAATATGATACAAGTAATATGTATTAATTTGATGCAATATGGTATAATACAGTGTGATACAATATACCATGATATGATACAATATGATACCATACCATACACTTTATTGCCCCCTCGGAAAACACCATACAACTTTGTTAGTGGCAATAATAAGAAGACTATGACACTGTTGCACAAACCATTTTGCTTTTAGAGGTTAATGTTCATCCCTGATGGTTTTCTCCTAAAAGTTTTAGAGTAAATCTTAAATTTTCAACCATTTCCAAACACAAACATGAGCAAAATTTGGCTGATGCCAGTATTTAAGCAAACATAAGTGGTGATATGACGTCAAAAAGATTATAACTGCTTAAGGGGGATGTTTCATGTCTCGGTCATGACAAAGAAATGATAGAAGGAACCTCAAATTGTGTTTCAGCAGTCACTCTTTCAGTGCGAATCATCGCCACGCGTCAATGTGAGTATACTTGATAGTAGGTCAAAACATTTGGTTATATAACCCCTCTTGGTGTTCTGCTCTAAAAATCATCAAATCAACTGATATGGGGGCAAAAAGGATCTGAGAGGATGTATCAAGTTCCTGAGGCATCACACGCATGGGGGGCTAAATAATGAGAAGGAAACGGGATCAGCCGTCAGGGTCATCAGGGTTGGGCTCCCGTTCCTGTCTCATCCCACGGCTGCTCAGCTGTTCCTGTCATCCATATTTGCAGCCTCAGTGGACAATTTTCTCAGCCGCGGGCCTTCTCAGTGCTCACAACAACACATAGATCAAGTGAATTAATTCTGCTTTTGTGGCAGCGGGCTGGAGATCTAGGTCACGCAGTCATGGCTCTTTTTTTTGTCACCACCTGAAGTCATGTCAACATCCTCCTAACCTCCTTCACAATCTGACCTTGACTCTCCCAGGTGATTTTCCACAGAGGTATGTGTGTGTGTGTCTGTGAGAGACAGCCAGTCAGTGTGTCCAGGCATGTGTGTGTCATTGTTTTTGAGGTTATATGTGTGCGTGGATGTGTGTAGACATGTGTGTACTCATACTATTTGTAGGTGACATAGGTATGATGGGATGAGTTATGAAAAAAACTGCTCCACCGTCTATACTTAGGGCTGGCCTGCAGCTATGTGTGCATGTAGGAGACGATAGAGAGAGCACAGGAGTGGATGTGGGAGGGTGAGCAGAGTGAGAGAAGCAGAGGGAGGATGACAGAGAAGGGAGTAGGGTGGGAGGGAGAGGAGAAGAGGAGAGAAGAGGAGAGGAGGAGGAAGGAGGGGGGGTACTGTGACGCACGCTGATCGTCTCTGCCTGCTGCTGATTGGCTACTGCAGCTGCCAGTTAGAAGGAGCTGGGAGTCAGGCACTGCTAGGAGAGCAGATTATGAAGCGGAGCTCGACCAGCGGCAGTCTCCTTTCATTGTCTCAATGGCTGCACACGCATTCTTCCTCTGCTCCCTCGCCTTGCTGTCTGCTCTCAGCCGGCCTGGGCTCTCCTTCACGGAGGAAGAGTTGCAGGTGGGACTCACCTATGACGAAGTGCCTGAAATCCTGGACCGAAGGTAAAAATCCTATTCACAGGGGTGTAGAGGAGGAGGAGGAGGAGGGGGGAGGGGAGATGCAGGCAGGGATGCTGGGATGCTGATGTGTTCTCTGAGGGTCTTTCTTTTTCCTCCAATTTCTTCTTTCTCTCCATCTCACCTTGGCTGTAACAGTAAGTGTGAATGCAGGCAGTGTTGGTGTTGCACAAAAAGAGAGCAGGGCTGCAAGGCTTTGTTTGTCTCAGTGTTGGGGACTGCATCAGACGCTGCTCATCGATCACGGATGGGGCTGTTGTCTCTATACAGTAGTGTTGGTCTGGCAGGAGGAGTTGAATTAGGCTGAGGCAATGGCCTGCAGGAGAGGGATAGAGAGGGGGAGTGAAAGAAAGAGGAGAGGAAAGGAGAAGGTATGAGGTAAGGTAAACAAGGATGGGACGTGGAGGAGAGGAGAGGAGAGGATGCATCAGGGCTGGTCTGCTGGGGTCTGTTTACTGATGCAGTCATTGAGAGAGAGAGAGAGAGAGAGAGAGAGAGAGAGAGAGAGAGAGAGAGAGAGAGAGAGAGAGGGGAGAGAGGGAATTCTAGCCGGCCATGTCTGCATAATGCACATGCAGTCCTGCAGGTCAAATCTGGATAAAATATTCAGCGCTCAAACCTGGAGGCGCTCACAGCAGTGTCACAGGGGGGACGGGACTGAGCAGGCAGCCAGGACCTTTGCCTTAGTACCAGGTTCTGCCTGCTTACAGAGACATCAGGGCAAAGAGCAGTAATACTGTGCCAAAACCATGTAAGGCTCTTGAAACTGTGCCATGCATGGCGGCTCACACAGTCCTCCATAGGGCGAATGATTCAAAGCTCTAATGTGCTGCAGTATCTGACACAATGTCCCTTAATCACTGTCAAACAATTTGCTTGTTATGGCACTTTCAGGACAGTCTCACACTCTGGAGACTGACAGATTATTACAGTCATGCTTTTGTTTATTACATAATCTTATCTTTGTGTAAGACACAGATAGCTTGGATTTAAAATTCAATATACAAAGTCTCACAGGGTTTTTCTCAATTCCAGTTCAATCTTGCGTTGGAAGATCCCTGACAGATCCCTATCTTAACTTTTCACCGCAGTCACTCCATCACGGGATGACTATGGTTATTTCTCCGGGGAGCTTCAAGCCTATATCCCCCGGATCAAACTTTGTATGTAAACTCTGCAACGTAACACTTGCAGTCCCCAGTCACAGCGCCTGTTCTCGGCTCTGACACACTCCAAGATGCTGTTATATAAGAGCAGCCTTTCATTTCAGAGGCCTTGCTGGGTGCACATCACGCAGAAGGAAAGGTACGAGTGAGTTAGAAGCCTCTAGTGCCGATAGACATGTTGTCAGGGGAAGATAATAACAGGAAGATGTGACTTTCTTTTGTATCTGACATGTTGCGCTTTGACAGTTATGGAACTGGACAAATAATAGGAGCTAGAGGCTGTGCAGAGTTATTAAAAATAGTAGTCAAAAAGGACCGAAAGCTCAGTTATGTATCTCTCTGCCTTATCGTCTTAACTTAACATTATCCAACTACTTTCTAGGAAATGCGGTTGAGGTGCTTAAATATCTTTCCAAGAAATAAACAACAACAACAACAAGAAAAAACGCAGCCCAGAAGGTTGTGTATAACACATTTTTATATAACTGTTATGATCTACATGGTTGTAATATTTATAAGACTCTTCATGCGTAACACATTTTTGCTGATGAATGGGAACATGATCCAAAAAGGGCACAGATTAGGAACCCTAAGTCGAAGTTGTCATTTTGGAAATGACCTCTTCAATCATCCGTTCTGAGACCATCAACAGTAAAAGATAGAGACTCAGAGGTACAGCACTGGAATGAGGTTTTACAGCTGCTGTGTGGAGATGTTTGTGAGTGTAAAAATACATGGATGTTGTTGTGGCGAGCTTTTTTTTTTTATATAAGACTCTATGAAATGGCAATGAGAAGATATTATTCAAAGCTGTTTACAAATGTCGATATGAGTTGCATGAACATTGAAAAGCCTAGATGGCAAAGATTCAGGGACTAGGATTACTGGATAACATAGTGACACACACAGCTTTTGATGTTACACTTTTAAAACATGTCAGTCTAAATGAGCAACAAATATGAATCAATCTCAAAACTATTTTTTGTACACATGGGGCACTAAAACCTTCAATGAAAAGACACTTCAGTTAGCCTGACATGGTACATTTCTCTTATAATTTTACTTATTAATATGCTGCAATTTCTAGATCTACTATAAGTCATGCAAACTATGAAATATCATTTAGGAAAAGTGACACTTAGTGAGAATAAATGAGGTTAGCACAACTGAACCAGCACAAGACTTATTCATCTCTGTATTTTCACCCGATGTAAATCCACATTTTTTTGCAAATAACAAAAGTGGACGTTTTTTTTTTCCCTTTGAAACAGTGAAGTAAAAAATTTTGAGGCCGTAACTGCATTACAAGACATAATATTGTAAGAATATCTATCCCTGTGTGTGATGAACAGTGTAAGAGGGCGACACGGGGTCAAGTGTATGTCTTAGTGAGCATTTGTTTGCAGCTTTAAAGGTCTAGCAGCCACAGTATGTAGTCAACATGTGCCTGTGTTTATCTTAAAACTGTTAAACACAGACAAAATGAGCTAAGTATAGACACAGATTAGAGGTTAGGTATTGGATTTCTCTTGAACGATTGGCGAGTGATCCCCTTTGAAAAAAAGGCTTAGAGTAAGGGTTAACAGACAGATAATACAGTAGTATTCTTTCATGAAATGTCTGCTGTGATGGTGATTAGAAACAATGTGCTATTCTCTGTCTGACTGTGGTTATGTTAGGGTGCATAAACCACCACTGATGCATCTGATCTCAGAGGAGAAGAAAGATTCAGACAACTCAAGTACTTGACCTGAGGTCAGACACGCTGAGGAGTTGCTGGAATGGCAGCACTGCTCTGAGCGGCATCTTAGTAAACTCCTAGAGCTTAATCTGCACTAATAAATCTATTAATAGGCTAGCACCTGCAGAGCTAGGATAAGGACATGTTTACCTGTCTGTTCAGGGATCCAATAAATTACCAGTTAGTACATCGAGTAAAAGAAACTAGAAAATCAAAATCAAAACACCCTCAAAATTATACTTTCTTAGATTAACTTAATTGAGTAGATCGTTTAATGATAGGGTCTACGTTCAGTATTCACTTAGTTAATATTGTCTTTGTGAGGATTTATTTTTGTGATATCTTGAAGTAAATCTTCATAAAAACTGTGAGCCAAACAGACCACAAGGAAGAAGTTGCGTACTGTACTTGACAAAAGTGAAAAACTAGATTCCTTCTCATGCAACTGTGTTTGTATTGTAGTATGTAGAGGTTCGGACGTGGTGTACAGAGAGTCAGAGTGCGGTGGCTCAGCACTCTGTGGTGGCACAGGCGAAGAGGATTTGTTTACAAGTTTAGAGCGCAGGAACCACACCTTCTCTCTGCGCAGCAGCACCGTCACAGATGAGGGACATAAACAACTACCCATTCACCGGCTTGAATAAGGAGGTGCAGTGATTTATCAATTTAGACACAATGAGGGGGATTAATACTTTGACAGGAATGATTGGTATAATAACACTCTTATATTCCTGTTTATGCATTCAGGACGGTCTCACTCGGGTGCTTTGAAAAGGTGCAGTTTACAATCTTGCATGCACACATTTTTAAGAATATATGCAGAGGGAGTGAGGTGAGCCAAGGAGTGGCTCTGGCATGGCTTTGATTATATAAAGGGCCTGTTCAGCACCAAGGCACTGTGTGACAAGCTGAACCAATGACGGGGCCGCAGCAGTCCTGGGTTGCTGACCTCGCGAAACTGGCACAGGAACAAACGGTTGGGCTTTAGTTAGCACTCACACACTCGTGCTTGCACCAACTCCTCTGGCTCCTCTCAGCCAGATGAGGCCTGGGAAGGTGCAGAGGAAGGAGCGCTTATTCACTCGTATTTGGGATGGGCTGTGGTGCAAATGCAGCTCGAGTGCAATGACACACAAAGTTGTAAAGTGACGTCTGTTGCTGCGCACAGTGTGTAGTGAATCACAAATATGTGAATCAGAATAAATAGATATTTAAGGGGATTTTTAACCCTTTCTCTGCTTTAAGATGAATAAGTTTCCGTATATCAGTGCAGTTGATAAGTGAGCAGCAGCCAAGTAACTCATGCTTCTGAGGTTTCAGTCACAGCTGCCAAAGCCGTAGTGCTTTTGGCAGCTCTTTCATACACATCATGCTTACCCAGCATTCACCTGGGTAAATGTAAATATTTAATAAACTGTCATTTTGTTACCCGTGACACAAAGGAAGGAGACATTACATAAAAGCTTCTTTAGTGGAACGTCTGGGTGCGTGATTGCGTGTTTACACTGGCACAAAAACGCACCCCGTCTCAGGAAGTCTAATTTAGCCAATTATGATGCTGACCTGGACAAACGCACCTGAATGTAGGGTGAGGAGTCTGTACAGAGAGAGAGAGAGAGAGAGAGAGAGACAGCATGGCAGCTCCTTGTTAATCACATCCATGCCTTAACTCTGCAGACAAATCAGGCATTCATCATTAATGGTTCAGCTGCACAAAAGCTGCACTCCTTTCATTAGGCTTAGTGGGAAAACCCTGCTGATTACTCCACAGCTGTGTGTTTGGTGATCAGTCGAAATCAATGCTGTGCTACGTAACAGAAGCCTGCATCTACTATTGCATACCATCAGCTTCTCTTACTGCAGAACCTGATCCTGTGGATGACACCATCTTTTTTCTTACCTGCCTTTTTTTTTTTGTCTTACTCGCTCACTGAGAACATTTTGTACCTTTACTGAACTAAAATCTCAGCAACCTCTCTTTTATTTACGATCAGTGATTACAAAGAGGACAATGCTGAAACAGGATTACGATCATCTTTAACAGAAAATCTATTTTTTTATTGATTTCTTTAAGAATTTGAACATCTAAAAGAAAAAACAAACAGACTTAAAGAGCAAAACATGCATAAAAACATGCAAAAACTAAAATATTATGAAACTTGTTGAGAAATTTGAACACAGATCCAAGATGTTCTTTTTCTTTTTATGGCTAACAATTACACTAATTTAATTAAGTACCCTTGACTTGCTCCATTGGGCTGTCACAGTTACAGTCAAAGGACAGGTGTTCAATGGTTCAGGATGTGGAGGGTTAGTTCAGTTTTATTAATTAGCACCTGAACTGTCCAGAACACTGTCAGCTATGACATCATGCCTTAATCCCCTCATCTCATTCAAGGACTACGCTGCTCCGTATTTGGGCTCCAAGCGGACCTGGCCTGCGCTTACCGCTAATCCTAATCCATTTGGCACTAAACAAAATTTTATTACCTAGGTGGAAACAGCAGCAGATGGGTAGATAACTGCTGCAGACTGCTGGGACTGATACATCTGGCAACCTATCCTAACCCTATCAAACAAAGGACTTAATACCTTATTATTTGTTTGCTTTAGCTAAAGTCTTCTCGCATTGTTTTGGTGTTTGTCTGGACTATCAAAGGAAGTTAAGTTGATTTAAAAAAAAAAAAAAGTCAGAAAGGACCAAAAAAGGATGCTTAATTTTAACTAATCTACAAAATTATGCACAGCTGCGTCAGAGATATTGTGCATGGCATCCACAAATGGCACGGATGAACGAGCCAACAATACAGCCCTTGAGCAAATCAGGGAAAATGTCACAGTGACGTGATCCATCGTCTCCCTGAATCTGGCAAAAACCCAGTCCAACAGTTTGAGATTTTGAGCATGAAAGCCTCTCATTCTTGTCACATCATGGAAAAATGTCTGCTTCACCTCCTAAATTATGACAAAAGTAAAACAGCGAAGTAACTTTGCGTTCGCTTTTTCTATGGCTTGAAAGAGTCAGAATGTATTGTGGTAGATTTTACAGGTTTTAAAGATACCATGGGGAATTTTGAAGTGATTATCAAAAAGATTGAAATCAATACTGATGAGTCTTGATGAGCGACAAAGGCAAACAAAAACATAATTGAGAAAATTAATTATTTCTATTATCATTTTAAATGCATATAGATAATGCACAGGGTATGAGTTAATCACAAACAGCCTTTTAAACTTAGAGGCTTGGCTGAGATTCCTTTCTTTTTCATTCTTATTGAAAATTGAATGTAAATAGACAAGATCAGGAAGGCAATGAGGGCTCCTGATTTGACAAAAGCTACTTTATCCCATCTTAGGTTTGGTCTTGATAATTCATCAAACAATGAGCGTGGTCTAGACCTGCTCTTTTTCTTTCTTTTTTCTTGGGATGATGACTGTTGTGAATTGGCGCTATATAAATAAAATTTGATTGATTGACTTTATCAAAACTAGCATAATCTGTAGGTTTCTTTTAGGAACTTAAAGCAGCTAAAATCCCTTCATTTGCCTTTTTAATTTAAATTTCCTGCTGGATTAGGTTCTCAAATAACTCTAAAATACTGTAACACAGCAAAGGATGAATACAAATCTTGAGTGCTTTTTGTGCGTTTGAATTTTGTGTCCATTTTTATGTCATCGTCTGTCTGATTGTGTATCTCTCCAAAAAGGCTTTTTCAACCAGAGCCCAGTTTTCCACTCAAAACATGCTCTGTTTGGGGCACCAATGGCCTAATAGTCTAAGTGCATCTCATATTTGGAGGTGACCATGTGGCCTGCTCCCTGCTCTCTCTGTTTCTTTCTCTTTACACTGTCCCGTGTTCCATCTTTGAAGATAAACCTAAAAATAAATAAATAGACAACATGGCATCAGTCACAGATTAAGACCTGCTGTGTTTTCTTAAAGTAAACTAAACAAACAGACTAAAGTAGCGCATGTTGATGTCTCACAAAAGCAGTTGTCGTGCTCATTCACACAGATCTTGGGATTTGCCTTCACCAAGCTTATTACAAGTGGCTATTGTGTGGAGATTAGCCAACCAACTACCAAGATCATTGTAGACAAAGGAGGACAGCCCGCACAGTCAGAACTCTGGATTGACCACAACAACAAGCAAAACTGTCCATGTCAGCGCCGCTAAGTAAGCCCATTGCTAGAGCATTATGTCTCTGATTAGACGGTTAAAAGGATCAGGATTAGCTTAAAGAAGTCTGAGGCTACGCAAGGTTTAGTTAGGCCGAGAGGACGACAGCTAGAGGGAACACGTGGAGGGAAAAGAAAATGGTCAGACATCTGTCCCTTCTGCACTATGTAGGTCAGTCCTACATTCAGGATCAGCCATTTAGTAAAAGCAACACACCGTACAAAGACTGAAATACTGCAATGTAGGCACCAGGCAAAACCTATTTACTGGAAAAATCTGTGGGCAGAGGATTCTGTGCTGGAGTGAGTGCTCAGAATTTGTGGAAATAGCAGTCCTGACGTCTTCTGTCTTTTTTATGTTGTTAAAAAATATATTGTCTTTATTCAAAAGATATTGCAATTTTTAGTACAAAAACACTCTTCTTTTTATTGCTTTTTGGGGAGTGCATACATTGTAAAAATTTAACGAATTAAAAGCTACACACAAGATGATCTGTGCATGGCTTTACCAAACTGTTGTGTTAACTATGTATTTTAGTAGGCTGAATCATTCTTACACATTTTGCGGATTTATGAAAACAATTTCTCAACTTGTAATGTTCCTGAAGATGATGTTTTTCACCCTGCAAATCTGTTAATGGTCCCTGTATTTGCTGCAGAGAATTTATTTGTCCTTAAGGGATAATCCTATATTAGCATCCTTGTGCATATCTTAAAAAGCCGTCTTCAATTCCTTGCTTTCTTGCAGTTGCAACACCTTACCGTGTCTTTTCTCTTTTTCCACAGCAAAGTGAACCCCAAACAAGCAACAAGAGTTACATCAAGTAAGTAACAAATGTGGCGTGACACCAGGCCTGATTCAATCAAACCTGCCATGGTCATTTTGATGCTGATGTGCTGGATAGATGCTCCTGACAACTGTTCTTCACTCTGAATGCCGGAGACGTCTTTGCTACATTTTAACACAAACCGATTTTGAAGTGTGGCGTGTGTGTGATGCAAACACCTCAGTGGTGATTCAGAGGTGTATGTGAGTGAGTGTGTGTGTGTGTGTGAGGCTATATTTAGACCCTTTGAAAAAAAAGGCATAAAGGGATGAAGACATTTCTTTAATTTACATGATTAAAATTTTATGTTGCTGGAACAAAATAAGGAGTAAACATTGGATAATGCCACCTTAACCGGGAAACAGACTGCTGATGAGTCACTGTGATGACGCAAAACAACTGGAAATAGAGAAGAGTCTGAGCTCTGAGGTGTATGCAGGATCTAGTTGTGCTTTTGTGCGTCTGTGTGTGAGTGTCGTGTGTAGAGTGGGCTAAACTTCATGATTATGTTGCAATCTGCAATGCAGCATTGCAATCAGCTTAAAATGTATACTGATATAATCTTTCATGGCGCAGTATGTAATGTATGTCTGTGTGTGTGTTTCCAGGTCAAGATGGTGGGTATGGATTACAGAGTGAAGAGGTTATTTTGACGCCTGAAGATGAAAACCCTCTCAGGAGAATACTGCAGGTACACACACACACACTCTCTCTTTGTCTTCCCTCTAACTATATCCACCACTAGGTTTCTATCTTTATCCTCATATACAAACACACAAACACACACACATATACACACTAATGCTGAAATTCATGCACACAAAACAGAGAACTCAGCTGTACTGCTTGACCTTGGTTGTGGGAATATTGTTAGTTTCACTTTCACCTGAGGTTAAACACTCTTGCTACACACACACACATAGGACCACTGGAATGGAAAATTCACCTTAATATACTGTACCAGCTGATGCATTCAGGTATGGTTACATCTGTTTCATAGAGATTAAGTAATTTTTTGCAACAATCTCCCTTAAACTACTGCAACCAATCCAAAAAAAAAGAGAGAGAAAAACATGAAATACACTTTAAAGCAACAGTACATTTCATGTGAAGTAAATCTGGATTAGCCTAAATTCTCTCCAATGAGACATGCCCCTGTAGTACAGAGTGTAAAAAACTAAAGGGGGTTGTTTACATCTACACAGTGCAGAAATGCAGTCAGCTACAACACTTTGATGCAATTTAGAAAAGCTACAGTGCTTTAACAGCAAAGAAAACAGCTGCCTCCTTGTGTAAGTTTTAAAATGAGTTGAAACACAATTTACAGGTACGGTGAGGTCAAAATGAGGAGCTCGATAAAATTACAGCAGATTTAAGAGGGAGGCCTGCAAGGCTGTGCATCAAAGCCAGCTAGGATTGGGACTGTTGTGTTGAATAAATCAAAAGTGCGCGCAGAGTAGACTTTCATACCCTGTAGAAGAGGAATATCAAACTGAAATGGTATGCCGTGTTTTAAAGCACTGGAATACTCAAGTGTTGTCCCAGTTTAATGGCTGCATACTAGACATGCACACTAATTCACCAGACTACTACTCTTCTAAGTCCACTGGCCAGGATGCAATTTGGCTACATTTTGAGGTCAACTTCCTGGTGATTAACACCCAGTAAGACGGCACCCGTGCACTTTCCGCTCTGACCAGGAAGCTCAGCTGAAATGGGGCACAGCTTATAAGATGTCTTAGTATAGAAATCTGATATCCCTCAAGAGGATGACACAGAATGCAAAACCATTTCTGCTTAGTCTTTGATAGCTCGATAACAGCTTTATTTCTATCCTCCTGAACTCCTTATCTTTGTCTGTTTACAGCCTTTTAAATGGCACCATGCAGGGATGTCCCACAGTAAGAGGAAGCTGCTTCAGTCTCTGATGGGGCCTTATGGCCCTCTGAGTGTGTCTTACAATGGGAAAACCTGCATTCTGTTCAAGGCAAAGCGCCTGGCAATCCGGTACAGAAACCATACCTTTATCGACTTGACTGAGCGGGTCTTCAATCCCAACTCACCCGTAGACACAAAAGGATCCGTCTGCACCAAAGAGAAAGCAACGTAAGTCAATGTGTGAAGAGTAGGCACAGAAACATCACTTCTGTTCAAGGAATGCTTTTAGGCTAGTAGCAAGATCTTGCATGTTTATATCACACAACAAAGAAAGAACTGCATTATAAACACTCCAACCAGTTGTGAATTTCTCTGGGTTGTTTAAACGAATCAGATAATTTATGTATGGTTTTGTTTTGCAACAGGCTATCACTAAGATTTGGAGACGTGGAGGATTTGCGGGGTCTAGTAATCAGGTAAATGTCTTGTTTATGCTTATAAGGGTGCAATGGTAAAAATATTCATTCTGAGTAATTTCAGGGCTCTTGAGTTTTCCTTTTTTTATTCATTTATTTTTTTTTTACCTTCGATCATTTTTGTCATGTGTGCCCAGAAAGGAGCAGGAAAAGCAAAAAGTGATGAGCATAAATTGCCTCATTTATAGAGAAACAAACCTCTTAATGAACTATAACAAACAAAACAAATGTGGGCCTTTTGTTGGTCGCCTTGTCATTTTATGGTTTTGATTCTTAAAACACAGTAATAGGAGGGCAACTGGTTTTGACGATAGCCTTCTTGTGTGTACGATTCATGAGTGTACACGTTAGTGTATGTGTATCAGCCCTGCAAAGCTCCACCATGTGGTTAGCAGGGGATGCAGATTTGGATCCTGCATGTTTCTTTTTTAAATTTATTTATCGATATGTTATATTTAAAATGTTATAATCAAGAAATATAAACAGACCTGTTGATGTAAAAGTGTTCTTAGTGCCTAATATGTGAAAATGAGTTCTGTGTTGTGTGTCTGTCCCCTTACTGCGCTAAAAATGTCCCAAACTAAGACTTACGCCAAATTTGATTGTGCAGTTCACCCTCCAGAGCTCACTTAAAATGTATTTCTTTTTCACATTCATTCCTTTGAGCAGTCTGTTACTGTATTAGAGTATTGAGTAAACTAGTTCATGGACTGTGCGTGCATCTAAAGCTGTCTCCTCCGCCAGGCTTCAGATGTCAAACACCTTTTACGAGGCAGCTGGTCAAAACTGGTTCACACTAGACAGCGTTCACATCCACTACAACTGGACGCAGGAGGCTACGTTCAATGCCAGCGAGGTCTACGCTCCTGCCACTTCATCCTACCATTGCCAGCACGTCAGCAGCCTGCACAAATATGACACCCTGCTAGTGCCCAGCTCCCACACTGACACATCCGCTAACTGGCACATCACTTTCACAGATTTCCAGGTACACTATTCCACAGCCTTTCTTGTGCACATTCACCGTTGTATCGTCGTCTATTCTTCCTGTGTTCCTATCGTGTGCATGTTTCTGTATGTTAGCCAGCCATCTTCTTCCTGTTCCTTTGTTCCTTCTGTTTCGCTGTCTGTCTCTCTGTCTGTCTGTTTACCGTCTGTTTGGCAGTCTGTCAATCTGTCTGCACACTCTGTTTAGCCATCTGCTAGGCTTTCTCAACCTGTCCATCTGCCCAATGTCTCTGTGCTTGGTAAGTCCAATAAGAGCTAGTTGTCCTCTTTACTTCATCCTAATCTCATCTTTCCGCCTTCTCTGTGTCCTTTCAGATCCAGGCCTTCAATGTGCAGTCGGATAAGTTCGCGTCGGCCAGTGACTGTGCCACTTTCCTGACGCCGGCTATCCTGATGGGCTTGGTGACCTCTCTGATCCTGCTCCTTGTCTTAGCCTATGCCCTGCACATGGTGGTACACCTCAAGCACATCGACCGCTATGAGGAGCACAAAGCCACTGTCTACTTCCCCCGTAGTCCAGAGGCGGAGTTGCCCGACAAAAACAGCCTGTGAAGGAAAAGGACAGCTGGAGGACAACATGGGGGAAAGAGAGCGAAAGAGAAAGCTGTGAAGCAAAGATGAGGGGATTGCCAGTGATGACAAGAATAAAAAAGTATCCTCCACAGAATATCTGTCCAACAAAAGACAACTTTGCCTGTTTGTATGAAAACCTTGTAAGTCTTAACTACTTTCAGAAAACGCAGACTTTGGTTGGATACTTTTTCTTCTTTCCTCATTGATCTGCATCTTGGCATCCATTTCTAATAAGGCCTTTGGATGTTCAAGCCCCTCCCTGAGAGATGTCCAATGTCAAAGGTCAAGTACCGCCCCAGGGCCCTGAAGGGCAACAACATTTGAAGGCCTTTACCCCAGTCAGCCACTGAAACCACAAAAGACTAGCACTTGTAGCTAATACAGCTAACATTAGATGCTCCTGATTATATGTATGTATTACACTGCTCCAAGGTGTCAAATTGCAAGCTTCCATCATGCTCTTTGTCTTTCCAGCTTTCATTACAGTGTAGTTTGTCTAATACTGCTGCAAGAAATATACGCTTTAAACGGCCAGCTTTGTAGCTGAACTAGCCGTATTAGCTGCATGCTATAAAAGGCTGGTCTATCTCAGCTAGCTCAGTGTTTCCTGATGAACAGAATAAAGAGGGTCTTGCATGAGTTGCAGTTTAAAACAAACAAATGAACAAGAAAAAAAAAAAACAACTACAGAGAAAAGTAGAGGGAGCTTGAAAAGCTATGGCGTGTAAGGAAACTATTGGGAACCACTGGGCTAGCGTCTGGCTGGAGTGAACGGACTATCTCGCACTTCTGGCCCTTCAGAGCCTCTGGCATCTCTCACCCCGCCCCTGAAAAAGACTGCTGCTTTGGACTTAACTGTGAAACGGCCTTTTTACAGACCAGCCAGACAAAGGGGGGTTCTACAAACTAGCACAACATTGGTTAGTTGCAACAGCACTAACAAACAAATGAACTATCAAAGACTTTTTCAAGGAACTATGCTGCACATGACTGCCCATCCGAGGGCATGGCAGGAATGCGGGTCTTGCGATGACTTGTCTCTCTGAGAGTCAAGTGTTGGGACAAGGGAGGCCATGGGTCCTCCATCCACACCACTGGGTTTGACTGCCAAAGTGAAGCTTCAAAGGAGTTGCCATAAAAATATGGTGGGAGACAGAGTGAGACAATGTGAAAGCGAGAGCTAACCATTACAGCTATGTACAAAGCAAAAACACATACATGTACAGAAGTGTCACTCTGCGGAGGTCTTTTTTTATATACGATATAATCATGAAATACTATTAGGTACAGGATGACTATGCTAATCCTCATAACCAAAAGGATATTCAAAGCTGTAGATACCATTAAGATCTCTATACGATCATAGCTGTTTACTATCTTCAAATATTGCACAACTAATAAACATAGGTACAAGTAAGACATTGTGCTATGAGGATTGGTGAAAGTATCAATGCATATGATTTTTTCTACAAAGTATTAACGTATTACACTGTCTGTCTCTTTGTTTTAACCTGGGCCAGACAATGTGTGGTCCAGTTTCATCTAACTGTAAATTACAGTACAAATTCCTACCATAGAAGGACAATACTATGGAATGCCGTCCACCCATTGGGACTTATAGATGCCATTATTATGCCAGAAGCCACACTAGCAGCAGTAACAGCATCAGTAAGTCATTACTACTGATAAAAACACTCAGCATGACAGTAAATAGATATCTTAACATTCGATATGGCAGTTCTGTCAATCTGTAGCAGTGTGAAATGTGTTCTTTGGTCATAAATGTATCCTACAAACTATGAAATGAGTGGAGGCGGTTTGTCCAAGGACTGACTGATGTAGAGTGAACAATAAATGATATTCAGAGGACGAGGAGTGCTGTGTTTATATGTTTATTTAAAGTAATGTACTGTGTGACGGGGGAATAGGAATCCCATATTTTGCTACTTTTGGTTTCTGTTTTGTATTTCCAATCAAGCCAGTATCAAACCAGCTCAATCAAACCTCTTCGGCTGGCTCTGGGTCCCCTCCCGAGTACAGTCTGTTCTGTTCTTACGTCTTTCAGTTTGACCTACAATTTCAGTGCCCCTTACTAGATCAGTATACCTGCAAGCACCTATCCAGTTAAATAATTTCACTTATACATCATAGGCTTTTAAAAAATTGTAACATCTGACTTTGTATCTCTTATTTTCTGGTCATAACATGGACCTAGACAGGTTTTTTTTTGACAGCCTGCACATGGAGCTGACCCAGTATAAGCCTATGCAAATAGCAAAAACTGCAGTACACTGATAAAGCCAGTGGACTCTGCAGGTAAATTGTATTTTTGGCAATAAGTGTGTTTTTTTTCCAGCATAACAATATGTGGCTGTATAGGTATGAAAGTTGCTTTTGAGACAGAGTCTTAGAAACCCTGCAAAGTTAAAGACAGCAAAAACAGTTCCTTTGTTACTCCAGTGAGTTGTCAGCTCTGTGAGGCCAAATGTGTGTCCTACTCTGACATCTAGTGGCTAGTAGTAGTCCTAGCAGCTGTAGCATTTTTGTGTTTAAGGCTATTATTTTTTGTAAGGAATCAAAATTTGGCTTCCAAAAGTAGATTACAATCACCAAACTACAGAGCATTTATATATAAAAATACCTGTGGCACCAGTTCGCTGACTTCTGTAGTTTTTGTGGCTGTTAGTTGGTGACTGTTTCTTCTATCAGCGTTTTGTTGACAACAAGCGCTAAAACACAGATGCGCCTCCGGGTCATTTTGCTTACATGCTGACACTATTTTGTTATATAAATTTCTAAATATTCATGGAAAGTTTAACTACTTCACTGTCAAAATAACACGCCCAGATATGACGTCAGCGCGCTGTAACAACTTCCCTAAACAGCCAATAGCCGCAGATACCGACTTTTGAATTGAGCTGAGCTTGTATCCGCAACTAACATAATATTTCTGTGACCTCCCCTCACAAAACGTTTATTTTTCACATATCTGTCCAGACGGACCACATCTCTCAGCTCTCACCCACACAAGTTTGCTCGGAGCTCTAGACCACAAACCATCCAGCCAGGATCTTTGCTCACAGGTAGGTTGGCTGAAAGCACCTTAAATACAGGCCAAACTACTAACTTCCACTGTTGATAATTTACCTTAACTTTGTCTTGGCACGTTTTTACTCCTTATTTGAGATTTACTGAGTTTGCAAATTCTAGTTGACTAACATCTACAGGGCTGTCAGTATTCAGGCCTACATGAGAAAATAGAAAGCCTAATAAAGTTGTTTGGTCTGACTTGTTGGACTTTTTGCGGACAAATTGCACACAGGTATGGCCACTGATGTCTTTCAGGAGACTATTTGCAATGGCCAGGATAAAGCCCAATGTAAGCTCTAAATATGACAAGTTTTCTTATAGGGGAGAGTGGGGTAAGATGAGCCATTTTTCATATTCCGGATCACTTCATCAAGGCAATCATAGTTTTGTCTCTAACTAGTGTATCTGCAATAATACACTAGTGTATTTCAAGATGTTGTGCATCCCTGCAAACCAACAGAATGAGTGTAACCATAACTGTCTTGATAATATAGCATAACAACTTACCCTGTGTATGGGGTAAGTTGACCATAGGAGCAGGGTAAGTTGAGCCCTATTCCTACTAGCCCCCACTCCCCACCCCAGCCCACCTTCACTGTCTCTCTCCCTAAATAACAGTCACTTCTTCACATTCATGTGTATTTTTATCTGTTATACTCTCTTCAACTGGTACAATAATTCTTTTTATTATTATAACTGCTAAAAAGCTGTTTTGTAAAAATCCATTTTAACATGAGAATGTCTTTAAGTGATTCAGAACATTTGCAACTGTATTTTTGAAAAGAAAAAGTAACACATTTCAACAATCTGAACTGAAACTCTGATCCTCTCATCAGACTCCTTTACTATTATGATGACTTTTAGTCCTCTAAGCTAAAACGGTGGACTTTTATGTCAGTTTTTGACCTCATGTTGTAGCTCTTAGATACCACAATTGATGTATGAAACAAATTTAAAATGATCTTTTTTTGGTCTGAACACAATTCTAATAAAACTTATGACAGACTAAATTCACTTTCAAAAGTGGAATTTTTTTCTTTTTTTGGAAATTAATTAATCCAACCCCTTCACTCATGTGCTTCTAACCTTCACAGACTCTATCAATTGATGTCCATCTCCTAAATATTTTGTGATAGTTGAGAGATATAGCTAATACCACTGTGAGATCAGACAGATTGACTGATTCAAAAAAAGACTTAGAAAACAAAACAAAATTTTATAATAAAAAGATGCCTTTAATATGAAGCTGTTATATGAAATGATGTGAAATCAGATTGTAAAGATGTGGCATGTCAATAAATACATTTAAAATGCAATTTTATTACATATCCACCAGATGTCAGGATAGTTTTATTTAGTGATGTGAAGTGTAGTTAAAACTTATACCAACATGACTCAAATGGCGGAGCTTTTTAGCTTACAGGTGATCAGATATGATAGAAATTCCTATAGGAGACAAACCACACGAGTATTTTGTGCTTTTACTGACATTGCAGCCGATCTTGATATTTTCTCTCTGCAAATTTAACAATATCTCTTACGAAGAAAGTTTAAGAATATGAATAAAAATGGATTTTTGCAGAACTTTGGCTTAGATTTAACTCAGAGTTGTTTGTACGGCTTTTGACACCAATTGTGTAATTTTTCAAAATTTCATGTGAGGGATTGTTGTCAGAGTTCACTCTTAAAGGGCCCTAACAGTTTCATCATATCATGGAAAATAGTCATGGTCAGGAGAAGAATAGGCCTGTTTTTCTATAGATGTGTATAAAATAGTTGTATTTTATCATTTGAGTGGTGGTGATTGTACCTATACTGAACATGCTCTAGATGGCAGTATTTACTTGGTCACTCCTTGGCTGCGACTAGATATGCTGTAAACTTGAATAAATGGATTATTCTTTGAGAACTGCACCCACTGTGTTCAGGTATGAGACCTAAAGTAGAAACAGAAGTGTAAATGTTTTTGGTGCATTTCATAGGAGACCCTGATCAATATTTGTGACCAGATATTTGTATGAAATTGAAATCATGACAGTGCAAGATCATTATATGAAACTAAACACATTAATGATTTAAATGGAGGATTCAAATTCGGCTTTGAACAACAGGGGCAAAGATTCTCTGAGTTGACACAGTGCAGCTGGATGTGACCAAACTCCTCTCAGGAATCCATAACATTCCCCACCGAGACACGGACAGAAGAGTCATATAGTGTTTGTTGTTAATCTCTCCTGGTGCAGAACTCCAGACCGAGGATCCTCTGAGTGCTCCAAGCTGGGGATTCGGACTTTGTGGCCATAGCCTGTGCAGAGACAGATAGGCCTGCCTGTTTTATATGTAAAGCTTCCAGCCAGAAAGCACAGGCCCGCAGGGTTCTCTGCACAACTCCTTTGTTGAAGCCAAACTGTCATGGGGTCCCACTGTCTAAGCTGCTTTGCATTCTGGGAGCACACGAGATGGGAAGGACAGGAAGCATCTAAGGTGGGTGAAAGCTGGCCTTTTTATAGGAATTTGAGTTGTCATGCTTTTAGACAAAACTAGCATGAGCCCGGACGACAGTGTCATGTTCAAACGAGTCCAGAAAGAAGACAAGACTTCACCTTTTTTAATGCTTCAATCTTTTCACATCCTCACTTTCTGCTTCCTGTTTGGTGTGTCCACTGTGGTAAACAGTTGGAGATAATACCGCTCAGCTCTTCAGTTGCCAGGGATTATTTGGTGCTGTCAATCATTGATTTGGTCCAATGGTGCACTTTGATGTGCGCGTGGACTCGCTGAGTCGACTATTAATTGAACCTCACAGTGGAGCCAATCACAGCCTCCCAGTTCCTCATCCTCTATCAGCAAAGCTGCAGCGAACGGCCTCATTTTAGCCTCTTGGGCATGTTATCATTGCAAATGAGCTGGTTATCAACAAGACAGCCTAGACTACACAAATAAACAGTGCAAGGGTGGATTAGAGGAGTTTCCCTGTGTGCCTCTGTACTGTAGTTCGCTGGTTTTGTTTGAAGATGTCTGGGTTGTTTTGCAAGCATTTGTATCAGGCTCTTTTTTTGGGGGCACAGATTAAACTGTGTAGAATTAATATAAAAAGCTTGAAAATAGGTTCTTGAGACAGTTGTGCTTTGGCTGCAATTCAGAATTTGACAAAACAATGATTATCTATTGTAAAGACTTGAGTAAACAGAGTGTGGCCTCCATTTGCAGCTGTGTGGCACAATGTTGTCGAGCCAATACGGGGGAACCAGACGGAAAGAAAAGAGAGGTGGGCTATCTGTTTGTGCTCTGCCTCGCTGTAATTTCCTGTAACATGGGGCACGGCCGTGGCTCTTTCAGCAAACAGTTCGCCTTTCAAGAATGATTTGAAAATATACATTTTAATAAAGAGCACTGAGGCACAGCCAACGAGACACAAGGAAAAGATAAAAAGAAGATTGCATATCTGAAATAAGCAGAGGGTGGAAGAGAGAGGAAAAATAAAGGCTAGACAGAGAATAATAGGGGTAAGGGGAGGACTTGTAACAGCAAGGTGTTTTTTCTTTAATTAAAGTGGCGGGGGAATGTAAAATGGGATGGCATGCTCTGGGCAAAGCAATTTGAACATGTCGTGAATTTAGAGCGCTTTAGCAGCATTTTTAATCTGCTGCACAAAATAATGCAAATATAACAGACGTCTTCACCGGCTGCCTGTTATTTCTCCACATAATGAAGCCACCTCTCCCATCTAGTTTTTACTTTCAGGCAATCAGGCAGCAGCTCGAGTCATTTCACTCTGTTTGTTTGAAGATAGACAGGCAAATTGACAAGTTTACTCCTAATATAAAAGTCAGACATCCCCTCATCCCTCCCTAACTCCCCTCTGTCTTTCTCCAATTTCTCACTCATCTCTCGTTTCTGGTCTCTCTCTTTCCTACCCATCTATTTTTAGGAGGAGTGCCTTTAATTATGCATGTTGTCATAGTGCTTTTAGCATTAGTGTCAGTTAAAAAGATGTGTGTCTGTGCATAAATCTCACGTACAGAGCACAGACTCGGCTTGCTTGATGCTTTCTTGGTTTGGTTTGCATCTGATTGCAACCTCAGCAGAAGGACAGCATTTAAAGCATGACACATGAGATACCTCAGCTCTCAGGAGACGAGCAAGTGTAGACATGTCTGGAAAAGGGAAAAAACAGTATGATGATCGTACTTTGATAACGACAAACATACGGGGGTGCATGATTCCTCAAAAGCACACTGTCATTTTTGTTTCTACCTATAAAATCTTGTAGTATTCTAGATTTTTCCCCATTAAACACTAGGGCTAGGAGAAAAAATTGATTCACATAAGGATCGCGATTTTTTTATTATTATTATTATTATTATTTTTTAAATATAACAATAAATCTTACATGTGATGTGTATTTTTTAGACTAAAAATGAGAAAATTGTCAATATGATAGATTCGCAATTTAAATCGAATCAGCACCTAAAAAATTATAGAAGAATCTAATCGGGAGAAAAGCATATCGTCCCAGTCCTACTAAACACCAAATAAGTTTAAAAAAGTGACACTAACACATTAGAGAGTTTTTAGCTGATCATGAAACAGAGCGACGTTATCACTGATGCATGTTTGAGACATAAAGTATGCAAGATTATCAGGGATAACGCTGAACCTTTATAAATGTGCCTTTTTAAGAAGAAAATCAGTGCAGCCATCAGGCCAAATAGAGCAATTCACAAGATTGAATTATACAGAATTTATTTACAGTAGATGACAGCTATCTTGTAGTGACTATGCTGACCTGAATTTTAGTCACCATCTGGTGACTAAAAGGTGTTTTCGACGCGCTTCTAGTGCAATCCAATGTCTAATCCAGTGGTTCTCAATCCAGTCCTCAAGGCCCACTGTCCTGCATGTTTTGGATGTTTCCCTGCTCCAACACACCTGATTCAAATGATCAGCTCGTTATCAAGCTCTGTAATGTCTTAATAACGAGCTGATCATTTGAATCAGGTGTGTTGGAGCAGGGAAACATCCAAAACATGCAGGACAGTGGGGGCTCGAGGACTGGATTGAGAACCACTGGTCTAATCCAAGGTTGTTGTTGTTGAGTTATCTTTTTGCCATTTATTGATTTAATGTAAAACAAACAAAAAAAGACAGATACGTCCAACTTACTATGATGGTGATATGCGTGATGAGGGTGAGAATGGTGTCAGAGATTAGCACTAAAAACCGTGTGCTCTTCCTGTTTCCCAGATGACTGCTTCACCTGTGTCCCTTTGTAGCATTTACCTGCGCATTCACCTTAAGTGCCCCTTGTGGTGATTGGCTGAGTAACCAAACAAAACCCCAAAAAATAATAGATAAAATAGCTCATGCATAGCTAATGTTAGATTATCAAAGAGAGAGAATATACAGCTTTGTCCACAGGGGGCGCCAAAATCAACCCAAATCAGAAGTTGCTTTCTGTAGCTTTTCTCTATGTTTGATTCTTTTAAATGTTCAACCCCTCTCAATGCTGAATTGCATTTTTCTATCACAAGAAACATTTAATATTTAATATCACTAGTCAGTTGTTTACAGTTACATGTAAAATAATTATGTGGTTATCGACAAACACTGCGGGATACATCTAAGAGCCCAAACTCGGTCTTGCATTCCCTCCAAAACCATGTAGAACCATACAGATTTGACACCAGAGTGACACCCACTTATTTCAAACAAGACACACTCTAAACACCAAATTATATAGCCTCTTTCTCTACCTCTGTCACACTGCGCTCCAGTTGCTTTCAATTTACCGGCCTGTCTCTCTGTCGCGCCGTCTCCCTTTTTTCATTAATGCTTTGGCCTTTTAAGAGCACATGGCTTCCTCCTGTCTCCTCTAGTCTCAGACTGTGTCATCTTTACACCAGGTCCTCCATTTCAATTGTTTTTTTCATGCGTCCTCATTTTCTCCTCCTTTTCTTAGTTAAACTCTATCCAACCCTCTCCCTCTCCTGCTTCTTTCATCTCCTCTCCGTCCATCTCCGTCCCTCCTCGCCCCGGTGCTTCTTTGTTTTGATATATGACCTAATTACTCGGCTAATTGAGGTTCTTGAAGCTGCCACACAGTTTGGTGGTTGGGAATTCTATCTGCTTGCTTTTACAGTACATGTAAAGGTCAGAGTCGGTGTGATCGTTTGTCAAATATCATCACTTCCTGCTTGGTTAAAGGTTCTGTGACAGTCTGAAAACACATGAAAACACTTGTGCAATCACTAAGATTATCCTGAACATGTCTGTATTTCTTTGTTTCATGCTGGCTAGCATATAGAGGGTCACTAATACTGCCGCTCCCCTGGTGACAATAGTAGATGCAGTCCTCCATCAGCTAATTTCCCTTTCATAAACGGCTTTAACTTCTGATTCTTATCTCCTGGCAAAGAAATTGACTGCTGTAAAATTGCTCTTAAAGACAATTATGTTCAGTAATATGCATCCCATTCTGCAGATTCTTTTCAATGACAAATTAATCTCTGGTGTCCTTTTAAAAGAGCCAGGAGCACTCATTCCTCTCGCCTCCTTTTCTTCTTCTTTTCCACAGGATATTTCACCCTCTTAATTTTCAACTCTTTTCTTTTCTTTTGCTGAACAAGCTGTTTCTTTTTTCCAACTGTATTGACTGCTTGTCACACGCCTGAGAAGGGTCTGCGCCTCCTCCTTCTCCTCTGACTGCTTTTCTTCACCCTAGTTTAGATTAATTGACTGCTGTAGATAGTCAGAACAGTATTGTTGATCTTCAATATTAACTCACTTGTCTTTAAAAGTGACTGCTATTCTTTTGGGCGATGCAGTGTTACAATATCTAGCAAAATAAATGACCTGATTTCATTTGCTGCAATGTTCACAGTCTACTAAGCAACTTGAGAAATGGTTGTGCATGTGCACAGATCAAAACTTGCCTCTCCAGACATTTCTGCATATAGATATTGTTGTTTCCTGATGATTTACATTCCTCAGAGACACTAATGTAGGAGCCAAAATGTTGCTTTGCTTATAGGTTATCCTGTGTTCAGTTATTTTATCTGGTTGCTATTGGTTTCACTGGGTTTGGGTCACCTGGGCACTGTGTTTGAAAGCCAGTAAGTTATATAAGGGGCGGTCTTACCTGCACTGAGGTGGAGAGGTGAGCATAGGTAGCAGTAATTTTTGTTGATCGCGCAGTGTTCACATATGACATCGCATGTGTGCAATCATTGGTCAACGTCGAGGCGTTTTTCTGTCATTAAAGCTCCTAAAACTTTGATAAACAGTGGGTGCTTCTTTGGAACAGCAGCAGCGTGTCACACAAACATACAGGACCTAGTCTCTGCCTCAAGTGACTTTTTAAAGGTACAAGGAAAGCCGCAATATCCAACTCCTTTATTTCTGTTGGGTCTCAGTTTTACTGTAAATAGCAAGTTACACAAATATTTCACTCTGTTCAGCAACCAAATCACAAAAATATTGCTTATTTTTCAAGGTTCATATCGCTGAAGTTAATGCTGTCACAGGTTATGGTTTTCCAGGCATGGCTTGTTACAGATTTTTAAAGAGCAGAAATGCAAGCTTTGGGAAGTCTGTCCTCGAGAGGAGAGAGAGAGAGAGAGAGAGAAAAAATATAAAAACGGAGAGAGTTTGTTTGTCGAATAAGCACTGGATAATGCATTCTGGGGAATCTGGAAAATCCAAATACTGACTCACTTTCAAGTAGCATCATGCAAATTATGGTTGGATTTGAATGTATAAACATGACCAGATTTTTAGCTGCTTTTCCATGAAGTTAGTTATTGACAGAGATACATAAACTGTTGTCACATACCACAGAAGGGAGCTGGGATGTCATTACAATGGACTGCATTCCACCTATTTCCAAGACTATTTTTCCTGCCAACCAGCCGGTGGGATCGGCATGTGCAAATTCAAAAAAAACTTTTCCCAAAAAATCTGATCATTTCCCACACTTAAATCCAGAACCCTGCTAGGATTCTTCATTTCTCTATACAGCAAAGTCTCTAAATAGAGGTTATAGTTATGTGACACCGCCTTTTCATTAAGTGCCTCCATCACGGCTGCATGACTTCAAGTCTAGAACAATAACTGTTTTTATGAAGTTCACCAAAGTTCAAACATGAATATTAATAATAAGATTATTAATTCAAATGCTTTAATGATTTAATAACCTATATAGATGACTTTAAAGTTTACCCCCTTAGGGTCCTGCAGCAGCTGCTAACTGTATCCTGGCTCTGCCTTAGGCCAGCTGTGCAGATAATCTTAGGTGCAGATTTGAGGGAGAATGACAACATTGATAGTCCCTTGTTTTATGTGGAGGAATTGCTGAACTTTTATGACTTAGAAACTACTTTTTGCCTGATAAACTAATATATATTATAGCTCTTTTTACCAGATAAGGTAATGAATTGTGTTGCACGGGTGTTGGATTTTATGTAAGAAATAATGAGCAGTTTGTGCAATGTGACTGAATGGTTTCCTGTGGGGACAAACTTTCTCTCTTTCTCGAAATGGCATCAAAACATCCTCAGCAATTTTGCGAAGAAGTTATGCCAGTCTGTAGAAAAATTAGGCTACCTTTCACCAGCACCGGGGGAATCTCTCAAGAGTCCAAGCAAATCTCTGAGCGCGAGCTTTTTAATCAGCTATTCAATCTAGTCTAGCGTCGACTGACTGCTGCTATTGAAGATGATTTCTCCCAAAAGCTTTTCGTTCGCTTTCCATCTGCTTTAACATTCCCTCTCAAAGAAACCTCCTTGTACAATCGCGGCCCTTGCCAACATCAGAGATCAAATATTTGGTACAAGGACACAGTCATCAGTAAAGGAGGACAGCCCAGTAATCATTTATTTTTCCTATCCTGATTTCAAAAGTGACACCCAAGGGATTAGCTCACCTTCATCACACAAGGCTCCCACCGCCCCCTGCTGTTCATCCTGGCAAAGCTCAGAGCAGTTTGTCCTTGTTCTGCAAAGCCATGAATCCTGCATGGGATGGATATTTTGATCCATGACGCTGCATCTTCCACTGACTGCAAGCCGTGTTCCATCTCATCAAACACGGTCGTCTGTTTCCCTGCCGGTGCTGATGGAGGAAAAGTCTTTGGCATCTCATTATTAATTGAATTAAGGGGGAGTATTTCTGGAGCAAGGTGAATTCTGGGCATAGTAACAAAGAATTATTTATAGTGTACTTTGAAAATTCCCATGCTCTAATGGGACTAAGACCATCACTGTCTTTGCAGATAAGAACACTGATGCTCACACATGGAAACAAATCTTCTGCCTGCCATACAAACCACCTGGTGCAGCACAAACCAGCCTGGACAGAGATGCTTCACCCCAAAATAGCTTCAACTATAAAATATAAACTATAAAATAAAACTGTAACATCACAGTGTTTCACATATCAAGTAGACCAGGGAATGTATATAGACTATAGGATCATGATAACTTTAGTTTAAGGCAGTTTGGTGCTAAAATAATGACCATTTGTGGATATTTAGGGAAAAAAACTCAAATATGTGCAAAAACCCCAGAGTTGAGGGGCAGCAAAGGTCTGGAAATTAGTCTGATGGAGTCATCAGCATACCAAGTTTTATCATGTCAATTCATCACATACTGTTTTCCTTTAGTCCTTCTTTCTGTCCTGATACACAGAATTGATCTTGATGCTAACAGAAAAAAGCTAATAGGCTAACAGGAGAAAAACCTGAAGAGGGTGATGAAGGTTTCATGTAGCATCTCGATACTTTAGTCTTGAACTTAGAGGTCGTTTCAAGAGAGATTTAGTCTCACATGTTATTGGCAGTACCTCATTATTTTGTCATGTTTGTATTACTGCTGCTGCATGACACGCATCTCTTACTGCATATAGTGTCATCTTGCCTCTAGATTACCTCAAACAGCAAACAAAATAATCTTTTTATAAGTACAGTCTGCAGATTTTCCCTCGCTTAGAAATAGAAGAACATAAATAAAGTTAATGTAACACAACAACTGTATAAGATGAATGCTAACTCCTATCATTTCTGACTTGTTTATGCAGTAAGGCCTAATGAGGCATCAGGTACCATTATGAATTTTAAGGTGTTGTGTTGAAGAATTGGAAGGCATTGGAGTATAGCTAACTTGTTCAACTAACTGTTTTTTTGTCATGTGTAAAACTACTGATTTTACATTCGGGAAATTGAAAGCTTTCTCTATCACAGGTTTACCTGATGCAAAAATGTTTGTCTTTTTCCCTAGTTACCACCAGCTCAGGTAGCTATACACTGCTCTCCAAAATCAAGTGTGATTACAGCACCGAGAATGGCTGAAATGGAGGGTTAGTGGAGAAACAAGAGGGGTTGTGGGCGTGTGAAGATGGAGAGGAGTACTGGGTCATTAGTCTTTGATGTTTTTTTTCCCCTCTGATATGACCCATGACTAATTCTCCTCCACATTTTTCACATGAAGGGTATGTGTGCAGTACTTTGTTATCTATGAATATATTAACAAAAGTGATTTATTATGCATTATTTTGTTTGTGTCCTGAGGACATCTTACAGGCCTTGCACCCCCAGTTTGAAAAAACTCACCTCCAATGAGAACTGCATGCTAAGCACTGATGTCAAGGTTGACTATACTGTGTAGAAATCCCTTGTTAATCCAGACTTTAGCTTCTTCCCTCAACCCCCCCATTGGACCACAAAGTCTCCTGGGACATGCTTCCACCTTGTATGCATGAATCTATTATTAGGTTTTCTGTAGAAAAGTAGCCTGCTCCTTGTAAGTAACCAGAATGGATACTTTTTATGTCAGAATCAGAATCAGCGTTATTGGACAAGTATGTGTACACATACAGTACAAAGAATTTGACTCTGGTAAACTTTGCCCTCTGTGTACAAACATGAACTATTAAAAAAAATGTTAAAAAATTACAAGTATGTTCATGTGAAGGGATCATATCGATGGAGCAATATTCTTCTGTGTTTTGGGACCTGGTTAAAAGCTACTCATGAAGGACTAATCAGGTGTTATAATGGGTCTCCTGAGACATGAATGATAATACAATAGGAGTGTACTACAAAGCCTACGGGAGTAGATAAGAAATTAGTGATATTTATGTTCTTAACCCCTCTCGTAATCTCACTGACATTTAATTTGCATGTACGGGTATTTACATGGCTTACATCGGTTATAAGTTTTGCAAGCAGCTAAATACAAGTGAGGATAAGTCAGTGCAGATAACACTTTTCTTCAACTTTGTGTTTAATGCCATAGATGTTAGACCTATCCTTTTATGAGCACTGTTGTAGAACAGTGAATAAAAGACCTGATGTCAAGGGAGACATCTTGGCACACAGGAGCAAAAAGAAAGTATGTAAAACTTTTCAGATCAGAAGTCCTAAAACAACTCCCATTCTCTGAGTTAAGACCGCATTTTCTTAAGTCTGCAAAGATATTTGTTTCAACATTGGCTTTTATTGGGCCATTCACTCCACTAAGTCCACTAAGTGCACCTGCTATGAGTCGGATCACAAAGTACCATCTCAGTGAAGTGGCCTTACTTTGTTAACATTATTGTTTCCTCTAAAGGACTTCACTTGCAGGACTTTGGCCCTGTGGATAAAATTCAGTAATGAGAAAATACAAACATCGATAGTCTATCTGCCTTTTTTTCTCACCTTTGTAGGTTCTTAGAAGTAAATAGTCTGTATGCAGAGTGTCTGCTGTTTGTCATCTCTGTACCTCAGGGAAGATGATGTTCAGCTAAAAGTTGACTCGGCAGTCCTTTCATCGTGCCGTCTGGCTGCCATCAGGCAACAGCAGATACAACAGAAACATGCTGAGACAGAAAAAACAGCAGGTAAACACAGTAATAATAACTCTCTATTTCACTTCAAAGTGTTTTAATATTAATAAAACATGTTGGCAGGTTTGTGAAGTACAGCAATGATCACAGCATATTTCTCTTACTTTGTCTTTTCTTTCCAATCAGCCATGAAACACCACTTTGATCCTTGAGCCCCACACAGTGTGAGATACACAAGATATTTACATAATGTTGAACTTAAGGAGGTTTGTCACATTTGATGGGAGGATGCTGTAACAGTCCAATATAAGGTGATTTTTAATGAGTAAACTAGTTACTGCAAATCAGTTTATTTCACCTCAGAAACTGAATTATTGGTCTAGTTACCAGTTTAAAAGTTGATCACTGTAAAAAGTCAAAGTATATTTCCAATTACATGAAGTTAAGAACATGTTTTGAGATCGACAAGGCTCAAAGCACCACTTTCTAACTGCTTTTCACTCAAACTACACCACGTTCAACCATCCTCAGATAACAGTCTTGTGAGGAGCAGTTTGGATTTATAAGACTTCCCTCATCACACTAAAAAGTAACCAGCAAGTTAAGGTGATAGCTTGCATGCAGTGGGCCCACATAGTAGGACTTTTGCTTCAATCTATATTCAGGACAATCATATAACAGTCAACCTATTTCCACAACAAAATTACAATTTATTTATTTTTTTCACTCCTTGTATTTTCTTTACAAACAGCATGATTTTTTCCACTAATAACTTTCAGCCTGAGTTGACTTAAGATCATAAATGTTCTTCCTTAAGCTGCGTCACCCCGCTGTAGTCCGTAATGGACTGGCCTGAGGTCTCGCTACAAACAAGCGGCTGCTGGAAGAGAGTAGGTGAGTAAAAAAAGAGAGTAAAGAAATTAGGCAGGGTTGAAAAGATTTTTGGTGGCTAGTGATGTGGCTAGGACCCTATATGTACTGTTGATGAAGTTAGGTGCTGTTCTGAGCATTATTTGTGGCTATAGAGTGGCGTTTGGGGTTCGCGTGTGGCTCCTCAGACCTCTGTGTATTGCTATCCTGCGGTCGTTACCAAAGTTGGTATAACTTGAAAAGCAAGTGGTCGGCAACATTCATCTCTTGACGGGAACTTGGTGTTACGATGTTTTGACCCTAACTTAATTTTACGCCGGAATATCCCTTTAATGCTCTCACACATCATAGACACATCAATGCTCAGTCCAGTCTGTTTCATAACCTATCTACTGCAAAGACTTGTGTGACAGGACAACTAGCGCTTTTAGTTTGTGGTACTGTTGATAACTTCCTCAAAGAGATTGTCCTGCCAACAATCAACTCTCATGCTGCAGTACAGAGATCATCAGTCCTTCCAGAGCCCCTTTGTCTGTAAGAAGGTGACCCATTGCATGGGGTCCATCCTGGAGTCTCTCATCCTCTTTAAAACCCATATGCCCACACACTGCTGGTGCTACATCACAAAGAGCTTTTAATTGACATGCTTTTACACAACACAACTGACTTATCATATGGCCTTCCCCTCCCTCCTCCTCGCATTTACACTCTCTCTCTCTCTCTCTCTCTCTCTCTCTCTCTCTCTCTCTCTCTCTCTCTCTCTCTCTCTCTCTCTCCGTGTCTTTTGTCAGCACTTTGGCTGTAATTCCTGCTCCAGTGGACTGGGCATACAGTGCATGACTTGATCCGACATGAAAGCTAAAGGCTGACTATTGTAGCCCATAAGTGGAGGGGAAACAGGAGGGGGAAGCAGAAGTATGGCGTAATTCAACAACAATAACAGCATCCCTCAGTAGCCTATCCTCAGCTCCTCAGAGTGAGGAGGGGAGAAAGTGAGGGAGAGAGAGAGAGAGAAAGAGAGAGAGAGACAGGGTGTGAGGAGGCTAGTCGCATCACTCGCGAGGAGTAGGCGTGCTCTCGTACGCGCCATCATTTGATGTTCTTGCCGTTTCCCCACTGAACCTCCACTTCGTCTTCTCAGTGGGTGAGGTCGACCAAATACAAGGCGACCACCGGGCGGACTTTCTCTGCCGGAGGGGTCGAGCTCGACTTTCCGCCGAGCAGCTGAGCCGTGAACGCTGCACCGGTAAGCGGGACGACACCACGGCACTTTGGAGAAGTCACACACAGCTAAAGAGGGATCTGCTGTTTTCACAAGACCACCAAATATCACCACGAATGACTTAGTCTGCTATCACAAGTGACTTTTTCTTCCCGTCATATTTTTTTTTTCATTTCTGGATTCTGTGGTGGAAGAAAATTCACGGCAGCAGCATCAGCATCAGCTCCAAACTCGCACTGTGCGCGTTAGAAGAAGGGGTATTTTTGCCCAAGATGCAGGTGGATCGGAGATGTGTGCTCTCCAGCGTGTGTTTCCTTTTACTTTTGTCAACTCTGAGCACCAGGATCACCGGAGGAGAAGGAACCCACCAGAGCATCCCCCCGTCAGTGTAAGTAGGCGATCTTTTTACGCAGAGTTGACGCGCGTTGCAAGTTTCCAAAGCAGAACTTTATTCTAACAAATTCCAGCTGTGTGGGTGTCAAGTACTTGAAGACTTGTGTTTACCTGCTGTTAAAGGGGGGCGTTTGTTTGGTGTAATGCTCTACATAAGTACCACATAAACCACTGAGTTCGTGGAGTGTTTGAGATTTTTCTCTGTCTGTGTCATGTCTGCAGGGTGAAGCTTTGGGCTTCAGCTTTTGGTGGAGAAATGAAGTCCATCTCTGCAAAGTACTCCGGCTCCCAGTTGCTGCAGAAGGTGAGCAGTTCTACTCTCGACTGTCCAAAGAGTTTAAATACAACTCAAATGTCCACATAATAGGACTGGAACAGGGTTTTCATGTGGGTGGTTTGACTCTTACCAAATATTTAGTATAAGAGCAGAGAGGAGAGGAGAGAAAAAGAGCCCTCCTGTACTAGAAAAGTGTTTTTTTAGGAAAAAAAAAAATGTTTTTACCAGCCTGCTGTGTAAGTACACACTCTGACACACGCGTTTTTACACTTTTTTTTTCACAAAGCTGAAATGATTTGATACTGCGGGTAAAGTAACAGTTTATTCAAAAGTGTGAATATACCCTTTTGAGAGACTTTTGAAAATTGCAGTGTGGATGTAAAAGACGGGCTTATGAGAGGAAATGACTGCTGCTGAGTAATTTTTTGGGAGTTGAGAGAAATGTCACTCTTCATCTCTCACTCTGCAGGACCTGCGCTTTTTAGCCACTTGAGAATTGGTAATGCATGTCGACTAGGTAGGCACTGATTTAAAAGCTTATTCTGAACATGGGCCTTTTAAATGGCTGTCCAATTGTGAAGCACTCTTGCAGATATGCTCATACACACACAAACACACACACACACACACTCTGGGAAGAGCATTTTAAACTCCATGTTCCTTACATATCCAACAACCCCTTTGCCTCGTCCTTTTCTCTTCTGATTTGTGTTATTATTGCAAGATTTGAGCGTGATGGAATGCAAATTTTCCTAATGGAGGGTTAGTTGATGAGGCATGAGTTATAAGTTGCTAATGGATGGCGGGTGGAGAAAGGTCTGGGCTGGTGCGAACCTCTCGGCGGGTGCACGCACACAGTGTTGTGCCGGGGGGCTCTGGCGGTTTGCAGAGACCAACTGTGATGAGCCTACGGTTAGGTGTCACACAAGCCACATTAGATATGTGATGTGACATGCCACCAGGACCTGACACAGACTCCCACACAAATGACACTCACAGAAATGCACACATGATGTGACTATAGTGTACATATACACACGCACTCTCTTATAGACACACACACGGGCCTATGGCGTGGATTTCATCAAGCGCTCAGAAGCCATAGCTGCGGTGTTATCTCTCTAACAGGATAAAAACTGTTCCCCCTTCTCATCTTTTTCTGCCTCGAAAAAGCAGATAACCCTCCCACGGAGTGACGACCTCTTTATGAAATGCAAATGAAGGCCGCAGGGTTAATTGAGCAAAGAAAAAGACTGGAGACCTCTTTTGTTGGAAAAAAAGTGCATCTTTCTCACCAAACTGGTGTGTTGCAGGATCACAAGGATATCCTCAGATGTGCAAGATGGTTTAATGCACATACGCATGGACTGAGTGACCTGTTTGCTGTGCTTTAGCGTGGATCCGGAACAGTCTGGTAACTCTTGTCCAGAAAAGCTGAGGAGGGACCACAGCTCCCCTGAGGGCACATATGCTTTTAAATGGGCTGAGAGAATGAGGTTGCATGCTGTTGTTCATAGAGAGAGGAGGAGGATGGTGCTGCTGGAGAGAAAGGACCCAGGCTGGTGTGTGTTGATGTGTATGCGTGTGTATGTGTGTGTGTGTGTTTCCCCTGGGTAGGGGACAGATGGACTCAGTCTCTCTTCAGTTATCTCTACCCTGACCCTGGTGTAACAAAACTCCCCTGGAAAGAAACATACCTCTGCGTCAATTTCACACATATACACAAAAATCCTAATACTCAAAAACTGATATGAACCTGAGTCATGCTGCACACATAGACTGTGAAGGAGGAGGGATTCTGTGGACGTACATGTGTTTCTTCAGAAATGATATCATACAAAATGTTTTTTACTCCTGTTTTGAGATATATTCTTTTGACCAAACAAAATTGAATATCGTCTTTCTCTCGCAGTCACACTACGAGAGGGAAAAAAAACACAAGTGTGTTATAAGAAACTTTTAAAAAGCAGCATCATATATGTCCAGTTATCAAGACCACAGAGGTAATATAACAACATTACAGAGCTTATCAGGTTCAAAGGATGTTAAAGTCTTGTACCTGATGTTGCTTATGCTGCCGCTGCTGCTCTGTGTGCCATGTTAAATGTAATCATCTGAATTTGATACTCCATTTGTGTTAACCCTGCTATAATTTGACGCCTGATTTGATTTTGGATTTAATCATTTCCAACAAGA